ACTAAATAAGACCTAATACCATGGCCTAATAATGGATCGAATGGTCTATGACTAAGCTTAGCTATGCCCTCTAGACGGAATAGAGAATGCACGCCGTAGGCTTACCGATAGATCCTCTTTCCTAGGAAGAATATCTTGCATTTATGCGGAGGCAGCATATTGATCTAGAACTGTAAGAACGGCAGGCGAGAGACTAACTTATGGTTATTATATAGGGGAAGGAAGAAACCCCTTTGTAATACTTCGCGCGATAGCGTGCCCTCCGCGATATATTGCTGACGAAATGGGAAGAGGATAAGGGCGTAGCCCACTACTTCTTCTACTACTTGGCACTAAGAGTCAAGAGAGAGCTTAAGCGGATCAAGTGGCCCTTAGATAGGGCCAGAGATATTACTAATGAGGCAGAATGTATCTGGAATTGGTCCTAAGCTAGCAATAAGGCTAAGAGGAAGCATAAGCTAGACGTCTCCGAGCCTTCGGCGAAGAGATACTATTCCCCTCATCGAGGAGGCTACAAGGGAACCCCTAGGGGAAGCTCATCCTCGGGACCTCCATCAAGAGCAGGGTCAGAACACCCACGAGGGAACCAGAGCCGTTCCAATACACCTGCATCGGCGACGCGTCGCCCGTATGGCGGTGAGAGACCTGCGGCGATTAGATGCTATAATTGCAACCAACTAGGACACAAGGCACTAGATTGCCCACTAAAGAAACCAACTAGTATAAACCAAGCCCCTCTTAGAAGAGGCGGCCCTTCGGCGAAGGTTAATTATACCCGCGCCGGAGAAGAGTTAGATAACTCGGAAAATTAGGATGGATGGAGGAAGAACCTATCCCTCTATCTATAACCCCTATTAAATGGGTACCCACGGGGAAGACCGCCCGAGCCAAAGGACTAGCTCTCCGAGGGCTCGCCGAGGAAGAACTAAATATACTCCTCGATACAGGGTCTAAGATCGATCTGATTAGTATGGACCTTGTCAGAAGGCTAAGGCTTAAACCTGTAACGGACTACGCTGCCCTAGGGCTAGAATCCTTTAGGGGGGATAAAACGAACCTAGGAAATGCCTATTGGTTTACTTTCTTCCTTATTGATAACGGCGGGAACCCGCGGAAGGTACGGCGAGTGTTCGCAGGGTCTGATACTGGGTCAGGGAGGTATGACGTGATCCTGTCTTACCGTTCAATGGGCCAGGAAGGCATTATGATTGACTGTGCCGTTGACTCGTGGTACTATCGAGAGATCGCGCTCGTAGACCCCGAGTCCCTTCTCCGAGATATCGTCGAGAACCGTGAAACAGCCTATGTGCTATACATTGCGGCTACCCTCTCACTAGAGGAAAGGAGCATGGCTACGCTCGGCGAGCTATCGGATACCGGAAGGGAAGACGAAAACGAATTCCCTCTAGAACTCGAAGGCTTAGAAGGGTTTTTCGACGAGGATGCGGCTAAGGGGATGCCGCTCTTGCTAGAGGTATCCCATAGGATCGATCTCGTCGAAGGAAGTAAACCACCATATGGGCCGCTATACCCCATGAATGAGGCCCAGTACGGCACCCTTCGGGAATACCTCGCCGAGAACTTAGCGAATGGTCGGATCGAACATTCAGTGAGCGAAGCGGGTGCCCCAATCCTCTTCGTTCCCAAGAAGGACGGAGGAATAAGGTTATGCGTAGACTATCGAGGGTTGAATAAGGTCACGATTAAGAACCGTTACCTACTCCCCCTCATTGGAGACCTCCTAGACTGGCTCGCAGGAGTAAAATGGATCTCGAAGATCGATATCCGTGATGCGTACTATCGCATAAGGGTCGCGGAAGAAGACCGATGGAAGATAGCATTCCGCACGAGATACGGACACTTCCAATACACGGTTATGCCATTTGGGCTCACTAACGCACCGGCTATATTCCAGGCGTATATTCACCGATCACTCGCCGATATGTTGGATACATGTTGCATATCCTATATGGATGATATCCTCGTCTACTCATAGATAAGAGAGGAACATACTAAGCACCTACGAGAGGTCTTGCGATGGCTCGCCGAAGCATAGCTATACGGTAAGCTATCTAAGTGTGAATTCTACTAATAAAGTATTAAATTCCTTGGGTATATTATTACCTAGGAAGGAGTTAAGATAGACCCCATTAGGGTCAAGTCAATCTCTGAGTGGGAGGCTCTAACTAGCTTCAGGGACATATAGGTATTCCTAGGGTTTTATAACTTTTATCGCAAATTCATCGCGTACTACTCGGCGATTATTAGCCTGATTACGTCCCTGTTAAAGGGGAGTAAGAATGGAAAGAAGAGCGGCGAGTTCATATGGACATTAGAGGCAGAATAAGCCTTCTAATAGCTTAAGCACGCTTTCTGCTCCGCGACGATTCTCCGATATTAGGATCCGTCACTACTAACGAGGGTAGAAATAGATGCCTCAGCGAGAGCCATTTCTGGCATCCTGACGCAGTTGGTCGATACCCAATGGCGACCGATCGCTTACTGGTCGCGGAAGCTATAAGACTAAGAGCAACGGTGGGCCACGGGCCAATAAGAGCTACTAGTAATTATCGAGAGCCTTGAATATTAGGCATACTACTTGCAAGGGCTTTTAGAGAAGTTCCTTATCCTGACGGATCACTAGGCGCTCACTAGTGTCGTCGAAGTATCGGCAAAGGATCTGCGAGGTAGACTCGCCCGTTGGGTATACCGATTATCTGCATTCGATTTCGATATTAAATATCGACCGGGCACAAAGAACCCTGCGGATGGCCTCTTAAGGAGACTAGACTATATAAAAGGAGAGATCTCCTACGAAGACGTCCTACCTATATTGGCTAAAAAGCTAGAGCTCATATACGAGCTGCCGGAGCCCACTCAGCGATATATCGCCGCGCTTGAAGGCAAGACGAGTATTTTATCTATATACGTCTGCGTAGTAAGGGCTATGATAAGGGGTCCCCCCCCCTCCTATGAGCACGAGCCGAAGAGCACTACTCACTATACGATATCCGCTGTTATGACTCGACGTCAACGGGCGAAGATAGAGAGAGCAGACGCTCCACGGACTGCTGAGTAGGTGGAGGACTCTCGGCGAGCCTCCGGGGACCTGACTCTAGCTGGGGTTACTGTTCCGGAGTAGTATATCCCACGCCCGGTCATGAGAGAGCTCATGGAGGGCGAAACGGCACTTCTCTCCCAGCCTTCTAAGAAGTTCGAGACGTTGGTTAAGGAACTGCAGAGCCAAGACCAATAATGTCAATACTTCACGGCAAAGGCTCGGGGAACCGCCGGCGAACGCAAGGGATACATAATAGACTCCCAAGACTTGTTGCGTTATAAGGGACGACTAGTCATCCCGGACCAAGGAGCCATGAGGACAGAGATCCTTCGCCGACACTATGACGACCCGAGAGTAGGTCATATAGGGTCCCAAAAGACACTTAACCTCATTTCGAGGAAGTTTCACTGGCAGGGCATCGCGGAAGATATCCGAGAGTACATCGAAAGCTGCCCGATATACTAAGGCATCAGAGTTCCGAGGCATAGACCCTACGGGAAACTCTAGTCCCTACTACTACCGTCATACCCGTTCTAAGAGATTAGCCTCGATTTTATAACTGGGCTTCCGCCGAGTACTCGGAATAACGGCGGCAACTATGACGCGATTCTCGTTATTATGTATAGGATGACCAAGTTCGCGCTATTTATACTAACGATGAAGAAGCTAAGAGCCACGGAGCTCGTAGCTCTCCTATATGAGCACGTAGAAAGCCGGTTCGGCATACTAGAAGGGATAGTCAGCGACCGAGATAAGCTAATCACTAGTAAATTCTGGGCAGACCTCATAAAAGAATGGGCGATCCGTCGCCGACTGTCAACCGCGTACTATCCGCAGACGGACGGTCAGATAGAACGCACCTATTAGACACTCGAGAAGTATCTAAGAGCGTATATAAGAGACTCACCCGAAAGGTAGGCGATATAACTCTTAGACGCTGCCTTCGCCTATAATAATAGCAAACACTTAACTATCGGGGTCTCCCTAATAGAAGCGCTGTTTAGCTACTACCCGAGATATGTGGAATACGTCCTAATAAAGATAGAGACGAATATGCAAGGCGTCGCTAAATGCTTAATGATGCTAGGCCGCGTACGGACCTAAGCACGGGTATACTAGGAGAAGGCTTCGGAATCCTAGGCAAAATACTACGACTCAAGGCATAAGCCATAGACCTATCATCGGGGATAGATCGTTGGAGTATCGACGAAGAACTAGAGATTTAAATACCCTAAGCTGGCCCCGAGATTTATGAGAGCTAAGGTCCTCGATAAGTACGGCGAGCAGGCCTACGCCTTGGAGCTGCCGGAGAAGTACCAGCATATATACAACGTGTTCTATGTATCACTCATAGAGCCGTGGAATGATCGCAGGGCTATCGGCGATACCACGCAAGAGCAGCCAGAGCTCGAGGATAAGCCTGATGAGTGGGAGGTAGAAGAAGTAGTCTCACATAAAGACGTGGGAGATAAGACTTTCTACCTCATTAAGTGGAAGGGTTAGCCAGTAGAATATAATACCTAGGAACCAAAAGAACATTTAGAAAACGCATAAGCGATAGTAAGGAAATACCTCAAAGTCGCGAGGAAAGATCATAAGAAATAGGACGAGGCATAGCTAGATGCACGCCGAAAGCACTGCGATAAGAAAAGTCCTATTAATCTAGATACAAAATAGAAAACTTAAACACGAAAACAAGGTAAAACAAGACCACGCCGGGTCATCAACGAAGACAAGAGATCACTCGCCGAGGCATCGCAATGCAGGCGCAGAACAACATGAATAAGGGCCAAGTCAGAAGACAAGGCCATAACGGCGGAAGACCCAGGGAACACAAAGAGCTAACACGTCGGCGACAGAACGCAGCAAGCTCTCAAGGGTTATTATTAGCACCACCACGACCACCACCACGACCACCACGACCTCCGCCACGAGCAGTTTAGCTGCGAGTCTTGCGGGCCCTCTTGGGGGGTCTGCTCGGCGAAGGATCGGGAGCCTCATCGTTATTATCGCCACCATCAGCAGGACGAGCACGCTTGCGGCCACCAGGAGTCGACAAAGGGTCGGCGAGGCCTCGGAGACGAGGACCCTGGCCAACGAAGGAAACAGGACAAGTAGGACCGGGGTTACCATCATCGACAGCCTGATCAGCGACGTCATACAGCTCGCCGAGACCACCCATAATATCACGGTCACTACCCTCAACCTCGATATCGGTTCTCGGGTTATTTTCGGCGCTATCTAGGCGATTGATCGCCTTAAGCAATAGCTGGGTAGGAGTATCGTCACGAATATAGACGGGGGCGGTAGTAGCGATATGACTAGTCATCTCGGAGAGGTTCATCTGGGCTCTAGCCTATACGCAGAATATTAGCCGATACTTAGGCGAAAGGAGGACGAAACTTATACCTTGGAGGCAGAGTAGGGATAGTAGCTCTCAGTTAGAGGCAAGCTCCTACGTCTAGACGCGGGATAACTAGAGCGCATCCTTAGACTTCTGCGACATAGGGTCATAGAGGCGATCGGCGACCTTCCGCCAAGCATACGCCATATCCTTAACGGCACGGTTAGCGCGCTAGATCTAGCAGCGGGTATACGAAGAAGGGTCGGCGATGATATCGTCGCAAAGATTATAAACGTCATTCCACGAGGCCTAGGCAGCACCCCAAAGCTCGCAGGGAATCTACGAAGCATTAGCGACAACTCAGAGAATACGATAGAAAGAGAGGAGGGAAAACTTACAGAGCCACACTTCTTCTTATCATAGGCGCACAGTAGGCAACAGTTCGGCGACTGGTCGGTGATGCAAGGGATTCGGGGGTCCTTGTCCATGTATTCCAGGCAATACATACAAGGAACCTTACTTAGATCTATCTTCCAGAAGTTAGCAGCGGCATCGTACGTGAACTTCGAGAGCACGGCGGAGTAGGTAGCCAGGAGAGACATCGCCGAAAGCTTCGCGACGGGCGGACGAGTGAGTAATATGGGAATAAGAGGGAAAACTAAAGAATCGCATGCGATTCAGGAAGACGAGACCAACAGGGATCGCAGAGGCTGCGGCGATGTTATTGCGACAGGCAGCAGAATTATTGTTATGAGGAAAAGGAAAACAAAAGAGGGAAGATTATTGTGGAACAGAAAAACTTTAGTCACAGCAGCAACAGCTGTATTTAAGCCGCCAGTGCCAGACAGCTGGCAGCGCGAAGCGATCGCCAACGCGACGGCGACCAACCAACCGCAAAGGAGAACAACGACCCTACGACAAAGACCACAATCATCACAAAGGGAAAACGCAAAGGGAACGGCGAACAATCGGCGAAACATCACAAAGAGGCATTGAAGCCTAAAATCGTTGAAAGACAGCTATATTTAGATGTCTTTGGTGTTAAACAAAGGAATGAGATGATTGGCCGGATAAGCTTATGGGACCAAGCTCCCTGGAGAGGGGGCAATTATAAGAGTATTCGGGTCATGCCGGCTATCGCCGGCAGGTCGGGAAATCCTCGGATAACAAGTAGGCCATAGGCCACGTAAAACTCTTTTTCATCGAAGGCTCGCAGAGGCTTCGGCAAGTTAAAGTCACATCAATATATAGAACCTACCTTTTCATCTCTGATATTATCCTAATCGTGCCTATCGGGCCCACACCTTTACATAGGGTCGCCTTTAATTAATATTAAATCGAGGTTTCTAATAATTTTCTTTATTATTATAGGGGTTTTAGAGTTTTTTTTAAGAGAATTATTAATTATTAATCTTAATTATTTAGCTAATATAATTAATAAGGTTATTAAGCCGGTCTTTTTTATAAAATTTAGCCTATATCTCTTTCTTAAGTCTATTAAAGAAAAAAGATATTAGGGGTTCTTAGCCCTAATTAAGCTTCGAGGCGAGCTAAAGGTATTAAATATTATATTTTAATATAGAGCGAGTTTATTAAAATACCTTAATTTCTTTTTCTACCTAGGCCTTTTTATTTATTATTTTAAAAGCTTATTAAAGTATAGCTTTAAAGGTTTTAAAGCTAGAATAGAGGTTTATAGTCTAAGGTAAGTATTTATTAAATAGTTTAATAAGGTATTCTTTTATAATAGGTTTAAATTAGGCTATAATATACTTAGTAAGATACCTAGTAATATATTAGACCTTATTAAATACTATAATAAATTAGGTAAAGTAATAAAATATAAATATATATAATTATATAAGAAATATTAATAATTTATATATAATATTATTAAATTTCTTTAGTTATTCTAGCTTTAAGATTTCTTTAATATCTTTACTTTTTATAATAATAATTATTATATTATTAATATTTTAAATATTCTTATAATATTATTAGTTTTAAGCTTACTAAGTAATAATTATATAATTAATAAGTCCTCTAAGTTCCTTTATTTTAATAATTATAATAATAACCTAAGTATAAAATTACTTAATTTCTTTATTATTATTATTTATCTCTTTATTATTATTAGGGTTAGCCTAAATTAATATAATAAGAATAAATAAGTAATTAATAAATAAAACTTATTAATAATTATTACTAAGAGTAACCTAAGTAATTATTATATTTAATATTATTTAAGGTAATATAAGTAATCCTCTAAATAAGAGCTATTAATATATAATAATTATAGGATTCCTAAGGGATAAATTAATTATATTAGTTTATATTAATAAAGGAGAATATTATATAACCTTAAAGGGGGGTATAATATTATATCTAGTAATATACTTAAGGTATTAAGTATAACTAAGTTATATTAATAGCTAAGGTAATTACTATATAAGAAAGTATAATAAGTATATTTTATATACTTATAGTTAACCTTTAGATTAATATTCTCTAGGTTTAATCTAGGGTAAGACTAATATTTTTAATATTTAGTCCCTAGACCGATATAGGCGATATTTAGTCCCTTTAGTCCCTTGCTTAGTTAGAGTATTTCTATTATATTTCCCCGCCTAGCTTATATTATAGCTATAATATTATTAATAAATTTTTATTATTTTTAAGATTTTTTTTAATTTATTATTAAAATATAATTAATTTATTATTAAAATATAATTAATTTATTATTAAAATATAATTAATTTATTATTAAAATATAATTAATTTATTATTAAAATATAATTATTTTATTATATAATAATATTAAGATTTTTTATTAATAATAAACTTAATATATTTAATTTATTTCCTTAAAAAATATTAAATATTATATTTATAGCTTTTTTATTAAATTTAATAATTTTTTTAATTAATTTTTTAAATTTTTAAATTTATTTAAAAAATTAAATTATTTTTTTTAAAAGTATTATTTATAATTAATCTTTTAGCTAGGTTCTTAAGTATTATTTATTATATATTAATATATTTAATTTAGGCTTATTATAAATTTATATATTTAATAAAATAATTATAAAATTAAATTAAAATAATTTAAAATTTATTAATAAGATTCTTAATTTAAATATATTTAAAAATAAAAAGCTTAATAAATTTAAATTTCTTTTAAAATTATTATTTATTTTTATAACTTATTAATATAACTTAAGTATTTATATTATTATATTATTAATTAAGTTTTAATTTAATTAAAGATATTAAAAGTTTTTATATTAAAATAATAAATATTTTAAAAAAAAAATAAAAAAAAAAAAAATTAATAATAAGCTAAAAGAAAAAACTAAAAAATAATATAACCTCTTATAAGAAAAAGAAAAATAATATCTTATATTATAAGGCTTATCTTTTAGCTATTAGCTTTTTATAGCTATAAAGCCTTACCTTAGGTTTTTAATATTTTATAATATTAAGTTTTAATATTATTATATATCTTTAATTATATCTTTTGCTCTTATAGCTAATAGTAATATTATTAAAAAAATAAAAAAGTAAAAACTTCTAGTATAAGTTTTTAATAGCAGTACGGATTATAGGGACTGTTATTGTTTGAATGCAACTTACTTGCGGAAATACATATTGCTAAAGCATTGGTGGAAGCTGAAACTACCTTGCAGGACTAATACATTGCTACCCTATTGGCAATGATTGGGATGTGTAGCTCACAAGCTAATGTTTGGTTGATTGTAAACGACATTGCTCAATAGCTACATAGATTGGATTGGAACTTACTATGAAGAATATAAGTCTCTTGCGTTGGTATAATTGCTCAAGGTTGATCATTGTTGACATTACTTATTGTGTCTTGGTTCACGTGAGTTCATTCAACTATTATTTCGCCAGCCTATAGCATCTGGCTTCGCAGTTTACAGATCACGATACAAGGCTGGAAACAGATATAAATACATCTTAGTTCATATTATGTTTAGTAGAAGTTAGAGAAGAGAGCTCTGGCCGTGGGTCATCAATGTCTTCCTCACCGTTTTCACATCTTTGCTGTAAGAGATTGCCATTGGACAGGCTGGAAAAATCACAAACAGACTCCATTGGACCTGGAGCTCGGTTATGTCTGTGGCATTCGCGCTACGGAGTATTGCTCCACGCTTGTTTTTTACCCGAAGGCGAGCAAAGGCTTCCGCTTACAAAATCGGAATAGCAGTATGTTAAAATTGGGATCAAAGTGCGCGTGGACTCGCTTGGACGTAATATGGCGCTCCAGACGACAAAGAAACAATAAATTGTTTGAAGCTATTGGCAATAGTCTGCGGTAGGCGTGAGTTGGCGCCCCCAGACACGGCAATTACTCCACTTCAACGGGGGGACCATGGGCAGCTGAGCTTATCGGCGCTTCTAGACTCTGATGACTGCTGTTACGCCACTAACAGATGAATGCGACAGGCTAGGCAAAATCTGTTAGGTCCGGTCCAACCACCAGACTGCATGGATTGCTCCCTTGGCACTTTGGTCGAGAACTCAACCAACAAAAACAACATCCACCAACCAACATGATATTGATGCAGCGGGACAGGAGAGGGAGGCAGGGTTTGAATAAAGAAATTTAACTACAAATAACAATAAAATTTCCCAAATCTGTGCTGTGCTTTTGTCACGACAAGCTTTCTTTCTTGTATTGGCAATTATTTCCTTGACCAAGAATCAAGATGAAGTTTCAAAACGTTGTCGTCTTATTCACTGCTGTTGTCTCAGCCACAGCGCCGCCGACATGCAAGAATTCCGCTCCCTCGTACTGCAAGTACACTTCAAATCGCGACGCAAATGAATGTCGGCGACTATTTGGTAAGGCCCAGTTACCAACGATGTTTTCCCATCCTTACTCACTATCTCGTCTTCAGCCAAGAGCTATATCAACGTCGCAACATGCCAGCTTCCAGCAAAGACCGTTACCTCAACTCGTACCCAATGCGCTACCAGAGTTACCACCAAGACTGTGGCGCCGCCACCAAGAACCACCAAGGTGTACAAGACCATCACCAAGACTGGCAAGCCGTATGTCCCTCTTATCCGTCACATACCATTCATAGGAAAAGAGAATGGAAGCTCCTGATTTGTACTGGGCTGATTGATAACCAGTACGACTCTGCCAACTATCACCGTCACCACGACGTCAACCAAGATCGACACAACTGTTTTGACTGATAGTACCACAACCGTTGACTTGCGCACAACTACCGAGTTTCAAACCAATCGTGTCAGGTCCACCAGAACTATTACTAGGTATGTTTATGAAAGTCAATTCTCCATCAGATCTAACATCATCACAGTACCAAAATCATCACTACTACCGTTCCGTTTGACGACCAAGTAGTTTGCACTCGCAAAAAGCGAGCACTTGGGAAGTCATTGCCAACCTCATGCTGTAAGCCAATGTCCAACCTTCCTCTATACTGACCTATGCTTACGATTGTCATAGCTTGCTTCCTTACCACCACTAAGCCTGCAGCCACCAAGACTGCCATTGTTACCAAGAACAAGCCTGCTGTTACCCACACGGTATACAAGTTTGGCGGACCCCGAAAGGTCATCTCTCGAACCATCACTATTTTCCGTTATGTGGCTGGCCCAACTGTATCAGCTCCTGAGACCACCACAACTAGCACAGCTACTGTCACCCAAACCGACCATACTCTCACCACCGTCACAGATTCTCAGATTACAACTGCTACCGAGGTCGAGGAGGTGACTGACATTGTTGTTCAAACCAATACTGAGACCGCCACTGCTACGGCTACCAAAAGCCCTTGCGACGATGCTGGAAGTTGGGACCCTATACAGCAGGAAATTGCAGGCTCCAGCATACAAGTTACCACTTCCAAAGACGCGCTCGGACCTGATGCTGTAAAGTCGTGTTGCCAGTCTTGCTACGCAAGACCTAATTGCGTATTTTTCAGAGTTGGTGGCAACGTTTGCGAGGTCTTTAGCAGCGTGCCTAGCTTCAGTGACTCCTGCACCTCGCCTCTCTGCCCACGAGGCTTCCCTTCTCTGAGCTTTTACGAGCCAGATGGGAAGGATTACTACCTGGGGCCATGTATTGGAACGAGTGGCGCCTAGACGCATCTTTATCTGCTACATGGACATTTGCCTAGAGTCTTGGTCCACTTCATCACGCAATAGAATTGATCCTTCTTTGAACACGACATTCATGTGATAGAAAGCCCATGTGACGATTCGTTATACTTAGGGCGTCCAAAGTGCCTAGTGTAGCCCTTTAGGTTCTCTGGTGAATATATCTGTGGCAATCACTTACCACTTTCTATATCACGACCAACGTGGATAGCAACCCAGCGAGGAGTTTATGCAGGTTGCTTTTGCCTGCCCCACAGCATACCCGAGGATAAAGATAACTTTAATTCACAAGGATTTTTTATATTTCTGTTTTAAGCGGGTAATTACACTTAGGGATATAAATTGTATAATAACAGTGCTGATAATAAAAGCGGTAAACCTAAGATGCCTCCTCTGCGCTATTCTCAGTCCTGTCAGGTCTCTTGGAGAATCTTAGCACTACCGATAATAATTGTGAGAGCTGCAGGGTGGTTCAGTGAAAGGAATTTCGAGATTCCAGTATCTTTTCAAGTTGACCCTTTCTATCTACAACACACCTGATAACGCCGCCCGACCCTTCCCCATAATCCCGTGACGAAACCACATCATCTCTCTCGCCTTTCGGCCCATATACCGGCCTTCAACTTCCCTGTCTGTCGCTTTCTTCAACTTGCCCAATTCCTGGCCTAAGAAGTGGCCGCTTGGTATGTCGCTCCGAGCTTCGATGCTGTAACGAACTTGTCCTTGTAATCATCCAAGTCGACCAGCCTTTTTCTTCTCGAGATCCCTATACGCTATTGATAGAGCCCCTTTCCATGACCACACACTGACTTTGTACCCATAGTTGATGATCTTCTTCACGGCAGGGCGCATATCCCTATCGCCTGAGACAATCACAAATTCGATCTGGGTATCCTTCAGCCTCTCATGCAAGGCCCTGGCAGCCTCCGCCACCGAATCGGCCACAAGCCGCGTGTCTACCTCCTTCTCGGCGTTTTTCTTCTTCTTCTTCCTCTGGTTCTTTGTCTCCTTCTTCTCGTCGCCCAACTCCTCTTTAGTATCCAGGGGATGGGGTTTTTTCAGCTTGTGAACCTTAGCGTGTTCATTCTTCCAAAGTTCCTTGAGATCGTCTGGAACATAACCGTAGATGTGGACTTCGACATGATGACTACCCGTCGTCTCCGTGCCCACAGTGTTTGAGGTAAGGAGGGACGTAAAGGACTTCACATCATACCTCCAATCTTGATCCCCAGTCGCTATCTTGCGAGAAATCCAAAAGTTGGAGTGGTCGATGTAAACGTATGTGTTTCTCTTGTCTTCATCATTGGAGATCTTGCCGTTAGGGGAAGGAGAAGGTGGAGGCGAAGGGGGGAGCATGGCGTCAGGCCTAGGTTGAATCTTAGGACGAAGTATGTGCCAGGGCTTGGAGGAAGGCGCAGGAGGAGTGATTTGATGAAGGCCTTTGCACAAAGCCTTCAAGTATGGCTGATCTTCGTACAAGCTGAGCATGTCGAGCCGTCGGGTGAGAGTGTGAGTGATGGTTGTAATGTGAGCAGGTGATTTAGTTCAAATATTCACGGTGCTTATTCCTATTTATCCTTTTTCCGAGACAGAAGTGTCACTGCATAGCCCAAAATATCCAGCACAACAGATACAGCGGTTCTTTGTTGTATCTAGACGACCTGTGCGGCCTTTTTCTGTTGCATGGAACCAATCTCCTTTATGATGATTGAGTGGATTAAGACATGTCCAATCGCTCAAAGCCACGAATTTGGGCTTCAACCCAGATATGGATACTCAAACAGTAGTTATAGAGTGTCGCTGTATAGCGTATCCAACTAACAGACAAGCCGCGTGACGTCAAAGGCTTGTGCGGTTCGTATGAAGCATTGTTCATGGAGGAGTGACACGCATGACACCTCTACCATACATATCGTGTGATATGAGAAGCGTCTAGAGTATTCAGAACGGTCCCCTTTATCTGCTACTCACGTGGCAATTCAAGAATGCACTTGTTTCATTTGATTATGCGCTGGCGTTGGGCCTTCTTTGCGGGCGTCATGCAGTTGGCGTATAGCGTATATTACATGTCAATAATTCACTAGCACCTGATGTTGTCTTTGTTCTTCATTCCCGCAACATTCAACAGGAAAGGGACCCTTTGAAGAAAGCTGATCTGCTGACTTTCCTGATGGCTCAAAAGACGAAATCAAAATTTCGAAAGCAGACTTTAGTCAGAACTACCAGCTAAGTTATACCTGCTAGCATTACCATTCCTTCAGCCATCCACGAGTTACTGTCCGATGATTGATGCATCTCCCTCACCCCAAATGGCCTTCATGTGAAACTTTGTCATCTTCCAAAGCCCATCACTCTTATCCTTGATCAGATCAATCCAGTACAGGTTGCCCGTCAAGAAACGCTCTGCCCCTGGCTTCCATCCCTCATCCTTGCGATAATGCTGAGCCAAAGCATGGGCAGTCATCTTTGCAGTGTCTGCACCGTCCTTCAAGTCAATTCGGACGTTGCTCACCATGTGAGTCGTGTCGAGCCCGACGCCAATGAGCTGGAAGGTGGTGTTCAGGATGGCCGCAAGCCCCTCGATAGGAGGTGTTCCGTCAAAGATGAATTGGGCGTCCTGGTGCCAGGCTGACTCAAAGATGGTTTTGTCGTTGGCGTCAAGGCCGATGATGCTGCGGTAGAGGGCATCAGGGATGGCTTCACGGTCTGAAAGATTGAGGTTTGCAGCGAGGCTAGCCATGGTGACAGTTGACGATGCAAGGGTTTGAAGAGGTGAGTATGATTCTGAGAAACTGCTGGTTCTATTGGGTTGTCTGAGTAGACTGAGATGAACGATTTCTATCTGCTTTAGGTTCAGAGGAAACGAGGTGCTTTATAGTTTTCTTCTTCATGTTGAATCTCATTCAAACAGAGCAACTCATCTATATGGACCGGACATACGGCACAGCCGCGACCCAAAGCAGCATAGCTTAAGCGCAGTCGACCAAGAAAGGCTAGATAAATTTAGTGCTGACGGTTGTCTCGATTAGAGTAGATATGCAGTGTGGGTGCGGGAGCTGGGGAGCCCCTGTCATCAATACATCCAAGGAGCACTACAATGCTTGAAGCCTACCTTAGCCCCAAGGCCCAATGATGTGTGTTGAATTGGTTGTTCATGATTGGACATCTTCTGATGATAAAATGCAGCAGCGTTGCAATAGGATTCCGGCATGGAGTTGATCCGAGTTGGCTGTTCTACCAACACCACTGAGGCTCGTTCACCCCGCTTTGGCAATCAACCTGCGCAACCGCTGCTATCTTGCCCTTCATCGATTCTACCAACTCACTGTACCTCTTTGCCCATGTCTGGATCAAGAACAAAGACTGGCTGCTGGACCTGCCGCTTGCGCCGTAAGAAATGCGACGAAAACAAACCGGCTTGCGTTAACTGCACCTCGCGAAATCTAGAGTGCTACGGCTATGACCAGAAGCCCGAGTGGATGGTTGGAAAAGAGAGTTGGGAGCATGTTCTTAACTCCGATGAAGCGAGAGCTATCAGGAACGCTGCAGAGAAAGCCTATAGCCGCCGGAGGCAAAAGAATACCCACGCACCCCCTTGGTCCGCTGGTGTCATTGTCCAAGATGTCAAGGAACTCGGTCAGCCAGTGCGGGTATGCCACCCCTTGCACTCAAGCGCCATACTTGACCGCACATGGTCTAACTGCGCGCAACCTCTGCGAGATTGCGATTATTCGCCGAATTACCAACACGTACAAACCTTTCTTAATGTCATCTTTCCTCTCCAGTGGGGTTTCTTTGGTCTCTGCAGGCAGCCTGATCGCAGATGGCTCTTTGACACCATCATGGCCTCGGAGCCCATGTACCATGCATCTTCGGGCTTATGCATATCATTCGAGACGGGCGCAAAAGCTGGCTTCACGAACGGCACATGCTATGTCACGCCCGAGGTTCGAAAATTACGGCTACTTGCAGTACAAGGACTTCAACCTTGTATCGCCGAGTTGCAGCAACAACACCCACAAAATTCGTCATTGCTCAAGGCGGTTCACGCTGTTGCAATTATTCTGCTCCTTTCAAGTCTTGAGATCTATGGAGAAACCGAAGGCACATGGGAAGTGCATCTCAATGCTTGCGGGACAGTCTTGGACTTAGTTGAGCGACAACTGGTCACATCGAACAATGCCAGTGCCATAGGGGAGCTTCTTAACAACTCCACGTCGTCCTTTGAGACTCGAGCACTAGGACTCTTCGTCGCCACATTCGTTTGGACCGATATCTTAGCAGAGGCAACACATGGAAGCAGCTACACTAAGCCAAGGAAGTTTGATTACCTCGCTCTACTCCAAAACGATGCCATCGACATGCGAAACATAATGGGGTGCCGAAATTCGGTCATGATCTCCATCAAAGAAGTCAGCTTATTGTCTATCTCGATGCAGAAAAACCAGCAACCTGAAGCAGCCGAAAAAATGCAGGCTCTCGCTCTTGGCATCCGGCAGTTGATACAAGAGGCAGCCTGCACATTCACAAGCTCGCATCAAGGTCTCGAAGAGGACAGCTGCTGGGTCACACTTCTCCATGCATGTGCCGCTTCAGTCTACTTGCTAACTGTCGCATCCCACGAGAGCCTTGGAAGTGACTTGGAGATGCAAGAGGCGATAACAAAATGCCTCGAATTATTGGAGGCGTTGCCCCCGCACCTTTTCATCCGAGTCTGCTGGCCATTCACAGTCGCGGGGTGCATGGCAGGCGAGCACTACCACCCAAGATTCCGAGCAGTAGTTCGACGTGTAGAAGAGTCAGGGAACGTGCTAGGGTTTACATGGAAAGGCCTCATTGTCATGGAAGAGTGCTGGCGGCTGCGACGGCGCAAGCCAGAGTCTGCTTGGTGTTGGCGAACGACCATGGAACACATGCAAGCACGAATATTGTTGATTTAATTTCTAATTGGCGTGTAACAATTGAAGAGTATGTTTTTATGCAACCTTCACTACAATTCCATACCCAAGCCACCTGGGGAGGGGATTGCTTCACCTCCATCTTCATTATCCGAAAGTGGCTGAATCTCTCAGGTGAGGACGCCTTGGGTATGCCTGCATGTTTACCGACCAAACAAAAGGGAAGGCCTCAGCCACACTGTTTCAATCCTCAGGCAGCAAGGTAAGTTAACCGCCCAACACCTCGACAGATCACATCAGGCTGCGCGGTACATCTTTGTACTCAGTTCTTTCATCCCCCTTCAACATCAACTAAACACAAGCTCAGAGACCAAACAACACTTCAGTCACTCGAAATGTCGGGTCTTGAAGCCTTGGCGGCCTTTTCGCTCGCTTGCAATGTCATGCAGGTCGTTGAGGCCGCCTACAAGACAGTCGGCACTTGCAAACGCATCTACCAAACTGGACAGCCTGATCCGGCACTCAGCGACTACAGCAGACAACTCCGCAGCATTTCAGATGCGTTAGAAACACAGCTTAAAAAGACCGTGGGCCCTCTATCCGCGGATGACACTCGACTTCGAGACTTGGCCGTCCGATGCACAACCATTGCCAATGGACTGCAGGACCAAATCGCATCACTGTCAAAGCCAGCTGGGAAAGGAACCATCGGCTCAAGTATCCGACTCGCCATCAAGAGCAGATTGAAACAAAGCGACCTCAATCGTTGGGAGAAGGACCTCGCAAAGGCCCAATCTGCCATGGAGACTCAGTTGCTTGTCAGCCTGCGGCAACGTGTAGACGCCAACATGTTGCAGAATGACAAAATGGATCGCGACCTCAAGTACTTCATCCGCCAGCTGGCAGACGGCCAAACAAATGTTTCAAACTTGATTCTCAGACAGACTTGCGAAATCAAGGACGAGATTTTGGAGGCTGGGGCGTCGACAAGGACACACATCACCACCGAATTACTCCACACCGACAACCGCATGCAGAACCACGTATCCAAGGCCGTGAATAACGTTCAAGGCGTTATTGAGAGGCATACGCAAGAGGATAGTGCTTCTCGCACCCAGGAAGAGGCGTATCGGCATCTTCTCAGCAGTCTCAAATTCCCGGAAATGGAGACCAGGCGGAACCATGTCGCTCATGCTTCTTCCGAGACGTTTCGCTGGATTCTTGATTCTCAAGACTCCCAGTGTGAAGAAGGTCCTAAATCTCGGAATTGGGACAGTTTGGTTGAGTGGCTTCAATCATCCCAACCCGTGTACTGGATCAGTGGAAAGCCAGCATCGGGGAAAAGTACCGTCATGAAGTTCATCTTGGGCCACAAACAGACGGGGCTGTTATTGCGGCAATGGCAAGACAATGTCCGCATACTTTCACATTTCTTCTGGAAGCCAGGCACCGAGCTTCAGCAGAGCATCAAAGGCCTCCTCTGTTCACTCCTGCATCAAGTATTCGTCCAAGACAAGTATCAGGCGTTATCATACCTCAAGGCACGGCAAGGAATATGCTGGAAAGATTCACCGTCAGACTGGGATCCAAAAGAGCTCCAAGCTTTGCTGATCGACAGCTTCCAGCATCCCTCGGCGGCTTTTTGCCTATTCATCGATGGCCTTGATGAGGTCTGGCCCGAAGACGGGGTCCAGAATCTCTTTTCAGTACTTAAAACACTTCTTGAGAAAAGAAATCGTCTCAAACTCTGTGTCTCGAGTAGACGGGAACATCTGCTGGAAACCCGTCTCCACGATTACCCTCAGCTACGAATGAATGAATTGATTCAGAACGACCTCATGAAATATGCTACTCAGGCCTTAAGCGAGGCATCAGCTCACGCAGACCTTGACAGCGGGGATATGGAACATATGATCAACGAAATTGTTCGGGCGTCTGATGGTGTCTTTCTCTGGGTTGTCCTTGTGAGCAAGTCGTTATCCAGAGGGCTGCAAAACGGCGACTCTCGCAAGGAGCTATTTCAGCGACTCGACTCTCTCCCACGCGACCTCGAGGGCTTGTACCTGGACATGTGGCTCAGGCAGAATGGAGATGACGAAATCTATCGCAAGTCATCTGCAAAGTTGTTTTATCTCTCCCTGGTCGGGTTGGGGTGGAAAGAGAAGCCGCCATTTGGGCCAGATTTACAAGTTTTTCAACTGATGGACGCAATGAATGATGAGAGCCCGGAAGATCATCTGATACATCATCCTTATCCACTTGAAGAATTCGAAAAAAGATACCAAACGACTGCCAAGATGATTCAGATCAGGAGTGCTGGTCTTCTAGAGGTACACAAAAAGCCCCGATATTACCGCCCGTTTTCCAACTCGGTTTCTAGAGACACTGTTGGGTTCATTCATCGATCCGCCCAGGACTTTCTCATTGAAACCCAGCAGGGGCGAGCTGTGTGGGCAGACCATGGGATGACTTATGACATAGCTTGCACCAAGCTTTATCTATCACGGATGGCAACTCACTTTTATGACGTGGTCGAGCCATCTAAAGTACTTTTCTGGAGACTCTGTTCCATGCTCCGTCTGCTTGCAGGACATTGCCACCTCCTCGAGTCCGGTACCATACGTCACTGCCTTCAGGAGACGGCCAAACTGTGGCCCCGCTTCAACACATCTGCAGTTGAGCGGGATCAGACTATTCGCGGTCGCCGTGACATGTTGGTGGAGGCGAGCCGTTGCGGGTTTTCTGACTACGTGTCCGAGCAGCTATGTGCAGAGCAAAACGAATCATCGGGCGTTCCACTACTCTTTCTGCATTTGACTTGCACCCATGGCTGGATGGGATGGTTGGATCCGGGCTGGAGTGAAGCGGCACAACTTCGTGTGCTAGAGGGTCAATGCCATCTCCTGCGTCTCTTCCTCGACAAGCTGGCGTCCCGAGACCCCAAGACATTTACCTTGCCGCCGGTGGGAGATGGTGGCCCATGCTCCAGCATTTCTCGGACTCTGGGCGGTTTTCTCCTATTCATCCGAGAGAATATCCACAGAGTTGGCCCAGCATCTGCCCAAGCTCTCTTGGACACATTGGGGGCATTTGATGGAACTCCTGTTGATCTAACCAATAAGCTGCTCCTAAATCTCGATTGGAGAACTACGAGTAACTTGGTCGTGTCATATCTCAAGGTGTCGCTCTTCGAGCCCGCAGCTACCATCAGCCCGAGAACTAATCGTGTCCAAGTTGAAATCTCCCTCGGTGACTGGGTAGATGCGACTCGAAACAACCTCCATGTGCTGATCGCTGGTCATGGCCCCGTCACCGAGGATAAGTCAGGTGCCTCACACGTGCGATTTGTGAGTTTGATCACCAAAAACAGGGACAAAGACATTTGCAGATACACCCCCGACGAAAGCCAGGTGGACCATCTTTCACACATGGCCCAGGAGCTGCTCTACCTTCCATTTATACTTTCGGGCTATAACGACGTATACGACGATACATCGTATAAAGCCTTTTACGATAAGGTAACATCCTTAAAGGAAGGCTAGGCCGAGTCCGTTTTGAACCCGCAGATGCAGTAGGAGATAGCATAAGATTTCTTAATCGACTATAGCATAAAAATTAGATAATATGAGACAGAGTTATTAAGTTAAAATTGTCCGGATATCCTGAACTTATAGCGCTCCTCGAGAGTAGAGGTTCCCACGGATCAGGGCCTTTCCTTCCCTGGGCATAATGTAACTAAAATAAGCCAAAAATACAAGCGCAAATCCCTAAAAAGAAAATCAAGATGCCTATGTATGGGAATCTTATGTAAATATGCTTCCGCCTGGGCTTGAACCAGAGGCCTTCGCATTACAGAACACTCTGATGGAGTATTAGTACGACGCTCTAACCAACTGAGCTACGGAAGCGATCAACCGTTGTTGACGTCATTGGCGGATGTTAGGTCGCAGTACCTAGACCAGGGTGGACTTGGCAGTTAGGCTTCCAGACCTACCCTGAGGTGCTGATAGCAAATTTTACAAAATAGTTTAATAAAACATCTATACAGAGTGCTAGAAAATTAAACCAATTAAAGAGCGGAGGAAGGATAACGCATCCCTTCTCTTGGCAACAGCTACGGCGTAGGCCAAGGGGGAATAACTGGATGATTACGTAAGCCTCTGATTGGCATATGAGTGGTTTGCCCGTTCATGTTGAATCCTCCCCAATCTCATCTCACCTTTTCATCTGATCTGCGTTGTACTCCGCATGGACTCACCTCGTTTATCTTGGTCAGACTATGTCATTTTGTGTTTTATTAAGAAACCTTCAGGCGCCTTTTACCTCTTGAATAAGATGCGACTCCTCCACACCCGGGACCTCCAACTTGAGACCTTTATCGGCAAGAAAACTCCAGGGTATGCCATTTTGTCACATACCTGGGGAGACGATGAAGTTCTCTTCCAAGACCTCGACTCTGGGCCTGTTCATGATTGGCGAGAGCGGCGCGGTGCTTCCAAGGTTCTAGGTGCTGCTGCACAGGCAGCGTCAGACGGTTACACCTACATCTGGATTGACACCTGTTGCATCGATAAGAGTAGCAGTGCAGAACTTTCAGAGGCCATCAACTCTATGTATTCCTGGTATAAACGCTCCAGAGTTTGCTACGCATATCTCGAGGACATACTTATACCTGATGCTAAACTTCTTGGGCTCAGCCGTTGGTTCACGCGAGGATGGACTCTTCAAGAGCTCATCGCGCCAAGCGAGGTTCGATTCTTCACCTCTTCCTGGGAGTTTCTTGGCAGCCGTGACCAGTTGGCAAAATCAATCTCTGAAATTACCCGCATCGACCGGCACGTGTTGAAATTTAGTCAACAGACTCCGCTTGAGGCGTATCCCATCGGTCAGAGAATGACTTGGGCTGCTGGACGAACCACGACGAGAACAGAGGACATGGCGTACTGCTTGTTGGGGCTGTTTCAGGTCAACATGCCACTGTTGTACGGTGAGGGACGCAAGGCGTTTCGAAGGCTTCAGGAAGAGATTTTGAAGCAATCCACATGGAAGGATCATTCGATTTTATTGCACAGGGAATCGGGTCACATCTTTGCATCACAGCCGTCTTCTTTTGACATTGGCTACAAACTCCATCGATGGACAGGCCGAACAGACATTGGGATGGTCCAAGATGGTGTCGAGACCGCACTTCATGTCCAGACGGTTTACTCAAGAGGGGAGCCCCATGGCGCTGAAGAACTGGTATCATTGGCGGTCCTAGATTGCCGTATCGACGAGGGCACGGGATCTTTTGCCCGGCCTGTGATTGTATTGGCTCTCATGAACGGCTACTACCGCCACCAAGCCTCGGGTTTGATGATGATAAGACCCGAAGCCGAATCTGAGGTGGTGGAAATGGCGGGGACTCACAAGCCACTCAACTTTCACCATGAAAGACCGTTGAGCCTATTGGGAGGTTTGTTATTCAAGACCTAACAATCAATGCGTGAACGCTAATTGGGTGGTGCAGTGAAGGTAGATCTCGCGAAATTTGAGCGAAAGTCGATCACTCTTCGACATTATGACCTTGATAGATATACGGATAGTCGTCAAAGAATCTTCCAAATACGATTAGGGAAGATAGCCCAACCTGAAATGGGGCAGAAATATGAGTTTGGGCCCCGTCGTATGTCGCCACACAAGGAGATTCTGAGCATCAAACTCTCGAGCTGGGCTACTGTTTTTGTCCATGCGGCAATATTCCTCAATGCACCCCAGGACGGAGGCTTGTGTTCCCACCTCCTGCTTGCCGGGTCCCTATCCAACGCCCAGGAAGGATACGGTGTCCTATGGCACCGTATCATTCCAACGGGGCCTATTCTCGAAAACAAGCTCAGAGATTGGCAAGGAGACGACATCAAAGATCTCTACTCGGAACTATTATCGGCTGATTATCTCGAACCACTACTGCAGGAATTTCACTACGATAACTCGGGTAGGGACCTCGATGTGAGAAACTACTTCGGCCTGAAGGAATATTCATATGTTACTAAAGATGGTGATACAATCAAACCACACCTTCAGTTTGTTGAGTTTCTTGGGGATTCCTTGTATGAATTATCGGTCACAGTCAAACGATCAGAAGAGGGAGAGGAGACGCCAAATATAGGGATTTTTTAAGTCATGCATATTTTTCATACCTTACTCAGGATGTTAATAACAGCCGCCGGACCGGGCTGGAGCCAGCATCCCATCCTTGACAGTTTGACATCCTTTGAACTTAACAACATGGACCTAACTATAGACTATTACGGGAGTCCTTGCTGGCGGAGATCATTCAACGCCATTGAGCTTATGACGATCCTGCGTTTTCGCATGTGCCTTCACTGTGTGGCCTTTCGGATCTCTACATATAAGTGAAGATGGCCTGATGGTCTACTTGAATTCTGGAGAACCAGATCTGGCCACAAGACTAATATCGGAAGTTCGGAACGAAAGTGGGATCCGTGGCGACCTCACAGTGACTTGGCCGCTTAACTTGGAGGCCAACGCAGACTCTCTTGGTGCCAGCATGGCCGTGTACTTATTTGATGACTTCTCTTCAATCGCTACCGAATTATATCCAGCGTAAAGCGCCCAATCGAGTCTGCGGTACCAGTTCGCCGACCGATCTGCACCCTGCGAGACGGCCCGTCGGTTAAGACCCTAATGGAACCTTCCGCTTGCGATTGAGGGCGAGTGGCACTGGGACCTTGGGCCGAGACTGGGGTTGCCTTTTGATCCTCCTGCCAGTTAGGCGAATCCTTCGGAACACCAACTTCCTCGTATGAGAACTCGGCATTAATGGATGCCTGTTGCGTGCAGGAGCATTGGCTAGACTTTGAAATATATCTTGGCGAAGGACATGCAGCGCAGGGCCTCGTGGCAAGCAAACGAGTGGTGCTGGTACGAGTGAGTTCCGCCACTGGACCATCTTATCATACATATCCATTTCCGGGGAATGCCAAGCCATGGGTGTGGAGATTGATATGGCCTGAAGATCGCTTACACAGAAGAGGAATCCATCATTATTGGCCTGTGACTTGATGGCTTGAAACTTCACAACGAGTGCAGTGTTGCACGAGAGTCCGCCTATGGTGAGGAGTTCATTACCTTACCGAGTAGCAAGCAGGGATGTCTTCTTCAACTTCCTCTTTCGAAATGAGAAGCATGTATATGCATCCTTTGGAGAATCAGACCTCTTCTCGCCAAGGTTCAGAGAAATTTCAGGTTCGGTTAACGTGAACCGAGAGGATATAAAACCACCACGTTGCTCGTCATCAGGCTCTTGTCCCAGCACAACACTGCACCACCTCAGGCCCTCCCTCTGTGTGCCTTCTGACTCAGTTCCCCGAGCTTCTGCATTCTCTAAACATATCCTTCCTTCGGTCTTTCATCCTTGACCTCATCATGCGACCTCTTCCCTTACTGGTGGCCCTCCTACCTTCTCTGGGTGGAGCGGTAAAGTTCGAACTCATCAAGGGCACCTGCGACACTGGCTTCCATCCCGAAGTCCCGGGATCGTGGTCCTACGGCCTTATCAAGCGTGTCGGCGACGACGGATGCAAGGGCTGCAACCTCTCCATGGAACGCAAGGACGGCGTGTGGTACGGACGCAGCCCATGCAACCCATGCAACGGGGGTATTATCTACGAGTTCGTGCCCAACGGAAGTGGAAGGAACATCTACCGGGCGGGAAATCGGAACAAGATCATTGGTCATTGTGAGGGGAGAAACGGTCCCAACTCGGTCTGCAACGGCTGGAGCTATTCCTGTTCAGGCGCGATCCATTACCTCTGCTCGGTCGACGAGTGTTAAATGGGAGCGTACACAATGTACTGAGAATCTGCATTGTATGTATTATCCATCATAAGATCTTCACAAGCCGCTAACAGAGCAAGTGGCAGGATTTTCAGTAACACCTTGAGGGGGTCTTGAATACATAGGGGCAGGCATGACGTGATGTCGCTTCTAGCTTTATCATTACGACTACAAAATGCAAGATTTTCTGTATCTTAACAATATAGATGTGACGAAAGAGTGGTATGCTTATTGTTGTTTACCTGGAGTACTTGATAAGTGAGCGGCGCAGACAAGCGATCGGCACACTTTTTCCAATCTGTAAGGGGAAAACGCCAGCATTCGGGAGCGAGCTATTGGCGTATCTTTCACTCGGTAAAGAGGCCTCACATGTCCTGATTGAGCAGCAGTCTAGACCTCAAGGTGCGCCAAATGGTCTCGAAAAAGATCGATAGCCAGCCGCAAAGCAATAGCGTCTTCGTTAGTGCCGGATCAAGTTCCACAGCGGCGCCCCCCGCGAACCATCTAGACCTAGCAACGGGTGCGGGCCGTTGCTTAGTGGCGGGTCAAACTGCTAGGAAAAGCAAGGGTTCTCGTTTACAGCCAGCCATGTTGCAGATAGGAGGAAGCTGAAGAGAAAGTCTAGAGCTGCCAAGCGTGAGACTATCGGAAGATGTCCCTTTTTAGACGACAACAAGACTATATAAAATCTTGGATCGAGCCCAGTCCAGTTTTCCTCAAACCATCACAACTCGCTCTCATCCTTTTTCCATATTTATACCTCCACCATTCATCATGCTTACCGCCTCCGAGTTGGAAGAACTCCCCGTTCTCCCCGGCGACACCACTGCTGAGTTTCCTGCGGGAACCTACGCCGTCCCCTGCTACAAGAAGAAGGAACTTGAGGGTACTGGTCCCGAGATTGAAGATACCATCTGGTTCCATACGCAGGTATGCCAGCCTAACCAGACCTTTCTCTGCTCATGTTAATCGTCGGCCAGCCCCTCGATGCACACACCATCGAGCGAATCCACAGCCTCAGGCTCATAGCCGAGTCCCGTGATCAAGGTGAATGCGATGATGAACTTGCCGGCAACTGGACTTGGTTCGAGATTGCCATCCTCAAGAACAAGTACTCGAAGCAGCCTAGAATCAAGGACGGCATCAAGCTTGTTTGGGACAGTCACAAGAATCGCTTCCTAAGCAAGAAGTATGATTGGGTACGCTACTGGATGAGTTGCTTTTTAAAAAAAAAATCGAGAGACAGAACTGACAATCCTTAGGAGGAGGGTGCCGAGTTTACCAAAGATCATGACATTTTCCGACTTCTCGAGGTAAGCCTTCATCCTTCTGTCAACAGCTTGGATTGACTTGATGACTGACTTTTGCGAAGGAGGGCAACTGCATCGCAGTTCGTCTATGTGCCCGTTTCCCGGGTTGGAAAATCAAGGCCCGAACAGGTTATCTGGTCCTCGACATTGCTGCGCCGGTTGCTCGAGATCCGCTCGAGTTTGGCCAGACAAAGGAGACGGTCCTCAGCATCCAGGAGGTCTTCCAGGAGGTTAACAGCAGCATGTTCTCGGACTCGATGCAAATATCTACGCCTCCCAAAGATCTTCTGTTCCGTGCTGAGATGTTGACGTCGGCCGGTGATAAGCCCCTGCGTGTTTTGTCGCTAGGTAAGATACAAACATAGTGTCCGTTCCATTACCGCCGCTAATTTGTACAGATGGTGGCGGTGTTCGCGGTGTTGCGGCTCTGATGCATCTCGATGCCATCATGAAGAAGCTTGCTCCAGGCAAGAAGCCATGCGAGGTGTTTGACCTGATCGGCGGTACCAGCACAGGAGGGTATGTTATTTCTATTCTACTCTTCTGTTGAGTCAAGGCTAATGTCGTCGCCAGCTTCATCGCCATTATGCTTGGACGTCTGCAAATGACAGTCAAAGACTGCCTTGCTAGCTACAAAAAGTTCATGAACATTGTCTTCTCTTCCAAGCGGTGGACAAAGGCTAGTCTGATCGCTACTGGCTCCAAGTGGGACGCCAGCGCTCTGGAAGGTTGCATCAAGGATCTTGTGAAGGAGCAGCTCGGTCGAAACCCTGATGATGTGCTTCTCCTTGACGAGGAGTCTTCAAAGACCTGCAAGGTGTAAGTGGCTCAAAGCTTCTCGTCTTTTTGGTGGTATGGCGCTGACAAGGTATGATAATGATAGATTCGTGATGGCCACAAAGAAGGACGGCGCAAACAACCAAGCACCCATGGTCTTCCGTTCCTACGAGAACCCCCTGGAAAAGTCGGCTCTTCCAGGAATCAAACTGTGGGAGGCGGCTCGCGCAACTTCTGCCGCTCCCATGTATTTTGCTCCCCTCAAGGTTGATGGCCACGAGTTCCTCGATGGTGGGCTCCAAGCCAACAACCCCCTTGGATGGTGAGTCAATCACTCTCCTGTGTAGATATAGCTAGAGTCTGACATTTCTAGGTTGTGGAACGAAATTCTTAGTGTCTTTGGCCCTGCTCGTTCAACAAACTGCTTCCTCAGCATCGGAACCGGCATCCCAGCACCCAAATCAGTCGGCGACGTGCGCAACGTGAAAGGTTTCGCCGAGAGCATCGCCGGCATCGCCACCAACAGCGACATCACAAACATTCTCTTCCGCTCTCTCATCAACGCCTTTGCTCCCAAACCGATGGGCAAGAAGTACTGGAGGTTCAACGTCGGCGACGGACTTCCCGACTACGTCGAGGAGGATGGCGTGTGGAAGTGGAAGATGCTTGGACAGCGGGTTGAGGAGGATATTGGAGAGTTGGACGACGTCAAGGCCATTGACCGGACTATTACCAACGCAGAAAAGTATATCTTGGAACCTGGTGCGCAGAAGATGATTGAGGAGTGCGCCAACGCCTTGCAGGAGGAGCTCTAATGGAAGTTATTTCACTCCATTCCATACCCAAAGTCCGTGGTCTTTGTATAGGTAGATCAAGGCAGCTCTATGTAATAGATGATTTCAAATGTTTCAAAGTGGGAGCTCCTGGGACGTGCAACTAAGCAACTGGCATCACTCTTGTTAGTTTTACGTAGCCAAGTATCTTTCCATGTGAGCTGAAAGAAGGGTTGCATTCAACGTAAGAACAAAGAAGACTGTATTCATAGAATATCATACGCAAAAAGAATCACCCTCTCAAGTGACAAGCAGGCACTATCTTCACCACCGTATCGTTCCTTACATGAATCCCCTCCATATCTCCCTCACCACTGCTCGAGCTCCGCGAGCTGCGCGGGTGAGAAGATATAACCGTCTGGATCGGCTCAGCCCCATGTCCCTGCTCCAGATCCGCTAGCTGATGCGTCGAGCTTGACTCGTCGTTTCCCTTCTCCTTGTTCGTCCGTATGTGAATCGTGGCTAGCTTCATGTGGTGGCTGCGCGTCGCTCTGCTGGTGTGGTGGCGGCTGCTAAAGGAGCTAAGGAACGACTTTGGGAGGATGAGGCTGAAGACGGGACGGAGGAGAGGGAAGCAAGCTGGGTTGGGTTAGCTATGGAACGGGAGGTTGAGGTGGGAAGTGTTAGTTTACAAGAGACGATGGCGACGTTGACCTCAACGTCTCCCCAGATAAAGTTGAGGGCAACGTCGCGAGGCATTTGTGTAGTCTTTTCATCATACGTGATCGACTCGATGAGGACGATTATCGAGGCAACACAGACACTGCATCGTCAGCTGATTGTACATCAAGTGATGGGCGGAGTGGCCTACACAGAGCCGATCAGGAAGAGGCCGATGACAGCCAGCTTCTTTCCAAGTCTCATATGCAGCTTCCTAACCTCAATGATAGGCAAGATGAGTATTATAATATCCATGACAAAATGGGTCAAGACCGTCCCAAAGAAGAACTGCGACTCGTCAATGCCGCAGCGGCCATTGATAGACTTGTCCCAAAAGAACTTGAGCGGGATACACTGCAGCGAGACCATGAATATTCGGAGGAGAATCCAGGCGAGAGAGGCCGTTAGCATGATCTGGATCGGCACCCTGATCGATGAGTGTTTGAAGAGGCGCCAGTAGAGGCTTAGGATGGTGAACTTGGACGACGCGATGGAGAAGGCGTAGCAGTACTCTGTGCACAGCATGAGGAGCCTGTTGTACAGGAGGATGCGCTCTCTCTGCTGGTTGGAGAGAGTCGGATCGAGTTCCTGGCCGAGATACCAGTCGATAGCCCCTAGATTGGTCAACACTGACGATCAGTATTAGCTGTCGGGGGCCTTACAAACGATGATGACGCTGTTGTACGCGCTGCCAAACACCTAGAGACTGTAAGTGCAAGCTCCACCGGCAATACAACCACACTCACAAATGCAGAGACACAAAAGTAATCATCGAACCACCAGGTCTGCTTCGTTAGTCGCCGCGCGTAGATCCTCAGGATCACCGCGATGAGGGCTGCTCCCCAAGTGATCGACACGGCAGCGTAGGCGTTGTTTTGAAGTCCAGGCATTGTTTGAGTTACGACTCACGAGGACGCGACCATCAAATGGAGGGGTCAAAGATTATATTACCTCTGCAGAATGAAAGAAAGGCTTTCATGGTAGAATGATAAGGCAAGGCGCCCGAAACACAGAACGAGGCAACGACATTAAGGCAGAGTCAATCTTTGAGCGGGCTGTGCGGGGGATCATCAGCATTTTCTACGACACGTTATCACCCAACTCGAGTTGGCCTTGCGGGGGAGGGTCTTGGCCAAAGCTGTTGCAGGACAACCTGGCTATCGCTCGCATCGAAAGGCTTGGCTATTGAGTCTAGAAGCACTGCATCAGGGGGCAGAGATAAGGTTCTTGCGGGGGAGGGTCACCACCATGTTCTGTTTGGGGAAGGTCTCGATTATGGAGCCTTTGATAGAAATCTTGGGAAATCAAGGGTCCTTGTCAGGCCTTGGGGGGGACCAAGGCACACCAAGACAACGAGGCTTTGGAGGGCCTCACTTGGCTGTTACACTGCAGGTTGAAAATCGCAGTGCATGGCCCCACGCCCGGGTAAGGCGGCTTCTGCCAAATATGCACCTTTCGATTGGCTGGGATTGCATTTCTAGAAGCCCATGCTGACTCGGTTCCATGCCGTGTTACCAGAAAACAGGTTTTTGAAAACAGGGCGGGACAAGGCTTAGTCCTTGGCGAGCGCAATGATAAGGTCTTGTTTTCAGCTCTGCTGCAAGAGGGAGATGGTTGCCGGTTTACGGCTGGTGCCTTGAGCTTCAGGAAAGCCAGCAATGTCCAAGAAACGACGAATACCCCTGTATCCCCCGCACGTTTGATCTTCATGCGACTGTGGTAGTACGAGGTGACGTACCGCTACCTTTTCGTTCGCTTTAGCTATGCTGTCTAAACGTATGTCATCGTTCTTGATTAAGCACAACTAATAGCTTTATTCTAAGCACCCTACATGCAACCACTCTGACACTACAGAATTACGAATTACCCCTACCCTAGGCTATGGAGATATCAACTGGATAACCATCCTGATAATTGGACTGCAGCGGTTTTCCAAATGAACCCTGCTGCTGTTGCATGCCATGCGAGCTCCACACAATGAACGAACGAAAGCTCCCTCGAGGTGAACGACTCATTGCCTCCATCTGATTACCCAGTCCCCTTCGCAAAGCTTGGTTTGGCAACCTGTCCCCGCATAATAGTTTCACCACCTTATCGTGTTCTACAGCATTGGACTTTAATGCCATCATGTATTAAGAACTGTGTTTGGCTATTGTAGCTGACGAGCTATCTCAGACTCGCTATGAAGGATAATATAGTGACCGATGGCTTCTTGTCATCATTACAGACAACAATAGTTGGGGCTCATAAGGATGGAATTGACAAGGTACTGGTTTAGGCGTGGCCACAGTCCTGATTCAACATTTCACGATAGAACACACGGGCTATCCAGGAGGCTACCAGAGCAGGTTGTTTGGGCAAGGTTTAAATGGGTCAGGCTCAGAGGTGGGTTTCATGTGGTAGTGTCCTGATGCTATCCTACCAAGCTAGTGTTGAGGCTTAGATATTCGTATTGAATATAAATCCGGGCTCTATTAAAGTCTTACCGAGAGCAGCCAAACCAAGGCGCTAAGCCAAACACTGTTGGTGAGCAAACTCCAGCACTGCCCAATCCATCACAGGCCTCCATCGGTGCGGTAATAATGCCATGACGGCAGCAAACTCAGACTCGGGGGCCCCATCTACCCACCAGAATTGTCGACTCTTTTTAACAAGCATGAAAAAGTACCCTAGAATGGCCAATGCTCTAGGGTCCTTGGCTCCCAGAAGGTCAACGTATCGAGTGGACACGGTGATGAAGAAGAGGAGCGGCGTTGTATGCTCCAGGTCGCAGTAGAGTGATGAGAGCAAAGCCACAGCCTGACCGTAAGCCAGGAGTGATTCCTCGTCAGAAGGACCCAGCGGATCGATATATTCCAGTAGAAAGTTGAACTTGCCACCGACTTCCCTCTCCATAATCTCGTGCTGGAGCCTGTCAATCCCTGCAAGTCTTCGGCATAGATCCGAATCTGGGCTGAAGAAGCGGGCCATCCGAACGACTTGCATCGTCATGTGAAATGAGCGGAACCAGTGAACAGGCAGTCGGTGGTCACCATTATCTGAGCTTAGCAATGAATGGTTTACGCCTGAGTGGAAAGTCACCAAGGCGCAGGTTGCGACGATGCTCGCAGCATTGGTGTCGTTGAATCCTGCCCTGAGCTGCTCTCTGTGACGTTTTATCGCGCGAGCCATGAACCTGTGAGAGGCGTCACGCAGAGCCTCGTCGTGCTTGTGGTGACGTCGCAGATGAAAGGCCGAAAAGCCGAGGAGAGCATCCATGACAGGCGGTGATTGCGACGCTTCTTGCACTATCCAGAAAGCCCAGGACATTTGCACGTCGGTCGACCGTGTCGTCATCTCTAGATAGTGGCAGAACAGACGGAGATCTAGCAGGCGATCTTCTGGGGATCCGACGCCCTCAGGGAAGAGACTTTGCGAGGGCACTATGCTGCTCGGGATGCTCGAGGGATCCGTCTGTGTTGAGGGCGCTGGTGAAACTGTAAATCCATCTCGGGCCTCATGTAGGCTAGGGAGAATCTTGGGTGATTCATCCGGGCGATTGATCAAACAGCGCCAGGTGTCGAAATATTCGCAAGCGACGTCCCTCTTGGTGCAGACATTGCAGGCGGGCCGGACCTCGTCGCACTTGAAAGGGCATTCGTAAGTCTCTCGTCTATTCCGGCAGCTGGAACACGCACATACCTTTACCCGGCGGCTTTTGCAGGGTCTGCAACCCCCTCTAGACTTATGATGTCGTCGACGCGATCGGCCCTCGGGACGGGGCCGGGACCCGGTGCATGGGGTCTTGTCGGCCGTTTGTGGCTGGTCGACTTTGTCCGGAATCATGGTGGTGGGAGACATGATCAAGTGACACCTTTCCAAGTAGACAAGAATGACAAATATAGGGGTCTTAGATGCATTTCTCGGCGCGAAATCAGGGGCAAGACGGTTCTTAACCAGGACCGCGCCAATGACGACGACAATCGTGGCTCAGCACCCGGCAGATTTCGTGGTAAGGCTTAGCCCAGCAATTAGAGTTTCCGACTTCAGGGGGAAATTGAGACGGCACCAGAAATCTCAGAATGCCTTACCCTGCATTTCTCGGATGCCTCGGGATGCACTACGTCATTCTCGTTGACATAAAAGGATAAATCTTAAGCATAAGTCGTTCATGTCCTTAACAATGTTTGGTCTTATATGGCAGGTTTTGTGTCAGGCTTATGGCCAGCCCAGCCCAGCAGTCCCTGCGGACTTAACACTCTGCCTCCGGCTTAAAGACGATCTTCGGGCTCAGTTAGCCCATCGAGGGCCGGGCTGCAACTATAACAAAGAACAGATCTTCAATACATTATAACATCATGACCTGATGCTAACACAGTAGACGGCTTAAAGACGATATCCGGGCAATGAGCGAATCAAGGGATTATCTTACTGCTACCCAAGTATGCTATGATTGTAAGGAGTGAATCAAATCCAAAAGGTGTCTCAACTTGTGACGATGCGTTGTTTTAAGCATCACCGAGGGCTGTCCAAGCAAGTCATGTTGAATGACCACTTAGCCCGGTCCCCCTCACCAAGGCCACGCAATTCCTCCCCGGCACACCACTACCATGGCTGAACAAACTCGAAAAATGACTCAAGGGGGACCGGCAACAGCTCGAGCGGTGTTTACAGCGATGACAAACCCGTCCATGCTGTCATGGGTATTCAGTTTGTTCAGCACGACTTTGCCGTCAACGCGGAGGCTGATGAAGCGTGTGTGGCCTTCGTTTGTGCTGTTTCTTCTCTCAAACCTCATGGTGAAGCGAGGATCCGCATCGCTGAGGGCGTTGATGAGGTCCACCGTGTTGTCGTGACAACTACGGGGGCCCCAGATGGCGTTGCCGTTGAAGAGAAGGGTGCCGTTGAAGATGTGGCCTTCAAGAGAATGACTCTTGGGCTCGGTCCAGATTCTGAAGTCGTCAGACATGATGATGGTACTCCATGTCTGAAGTTAGAAAACGCGTAAACAACTTGTTGGTCGAGATAGCATACGAACCTGAGTACTTGTGTGGTAAACAGGGGAAAGGGGTCAAACAGCTAGGTAGCTTCTTAAAGGCAGAGAGAGGGATGATGGTTCTGATTCTTGCTTGATAAATCGACGATAAAAATTGCCTTTATATACTCGGCCTCCGTCCGATGAACTTCATTAGAGGAGCTTTGCAACAACTTCAAAGCGGCATCGTGTAGGCCTCCATTAACATCCGACTCTTTTGGAAATGGCTGACTAACCCGTGTCTTACTCGTGCATATGCATCTCGACATTCTGGTCTCTACACATACAATTGAACTCATGAGCAAATATTTACCCTCAGGACTCCACACCTTCACGGTAGAGGCCGTCTTGGCAGAAGTGCCATACTCGGCCTGCACCCTGTGCATGCCTGCGTTGCACCGCACCGGCTTGAGCCAGTCAACCTCATGGCAACTGAATTCCGACAGGTAATGTGGGGTTGAGAGACTTGCTTTCAGCTAGCCACCATCAGTTGCAGCTAGCAGCAATGACATGATGGCCCAGTAAATACTTTGATCTTCGGCCGAAGTGAAAGTTGAGGTTGTCCTTTATACCTCGTTGTCTCACAAGAGGCCATTGAGATTCACGTGCTGCGAAAGCGCCACTCACCATCAAAACCGACGGTGGCCTTTCTTAGTAGTCCAAAGTGATGTGTTTCCATCGCTCCGTCATCTTGATTTGCGTCGACGGTCAGCCACGAACAGCAACTAAGGGACGATCTGCTGGGCCTTCCCCGGTCCAGCTTCCAATAAGAGAGTGCCTGCCTTGGTAGTTACACAAAACAGTTCTCTCTCCCCGCATCTCGTAACAGAATGCATATAGGCCTTTCCGGTCGTTGGCTGGCTGTTGTGGAACGGCTCGGCCCGCTCTGACTTTACTGGCACATGGCTGTTACCAATAACGTACCGCCCACCTCTGGGCTCATGCTAAGCAATTTGCTTAAGCACCAGGCCCAAATCACCAGCAAATTGCCATCCTTCAAGTTCAGCTGGCATGCACATCATTGCTTGCCGTCCCTCTATATGCAACGTGAACGCGCGTTTCCTCCCCGCCATCCCGCCCCATACAGACGAACATGCAGTGCAGATACGAGCTTTCGGATCTACCAAAACAGGCAGCTAGGCCTGGCATAGAAAGGAACATAGCAGGTGAGGAGCAAGCATCCGGGATAAACCGTCTTGGCCTCAGTTCAACAAAAGGGTTTCATTAGCACATGGTCTTCAAAACAGGCTCCGAGGGCTGAAATGGCTGCAGCCGGTCAAAGGAGATGCGTCTCTGGTGAAACTTTCTATGAAGCTATTTCCTAAGGTTGAAGCTAGGTGTCTGAGTAAAACTTGAACAGATCGAATTAGTCTGCGGTTGGCATATCTTGAAGGCTTTGCTTGCTGTTTAGAAGATTTACCTATTCGCATTTGACATCGTCCATCTGCTCTAATGGATCACATCATGAGAAGAATGGCAAATTCTCGTCTTGATCCACCCTAATTGCTATGAGTACTTAATGTGTAATGCATTGAGTGTCTGCAAGACCTCTGCCACGGATCCCAATCCGATTCCCCGACGGATAGTCCTCCCTTCTGGTGATGCTGTCTCACACTCAACGCTCCATGCCCTGTGTTGAAAACATGTCCATGTGTAAAAAGCCAGATCGAGCCATTCTCTTCTTTTCTCTTTCCTCGCCTACATGAAATTGCATTCCTACTTCTAGCACGGCAGAGACCGGCGATTGAGATGGCGTTGCTGCATATCCCACTACCCAGCAATCCTATTGGCCTGACAAGGTACGCCTAGGAACAAGCAGCTCTCAGCTGCTCAAGCCTCTCCATGCGCAACCCCCGAAAAGGTGCTGCTGGTCAAGTTGTTGTCTGCCGCGACGCCTTTTTACTATCTCGACAGCCAATGTCTCAGCCACTCCAAGGGTCCATCACTCCATGAATGACATCCTGCGCCAAATGTCTCACTACGTGACCTGCAAGCGCACACAAACAACATCGTCACTTGGTTGCTGGTTCTGTTAGAGTTCACCATGACGCCAAGAATGCAGTACCTAGTGCGGTAGCTGATGTACCTCTTTTCACCACTTCAGTATCCTCTCCGTATTGAAAAAGTGCGGAGGGGCCTCGCACGCGCTTTACCGGACTTTAGGGAGTATGGCAGGCATGACAGTTAACGCGCCATCGCTGGTGCCGAGTCACTCGTCGCAAGCCACAGACCGCCTGTTCAGTGGAATCTAGCCTGACCATTTCTGTCAAGGTAGCTCATCTATAACTGCTGGTTTTCATTGGGCTGACTATTACAAATGCACCACTTCTAAGAAATCCTTGTCCATGACCATAACCTCGTTTTCGTTAATCGACTTGACAGTGAAAGTGATGAAATGAGACATTGCCGTCTTTCTACAGCCATAGAAAAGGGAGTCATCGTTGGCTTTCAGTCCATGCTGGACTTGGGCATCTCCAATGTCCGGAGCGCCCTCACAGCAGAGAAGGTATACGAGTGACTATGCTCGAATCCCCGGGTGCCCGTTTCGCCGAATCCCATACGGGGGTATATAGTTGTGAACCCTAAGAGCCTAGTCCTGCTATTTTATAAGGTAACCAACGGGGCTAGGGAGTCTCAGAAGCAGGCCCGCTTGGGCATCTGAGCCCGAGCTCAGTGAGAAACTGAAAGGGATCTTGGTGTTCTTGAGATTTGTCTCCGGTGCTTCAGTTGAGGGCGACTTAAGGAGGAGATAAACAACATTTATAGAACGGATAATAATACCAACCCTGAGGAGCAGGTAACTGAAGATTATTATTATTAAATAGTTTTAATAATACTAGTTAAATATAGTTTTATAAATAAAAAGTATTAATAAAAGTCTAAAAATAAATTAAATATAATTAAATATAAATATTAATTATTTATAACGCTTTAATATATAATAAACTATATACTTACTATATAAATACTCGGCTCGGCTTGCTATTTTCCTACCTACGCTACTTACTAAGCCTCGCAGTAAGCCCTGTATTTTAACTTCAAGACTAACTCGGATAAGAATAAATATTTTTAAACCCCTAACCCACACATACCTACCGCGCAGCACGCCAGAGACAATTCAGTCAGGCTTCTGCGATGGCGCATGCTATACGCTTCCATCGCAAGTCTCGAACTGGCTGCGCTGGATGCAAGCTGCGACGGGTCAAGGCAAGCCAGATGATCACCCCAGCCCTGACCGAGACTAACATGGCATCATGTCAAGTGTGATGAGGCCAAGCCGCAGTGTGCCGGCTGCGCCCGGCGAGGAGAAGAGTGCTTGTATGTCTCTTCGAGCCGCCCAGAGACGGCCCAGAGCCGAGGTAGTCCTGCTTCGGATGCTGCCACTGCCGTTTCCGAAACACAAGGCGCCGCCGAGCCGTTGTTGGCCACACCGTCCCTCGACGAGACGGCCGCAGGGTCCAACTATGGCGCAAAGCACCTTCTCGATCTCCGCATGATGCACCATTATTGTATCTTCACAGCCGAGAGCTTTGCCGCCGAATTCTCACAGGATATCGCCTCAATATTGAAGGTCGAACTTCCGCGCCTTGCCTACCAGCATGAGTTTCTCATGGACGCCATCCTCCTCGTGGCCATGGTCCATCTCGGCTGCACGGAACCAGAGCTCCTTCAGACCCTTCCCATCTACCTCTACCGAGACCAAGCATTACGCACACTGCGCCAAGCCATTAGCTGCATAACCGACTCAAGCATCACGGCAGTAAAAGGCGCGTCCGTCTTGCTTGCGACTGTCTCTTTCGCCACAGACCGAGTATCTCAGCAATCCGGTTTATGGCTGACCAATTGGCTAACACTTGCCCACGGGCGACGGAATATCCACCTGCAGCCAACTGTCGTAGAGGGCCAGGCGAGGAAACTATCTGGTGCCAGCTTATACGGGTCCTTCAATGATGTACCAGAATCAGACCGCATTGCCAGCGGCATCGTGCGCGCGATTCAGAGGGATCGAAACATCCACGGCGACGAGATGTGTCTTGACACCCTTCACAGAGCCGCGACAGAGGTGAGCCGGCTCATCTCGGCATTGGAGTCTCCCCGCGATAAGCTATGGCTTGCAAAGCAGATCAAAGCATGGGCCTTTGATGTTATAGATCCCAGGTTTTTGGAATTGGTCCGACAAGAGAGGCCATGTGCGTTGGTAATCCTCTCGCACTACTTGGCCGTGTTCGGCCTGTTGCCTCGCACATGGGTGTATGATGGGCTTGTCAGCCACGACATGGAACTTATGGCCGACAAGTTGGGTCTGGAGTGGGAGGATTGCATAGTGTTGCCAAAGATGGTCTTGCATGTTGAAGGCCGTGAGGCGTTGACCGAGCTGTTGCTGAGCTGTCTATAATGCTTCCCGTGTTGTATTAATGCTTGATGAGTGACAAATCTATAGAAAAAAAGGAAAAACAACGAAAAAGAAAAACAAAAGAAAAAGTCTCAGGCCCTTCCCTTCACGGCGCATCTCTTATTATCCGATATTTTAAAAAGTCTATCATGAACACATGCAGTCTCGCACTCTACCCCTTTCACCTTTTTGTCGCTAGTTACCTCTCACAGCTCCTCTCCCTCCAGCGAGTTCATGTCCTTGGGTGTCCGGATGTACTCGGACGGGTGAAGATAAATCAGAGCCGCCATGACACCAAACATCAAGAGAGAGTCACAGATGTAGATGTAAGCTTCGCTAGTCATCATGGGCGAATCGTGATCTCCTGTGAACTCGACGAAGCGGAAAACGGACCGGATGAAGATCAAGGCGCTGGTCAAGAACAGGACTTGCATCACTCCTCTCCATCCACCTTTGCTGCTATACGCATCTAGCCGAAAGGTTGTCGGTGTCGGGTTCGCGTCCAGTCGTCGATAGAAGAGGGCGGCGGAAAATACGAACAGGCCGAAGAAGATGAGCTGGATGGCCAAGCCGACCAGGATGATGGCCTTGCCCAAGCTAAAGTTGCTCGACAACATGCCCGAGCCTGCAATCTGGATGATGAAGGATAAGATGTCTCCGCCGACAAAGATCTTTGTCAGCCAAGTTGGCCGCACCGGAAGGTAGGCCTCTGCGCGGACGAGGACCACCAGCCGGCCTAGGACCATGTAAATGGACGCTGCCAAGAGAGCGGGTGCGACAAGGATGACAAGAGTCTGTATAATGAAGAATGTGAGGTTTTCGAGGTCTTTGCTGCCTAGATAGCGTGTTACATAGCCGGCAATCTCGACTGTCGAAGTGGTTAGCGGAAGAAGCGAGTGCAGAGGGAGGGGGACATACGGGCACCACCAATGACAAGAGGGATAAAGTACCAAGTTTTTCGTGTAAAGAGGAGAACGGCATGCCAAAGAGTAGCAACGGTGAAGAGAAGAAGAAAAATAATGGCAGCCACAGGGCTAGGGTCGTAAGTCCAGGGGTTGTTGGCCATGGTGAAGAGATTGAGGGAAGTCTGCACTGGTAAGGAAGGGTTCGGGATGAAAGGCCAAGAAAAGATAGATGAGAATAGAAAAAAAAGAAACCCAATCGAACTGTCTGCCTTAAGTACGCAAGCCATGAGAGCAATGGGGGGATACTATGTGGATGGTAGACTCGTACTTCGCACTCCGCTTATCGCACTTCGCATCTCGCATTTCGCATTTCGCATAGGTGGATCCCAGAAACACTCATCCCATTGGCTTAGCTCAAAGGGATCGTTGCGCAAGTGGATAAAAGCGAGGGGGGATGAATGAAGCACCAACCCTAGAGGGGATGGATGAAATGCAGGAGTATTGCCTACGGTGGATATCTGTATCATCGTCGGCTATTAATAGGGGGAGAGAAATAAAAAAGGAAATGAGGAGACGTCTTAGAGAGATACCACTCTTGAAAGGCCAGAGGCCGCGACAGACCAGGTCCCAGATCTCAAGTCCATTCTCAACTATCAACACTACTTTGAAGACTTGATCAGCGTTCACATAATGGTGAATTTGATACCAAGCTCAATGCTTCAGCCATCACCACTCCTCACGAGACACCCGAGCCCGACTCCGTCAACAGCCATCGTGCCACGTTCCGCACACGTCAAGCGCCGTGCTGTCCGGTCACAAGGCAAGCGACACAAGGATAAAGGCGACAAAGGGATTAATACAAGAAGGAAACGCGACGGCCAAGATGGAGTGCCAAGAAAGAGAAAGCATACTCCTCGGAAGAGCGCCGTGACGGAATCACATTCGCGCGAGGAGGAAGCAAACCCGTTGCCTACACCCTCAGATATCGACAATTTAAAATCCATCGCCAGTTCAGACTGCCTCTGCTGCAACGGCTTCGACTATAGCGCTTCTAACTTTCTTTGTTTTGCGCCAGAACAGTCAACTTTTATGGCCCATGGCCTGGGTATCATCAGTCATGCCCAATCTGGGGTAGTCCTCCTGAGTATGTGCAGCGACGCTGCAAGGTTAGTCATCATCGACATAGTCATCCGGAACGCCTTTGAATATCCGTACCTGATTGATCAGCTATTCGCCATAACCGCCGATCATCTAGCCAGGCTCTTGATTACCAACGTTCAGCCCTGGGGCTCCAAACTCGCGCTTTGACTACGCTTAACGGCGAGGCTCAGGCATGACGCAAGAGATAGCGGAGAAGAATCCGATTCCCCGACTGCCCCATTCTTTCCTCTTAAGCCTCCATGTTCTTTACCTCACGTTTACGCGGGACCACACCTACGACTTGTTCATTGAGCACTTTATCCAGGCCGTCCATCTCTACCGAGGAGTTCGGACTCTCGCCGCCCTGAACTATAGCCTTGCTGTTGATTCGCCCCTTGGCCCCTTTTTGGCCATGGGCTATGACGCTGGCGTCTCTGAACCTACCAGGACAGAGTGCACTAGGCTTGTCGAGTTCATTGACTCGTCCGATGCTGACTTCACGACAATTTCTAGCTGCAGAGATGCCGCTCGGAAACTCTAGTGGGTTTGACATTCATGCTACCTTGACGGGGGAGCAGCGTGCCCTAACAGCAGTGGTCTACCCGGCTCTGTTGACCGAGGAATACATAACTACTCTGCGAAAGTGTCGCCTAGAAACCATCGTGACCCTGGCACATGATGGCATCTTACTACACCTGTGTCGTCACGTTTGGGTCATTGGTGATGCTGGGGAGTTTCTGATTGGACTTATTGCTCGGCGTCTAGGGCCTTGGTGGCATGAGGCACTGAAATGGCCTTTGGAGGTTGTGGCGTCGGAAGTATATCCAAGTTGACGACGGATTAATAGTGAAACAGGGGCGCGAAATAAAAGCAAAATCGGGGGGATTGGCGTTTGGTTTTAGCCCACTGCCAGGTATGTTTGACCCCAATGTATCGATCTACCATCTTCATCTCTGGGACGAAGATTAACCGAAGGGGGACATCACTCTGGAGAATTCGATGGAACTCATCGATAACATCTTAAGGAGCCATCGGTGCTGGTTTCTGCGATTGCTGAGGTGAAGGCCAATTAGGAGAGATCAGGACTGCACAACGAATGGTAACAAAGGTTTCTAGAGTACAAAGGAGAAAAGTTTCAGTCTATCAACATCAAACTCAGGACCTAGTGGACAGATTTTAGGCATCAATCGCATATTCTTGGAGTGAGATCTGGCAGCAAATCTTACTTCCGGTCCACCTATTAAATCTCTGATTGGTTGACTCCAAGTTCTGTTGGTAAGCCTGTTCCACTGCCATGCATACAAGATTTACGAACCGGCCGGGGCAACGGAGACTTAAGAAATGCAGAAACTGTGACTGTTATTGCAAGCCTTGTATGCTTTCATATGTCAAGAATTTCATCTTCAACTTGCCGCGGTGACTTGCTGTCGAACCAGGAACATGACGTTACACCTTCTTGTTCTGGATTAGTGACCGTTGCAGAACTGCTCGATTATGCATCTCGAAGCCAACCCCGCACATATCAGACCACTACGGCTGAAGCCCTGGGCGACATTTTGATATATTAACCGGATCTCCACTCGTTTGCTCCAAAGCTTACTTACTATTTATCTCATAGTGCGAGACTTACACAGCGTTGGAGTTACTCTTACTCTTTGTCTACCATGTCTGACAAGGCCACGAACCGCACCGTCCCTCGAGATGGTGACATTCTTCCCCCCGAGCACTGGGCCGAAATTGCACAGGTTTGTTGAGATTGATCTTACAGTTGAACAAACACGCTAATCCCTAACTCCGAACAAAGAAAGAGCCTGGCAATACCGATGGTGATTCCATCGTCGACGCCGATAATAATTCCTCTACGGCGTCGGTCACCTCGAGCATCCTCGAGTACAGGACGATACATGGTAGAACCTACAACAGCGAACAAGGAAATGCGCAATACTGGTCACTGCCTCCCTCGTCCTTGTTAATAGGAGGCTGCTAATTTCCTTCAAGGGGATCTAACGACGCGCCACAACGTGAGCTGATGGACGTGACGTGAGCTCCCATACCACCCCCAAAGCAGCAACAATCTAATCTGGAACATAGCCACCATATCCTTACACTTGGTCTTGGAAATAAACTCCATCTGGCACCGTTGGAGAAAGACAAGGTCCATGTAAGAAGGCATGCCTGATTCCATGCCAGTGCTAATCGGTGACTCAGCGAGCCATCGATATTGGTTGTGGAACTGGTACGGAATCTTGAATCCTGCATGCTTAAAACGAAAGCAACTATCGTTGGGGCTTGTGACGCTAATCTCTCTCTATAGGTATCTGGGCTATGTGCGTTTGAATAAGGCTTCACCTCATGCAACCCCCTTTCTCTAACAAGTAGGCAGAGACTTTGCCGATGACTACCCTAACGCGGAAATCACTGGAACGGATATTTCCCCAATTCAGCCTTCCTGGGTGCCTCCTAACTTGCAGTTGTAAGTAGCCCTTTGAGACGGCGTTTGAGGCAGGCCTAACAATGCACTTCAGTGAAATCGAAGACTGTACCCGAGAATGGACCTTCAAGTCCAACTCTACTGATTACGTCCATATGAGGTGGCTAATGGGCAGCATCAGAGACTGGGACTTCCTCTCCTCCGAGGCATTCAGGGTTTGCAAGCCCGGTGGGTGGGTCGAAAGTCACGAAGCTTCCTCCAACATCGACAGTGACGACAACACGGTCGACGGAAATTCCGCTATGGGGCAGTGGGGAAAGCTTTTCATTGAAGGCAGCAAGAAGATAGGAACAAGCTTCACCGTGGTCGAGGACGGCACGCAGAGGAAGGCCTTGGAGAAAGCCGGCTTTATCAACATTCAGGAATTCGACTTCAAGGTAAAGAGCATAAACCTTCAAACGCGAGTCTCAACTAATTGGTGGACTAGAATCCTATTGGCGGCTGGTCTTCGGATCCGACTGAGAAAGAAATGGGCCCATACACCAAATATGGTCTCGAGACGGATACGGAAGGCTTCGTATTGTTCATGGCTCATACCCTGGGTTGGTCGAGAGATGAGATTCAGCTCTATATCGATCAGTTTCGACGCGAGTTGCGTTCTGAGAAACACCACGGGTACTTCAAGCAGAAGGTCGTTTGGGGCCAGAAACCTGACACCTCGAGTGCTCACTAGATGTATTAACGGGACACTGTTTCAACCCGTATATAGGAGCTTCGCAATTTAAAACGCCATCATATGATAGGCGACGGCAACTTCTCCAAATGTAGTATTCTCCATTGGTAATTGTTATTCCACCCATCTATTTGTACTATAACCGAACCTTGAACCGAAATCCCGTGTCCTGTGCACGCCACCCAAGTCCATATTCCCACAAACCTGCTGCGCTGTTTGCAGTCTGCCCATCGATCCCCTGCCAAAACACCACCCTTCCCGTCCGAAGCTCAAGCAACAGGCCGATAGGCTGTACCGTAGTCCGCCAACTGCATCTCCGAGTCTGACCTATCCACAAGCTGCTTCCCAGCCACGAGGTACTTGGACGGATGGAAGATGTTGAAGAGAGTGCTGGCAATCAACATGGGGGCAGCATCTAAAACGTAGATGTAGACCTCCTTGGACTGCAGCTCCGAGTCGTGGCCCATGGCATACTCGACCAGACGGAATAAAGAGCGGATCAGGATCAGGATGCTAGTGATGTACAGAATGACCAGAAACAACTCCCAGCGGGTCTTGATGCTCCCTGCTCTGGCAGTAGGGCTCTTCCTGATTCTGAAGTGGAAAAGACATGTGACGATCATGAACAGACTGAAGAAGATGATCTGTACGACAAGTCCGCCGATAATAATATTCTCTCCGGTCGATCGATCGTCTTCGGTATCCGCATTTACGACCTTTCCGCCTCCTACAAAAGGTCAGTAAGTAAAATCCGTTGCAGCCTAGTAAAGGGATACACACCAATGCCCTGAAGCGCGATAGAAAGCAAGTCGCCAATCAGGAAAAACTTGGTCAGCCAACTCGACCTGATCAAAGAGTATCTCTCCGCGTCCAGCAAGCGGATGAGTCGCCCCAAAATCATGTAAATAGAAGCGGCGTAGCAAGTCGGTCCGAGGAGAAGCAGCAAATGCTGCATCACGTATGGGGGGAAAGTATAATGGGGCGACTGTTCAGCACCTATAGCTCGTCCGATGAAGCCGATCGTTTCAACTAAAGATCTTTCTATTAGCTACCAAATTGATTGCTCAGCACGAGGTTGCTAGTGACTGGAGACTCACACAATGAACCGACCAAGAAGGGGATGAAGAACCATGTCTTGGTCTTGAGGATCTGGAAGGCGTGCAGCAGAGACGAAGCCGAAAAGGTAATGATGAAGATGACGGCTGCTGCCATCGAAGGCTCATATTTGTAGTAGTTTCTTGCCATTTTCGATCAGGGTGGAAGCTGGGTAGACCGAGAGTCGAGATTTCTGTTCGAGTATCTGTGTGTTTATTGTATTGAAGAAAATAGGATGCTGGACATCGTTGATTCAAGGTCGCTGTTATATCTTATGTACTTGATGGATCTCAGCGCGAATATGACTGATGACGTGTGTGTTGATGGTTTGATACGCTGCGTCGGTTGCTACGGGACCAACTCAGCCTCAACTAGCCGGAACCGCTGAAGAAGGAGGGCTCCAGCTTACGCCATTTCGCAGGCCGATAGAGGGGGCATTTTCCATCGAGTCCTCCGGAGATATGAGACGTTCTTGGGGCTTCGTATAGACTCAAACCTGATTGGGTGCCCTACCAGTCGGACTTGATCAAGTCCCCGATACAGGGGCCATGCGGCTCTCGGATCATTCGGATCAGGAGTGGCTGAGTTCGGCTAGTGTAAATTAAGCATATTGGTAGCGCAAATTGTGCTTAGGCTTTCCGAGGAGGCTCCATTGGATGACAATGCCGTCATGTTGTAGACCTCAGGAGCCTTGAGGAAGAGATCGCACACTCGTGGCAGAGATGATGCTGGATGATAGATATATCCAGGGGGATAAATTCCAACTGTTCATGATATCAGGTCGAAACCTATATACTGGTAACCACAGAAGTGTATCAATGGTTCAACACGTTTGTCTGAATCAAGAACTCCTAAGACTCCTTGCACGCATAGTGGTCTCAGGGGAAACATACCTTATTTCCAGCCAACTCAAGACTGACCATTTCCGAGTACAAAAATAGTTTCAAAGAATGAATTGGCTTGAATATTAGATGTTACAGTCAAGAGTGACAATGCTCAAGAGTGCGGCCAAGTTTGCCACCACACAGGATAGTAGGTCATTTCCACCGCAGAACTGGGCTTATCAGATGACAAAAGATACAGAAACAAGTGTCTAATAAATCTACTGCGCTAAATAGTCTGAAGCTGTAGAATCACGGTGCATTTACAGTTGTAAAATGCACCAAGAATGCAAGTAATTGTGTGCGACCGCCGCTAAACTCCTCGTGCGAATGCTTCAGGAGCTCCTCCCGTCCTTAACCTTGATAAAGCCTCCGACAGCATGCGACCCGACTCCTCCGTCAGACGTCAGCACGGGCGAGTGGAGGTTATAGTTGAAGGATCCCCCAGCGCCGGTTCTGACCTTCCACACCTCGTTGCCAGTCCTGTAGTCGATAGCAGTGATGTAGTACACGTAGTGTCCCTTGCGAGCAAGTTCCCAATCCTGTACCTGCATGTAGAGCAAGCCTGTCTTCGTGGATAGCACTGGAGTGACAGTACCACGGATGTTGGTGTTTGTCCAGAGCGTCGTGCACTTTCCTGTCTCTTCGTCATATTCGATACGCGAGAGTCCTGGGGTCATCTGGGCAATGTTGTTGAAAGGTCCGTTGATAGTCTCGGCGTTCAGATTGTTGCCGTCACCAAAGATGGTAGTGTTGTCAACCACATACAGCGGAACGCCGTTATAGTAGTTTCCCATAATGACACTGTACTTGGAGCCACCGTCCCAGTGGTTAAGGATGGTGTTCTCGTTGGCGCTGGCACCACGCTTGAACAGTGGCATCGAGCACACCGGCTTGGTTCCATTTCCACCGACGGGCATCTGCGGGACTATGTGTAGGCTCACCTGCTCATTGGCATTGTCCGTGTAAGCGACATACTTTTCTCCGAGGAGGGAGGGCGTAGATCCGGAGCCGCGCGATACACCACCCTGCTTGACCCCATCACCGGCCTGGTAGGGCACCGCCATGGCAATCTTGACGCCGTCCTTAGTCGGCTTGAACCCGTAAAAGTAGGCAGTGGCGTCGGCCGTGTCAGCTTCCGCCGCTGGGCCCAGCATCAGGTACACGTCTGTCCCGCTAATGGCAAAGTTGTTCTCGGCTCGGGTGTTGGGGAAGTTGATGGAATGCACCTTGCCCTCCGGATCAACATACCCGACATCGGTGCTTCCTGTCGTGGGGAGGTTGACACCGACGTATCCCCCTGTCGTGAACCAGAGGTTTCCCTCGGCGTCGTAGGCGCTGCCGATGATTCTGGAACCCTCGTCCGTAACCTTGGAGAGGTCAATGTCGCGCCTCTTGACAAATGAAGTTTTGCCGGTTGCGTCCGTGACGCGCTCCACGTCAATAACGTGCCGTCCTCGAGTCGGAACCGTGACATGGCCGTCCAGTATCTGCATGTATACCACTGATACCATGTCCAAATCGGCCGACGGCTCATCGGGGGCCGGGTATGAAGCCTCGACCTCATATGTCTTGGGATTGAGGGCCACGATACACGCCGTCGCCTCCCTGCACACGGCTCCAGCAGTGATGCGGCCCTCAGAGTCCCAGAAAAGGGGGATCGGAGGAGCCCTGCTAAAGGTCTCAACCTTGATGTTCTTGCCAAGGGGGCCCGGGTAGTCCTCAGAGCGTGTGTTGCCCGAGTCGCGATGGTAGGACTGCGAGGCTGGCTCATAGGTCGTCTTTGGCCTCAAAGGATTGGCCTGGACAGCGCGGCCTATGAAGCCTTTGCCTTTGAGCGGCTGCGTATTCTCGATGGAAGCGGCCTACCGCAAAATGTTAGGATTGATTGAGCTAAATACCGCTGGGGTATGAACTGACCTGGGTGCCACTGAAGACTGATAGAAGTAGCATGGTCTTGATAGCCCATGGGCTGAGATGCAGCGACGATGAGATGGCCATTGTCAACGACTTGCAAAATATGTGAAAAGAGTCGATTACTGTGCTGGTAGGTGTTGTAAGCTGCTGATGGATGAATCCAAAACGAAGCTGTTCTGCTCGAGGGACTGGGCATTTATAGGTGAATCTTTCGTGCTCCAAGGACACCGGCCGCATTCTTTCGGCGATGCTGGAGGTGATCATCATGCGTACTCGGAACGGATCAGATGAAGACAGGGCGCATTCGGCTTGAGAGGACGAATTCACGATACCGACGCCCAATCATAGGCTTCCCTATACGAGTGAGGGGCCTTGCAATGTTTCTTCGGCCCCTTGTTGAGAGCGCCGATCATGGACAGGCAGATCTGGTTTCTTGGTCTTTACAGCAAGGCGAAAGGCGCAGGGGTTACCCTAGGGCAATGCGACGTGGATCAACGACCTTCCGAAACGGCTGTTTTTGATGATGCACTGCCCCTGCAGGTTGGAAAGCAAAGCAAGTCCCCTTTCTTTAAGGCCGGCAATTGTTGACAATTGTGTTGCCGCGGCGGCTGGTTGAAGGCGGAGAACAGTGACTTCTGCTTACGCCGACATAATGGTTATTTTCCTTTTGGCGTTGACTGAGTATCTACAAGGACGTGGGACAGTTACGCTAGAACTAAGGTCTTCTGGTTCACTTATCCCGTAGAGGGTCGGGTTTCGGCTGTAACAAAAACATTTGATATGCTAGAACTACAAGACAAGCAAATGACTCAAGATTTATGATTCCAAGTAAGTCGGTCATTGTAGAATCGTTTCCTAGTTTCCAAGTTAGCCCCTCGGATGCCAGTCGCAACGTAGAGCCCGAGGGCCCGAGTGGGAGCAAAAGACCAAGTTGCCAATACAAAACGACATCGCAGCATAATGCCGTAAACACCAGACCACCCTGAAGCGATTCCTCCTATCTTCTGTTCACCTCGTTACCAAGCACCCCTGGGGAAACTGGCAGAGCCCCTGTCGCTGAAGCAACGGTTGGTGAGTGACTCGCTGGTGTCTCATGAACAGTCCCAGGCCTGCCCTTCCTGCGTTTCCGGTGGGGAGTTGGGGCAACTTGCTCCAAAGTCAAGTTTTCTAAGCGACTGAAGAATCCGGCAGGCTTCTCACTGAGAAGGCGACTGACTCGACCAGATTCGGAACTGTAAACTGAGTCCAAATCTATGTCTGACAGCATCATGTTATCTTCAAGACTTTCCGATGCACGAGGGGGACAAGCAGCTTCTGCCTCATCTACCCGAACTGGGTCATTTAGTGTCGAGTCAACTCGAGATCCCATTGATGCCTCGACATCCCTCGGCTTAGCAACCGAAGGATATTGAACATCTGGAAGGTACCAAGAGAGGAAAGCCGCAACAAGCATCAAAGGCCCAAAAGCTAGCAGACGAATGGCCAGAACTCGGTGACTGTCACCGAAGTGCAAGATGATACCACGGATGATGATGGCGCCCACTTTTCCTGTAGCTGCGGCGATGCCATAGAATGTGCCGCGGTAGACCGTAGGAAAGATCTCGGCTGCCAAGACGAAGATGATGGTATTGGGCCCTGCGTTGTAGACAAACTGGGTGATGGCATAGAAGACGATGACCACCTTTCGGTAACCCTCGTTATCTCGGCAATGGCCCTGCTCATCTTTGAGGCAGTAAGTCGATATCAAGATGGCCCCTGTTGTTGTGAACAAGACAGCCGACATGAGGAATGTGACGAGGAGAATCCTCTTTCTCCGGAAATAGTTGACCATTAAGAGGGCCGCGATACTCCCCATCGTGGAGGCGACGGATACAATCTCCAATGATTCAACTGAAGTGCGTTCCAGAACTTTATAGATGTTCCAGTCTGGCTCAAATCTCGGTCTCCAAGTCGGCACTTTCCACGGCCAGGCGTTCCCCGTAGTGCAATTGTCGCTGCCGTCCTTCTCAACCCATTTGTTCCTGAGAATCGAGAGAACCATGGGGCTATCCAAAGAGAGGCCATAGAAGCCGACATCCATAAGGCCCCAAAGAAGGCTGATCAGACACAGGTTCCGCAGGCCAAGATGGGAGTCCTTCTTGAGGTAGTCCCATGCACCCGTGAACCACCGGTCACTGTCGTCGTCGAGCGGAGGCTCAGCGGCATGTGTATTGGTCTCCTTCACCTTTTTACCCTTGTAGACTCGCAGGGAGTTCTTCACTGCCTGTCGGAGGTCTTTCCGGATGTCTGCATGGTACCTTGGGGTTTCGGGAATAGTGACACGGGCAATGATGGCAACAAAGGCGGGGAGCATGGCAACACCAATAACACATCTCCAAAGCATATCAATGACCCATTTGGCTTGGTCGCTTGCGCTTGGATTGACCGAGTTGTCTCCGTTTGTTTCCCATTCGTCATCCATTAATCTTAGGGCTTTGAGGGCCCACAAGCCTATTCCCACGGCAAGGAGGCGGGCCAGCGACTGCATGGACTTGACCAAGGCAAGCATCAGCCCCCTAGACTTGGTGGATGCCCACTCGGCCACGATCACGGCTGAGATCGGATACTAAATCAGCTTGAAATTAGAAAAGATTCGTTTGTGATATAAACAGTAAAACAGACTTGCCTCGGCACCTATCCCAAATCCGAGAGCTATCCGCCACCATGCCAGCCATCCATATATATCCATAGAAGGTTTGTTGTTTTCCGATAGGACGCCGTTGCTTGCCTGGGTCACACCCATGGTCGAAACAATGAGGAAAAGAAGCTCAAGGCCGTATAGTTTCTTGCGTCCGCCGCGGTCGGCTAGGTGGCCCATGATGAGCATGCCGCATATAGAGCCGACGAGGGTGAGAATGTCGATCACCGAGCTGGCCTGATTGTTCAAGGTGCAGGATGGGTATACGAAGGCTATAGCTGGGGCGATGACGTTGGTCGCGAACAGCGTGTAAGAAGAGGCCATAAAACCTGATGCGGCGACGAAGAACACTTTGAAGTTGAAGCCATTGTCATCGACAAGCTCGAAGATGCGTTTTTCTCGCTCTGCGCTGCTCTATCAACGGGCTATCAGCACCATGCCTTGAGTGAAACGAATCTTCAAGTAAACAAAAGGGTGAAATCAATGCAGTAGAGATGTTTCACTCACGTAGTTAATAGTGGTCAAGTATCTGGCCTCCTCATCCATGGGCTGCCACCACCGCCATCTTGAGCGGCCCTCTTTAGACGAAGGGTGTAGACGTTTCTCGTCAACCACATCATTCTGGCCATCAGGGCCACTATCCTGCCCTTGGATTGGATTGATAGACATGATACTCTTGAGACTTTAAAAGAGGTCAAGGTGGTTGGGAAGAGAGTGAGAGTAGGACTTGAAGAGCAGGGAGGGAGGCTTGCCTACCGGACTCGACCTTGGGTCAAATAGCCACCCGCCCCGAGGATGACTTTCAGCCTACCTAGATAAGGCATTCTCCATAAATAGTGGCTGTTTCAGCCCAGTGCACATTTATAAAAGTAGAAAAAGACGTCGTGTTTTCCCTTCAGCTGGCTGCCACACTTACCTCGGCTCAACCAATCTCCTGAAACAGATGTGAACCGTCCAGTGCATCGCCTCTATCAGCTAGCAACAATCGAACCACCAGCAGTGCACTGCCATCGGCCAAGGGGCGATAGTGGTTGCCCAGCTGCTGCAGAGAAGGCGTGCACAAGGGCGCGTAAGGGGTTGTCTGGGGCCTGTAGGGGACGCACGTGCAAGGCGGGTTGGTCTGGTTTAGCGAGGCTCTGTCAGAGTTGCAGCGTTGGGGGCCGCATAGTAGACGGCTTTATTTCCTAATGTATCCAGACACTGAAGCGGGCTCTGGAAGCCTCGTCAGGCTCTCAATTTCGTCGGACCTTTTCAGGTCTTGTCTGACCCCGTCGGTCCCAGACAGTTGCCTATCTCACAAACGTTCCCATAGAGCATCAACAGGCACACCCAAAATGATCGCGCTCGGGGAGTGGCTAGCCATCACCTCTTTAGTGATGCAAGTTGTTGCAGCCGTCCATGGAGTCATCAAAATCTTTGAAAAGGCCCAAAATGCCCCGAAAGAGCTAGAGGAACTGCGCCGCTCTCTGCTTCGCCTATCCGACAACTGTGACCAGATTCGCGCCCAGGGAGAGACTACTGAGTCTTTTCCACTCCAGCAGTACGATATCGACGAGATTCGGAACACTCTCGAGCAGTGCAAGAAACTTTTGGAAGACTATAGGGATGCACAATCTGAAAACGGTGTTTTACGCGCGGTTTGGGGAACCCAGAACCATGATGAGGTTGTCAGGTATCAGACCTTGATCGACAGGCACTTTGTTCAGATATTGCTCCCATTCTGGATGAAGACTCTCTGCAGAACACCTTGGGGTTCCAGCGAGGAAGACCGTGCTGTTGTTCCCTCAGTTGGTAACTTGCCCGTTCGGAAAAAGTCTTGCGTCCCCCGGGAGCAAGTTGATAAGCTAGCAGAGGGGCTCGAGCAGCTCAACAATGATGAAAGCCCCAGTGAGAGTAAAAAGACTCTCCAGAAGCTCGACAAGGTTCTGCAGCAATGCTGGCAATCGCTCGGACTACCAGTCGATAACGCAAACACGATTCCTCTACTTGCAGGTTTGTCCCTTCTTGCCTCTGCTGAAAAGACTGGCATGGTAACCTTTGATAGTCATTCCTCCGTCCGACTTATCCTTCACCATCGCCCCAACTATACTGTCAGTGCGACCCCGAATCGATCATGACTATAGACTGAGAGCTACGGCGCTAGGACACTCGAAAATGCACCCAAGAAACATAAGCATATTCGCCTTAACAAAGTCCATATCATGGCAAGGGATAACAAGTGTCGTATCCTACTCTACCAGAACAAGGATGCCTCAGTCCGGGTCACTCAAATCAGTAGGTAACTAGGCGTTCATGGCAGAGCCGTATGAGATTTTTAGAACTAACGGCTGTCGCAGTTCCCTTCGGGTGCATTCCATGGACGCCCAAGAAGGAAAATACCCGCGTGTCCTTCCTCAAGCCCTGCGTGGTGACCATCATTGACGAAGATGGGCATCATATTTACCACATCGACCCCAAGTACCGATTTGCGAGCCTGGGTCCCTGTCAGCGATTTCAAGAGACTCTCCGAGAACGTGAGCACCTCGGCGCTTTCGACTTTGTTAAACTCTCAGACAATGAAGACCTCCTCTCTCGCCGCCAGGTCTTGAGGTTCTGGAAGAGAACGAAGGGTTATGGAGTCCTCGTCGTCACTATGACGTTTCTATAGTCATCCATCGGCGACGGTTGTAGGCACAAAGAATATGATCTAGCCATCTTCAATTGCACAGCGGTTCTCACATCATCATCCCGAAATCCACTCAAGAGACGGCATCACACAGATATCGTCCAACTACTCTCAACCAAGATCCATCCAGCTACAAGCGTCCATATCCAATTCGAAACCGTACCAGGTGAGCATCTCCCAGCTAGGCAAGTGTGCCATCTAACCTAGTTACACTCCTGTAGAAGCCATAGATTTCAAGCGGTTTTTCGAGTCCTCACACAGTCCACCACCTGAGCTCAACTTTGTTCTCCCCTCTCCCACAGTCGACTGGTTAAGCTCTGAACCTACCCCCTCGGATTCCACCTGGCAGGAGAACATGCCACCAAAGCTAGAAGACCTCGACATTGGTCAAGGATGGGACTTGCCGTGGGGTCCTGAATCCTCCGAGTCTCGAGCCTCTACCGCGGTAGACTACTGAGCCGCGAAAGGAAGCGAGGGAGGTTAAGATCAATGAGCAGTCTACTAATACCAGCGACAGAAATTCATCGCTCTATAAGACGCCTTGCTAGAGTTTTGCCAAGACTAAATAATAACCAAAGTCGAATAATACCCGTATTAAACAATAGTATGAAATGACCAGTATTAAAGTAATGCTTGCTACTTGTCTGTCTTCTCTTTTGTCTCCTCTTGATTCTCATCTAGGCGATCAGAGGAGGATGGGAGAGGGAGTCTGTCATTGTCCGGGGGGTCCAAGACCGCACCAGCAGGAATTTGTCGAAATGTTAACTCCGAGTCGACGGTGTATGTCGAATATTGAACGTCTTCCACTGTATATTGCTTAGGTTGAAAGTATTCCAGTGGATTTTTCGTATATTGAGTGTCTTCCGTAGCGTCTGGGACCCCCTGCTTACCCCCAGAAGTTGGTACTGGGACCGACTCAACTCGTGTCTGATTTTCATAATTAACATATTAGCCCTGGCCATTATTAAAGCCTCGAGATGAAAATGTATCAAAAAGCTTGCAAAACGGAGAGACTGGAACTCACGTGTGCTGTGTGATACTCTCCATCGCTGGTATAGCGTGGGGAGGAGACACGCTTGCTTTCGATGTTGGCCGGGATGGAGTCTGAGGCATCCGATTCTTCCTTGGCGTCTTGAACATAACTGGTATGTGGCGTTGTTATTTCTTCTTCGCTGGCAGCGGCTTCTGCAAGCTTTCTCCGTACCATCTCGTCAAACTCGTCATCATCCTCACCATCGTCACCATCGTCGTCAGACTCGTCCATATAAGACTCCTCGCTCCCAATATCCAAGTTATCATTCTCTACATGACTAGTAAGTATCGGGGCTCTGGAATAGGGCCTTAGAGGGCCATCTTTCACTCTGGGATCGTCTCCTTCTGAAAGGGTATGCTGCCGCATGTGCAGACCCGTCCGGTGTCTAGTATCTCGGTATCTCGGAGGGTTTCTAGGCCGCGGAAATATTGAGTGTGCGGGCCTGGGCTTCGGATCTCTCACCGTAGGATCGTCGTGCGCTGGAAGCGAATACTCCACAAGACCAAAGAAGTGCTCAAGTGTCTGGGGATACCGTAGAACATTGGCCGCCCAAGCTTCATTGGTTTCCCGTCTGGAACGACCCAACGCGGCGTCTTGGCCCTCGGAAGCCGACCCTCCAGTCTCAACGTACGTTTTGAAGTCTTCGCTTTCTACATACGTCTTGAACTCTTTGGTTATGAAGTTTTGTGCTCTTTGACGTGCCCAGACTCGCGCCCGTTTGCGCATAGGCTCGAAGACCCTTTCCTCTTGCTGCCTTACAGCTACGTCGAGGGCTTTTGCCTCACAGTCGCATTCCACCGACGCCGGCGCGAGGCAAATAGCACAATCTGGATCCGCCCAAAAGGTTGGTCTCCCTGAGGAATCGAGTTTACCGGTGGATTTCATGCCCCTAGGTGCAGTAGAGGCAAATAAAAATGCAAGGACGATCGGATCGCCGTGGTAATTTAGGTCCGCCCCGTGAGAGCTCGGGATGAAGCCCCATTCAAAAAGCCGCCGCTCGCGATCGTCATCAGGGATATCCGCAAAGACAGACTCATCGACGAATGGAATGGCTTCTTCCTGTTGTCTATCCACCTTGAGCAGGTGAAAGAGGTCGTCTGGATCGAATGGAGTGTATCGTTCGCGATCATTATCGATTGTGCTTCGGGTGTGTGGATTTGATGCTGCTGCACTATCATCTGAGCCTGACTCGTCGTCTTGTTCTTCCTGGGCAGCCGGCAGCGACTTGAGAGCAAGGAGGCGCATGTGTCCAACGACGTGTTCTTCCATGCTGCCTTTCACATCCTCCACACCGCAAAGAGGACAAGACGTGAATAATGGGCCAGTAACACGGCCGCTCCGATCCGCCAAAACTCCAAGCTGGGCTTCGTTGAATTTGCCCCCGTGGCTCGTCTTCATGTGGTTGATATACTCGTCCTTTGTATCGCACACAACTGCAGGATGTGACTTGGACGTACAGCGCCATCGCATAGCATGCTGTTTCATGTGCTTTAGCCAAGCATCGCTATGATTGTAAAGGTGCTCGGGCGAGTCGCATTCCTCAAAGAGACATACGTAGGGATCGAGGTCATTCTTGACGTGCAATCTCCATTTCGACTCTTGGACCACATCCCGAACTGGAAGAGCATAAAAGCAAAACTGGCAGACTACTTCCCCCACTGCTCTTAGACAGTCGTCCCAGTACTCGTCCAATATCTGCTTGTGGGAAGAACGTTCGTTTCTGACGGCTTCCCGTGCCCATGAGGCTGGTGGCCTTTTCGGTCCGTAGTAGCCAGGGATAGCCCTCAAAGTAAAATTGAGCTGTTCGTCCTGTTCTTTTTCGAACCGCCGGTATCTTCTCATAAGAGCACCACACGGAGCAGGTGGGAACTGAAGTTGGTCATGACTGCTCAGGGCGACTGTCTTGGAGACGGAGATGACTGAGGGGGCAGCGGCTTGTTGGAACTTCTCGGCAACCAAGGTTGTTGCGGTCTGCGGAACTGATGGGACGATGCTAGGAGTAGGAGCTGGTGCAGGTTGCTGATTGACAGGTTGTCTTTGCACGCCAACGTTGGGTTTGACTTTGGGAGCCGAGACTGTAGGGGGCAATGGCAGCTCTGGGGGACGAATTGGTTTCTTGTCGTAACGTTTTCTTCGGTACAAAATCCGCTTCCGCCTTAGCACCATGCTATTAGCGAGGCGTTGCTGGATGGTGTCACTGGCTCCGGGGAATCTGTCTCGGATCTGGGTGCTAAATAATTGGCGGAGAAATGGTTCAGCATCGTTCCCTTCCTCATCTTGAATCTTGAACGACTTTTCGGCTTGGATATTTTGCTTCTCTTTGCTTGCACGGCGGATTGTGTTCGAGATTTTGTGTAGAAGGGTCAGCTCTTTGCTGATACCTTCTATGGCCTGGTCCAAATCGTCAGGGACCTTTTCCAGAAGCTTCCCTTTAGTCTTTTCGGCAAGCGGCCCAAGGATGTTTGAACCTGGGACAACATGGTCAGTAAACCGTCAGTGAGGTCACCCTGGAATCATCACCCACAACTCTGGACCTTGTAGTCCAAGGCCTGCAAAAGGCCAATAACAGCATCTTGCACATCTAACGCCTCCCGTAATCGGTGATCCAAAGAGTCTCGGCCAGCACTGAAGACCCGGATATTGGCAGCCCAGATGGCAAATCTCGCATGCTGATTCTCCACGAGCGATAGTTCACGGTGGTGGATTTGAGCGGCCTTGTTGAGGCAATTCTGGAAAGACTCGCTGCATGCTCGAGCACTTCCAGCGACCGTTGTTATGGCGGGTGGCGAGCCAGCCGCCGTGGTCGCCATATCGTTGATAAAGAGTTGAAACTGACCACTTGATCCAGCTGACGAATTGCGATAGAGGGGGGGTTTGGGATTTGAGGCAAGGGTGCCTCGAAATCGAGGCAAGCATACTGGTTTTCCGTTGGCTTAGTTATCTCATTGGTAGATGTTGCAGGGGGTCGTCTTGCAGCGTCAGATGATGATCCTACATCAAACCCCTCAGTTGAACCGCGGCGATGGCCTCGAGTCAAAACAAGGACGTCGCGAGCTCTCTACAGGCCACTTACCATAGATTGAAGGAGATCGCGCGGACATTGTGGCGGAGCCAGCATGATCCTCAGCTGAGGGGCTTCTACGCTGAGCTTCACGCGTACTTCACCATCATTTATCATCACCTAAAACGCATCAGCAACAGCCATGTCACATTCGATAAGAACGTCTTGGATCAGCTGCTAGACTGCATAGAGTCGATACTCACACGAAACCTCCTTCGACTGTCATCTGATGCCAGATTGCAACGCTTGGATGACCTACGAGACGACTTGGTAGACAATGGAGCCAAGGTGGAGGCCCTTCAGCCCTACTTGGACTTTGGAGCTACGCAAATTGAACGGGACGACTTTTTGGAGTCACTGAGCGCTCTCGAAAAGGAGCTCGAAACCCGATACCCAGAGGACATGTCACAGTGGGCCCCAGAGGACTTTGGCCCTTTAATCAAGATCAACGAGCCATCATATGCAGTCTGGACCGCTGCTCAGTCCATGTTCAAAGCCCTGGTAGCCTGCAAGGAGTGCGTCTGCACGCCCACCCACGACTTCGGCGCCCGTCTCTGTCTAGGTACTCACCGGAAGCCTGATTGTGAGGCTGATGACCAAGTCGACTTTGACATGTTTCTCTCCCTGAAGGAGGACTGGCATGAAGCACATGTTCATACAGCAAAGGAACGAGCAGTTAGGATTGCTGTGGAACAATCGAGACAGAGAAGGGCCCCGAGGAGCATGGCAGTGAAGCAGCTCTGCGAGCCGATTGTGAGAGTCAGCACCATGGCAGGATACCGGCTTCAACTCAAAGTCACGAGAGATCAGCTATTCAAGCTGCAGTCGGAGAGGAGTGCGTCCCTTGTGGACAAGACAAAGCATCCAGTCTCTTTGGACCAGTTTCTGAGAGACAGACCACGCAACTTCACCGAGAGGACGAAACGAATCTTGGCCGTCATCCTAAGCTCGACTGTGTTCCACTTGCACAATACCCCGTGGTTAGACCCGAGTTGGAATTCGTCCAATGTGCTATTTTTCCAGACCTCCTCATCAGCTGTCACCTTGCGGCCATTCATTCAGACGAAACTTTCACCTTTGGATTTCTCCCCACCGCATGATGGCCGCGAACACAGCCCGGATGCAAGCGAGTCCGAAGATTTGGACCCTGACGACCCGGATCCTGACGACTTTGACCCCGATGGCATGGACCCGGATGACTGGCTCATGCACCGATGTCCGGTTCTTGTGACGCTGGCAATGATGCTGTTGGAGATTTACTTTGCCACACCCTTCGATGCTCTAGCAAGACGATACAATGTTAACCTAGGCGAGTCGCAGAGCAGCACAAAGCATCTCGACGTCAGCGTAGTCTTCCAGGCATGCAGAACAGAGATCCCTGAGAATTCACAGTTCTATGTCGCCGTTGGGAGCTGTCTAGACGCACAGATATGGGAGACTGAGAATGGAGGTAGCCTCAACAGCGACGAGTTGAGATCCAGAATCTACGAAAAGGTGGTCCTGCCGCTGGAGACTGAGTTGAGTCAGGCTTACAGTTCAATTTCGATCAATGACTTGGACAAGTTTGCCGAAACGTTGGACTTTGCGAGCTGGGATCAGACGATACAGACTTTTAATCAACAAACGAATGTTGAGGCTTCTCGGCAGAACGAACTCACCCTGGGGTTGCAGAGAAGTTGCAGCCTGTCCCCTAGCTTTACAGCACCCTACCACCCACCAGGTTCTGCGCAGCATCCAGGGTCCTCAAACAGAAGGCTATCGGATTTGGATCCCAGAGCCACAACTTCAGCATCAAGCACGCCAAACCTACTCCGTTTTCCTTCTGGGCCCGATGCTGAAGCTTTATGCGACTCAACAGCATCTCTGAGCTTGGAGTCGTACCCTCAATGGAGGTATACGGTCGGAATCCTCTGCGCCCTCCCAAAGGAGCTTCTCGCCGTGCGCGCCCTATTCGACACAAAGCACAACAAGCCCAAGAACCTACGCGGAGACGTCAATAACTACGCACTAGGCACTATCAGCGGCCACATGGTCGTCGCCGCCTGCCTTCCAGCAGGAGAATACGGCACCAACGCCGCAGCGGATTCGGCGTCTAATATGAGGAGGAGCTTTCCGAGCATAACATTCTGTCTCCTCGTGGGGATCGGCGGCGGTGCTCCTACACGGCAAAATGATATCCGGCTCGGTGACGTGGTCGTGAGTCTCCCCACTGCTAGGTTCCCTGGCGTCATACAATATGATCGGGGGAAGGAAATCGAAAACAGTACTTTTGAACTTACTGGGACTCTTCAACCGCCTCCGAGACAGTTGATGACTGCCATCAGCTCTTTACGATCAAACCCTGATCTTCCTTCCGATCCATTACAACCGTTCCTGAATGACGTTGTAAATCGGGTGCCAGACTCATGGAAGCCAAAGTACATGCATCCAGGACAGGAACATGACCACCTGTTCTCACTAGCATGCTCTGCCTGCCAGGCTGGACGCTGCACAGACATGAACAATCACATCCAAAAGCGCCCACTTCGACTGACCGACCACCCCGAGATACACTACGGCCTCATCGCCTCAGCAAATCGTGTCCTCAAAGACGCAGCAGTGCGAGACCGCTGGGCACAAGAACACGGTATTTTGTGCTTTGAGATGGAGGCAGCAGGTGTCATGAATACGTTCCCGTGCCTTGTTATCCGCGGCATCTGCGATTATGCGGACTCATACAAGAACAAGGAGTGGCAGGAGTATGCGGCTGCGACGGCGGCGGCGTATGCAAAGTTGTTACTAACTGAGGTGGCCGTGTACGATAACACGAGGACCTGGTTCTGGGAACAAGAGAGGACTTGGACGGAATGTCGGCCACAGGAACAACCGATCAGTAGCGAGCAGAGAGTATAATAAACAACTTTTTCTTGTTCGCACGCTATCACGTTCAAATATTTCTGAGGGCGTGCGGCTACTAACTATCACCAAATGTTAAGCGTCGCTTAGACTAACAAAGACTTCATGCGAACGAGAATATAAGAAACGTCGGTGATTGCTATAGCTGCTACCTATGAGTTGAGGGCCATCTGCAATCCACCGGCTAACTGCAGGGAATGTGACAATGGAGTCCTTCTCAACTTAAACACTCCATAGTTACCTAATTATCCACACGACCCTTGCCACAAAGAAGTGAAAGCGTTCCATTGCGTAGGGAGAGAAACTACTGCTTGTACTCCACGGACGAAGGCTCAGGCACGGCAGCATCATTCCTCCGAACAGCCTTGTCAGCGTCTGCGCTGCTTCTATCAGCACTGTTATGGTCGACAATGTCACCATCGAGAACATTGCCACCTTCGAGGCCACCATCGTTAAGAACGGGGGTTTCGCCCACGGTGATCTGGGGTGCCACCTCATACTTGCCATCACCACGAGCGACACGGTGCCCGGGGATGAGGATGTTGAGGAAGCGGGGAGCGACAAATGCTCCAATGATGAAAATGACAACCATGTGCATGAGCACGAAACTGTAGATGAATGGTGGGTCGTCGGCGTGACCGTTGAGGAACTTGGGGTAGGCAAAAGAAAACACCAGTGCCACAGCAGGACCGGTGATGTACTTGAGGCAGATGGGCCAAACCCAATGAATCTTCCAGTTCTTGGAGCCACCGAGGATGGCACGGTTCAGGTCCCGGCGCAGTTGGTTGCCCTAGATACGACTGTCAGATACATGATAGAGATGCACTGGAAGAGGAATACATACCGAGTAGAAAGCCGTATACCAGAACCGGCTGAGGATCGGGTTGCTACCCCAGAATCTGGGAGCAGGGACAGTTGGAGTCTTGCCTACAAAGGCAGAGAATAGAGCGCAGGCGATGAAAATGCCAAAGCCAACGCCAGCACCAACACTAGGGTTCACGAGGTGGCCAAGGAGGAGACCAATGACGATGGAGGCGACGTAACCGCCATTGTAGACAAAATAGCTGATGGCTCCAATTTGGTCAACAGGGTCTCTCCAGCGGTAAAGCGTACAGGCCATGTAGGTCTCAGACCAGACGGTAATGAAGAGAGCGACGTCGTTGACAAACATATCAACAGCATCCAGAGTGTTGAAGCCAAACTCGCTGCAATAGATGAGTGTAGTCAAAACACCGAGAATAATAACCGAGGTAGAGATGACCCAGCGAGGCACACGTTGACCAAGGTCAGTGTCACAGAGGAGCGTGACTAGCACCTCGGCCAAGGCAAACACGCATGTGAGTCCAAGAAGAACCAAGGTCAAGAAGAACAATGCCGAGAAGAAGTTGGAACCGGGCATTTGCGCAAGAGCCTCTGGGTAGTAGAAGAAGCCCGAGCTAAAGGTAGACAAGGGATCTACCTCTCCAGGGTTGATGGCCAGAAATCCGACAACGCCCATGACAGCCAATGCGGACGTGATCTCGATGGCTGAGTTGCTGAGTGCGATGATGAAAGCATCCTGAACCGCGTTGGCGAATTTGTTGTTGTATGAGGCGTACGACGTGAAGTAACCGAAACCAACACCAATCGAGAAGAACATTTGTCCAAAGGCATCCTGCCATACTCGGGGACCCTCGAGGGACTCGCTTCGCCACATGCCGACATATAGCTTGAAGCCATCAGAGGCATTGGGAAGCGAAAGTGATCGGATGGCTAGAATTCCAATCATGACGAGTGGCAAGGCCATGGTGATGTAAATGACGCGTCCTGTAAGACCAACACCCTTGAAGGTACACATCCAGACGACGAACCAAATCATGATACCCCAGCCAAAGGTCTCGCCAATGATGCCGCGGCCGGGATAAGACTTGAGACCACCGCCATCCTCATCACCTCCGGTTGGAGGGACATTACGAACAACCTCGTTCAAGAAGAAGTCGACAGTGTCGCCACCCGCCCAAGGAAGAGGACTCTTGAAGGATAGTCGGAAATATGTCATGGCCCAAGCCAGAATCGGGACATAGTAGCCCACGACGCTGAAACCGTTGAACACCATGGACAGGCCAATACCCTTTGCTCGATGGTTGACGTTGTTCCAAGCAATGACGCAGCCACCACGATAGGCCTGTCCGAGTGTGATTTCGAGGATCAGGATAGGGATTCCAATAAGGAAGAGTGCGACGGCATATGGAATGAAGAACTGCAGGCCGTAGTTGTTAAACACGACAGACGGGAATCGAAGCAGGTTACCCAGGCCGACAGCGCCGCCCATGGCACAGAGAACGAATTGCGATCGCGAGTTAAAGTTGTCACGACCCTCGTCATCTTTTGCCGAGTCTGGTGCAAGCATCAAGAAGATTCTCTTTGCCAGGCCCGGCTTGGGGCCACCCTCGGCTTTCGCCATGTTGAGCGGTAGGAATAAAGGGGGGAGTAGAACAAAGTGAGGAGGACCCTTTATGCAGGATAATGCAAAACAAGTGGGTTTCGGGGAAGATGGGGATGAACCATGGAACTTTCTTCGAAGGGAGGAGGATGGTGGAGCAGATCGTTCCATATATACCCCAGATCAGACCTCGAAAGGTGACGTGCGACCCCAGACACAGCCAAGATCTTGGAGATGCTGCCGAGAAGTCTGTTTGATAGGCAATTGTTCCATCATTGGATTCTTAAAGGAAGGTAATCAAGGGTAACCGTGTTGCCAAGATAATACCCCAGCACAGCATACCAATAATCCAAGAGCTTGGCGACTCGGTTCTTACGCCAAGATGCTCCTCTCCAATCCTGACGAGTGCCAATGCAATCCTCTATCTCGTGATTTGTACCGCCAAGCGACAGGAACGGAAGGTACAAGCATGGCCAACAGTCCATTTGATAAAGCGCCGTAATTCTCCTTAATAAGAAGCCAAGAATGCCAATCTTGAACCTGGGGTACCGTAGTCTTCTTTCAGCAGGTGGGCTTGGATGATGCCTTTTGGTCGCATGACCAACCCGCCAAGATACATAAAGCCATGGCATAATACTTAAATGGTCCAATAATAGGGCATATCAATTGCTAGGGCAAAAAATCAGCTGAGAAGAGCCTCGGGCAGGGAAAAAGGGAGGATAGAGGCCGCCTGGATTGTGTGTTCACTACGGACTTTTGACGAACTGAAGACGGTTTCACAGCGCGTTTCAGGTATAAATCTGCCAACAAGAACAAATTCCAGCTCATCTAATATGCCACGTTTCAAGACCAGAAGCTAGAAGCTATCCCGACAAGCAGGCAAATTTCATGTACGCCGTCTTGGTCAGAAAACGCATCTTCTTTCCCCACACAATCAACAATCCAGCAGCCATGGTAATAACAAAAGACAGGCACCCGACCGTGATAAATGTGTCCGTTACACCCATGCTGTCGATCCAAGGCTGGATCCCAAAAGTGAGCGCACTGCCAATGATATTTCGGATCAGAATAACCGTAGTAACAGCCTCGCCGTCGATTGCTTGATAGCAATCAACCGTGTAGGCCACCGTGAGCGCCGCCGCAACTGACAGGCCGAATCCTACCAGTCCCATGCCAATTATCGGTGCAATCCATGGCAGACCTTTAGCTGCACCGACGCCATAGAGGATCAAACCTCCAGGCATGATGAAGGCCGTCGGGAGGAAAGCCCAAAGACGAAACTCGGGCTCACGCCAGCCGCGGTTGCGGCGAGATAAAAACATGGTGAGTTGGTCGTTGAATGAACCAGCAAAGTAAGAACTAAAAGTACACGATGGTTAGAGAGCATGTTGCATGTGATTCTCGTGGAAATTTACCCAAAGATTGCACCAACAAGTGGCGAAAGCCAAATAAGGCCAAGAGCATCGTTGCCAAAATTGTAAGGTGCCGAGCCAAGGATGGTGGCAGTGGTTGTGCCCAGAACACTGATCCAAGAAACAGAGGCGCCGTACATGATGCCACACTATGTATTAAGCATCAGTAATGCCGCGTCAGCAACTCTTATGCCGTGCTTACCCAGAGGATGACCGGGAACCAAGCCAGCTGCAGGGGCTGATAACATTGCTTGGCCAAGATGCCAAGAGTACCTGGGAAGACGGTCCACAGGCTGGTCTGGAACTTGAAGGTGTCTGCATCCAAGACTTCGCCAACCCTGTGGACAGAAGTGTTGCTGCCGTGGTGCTGCAGGTCGTTCTTTTCGTCCTTGATAACTTCCTGGGCTGTCTTGTTGACTTCTGAATTGGAATCCTGAGTGGTCGTTCCTCGTTCATTGGAATCAAAGGTGGTTGACTCGACTTGAGATGGCTTTCTGATGAAGCGACTTTCCTCGAGTGTCAAGAACATGGCAACCCAGACGACGCCGCAGAGGATGGCTCCCCACCAGTACACCCAGCGCCAGTGCAGTGTCTTGACCATGTAACCGGAGGCGATGGGGCCGACAGAGGATCCAAACATCAGACCGAACGAGTAAATACCGAGTCCAAAGCCTCTCTCATGGATAAAGAGAACATCTGCTATCGAAATCGGAATCAACGCTTCGTAGGGCGCGCGGCCCAGACCAAAGAGGACGTGGGCGCCGATGAAATCACCAGAGTTCTTAGCTTTGGCGAGCCATATCTTGCTGGCGATGACGATAATCAGGCTGGATAGATAGGTGAATCTGCGACCAAGTTCTGCATTCTGTCAGTAGCCAAGTCAACGACCATGCTTTCAATGTTCTGCTTACTGTGGGAGAGGGGTGTGAAAAAGACATTGCCAACGCCAAGCATCAACAGAGTCAGGGCCATGCCAACATTTAGAAGAGTGATGGTGGTGCCAAGTGCCTCTTGGATATTGACATAGATGGAGGCTTCCCAGTTGCCCAGGGCAGTCATGAGCGTGCCATAGGCGATGAGGAGGAACAGATGATACCTCTTACGCCAGACAGACCAGCGCAGGGGATCTGTCAAGTCATCGGATGGAGTGGGTATCAAGATGACAGCAGCGGTTGAGTCAACAGACAAAGCGGACGGCTGCTCGACGATGTACACCGTTCCGGGTGCAATGTCATAATCAGACGTATGGTCGCGTGTAGTAGACTCCATAGAGTAGCTTGGTAGGGATGCTGGTGGAAAGACTTGAGATGATGGATGAGGCGATGTGAAGAGCTTTCTCCAGCTGATGATTCCTCCCTCTTATAATGACTCGAACGTTGGACGAAGTGAGTTCCCATAGCTCAGTGACTCTTATCAACAACGTGCCGAGTGAAGTTGCCGGATGATAAATGAATGAGTCGAGCTGGTGATAGTTTCCTATCTTCAATTTGATGTGAACTAAACCCAAAAGAGTCTTCCGACACGCTAAACGTTGAACTCTATCAACTCCCAGTGTCGGAATTTGCCTCCGTGATACCATCGTCAACTACCCTGTAATCAGCTAAACCTAAACAGGTCTTCCGACACGCTAAGGATTTGGTGGGAATCTGGGGATAGCCTCATACCCCGCGATATCATCATTTCGATAACTCATTTTTACGTAAAACTCCCAAGGTTCCGATTCCGGAACTGGGTCCGAAAAAGATTGGCGAGCAGGGGTCGAAGCTGGGATTCAAGGTGCTTACGGGCGCCAAGAACAGTCCTGCTGATTAAATGGAGAGAACCCACAAAGTCATGGCGTATAAGAGACCAAACTCGTCCTCTTCAACCCCTGTCTTGAGATCAGTAACCCAGCATTAGCCCCTTCATCCATCTTTTCCCTATCATCTCTAAAGACTCAAATTCTTATCATGGCTATCAAGATTATCCCGAGCCCGGATCTCGATGAGGTCCGCCAGGTCATATCGGATTACATCCAAGGATTGTCTGACAAGCTGTGGACTTTGAACAAGCAGGTGAGCGAGAAAACTTTGATCTCGATGATGAGCTAGCAATCTGGACTAACACGAAGACGCTCGCATTAGATCCACGATGAACCCGAGATTGCCTTTGAAGAGTTCAAAGCCCAACAGCACATCTCAGCCTTTCTCGAATCCCAGGGCCATCAGGTTCAACGAGGAGCGTACAACCTTCCCACCGCGTTCGAGTCGATGCGCGGAACTGGTGGCAGATGCGTCAACTTCAACGCCGAATATGATGCCCTCCCAGGGCTTGGCCACGCTTGCGGGCACAACTTGATCGCAACAGCTGGCGTCGCTGCCTATCTAGCCTTGTCGTTTGTCCTAGATAGGTACGGCATTGAGGGTAGGACGCAGCTACTGGGCACGCCTGCTGAAGAAGATGGCGGAGGAAAGGTCTTGCTCCTCGATGCAGGGGCATACAAAGACGCCGACGTCTCTCTGATGATGTAAGTCCCAATATCAGCTTGTTGTAGCTCTTACTCACCCTCACGCCAGTCACCCCATGATTGAAGCCGACTATAAACACCAAGGCACATTTGGTTCAGCCGGTCCCTCTTCCATCGCCGTCACCGACCTTGTTGCCGAGTACAAAGGCTCCAGTGCCCATGCTGCCGCAAACCCATGGGATGGCATCAACGCCCTTGACGCTCTCGTAGCGTCATACAACAATGTCTCGATGCTGCGACAGCAAATAAAGCCCGATGAGCGCATCCACGGGTGTGTCATGGAGGCGCCTCGGTTCACCAACGCTATTCCAGACTACACCCAGGTTAAATACACAGTCCGCAGCGCCAATATGGAGTCTCTTAAACAGTTGACTAGCCGTGTTCGAAGGTGTATCGAAGCTGGGGCAACGGCGACAGGCTGCGAGGTAGCGGTGAAAGAACACTTTGCGTATGCGGATCTTTGGGTTAATCAACCTCTCTGTTCTCTTTTCAAGCAACAGATGGATATTCTCGGCGTTCCTATCTCCATGCCTAGCGAGGGTGAGACCATCGGGGGCTCGACGGATATGGGCAATGTCAGTCAGGCGGTGCCTGGGTTGCACGGTATAATTGGTATTCCTACGCCTCCTGGAACGTCCATGCATAATCGAACTTTTGCGGAAGCCGCTGGCACTGTAGAGGCTCATGAGAGAATTCTTGAGGCTGCCAAGGCTATGGCTGTTACGGGGTGGTCTGTCCTAGTGGACGACGGTCTGTTTACTAGGATTGAAAAGGACTTTCAACAGCGTAGATCAAAGCCATTCAGATCTTAGATGGCCATGGGGCATATAGAAGCAGTATTGGTAGATAATTGTTATCCTACACGATGACTGTCCTCATAAGTGACTCGTTGAATAACACGTCCAGCCCCAAAGCACTGTCTGCTGCAGAAAAGTAGCCAAACCCATCTGGGGACGCAAATCCCTCCTTTCTCAAGCCTTTCTGACCATTGTCCTCCAACTCAACGGCAGACGGCGTATCTCGAGTTCCCCATGCCGACGCCAGAAATTGCAGAATTGACGTCGCCGATCGTTCACCTGCAAAGTGACGCATTGCCTCCACGTGTGCAATAATCACCGACTTGTCTTGACTTGACGAAGCGGCAATTCCAAGTACAGTGATTGGCCAGAGCAGGCATGGCATATCAGTTCGGATGTGGCGGAGATGAAACAGTGCGGATTTGAAGGTTGTCGTAACGTTCGAGTCGTCGACTGTAGTGGCAGGACATGCCAGCTTCAGGATGAGGAGGCTCGCTGCCAAAAAGTAGAGCTGTCGCATATGGAAGCCCTCGTCGGTGTAGTCATTACATAGAGAGCTTTTGTTCAGCTCAAGCGGGACTACTGCTTCCTCATGGATAAGTTGGTCAGCATGATCTGGGTCCATCTGTTCGCCAATTTTCTCTTCCGGGGGGCTGTCAGGGGGCGACAGTCCTTGATGTAGCTTGTCAAGTTGAGAATGCAGCTCATTTAGCCTTTTTCTCATTTCATCTGGAGAAATCTTGCACCTATTGTGTAGTACATGGGAGGCCTTGAATATGATGTCAAAGGTCCAGATAGGGAGGAAAGCCGATAACCCGACCGTCTTGAGTTGAGGGCTGGAGGCACTCTGCTGAAGCACAGAAGAATCCGACCAAAGCCGTATTATTTTTGAGAGGTCTTCGTAGTTTTCCAAGGGACTAGGTCGAAAAGTACTGTTTTTTGCAATTTGGTAGATGAACGCCTCAACAGTCAATGCTTGGTGAGCATTTGAAGGAGGTCGGTTGATGGCGGCATGCAACCTGGCTGCTGCAGATAGGTGTGCCGTGGACGAGTCACTGTTGACATCGCCGAATCTCTGAGATTTCATCTCTCAGCCTTTATTCGAGATCCATCGCGTGCGTGCAAGAGATGAGAAAACTTACCCCGAAAACGTGGAGGATGAGGATAGTCGCAAAGGTCGACTCGTCTGCCACGTTAACACCATACTCGATACTTCTCCTTAACTCCCTTATGGCCTGTGTATACTGCCTAAGCGCATGTGCTCGCCAACTTGTTTGGAACTGTGAGATGAGCATCGCCGAACATGAGAGCCAAGCATGGAGCATGCCTGGAGATCTCGAGAGCCAAGGAAATCCCTGGGTCAGGAGAGAATATTCCCCGCCAAAATCATGACCTGATGTTGCTCGGTCAAACACCTGTAGCAAGTCTACCATGGAGCAGGATGGTAGGCTTCTGGCGCATTCGGAAAACACATTTGAGACACTCAGGCTGTAGAGTGGCAACGCAACGGCCATGTCGCTTGGACTATTTACGTTGCTGAAGCCTCCAGCCTCGCTTGCCGACGAGATCAATTCAGAGACTGAGGAAGATGGAGATTGGTAACTTCTTGGGCCTGGTGATCGAGAGTTCTGGGTTCCCTCAGCGTCGGAATTAGGCGCGTCATCTGAGATTTTGTGCCAACGGCAAGTGGCCCGACGCGTAGAGCATTGGCCGCACATGGGTCGAGACTCATCACATTTCTTGCGTCTTTCCCGGCCTATAAGAACATGTAAGATAAGCTATCCTCTCGCTATGAAGGAATCATAACCTACATGGAATGCATCCCTTTCGAGACCGTCGACGTTTTCGTTTCTGCTCAGCGTTCACCCAACCCCCTGAATAAAGCTCAAAGTTTGCAAACATCGAGTCCGGTGATTCAGGCTGTAGTATGACTGGGTGAGGATGGATGTTGGATTATCTGGATTATAACCTCATGGCAATGATAACAATTGACTACTGATGATGGAGGTTGGGGAAGTACGCTTTCTCTCGGAGGTCTTGAGTTGGTTTAATCCGAAGTGGCGAGAGGATTATCATTGCCGATATCAAAGCCGAGGCCGCACCCAAAACAGTTTAGGCCCAGCTGGTCGAGGGTACAAATTCACGATACGTAAAATCGTCCATTGGTTAGCTATGGGATAGATAAACTAGTGCCATGCAGTAACGCTGCAACTCATGGGCACATTGAGGCCCAGACCTCAGCTTCAAAGGGATACCCGACAGAGGGATGCGAGCTCGCAAAGTACCTAAAGACAGTAATTCCTGATACCAATCATCTTAACAGGTTGGTCAAACAGATATCTTGAGTGACTGGCTTTGAGACCGATCATTACCTATTTATAAAACACACATCTATCGTCACACTCTACTGCAGGTATATGATACCAACCCTACGAAAGGGAATCTCTATCGCTACTGCAAAAGACGTGTATCTTCATCCAACACGCCAAAAACGCTTCCAATCTCCTTTCCAACCATCCTCAACTCATCCGCCACCTGGCCTGTGACAAGAGCATACGCATATAGCAGAGCATAATCTCTCTCCTCGACCAAAACTTCAGCCGGATCGTCGCTATCCTCGCTGTCATGGCTTGGTGGTCTTGACGAATGCTCCTTTCTGAACTGAAAGATTTTGCTTAGAAGATTCTCGCGTGCTGAGACGATGCTGGGGGTTGCGTCAGCAAAGGGATATTCCAGCATTGTTGAGCTGGCCACGACTTGGAAGGCCTGACATATGTGATCGCACAGAATAGCACGCTCCCGAGCTGTGTACTGCAACAACGCCCGTTCTCCCTCTGTGATGTGTCCCTTACGACATGCTACAAGGCTCATGCCATAGAAGCCATCAAGGATACGATCCGTGCCTCTCAAAACACGGCCGTAAACATCCACCGGGAATGGTCCTCGCAGTTCAAACTCGGACGCTGCAGCCTGTCTCAGATTCTCCAGTTCAGCCGCATATCTCTGAAGAGCGGCCTGTTCTCCAGACTTGAGATAGCTCTGAGATCCTTCACTGCGGTACAGCACAGCGAGAGGTCCACGCTTCCAGATCAGACCCATCTGGAGATGCAGCACCGAGAGACTCTCTTTGAACTTTTGACGAGCCGAAATAGGCCAGATGAGTCTGCAGACGACAAGACCCCAGATGATACCGGCTGTAACGGCGATGGCTCGATGTTGTGCAATGTCGACGATATCCGGCTGTTCAACTTCTTCGTCTGTTGTACTGTCTTTGCCATTTGCCTTTCTCTGCATGCTATACGCATACAGTGTCGACACGTTATACGCGAGCAAGCTGATTCGTCCCAAGGCAGCCTTTCCGTGCTGAATGATGATGTAAAAGTTGATAAAACTGGCGAGCCAGCCAAGAAAGATCAAGGCAAATGCATAGCCATGGCTAACTTTCCAGTTGATGACAGATGCGAGGGCTCCAAAGAGAGTGCCTATGAAACGTGCCCAGCCTACGGTGTTGGAGGCGCCAACTGTCATGGAACAGACAATCATGAATGACAGCAAGCCCCATTCGCCGCGCCATTGGTTATATACTTCTCGCGTCTGCGGGAGGAAAGCGAGCATAGCCCACATAGCAGCTCCGATGCCGACCTTGAGTCCAAACTGAACTGCCAGTTGTTAGTAGGGTCACACACGCACACGGATATGCTTACTTACTTTCGTCTCGTGCCATCTTCTTAAACAAGGCCGAGAGATTCCGCCAAAACCAAGCCAGCACCTTGTTCACATCAGGCGCATTGTACCAAGTCGCAACATCAACTCTCGTGGGGAGTGCTCTGGGTTCTTCCGGGGAGCTGAGAGATCTCGATCTCGTCCGTATCAAAGTGTCCGCCTCTGCCGAGTCAAACATTCTGATGGCATCGTTGTGGTCTGCTGCATTCCGGTCTTGCCAGAAGAGAATCCATCGCCAACTTCGACTCTTGTGCAGTATGACATACTCCAGGTCATCCAAGACGTCTAGGTACTGTAGAACTTCTTCTCCAAATGACTGTAAACTGAAGGTGAAGTGTCCGCACGCTGCAGCGACTTCCTCCAGGTTCGCCCTCGTTGTTGTGGGGGATGAAGCCATCTGTTCGATACGGTCATAGAGTCCCTGCAACGCATCCGCTCGAGTCGTGTTGAAAGTTTCCAGCGAATCCATCAGATTTCGTCGTAGATCTTCGTCAATATTGATCTCATAGCTTGGTGGTCTCCCAAATTGCGGCTCATGTAGGATCCTGCAGAGATTCTGTCGCAACGAAGTCATAGACATGCTGATTGAGCTATTGAATAGCTCAAATAAGTCGCGAGCATGGTTCACAGGTGGCTGCCCCGGTTCACCTGGGCTTGCTGGCTTTGGATGCTTCAACTGCTCAAGTTGAGTGTTGGTAGCGTTCCTCAGTCCACCGAGAGATTGTGCCAGGTTCTCCATTGACCTTGCAACAGATTTCTCATGATCATAAACCTCTTCATGACCAAGGAAGTAATGCTCAAACTTGGCTTCCCTCATATCCTTCATCATCTGGGTGTACGACTTGGAATAGTGGGAAGTAGCGGCCGCGAAGCCATCAGACACAAGCCCAGCCTCAGAACCACTCAAAAAGCTTCCGGTAATCATGTATAGCATGTCCCCAAGTGGAACTGAAACTCGGTTCATAGTCTGACGAAGTGATTGCCGAGCAGAACTTCGCCATAACAACAGATTCACCGCAGCTGTAGTGGTGATTCCCATGACAAGCATCTTGAAGACCTGTAATATCTTTTCATTGGAAAAGACATTGGACATAACGTGGTTCTCTCTAGTAACGACGCCGATAATAGCAAGCGAAGCGAGAGTGCTGCCAACGTTGACGAGAGGATTTTGCATCCTCTGCTTGGCCCAGCCCATGAACCCAAACCCGCCACCAATAAAGATGACAACAACTAGAATGTGCGAGACGGTTACTAGATGCATGGTAGAGCCGAAAAAGACCGAAGTAGCCATTGACAGAATCGAGATTAGCTCGCCGTAAGCAACGGCCACAATCGCGATGAGAATAGCCTCGATCATGGACCCCACGGACCGGGCGGGGTGGAAATAGACGGTGATAGTTGCCACAACATGTTTCCCGTCAGGCTTCCCTAGGAAATTCGACAAGAAAGGAACAAAAGTCGCGAGACTGGCGATGGTATAGGCGATGGTGCATTTAAAGACTCCGCGAGCTTGAGGCGTATCGAGCCAAAGCCGAGACCGGGCAGCCGAGTCCAAGAGGGCATTCCTCACAGTGTCGATGAACGGAGCCATCGTCTGCAAGAATCATCTCTCTCTTCAAGGCGTACAAAGTCTCATTGTCGTCGTCGTTGTCGTTGCTGACATTATGTCATGATGCAGGAGCCTGACGAGCTGCAGCTAAAATTCCGTTGGTTCCGGGGAACGCGGCTGGTCAGGTGATTCGTCGCTGAATCAGCCACTGTGACCCCAGCCTCCTGAATTAACCACCTGATTTTTACATCACAAGAGGAGATAATTCGTCTTTTCAAACGTGGCCACGTACAATGATTTTACACACGGACGTCGCAGGGAGATGCTGGGCGATGTGCAGTCTCTTTGCCAATGCACAGGCTGGCCTGAGACTAACGACGTCGAGCCTGACTTTCACCCTGGCGACAACGTCGAAACTTGTCAACAGTCAAATACTAATAGACCTCAGAGCACGCGAAAAAATACCATGCAAGATATATATTGAGTAATTTCTACTGGAAATTTAAGTCAGTGTCCATGTTCTCGGTGACACAACTCTGCAAACTCCAGAGGCCAAAGAATATACTCTTCGTAGCCAGATGGTAGCTTTTTAGAGATCTCCTTTGTCCAGTTTGCAATAATAACCCTCCTGAAAGGAAACGAGTCGATTATTGGCTTCAGAGCGATGGCTGCGAGGATGTACTCGATAACAAAGAAATGAGCCATGATGATTTGGGCGGCATAGTTCGATCGCTCAGTGAAGTGATTAAACTCGACCTCGCTTGTTTCGCCAAAGATCATATAAGCCGAGCAGATTTCTGTGAAGCCTGTTTGCACTATTAGCAAGCGATTTAGGTGTTGAGATCTAATGTAAGCTGTACCTTCGACAGGTGACGTTTTTGATACCTTCAAGATCCTGCCAAGAACACTCAGAAATCTGACTTCCAATACGCTATTACATATTGGTCTCAAGTTGTTGACTGATGTGAGAGCGGCATCCAAAACATCGCCAAGTAGTTCATCAACAGGATCATATTGTTGAAGAGAAAGGACCCTCTCAGCATGACTCTCGGCTGTGAAGCCAGAAAAGAGTGATTCCTCCAATACTGGTATCACAGTATGAGAAACTACCGTGCAGCCACGAAGCATGATCATGAACTCAATCATTCCCTCAGGCATATATGAGGATTGAAAGGTAAGAGCCATGATGGTGGCATATCGAGCATCGGCTTCAGCTTTTGACACGCATGGTTTGCTCAACCGCTGGTTAAAGAGTCTTATGGCGTGAACACGATGTGTCAGCGCTTGAGAAGAGAACTCGGTGGTATCGCACAGGGACAAGTGAGAAGCTGCCAATCCAAGCATTGCGTGCATCAAAAAGTTGAACTGTGAGAAATGTCAGCTCAAAGCCTCTCACTTCACAAGGCCTAACAGACGTTGTGCGAAATAGTAGCAACCTGCTTCCAAATTTCATCTCCCTTGATAGGTAGCGGTGGATAAGCATGAGACAGAAAATGGTGAAAGAAGCGCAAGTCCTCCATACTGAATTGAGTCGGCGTTGATTGAAGAGTCTTGGGGGGAATCATGCTCGAGTATTCGCATGTTATACCCAGTCGTTTGCAGTTGTCACACTCTGGAAACGTCTCTGGACATTTCACTCTTCGTCGCTTGCAGTTGAGGCATCCCTTTCTTGATTTCGTGTGGCCTTTTCGCGGTATGGCGCGTCCACGGGTTCGAGTCCGAGTATTCTTGACTGTCAGAGCGTTCTCCGACGATGACTCTGCTGGCGATGGAGGCAGCAGAGTGAGCTTCGCGATTTCCATGGTTGCTGCTTGGCGTAAGTAATCGGTAGCAGGTTGAAATTCATTCACGACGTGATGTTTGGCCTCAGGAAATCGCGTCAGCCCACACGTCATAGTGGCTGTAAGACCGGACTAATCCTTCCCCGCTCAACGCCTCACGAAGAATGGCTGGCGCTAAAGATAGGAACTTGGCCATTTTTTGCCTCCCAAATTCCGCCTTGTGTCGATAATTGTCTTGTTGTCGTATATCTGTACTGGCCAGCGGTATGGCTTCAAACAGACCACAAAGCATGAGATGTATTGTCATGTGCATTTCTCAATCAATTGCTGACGCTCAACATGCAAGGGACTCGTCCAAAAAACTTGCCTCGAGACCGAAGACAATATTGTCGCCACTGGGTTTCTTGCTCATCACGTAGCATGACTATCATCCGATAAACATGCCAGCCCAAAGACTCAACATGAAGCTATTCAGAAGATGACAAGAGGATCATTCTTATTATTTAGCCCTACTGAGCGCACGTGACTGTAACCCCCTCCCCATCACACATCACCACCAACTCGCAGCTTGAGCCTCAATGAACATGGATGCATGGCATCAACCGCGTGAATATTGACATTATTTCCACCGGATCCATCCATTACCGACTCAAACCGCCTCCTCTCCCCCCGTGATGAATTCCCCCTCGCCCAATGGTTTGATCCATCGGCAGGTCTCCCGATCCGACCCACCAAAGTGGACTATGCTCTCCGGCCCAGACCGATCATGTCGCTGGCAAATTTTGTCGGCTCTCAGAATAGCTTCCCAATGCGGCAATGGCGACATATGGGTCCAGAAATAGATGACTAGGTCTTGGCCTTGTAAGCTTAATTTTTTACTACTGCTCTCAAAACAGCTTCCGAATGAGTTAGTCGAGACCCAGAGTTGGAGTTTTGAAGACGTAAACGTGTGGATTCTGGGTATCGACAGTGTCGACGATGTCGGATCTGGTGTTGTATAAATATGGCGGTGATGAGGCTCTTGGGTTAGAGCATCAGGGCAAGAATCTCAGGAAAGCACGACAAGATTTTAGACTGCGACTCTCGCCATGAAGAACCAGCAGATGGCTTCCGCTGTCGAATCGACACTCTCTGAAAAGGGCCCAGTCGTTGATGTGGAGAGCGCACCGAGCTCTGCTGCTCCATCTATCCCTGATGCTGGCCAAGACTCGGATGATTCCTTGGACTCTTTGGGGAAAGATATCGAGGGAGACCTCGCTGCTTGGGCATGCGTGCTTGGGTCCTTGCTATTTCTGATCCCTTCCTTCGGTAAGTACATCCAGGTTCACTCTCATCACCTAACAACTAACAGCCCATGACAGGTTTCATGGCTTCCATCGGAACAGTTCAGTCTTACCTCAGCCTCAACCAACTAAGCGACTATTCCGTCAGCCAAGTTGGTTGGATCAGCGGAGTGTACCTATTCCTCTCCCTCATCTTTAACTTCCAGATCGGATCTATCCTAGATCGATACGGACCTCGGGCTCTTAGTCCCGTCGGAGGCGTGTTTTCCACGGCCACTTTCCTCCTACTGGCCGAGTGTAAAACCTATTGGCAGTTTATGCTGTGCTTTGGTGTCTTTGGAAGCATTGGCACGGGTATCGACTGCACCACGGCTATTGGCGTGGTTGGGAAGCTCTTCGTTCGCCGTCGCGGCTTGGCTATTGGCACGGCAGTTCTAGGAACATCCCTCGGTTCCATCATCTTTCCCCTCCTCTTGCGCTCCACGTTCCAATCTCTCGGATGGGCATGGTCGATGAGGATCGTGGCCCTAGTCGTGGGCATGGTATCGGTACTGGGAGTCATCTGCTTCCTGCCCTTTGACCGACTGGTTTCCGCCAACTCGACCTCCACCAAGGCCAAGGCTGAAGGTTTCTCACTTGATCTGTCAGCATGGAGAAACCCGACCTTTGTGTTTGTGTCGTGCGGCGTCTTCCTGATCGAGTTTGTTGTCTTCGGCATTGGTGGGCTCTTGCCAACCATCTCAGTCGGCGCCGGCTTCACAGCCGAAGATGGATATACTCTTCTTTCCATTCTAGGTGCTTGCTCTTGTGTTGGCCGTTTCAGCATGGGCTTTATCGGTGACAGACTCGGAGCTCTGAACTCAATGATCGCGGTCTTGATCCTCACTATTGTCTTCATGGCTACGATCTTTATTCCCTTCAGTACCACCTCAGCCCCTCTTCTGTACACCTTCAGTGCACTTTGGGGGTACTGTTCGGGGTCTTTTTACGCACTCTCGCCTGGTAAGTCTAACCTGACACTTGCTTGAAGCCAGCTAACATTGATCAGTCTGCACAGGTAAAACATGCGAGCCCAAAGACTATGCGAGATACTATGGTGCGTATTGGAGCCGTTCCATCCTTCGTTCTAATGCTAATAAGTAATCAGGATCTACCAACTTTTCGGTTGGCATCGCACTGCTGCTGGCCAATCCTCTCAGTGGCATTATGTTGGAGAAGCTGGGCGCTCAGCCATTGGCATGCTTTTATCTTGCCATTGTCTCTGTCGCGGGCGTCTCTTTCACTGTGGCCCGGGGTTTGTTGATTGGGAACTTTACTACCTTCAAAACGAAGATGTAGATTGCATTCGATACGGCGTTGGTTACTTTGGGTTGAGCATTTTCGACAGTTGAGCATCATGTGGAGCAAAAAGCATTGGGTTGAAAGGCGGCATACAAAAAAATATTGGAATTGGATATGAGAAGGAGATAATGTCATAATTAGGAGCAGATAAAGAATCGGGGTTTTCATTGGCACGAGGAAAGTCGGAGTATGAGTCCGTGATGGGACGCTATCTGTGGTGTCGCAATGCTTGTCTCTGCGAAATATTTCCAGTGTTTTTTTTTGCATGGTTTCATTTGTGTTGCCAGATGGAGTGAACTGCGTACCCTAGACGGATGCTGATGACCCGACGGAGCAATTCATTACTGACATTGGTGTCAGAAGGTGAACCAAGGCCTGCTGGTCCATGGCTTTGATCTCACTCTGGTCTCCGACAGTAGGGGCTGAGTGGATGTACCAGCTAAAGCGGCAGGGCATATCCGAAGATGTCAATCGCATCCTTTAAGGCTGGCTGGAAAACTTCTAGAATATTTCTAGATCAGCACAAGCGAAGGACGGACAAGCCTCAATCCGAAAGTCAAGACCGGCATCGGAGGTCCGGCTCGTCGCCATGATCCGTCCGACAGCCCGGGGCCGGTAAAACCTCTAGGTTGATCGGCAGGGCTCATGTACTGAGGTGCGCAAGGGATGACCCGAATTGAAGACGCGGCGCTTATGTTGATCTAAAGGACGAGTAAGCAGCAACACCGACTTTCCTCTGTACGCCCAAATTATAACATTCACATTCCTGGATCACGTACATCTTCTCAACGTCGGCGAAACATGTCAACACCGACCGACAATCCCCAGAGTCGGACGCGCGGACCAGAGAAACCCCCGGAGTCGGGCAAACTCCTCACAGCGCCCGTGGGACACCATGGCCTGATGGATTCTCAGCTCGGTACACCTCTCCAGTGAGATTGCCGCGTTTTATCTAATCCATCTCATCAAATTTCAGGTTCGCCGGTTCTCATAGGTCAGCTCGTCTAAACGCGCGGGACGCATTTCCGCGCTCTGGGCACGAAACGCTGTGATGCGTCGTGAGCGGACCCGCGAGAATTCCGCCCTGCAGGACCTTGATGGGGTCTCAGGCTTTCAGCTGGGCGTTTTACGTTGGGAGACATAAAATATCACGCGAAGGGCTTCTGTTTGAAGCTACTTGATAGTTGCAAAGGTGGAAAACAAGAGGCTTGTAGATATGGCAGAGCAATCACCTCGCGTAGCCGTTATCGGCCTTGGTAAGTACCTCCCGCGCTAGTCGAAGCCATACGGAGGTGTACTGACGATGGACAGGCGTTCTTGGCCTCGTGGCCGTCAAAAACTTGACTGAAGAGGGCTTCGATGTGACGGGTTTTGACCGCAACAGCTACGTGGGAGGATTATGGCATTACACAGACGAGGACAAGACCTCTGTTCTCCCCAGTAAGACGAGTGTCCCTCCAGACACGCAGTCCTAACACTCAGCAGCGACTATCATCAACATCTCCAAAGAAAGGGTAACCCACCTGACTCTAGACCATCACAGGTCGGCATGCTCACTATAAACAGGGCTGCTTCACAGACTTTCCTTTTCCCGACGATACACCCAGTCATTGCACAGCCGGACATGTGCAAAAGTACCTCGAAGACTATGTAGAGCACTTCAACCTGACTTCCAGGCTGCGACTGAGCACAATAGTCACTGGTGTGCATCACGACGATGAGCATGATCGCTGGATAGTCGACGTCGAAGGGTCAGGCCCAGAGTACTTTGACAAGGTCGTCATCGCTTCGGGGATCAACTCTCGTCCTCATGTTCCCAAGCTTGAGGGTCTGGAGCAATTTGAGGGTGAGGTGCTGCACTCGCGTGCATTCAAGAGGTACGTTTTTACCTGTTGAGACATCGTGAACTTTACTCACTCACTTTCTTTCAGGCCTGAGCTCTTCAAGGGCAAAAAGGTGGTTGTCGTGGGCATGGGCAACACGGGCGCCGATACCGCAGCAGCTCTCTGTGGCCACGCCGACAAGGTCTGGGTGTCTCACAACCATGGAGCCTTGGTGGTGCGTATCCCAACATCTCCCGCCCAAGGCGACAATATTGACCAAACTCGCAGATGCCACGCGTGGTAAATGGAGCGCCCTTTGATCATACTCTAACAGCCCGCAAAGCTGCATTTGCCGGGTTCCTCGAGTTGAACTTCCCGCGCTTCTTCGAGTGGATGTTCAACACCATGTGCAAGAAGATGCAGGACAAAGCCTTCAAGATCCGTCCGGAGTGGAAGCTTAACCCCGCACCGCCGATCAAGCACGCCGTGCCCATCATCTCGGACAATCTGGTGGATCTGCTCGAGTCTGGAGACATCATCTCGGTCAGCGGTCTGAAGCGCGTCGTGGGACCAAAGGAGGTTGAGCTTGATAATGGCACGTGTCTTGATGCTGATACCATCATTTGGTGCACCGGATACAAGACCGAGTTCAATCTGCTCGATCCCAGTGTTGATCCCACGCGCAACACCACGCCCAAGTGGGCGGCAAGCATCGGATCGCGTGGAAAGCCTCTGGCTCGTCTCTACCAGAATGTCTTCTCGCTCGACTATCCTCAGTCGCTTGCCTTCATGGGCACCGTAGCTTTCGCGACGGGCGCATTCCCGTTGTACGACCTCTGCTCCATGGCCGTGGCGCAGGTCTGGAAGGGCACCTCTCCCCTCCCATCCGTCAAGGAGATGAACAGAGCCGTCGATGCCCAGCACGACTTCATCTGCAGCATCGCCAAAGACGGAAGCGCAGTCCCCGGATGGGTGCGCCAGCACGAATGGATCGCGTGGGCCAACAAGGCGGCGGGCACCCAGGTAAACGAGCACCTCGGATGGGGATTGACAGGATGGAAGTTTTGGTTCCAAGACCGGGCGTTTTATAAGATGCTGATGGATGGCATCTACACTCCGTTCCTGTGGCGCGTGTTTGATGGGAAGCGCAAGAAGTGGGATGGCGCGAGAGCGGAGATTGAGAAGGTGAATGCGTACGTGGAGGCGGCTAAGAAGAAGAATCAGTAGAGGATTATTGTGGACATTGAATGGTACGTACTTACTGAAGAGAGTCTTGAGGCTTTTTGGAATCATTTCGGATGCTTTAGGTTGGATATCGCGCAACGCGTCAGATCTCTCCCGACTCCAAGATCCACGCCGCGATAGCTCAATCTGTAATCGCAAATGAGCCACTCACGAGGGACTATCGCGACTCCACCAAGAGTGGATTACGCTTCGGATGCTTCTATCGGAGGCTTTGCTGCAGAGGGCACGTTACGAAACCCTCATGTCATGTTATGGAATCCTTCGATCTGGTCAATTTGTCAGATTGATCGTCTTGTTGCTCCGTCTTGGCAGAGTAATCCTTTGCCGCCCCGGGTGAGAGAGCGATAATTACTCATCCAAAACGAAAATTAGGCCGTCCATGTAAGATCCTCCAACTCGGAGGATGTACGAGATGGAATATCCGTAAGAGTACGGAGTTACAGCGATGTAAGATGCAAGTATATAAACTCAAGTAAAGATCAATTAGAATAGCTCAATTCAATCCATCGATTAACAGACTCACGACTTTACAAACTCATCTCTTTCCCACTACCGATCAACCATTACATCATGTCTCACCTCGAGTATTCGGCTTATGAGGGCGCCGGCGAGTGGGCCCGCGACACTCTGGGCTACATGCAGACTGTTCGAGTGGGCGATAGAATCGAAGCCAGCGGCCAAGGTAAGTCTCTAATGGTATACAAGCTCAGTTAGACGCTAACGCGCTCATCACAGGCGGCTGGACTTACGGAAACGGCACCCTTACCTTTTCCGAGTCCGTCTTAGAGCAAATCGACCAAGCCTTTGTCAACGTCGACACGGCGCTCAAGGCTGCTGGAGGAAAGGGCTGGGATCAGGTCTTCCGGGTCAACTCATACCATCTCTCGATCACGCCCGAGGTCACGGCCAGGATGGGTCAGAACTTCAAGAAGTGGATGCCCAATCACAAACCCATTTGGACCGAAATTGGTGTCAAGGAGCTGGGCGCGCCCGGCATGGCGGTTGAGATTGAGGTTTCGGCGCATGATCCTAAGGCGTGAGGTTGAAAGGGGATGGTGCGGTATTTGCATCTAAATAAATCACATCCGTATCAAATTCATCACGTGGCACATGAAAAAAGCGCGTTTCAGCAAGAAAGCAAGGCTATCGTTGTCTATAAAGGTCAAAGGCTGAGGTTCAACATGGGACCTTCATGTTCGGAGAGGGCCCCCCTCTCTCAGCGTTGAATCCATAGAGTTGAGTTCAACGTTAACCATACGAATTTTTAAACCCAATATGACTATCCCAGCCGCAACGCAATCAAACACCCTTCATTTAATGACAACGAGTTACAAGAATCAAGAGAAACGCCGCAAAAGCGACAAACTTCCAGCTCGACGTGTGGCTCTAGGGTAGCACCCTCCCAGGCCCGTGATCCACATTCCGCTGACTAACCCCCCTCCATTCGCCCCCCACCACTTCCGTCTAGCGCGCTTTTCTCCGATGATCGCGAGCCTCGTTTTTTCTTCTTCGCGACCAAGGCCGAAATTGTTTCATCAATCAACAACGCCCTCGAAATACCGCAACCATGGTGCGCAACAAACCGAACAAGAAGAAGGGAGGACCGCCAAATAGGAATAACAGATCCTATCGCCCGTCTCCTCCCCCGCATGATCGCGGTCGCATCGAGTCCGACACTTGGCGACCCGACCGCAGACAACACGACCTGCCTCCTCGTCCCCCGCCGCGCGGTGATTTCCGACCAGGCGGCGGTGATTCATATAGACCGCGAATGCCTCAGAGTGACTTCACTTTCCGTGTTGACAAGCCCGCTGGAATCCAGGATTACCCATCCAACAACTATCGCGGTTCATACGATCGCCCGCGCCGAGCCCCAGGTCGTGGACGAGGTGGCCGACGATGGCAGCCACCGCCTCATCCTTCCGAGAGAGCCATCGTTTCTAGCGCGACAGCAAACCTTCCCGAAGAGCGCCTAGGAGAAGAGGGTACTGCCAAGTTCCGACCCATCGACGAGCTTTCGGACGATGATGAGCTTGAGATGGACATTTCCGACTCCGAGGAGACCGAAGGCCCCTCCAAGAAGCGCGCCAAAACCGGCGACGACTCTGCATCTGGTGATGCCGCGCCTAAGTGGTCCAATCCCGATCCATACACAGCACTTCCGTGCCCCGACGAGAGTACGCGGAAGAAGCGAGATATGGTGAAGCTGATCCGAAAGGCTCGAGTCGAAGATGAAACCGCTGCCAAACTTGCCGCCTCAACCGAAGCCGAGGACTTTATCTCGTTTGATCTCACTGAAGATGAGGCCAGTGAGGACGAAGTGGTAGAAGTCCCCCCTCCCCCACGTGAAGCGCCGCCGCCACCACCGCCCACGAACGCCCCCTCTGGCCCGAAGGCCTCGACTGGACCTCTCAACGCGGTAAAGGAGCCTCTGCCAGCTGGACCCAAGCACCTACCTCTTCCTCCGCGAGACACTGGTGGCCCTCTCGGCTCTCGCAAGCGAACAGCGAACGACGAGATCAAGCCTCCCGACTATGGCCAACTCAAGAAGATCAGCACGAAACCTTCTAAGGGCATGCTGCTGTCGAACTGGCAGCCCAAGTCAAGCGAGGATCCCTGCCCTTGGGCCACAGTCGACCATTCTGCTACAACAGACATGGCGTTTCGGTAAGTTTGCACCACCTCAACATATCGCGTGTTGCTTGCCGCGATTGGCCCAGGCAACACGTCGACACAGTCACCACTTGAGTCAGACTGACGCATTCTAGGCTACACAAGGAGATCATTGACTTTTACGAATACGTGAGACCCCGCGATTTCGAGCAGCGCATCCGCGACAACCTTGTCGAGAACCTGCGAAAGGCGATGCGACGCGACGGTCGAAACTTTGCGAGCGCGACAGTCCACCCCTTTGGATCCTACATGTCCGGCCTCTACCTCCCCACTGCAGACATGGACCTGGTTGTCTGTTCAGCAAGTTACATGCGAGGTGGTCCGCCGACTTACCTGGCAGCCAAGAGCTGGCTATACAAGTTCTCCAAGTTCCTCACCAGTCAACGCGTTGCAGATCCTGATTCAATCGAGGTCATTGCGCATGCCCGGGTTCCCCTGGTTAAGTACGTTGACAAGCAAACTGGCCTGAAAGTGGACATTTCGTTTGAGAACCTGGGCGGTGTTCAGGCCGTCGATACATTCCTCCGGTGGAAGGAGCTCTATCCTGCCATGCCCATTCTCGTGACTGTGATCAAGCACTTCCTCCTCATGCGTGGTCTCAATGAGCCTGTCAATGGAGGCATTGGTGGTTTCTCGGTTATCTGCCTGGTGGTCAGTATGCTGCAACTCAACCCACAGGTCCAAAGCCGCAGTCTCGTCCCTGAGCACAACCTTGGCGAGATGCTCCTCGAGTTCTTGGAACTGTACGGTCGTGATTTCCGCTACGAGACCAACGCCATCTCCCTCACCCGGCCGGTTGGGTACATTCGAAAGGTGTGTTTCATTGCATCTATTCCCTCCGCTTTGCTGACCATCTCCCAGAACGACGTGTCGACTTTCAGCTACAAGAACAAGGATCGCTTGTCCATCATCGACCCCAATAACCCTGGCAACGATATTTCGGGCGGATCATCCAACACCCCGGCCATCCTGTCCCGTTTCCATGACGCGTTTAACACGTTGCGTGATAGGATGACGGCTCTTGCCCGGAACCCGAATCGAGGAAACATCCTGGAGGGGATCCTAGAGGGCGATTACTCGTCCTTCCAGATGCAGCGAGACTTTCTCCGACACTGTCATGAACAGTACATCGGACCTTGTTCCTCTTGATTCACCTTTTGCTGATGCCTACACTTCATTATACCCATCGGTTATACATGCATGATTTTGATGTCGGAGTTGCGGATATGAAAATGGATGTTTAGACGGGAGGCATTCACGACGACCCGGTGGCAGCAAAGACACGGTCTTGCTTTTGCATTGTTTTGATTTCGCAATCTGTAAATTAACGCCGTCATGACCTGGAGGCTGGCTCGAGTTTGGCGCAATTGGCTCACAGCTTTCTATGCTGTCTCTCCGCATGCATCAGCTTCCCTCGGATGACGGCCTAGTGGCCGACAATGACACAAATTATTCTTGTTTGGGCTACTAACCTTTGCTTGCAGTGACGATGAGTCGCGACGTCGATGTGATGGCAGCTCCTGTTGCTGTTGCACAGGTTGCCTTGCTGACAAGTTTCCAGAACCTTTGCTTACCTTGCTCGTCTGGCGTTGCCCGCAAGATTCGCATTCAACACCTGTTTGCCGGCTGTAGCTGATAAACACCTCGTTGTCTTTGGACGACACCTTTTCTCACTGCTTGCTCTGCTTTACGCAGGGTGGCGGAGAGGAATCCCATCCTGGCGGTGAAGGAAGTGGATGGTGATGGCAACACGCCAGTATCACCAACTCTTTCGGCGAATGCCTAGAACAACCGCTACATGCCGAAGACAACTGTTCACCATCATGTGTAACAAATCGGCGATCAGAATGCGAACCTCAGTTCATTGCTGACAGACAGCCAACAAGGAAGCGTAACGTTGCACTGTCCCTGTCGGGCATGGATTGCCATGCCCGCGTCGGATATCGGGAGAATGGTAAACCGAATGGCCGGGGACATTATTGCCGGGGAAAAGGTGGGAAGCACGCAGTTGAAGCAAGCTTGATGCTAAGGTTACTTGAACATCCCTGTTCCTGTTCCCCTGACAAGCAAACCAGGGGGTGGTTTCTTTATTCCTTCAATTGAAGATCTATGCACGACCGGGGTAGAGAGTCGGCCCTACTGAAAGCAGCCACAGGGGAGGCGTCCTGCAGTCAGGCGAGATTGGTGACGACACGTGAGAGCGAAAGATGCTGTACAAGTGAACTGATTTGAGGCTTGTGACGATCCGGGGATACTCGGACCGTTAACAGTCAACGGTGAAGGATTTCTTTCCCGGTCCCCTGTCCCTTACCCGCCGCAACCTCATGGCAGAGCGGAAATGGATCTCTCCCCCCCTGAGCCGATATACCTCGGCGAGTGCCGCCCATCATGCAACAAGGATCGGTATCCTGCTGACGTCGATCTTGCGGGGAAAAAGGACTTTTAAACCGTGGAGTGATGTTTGAAAGGGGGGAACTTTGGGTGCCGGCTGCCGGATAGGAATATAGCCAAGGATGCTATTCCCATGCCAAGGTCCACTCACACATGACACAGAACAATTCTGCCTATTTTCGAAAACCCTTCCCCCCCTTGCGTGTTACTGCGTGTGACCTACTACACGACAGTCTAGGCTGTGAATCAATTTGGCGAGAACATGCGCTTTGCTCAGAAACACCTCGTGGAACTTGACAATATGCTGATCCTTTACCAAACAACGCAGGTAACCAAACCTCCTCCATCCTCAATGCTACACAAAGCCACCACTGATTCGGCCCGTGCAACGGTCGGTTCGTCTCTTTCCCCTCTTGGGGCATCTTCTGACTCAACATACGGTACATGGCCTGAATCACCCATGAACAAACATATGAATGCAGGGGTTGTCCCGCTCTTCTTTTAAGCAGCACACAGCGCCTGAAAAAAACCATGGGGTCACCACATGCGTCAACTTTGTTGAGGCGGATACTCGACCCCTTACGCCACATAAACGCCATGTATCAGGCTTCAAATGTTTACTTCATTTGCGGCTTCGCCGCCATAGGTACGCCTCTGCAGGGCTTGCCTAGCCCCTCTCTTGGCAGCTTTTTGACTTTGAGGCTCAGGCGGCGGACTGTTCGGTTTTGACATTTCGTCCATGTCGGGTGTTCTTGGCACCGAGGCTTATAAGCAGTACTTTGACAACCCCAAGTCGTATCGCCAGGGCGCCATCACGGCTTCCATGCCGGCTGGATCCCTCGTTGGGTCTTTGTTTTCGTCGTTTCTTGCTGATCGGTACTCGAGAAGGGTTGCTCTTCAGATTAGTTGTATTCTATGGATCGTTGGTAGTATTCTGCAATGTGCTTCGCAGAATATTGGTATGCTATGCACGGGACGAGTTATTGCTGGGTTTTGCGTTGGTATTGCTAGTGCTGTTGTTCCCGTCTATCAGGTTCGTTGGAGGTTTTCTATAATGTGGTTTCAACTACTGACAGGTATAGGCCGAGATCGCCCCTAAGGAGATTCGAGGACGTGTTGTCAGGTGTGTACCCCTTTCACACACTCAAACCATCCTAACAGTACAGTTTGCAACAATGGGCTATCACTTGGGGTATCCTCATCCAATACTTCATCCAATACGGTGCCGCAGCCGGCATAGACGGCGGCCCCGACGACAAGAACCAGTCAACAGCAGCCTTCCGAATCCCCTGGGGAGTTCAGATGGTCCCAGCCTGGATCCTCCTGGTCGGTTTATTCTTCTTCCCGTCCAGTCCCCGATGGCTCGCCTCGCAAGACAGGTGGGAGGAAGCACTCCAGACGCTGGCTAACCTCCACGGAAAAGGCGACAAGACGCATCCGACTGTCCTGGCCCAGTACCGTGAAATTGAGGACTCGTTGCGGTTTGACCGTGAGGAGGCTGCTAATAGCTACAAGAACTTGGTTACGAGGAGAATGATTAAGCGTGTGATTCTGGGCATGAGTATTCAGGCTTGGAGTCAGCTGTGTGGCATGAACATTATGATGTGTATGTGGAAGCAACTGCTGATGTTGGGAGTACTTACTGACTGGGTACAGACTACATCGTCTACATTATGGAGGGCGCTAACATTGCCTCTCCTCTGTTGACGGCGTCTATTCAGTACATCATCAACGTGCTGTTGACCCTGCCCGCTATCTTGTATCTGGACAAGTTCGGTCGTCGCCCGGCTTTGGTCATTGGGTCATTCCTCATGATGACCTGGCTGTTCATCACAGGCAAGTTACTCGAGCAATTATCCAAGTTTTTAAAGCTAACAGGGAATAGGTGCTCTGCAGCAACACTATGGACAGCCCCAGGACGATCCCGATTCAGACGTCAGCTGGGTCGTCAAGGACAACCGCCCGGTGTCGTCGGCCATCGTTGCGTGCTCGTACCTTTTTGTTGCTACCTTTGCCACGACTTGGGGTCCGACTTCATGGACGTACCCTGCTGAGATTTATCCGTCTCAGATTCGAGCCAAGGCTGTGTCTATCAGCACATCGACTAATTGGTTCTGGAACATGGTCCTGGCTTTTGCCGTGCCGCCTCTGCGTAAGCATATCCTACCCATCAAGCTTTGAATGATTTGCTAACATGTTGTGAATAGTGTGGAACATCAAGTAAGCTTTTGTGGAAACTCTTGAGAATATGCCACTGACTCATGAATTTAGCTACAAGATGTACTACATCTTTGGCACTTGTAGGTACCACATCTCTCCCAAGTAACTCTAGCTAACATTCCACAGTCAACGCCGCAGCCTTTATCCACATGTTCCTCACAGCCCACGAAACAAAGGGCTTCACCCTCGAAGAAATGGACGACGTCTTCGACTCTGGCCACCCAGCCTGGATCAAGCACAACAAGGTCAGCCGCCTCGAAAACCTCGCCAAGGACATTGAAAAGGGCAAAGTCACTGTCGTGGCTCCTGGAACTGGCGAGGCTGTCGAGGTTGGGAAGGAGGAGAAGAATTGAGAGATTTGAGCGTTGTTGTTTTTTTGAGCGTAGCGGTGGTTTGATGAAGCGTTGATGGAGCGTTGATGCCATGATACCTTTACCTTCTTTGAGGTCGAAAAGTTGAAGATATTTTGCAGAAGGGTTTTACTCTGGTCGCACATATTTCTTTTATGATATCCATTCTTTTATGCGACAATAATAATGAGCTCGACATATCAACTCTTATTTTATGTCTCACTCTCTGCTCCGTGTCAATGGGAAGAGGTGCTCTAACAATACGACCTAATAATATTCAGATCGCGCCAACGTCATCCTCGTATTGGAATCTCCATCGTGATAGGGCAGATAATTCAGCTCTCAGGGGTTGTGCTACTAGTTCCAGAACTATTGCTTTTGCTTGACCACACTAGGACTAGGTGGCGTCAAAGCTCAGGGGCAATGTTGATAAATTCAACGCCAACCCCATCTTTTTCTGCTCCTTTCCACTTCCACATCTCCATTCTCTTGGCTCCTTCAATGCCTTCTGCCAAATCTTTCGCCGTTGCGGCCTTGGCTGCCTCGGGGGTCCACGCGAGCGCGTGTAAGCCAGGATCAAGTTCAACGGCTCTCGCGGCGACAACTACAACAGAACCCATTTCATCAAGCACTACGGCTGAAATATCGACGACAATCACGGAAGCTCCAACCACCACGTCTGCGTCCACGACTGCGACTTCATCATGCACATCGTACACGCTGAAAGACGACACTGGCGACCTCAACTGCGGCATTGTGGGTCGCGATGCAAGAGAACCTCTTCCGTATGGCGACTCTACTTCTCTGGAAGACTGTGCGAAGAGCTGTATCGAGGATCAGGGCTCTGACGAGTCGTGCAAACTCTTCGAGTACACCCCTGACGAGACGAATGGTACAGACGTCTGTAGGCGATACGCGGATTATTTCTTCACCGCGGACGAGTCGGGTTCCAGTCGGTATTATGAACCTAGCTGCTTCGAGTGTGTGAGGGGAGAGCCCAACCCTCGAGGTGGTAGAGGTGGAATCCGAGGAGGAGGGCGTCGTCTGCGTCGGAGATAGGGGCTACGGGGATGGGATGAGGTTACATTGAGTTTAGGAGAATTTCTGCGAGCCGTTTTGTGGCTTGTGTGTGCCTGAGTTTAGTCTTTTCTGTATGCGCCACCACATGCCATGAAGAGGGGGAGCTCGGCAAGGAACTCTCCGCGTTGTTTCTTGTTAATCTGGAACAGAAATGACCATTTGATGTTGTGTTATATGTAGCCAGTCGGAAGAAACAGCGAGTTCTCTTCATGTTTTCAATACGGCTTCATCGCCTCTATTGAATTAAGTAAAGGATGAAGACAAATCCCGAAAATGACTGCCCAAGGAGGGGAAGAAAGAGGAGAGCTGGCGGCTAATGCACCACTTGAATCACATGGCAAGAGAAAACATGCATTAGCGGCTAGGTACCTAAATGTTTGTTTCAACGCTGTCACGCCGAGAGATGCGAAAAATGAGAGCTGTAGTGGATTTAAGGTTAATGGTGACTGCCGTGTGCGAATAAGCTCATCCGAGGCACACTTAGCTCGGCCGGGAAATTAATTGTGAATGCCGTGAACAGCCTGCCTCGTGTAATATTGTCCATCTTGAGATTGCCTACAACCTTAGCATAACGTCCTCTGAGGTCTTGAGTTTGAACTAGGAAAAAAAAACCTCACCTCGTATACCTGATAGGCATTCCATCTGCCGGCGGGCCGGCGGCCATATCCGCCACCAAAATCGTCCTCCCGCCAAGACAGAACTTAACCCGCGTGGAGGTGTTCTTCGGGACGTGGAGGTTGACGACGACTCCCACCTTCTGAATTTTATAACCGATGTGTTTGATTCGAGGCAAATCTCGGCTTAAATTGCCAAGGAGAGTTGATTACGTTCTGGGCGTGGGGGCATACGCATTACTACCCACTCAATGACAGCTATGTATTGAAACGCCGCCTTGTGATCATGGCACGGCTTTGCGTGTTTCAACCGAGCGAGTCCATGTGAATACCAAGTTTCGTCAGTCTGAGGTGTATAAAGCAGAATGGCATTTGGCAGCGTTGGCTCAGTCTCTTCGTAGCTAGTGTAAGTGCTTGGCATTCTCAAAAGTGATTGAGAACTTGGAGAGATGAACCAGCTTGAACGCAGACCAGAAAACTAGAAAAGAATCACCCACGAGGAACAAAACTCCAGAAAAACATCAAGAAAATCTACAAGGATGATCACGGTTTATATCCTCCCCGTCTTATCTCTCTCAGACGAGTCCCATGCAAAACGGGCGAGATAAACGGGCCGAGAACCTTGATGGGCACGTCTATGCTCCCCCCGTCAGCCCACTTGGCAACTCTTTGCTCTGCCCAATCGTAAATGCGGCATTATTAAACAGGGCTTGAAATTCCGCATAAAACCAAGGTGCGCCATCTAGCCAGCTGGAAACAACCATCCAATAGCTGGTGCATGTACAAGGGTAAAGAGTAGGTTTCAGCCACTTTTACATGCACGTCGTGCACTAATGAGACGTCAACCACAGTGACGGATTTTCTTTGGGGTGATACTAGCAAGGAGGAGAAGAAGCTGATTCGCAAGCTTGGTAGGCACCCTGATGGCTTTGAGTGATTTGCTCATCTAACAGCTTGCAGATTTCTTCATCCTCGTAAGACGTGATCCGACCCTGACTTGGGTTCCCTGCTAAGAAGGGCATCCTTATAGACCTTTTGCTGCTTCAGCTTCTTCTTTAATCACCTCGGTACGTCCCCTCACCACAGGTCACCAGGGATGAGCTAATTCAGTTGAAGACCGGCAAGCCTTCGCGAACGCATATGTAAGCGTTATCCCGTGACCATGTCTCTTCCTCTGGTACTAATGGTGCAAAATAGGTGGCCGGACTGAAAGAGGCCCTTGAACTTACTGGAAACCAGTACAATGTCCTCCTCTCGATGGCTTCGGCCGGGTAAGTTCTACTGACCCTGAGCCGATGAAGCCTGGACTAACATTCAATCTAGCATGCTGGTCGGCCAAATCCCCAGCAGTCTCATCATCCAAAAGCTTCGACCCCGGATATGGCTTTCGGCTATGGTAGTCGTGTGGGCCGGCCTCACCATGGCCAGCGCCGCCTGCAAGACATACTCTCAGCTCTGTGCTGTCCGCTTTCTAATGGGATTGGCTGAAGCAAGCACATACGCTGGCTCCATCTACATCATGGGCTCATGGTAGTACGTCTTTCACCCTCCCTGCGTACAGAGCACTATTGACCTGATATAGCAAATCTGATGAGATCGCGAGGCGAACTGCAATGTTCACTGTCGCGGGTCAAGTCGGCAAGATGTTTGCCGGTGCCATGATGGCGGCGATCCACGAATCGATGGAGGGCCACGGAGGACTCCAAGGCTGGCAATGGGTCTTTCTCATAGACGGCATCATCACGGTGCCCACCGCACTCTTTGGATACTTCTTTTTCCCTGACCTTCCGGAGATTACCGAGGCACCCTATCTTGATGAGAAGGAACGCCAGCTAGCCCTTGATCGGTTGCCGCCAAAGCGTGAGGATGGGCACAACATCGAGGCATGGAGCCTTATCAAGAGAGTGCTCGGCCAACCTTTGATGTAAGTACTGGATAATAAAGCTGAGAAGAAATGCTGACTTTAATATATGATAGCTACATCTGCTGCACTTTCTCGGTGCTTTCCACAGCTATGCAAGCCTATATTGTGCAAGGTTTAATGCTTCTTTACCTGAAGTATCGCAAAGACATGGATGGTTTTAGCCAATCCCAGGTCAACACCTTGCCAATCGCTACGCATGCTATTGGTATTGTTGCAGAACTCTCGTCGTCGTTAGCGATCGATCGATATAACCAGAGACTCACCATCGGATTCACTCTCTGCGCTATTCAGATTATCTGCTCAATTGTCCTACTGGTTCCAAACATGTCTGTACCCGGAAACCTAACCGTTCTCTACCTCTCCTCAACGTCTTACGGTATCAACCCTCTGTTGTACAGCTGGTCAAGTAATATCGTTGCCCGAACCGCCGATGATGCTGCCCGCAGTGTCATCCTCGCTTCGATGGCCGCTAGTGACGGGCTGCTGTGGACGTTTTGGGGCATTGTCTTGTATCCGGCTGACGACGCTCCGTATTGGCGCAAGGGGTACATTGCCATGATTTGTATCAGCACAGCTCTTGCAAGCTGGCTTTTCGTTGTTCGTTGGGTATGTGATTCATTCCTTTGGGAGGCAATATACTAATAGCTCGCAGCTCGATGGGTACACGGCAAAAAAGTACTCTGGAGACTGTTCTGATTCTTCGAATCCTGTGGTTATCGAGGTTGATAACTCGGCCAAGTAGAGACTTTTATATCACTGCCTTTTATTAACCCACTTCTACTAGCTGGCCATGTGCGAGGGGCGCTCAGTTATCTTGTAAAGAGAAAAGAAATGCTACTAGTATATAGTTTATCAGAGTGTAAGAAAGAACAAGAGGCATTAATTGGAGTCTAATATATTTCAATTACTTTCCGAACAAGCACTCAAGGCTGACTATCTTCTGGGTCATTTGAAAACCTCAAATGGTAGACGTTGCTCGGATCCCAGCGCAAAGCCAACGTCGATCCCTGGACATCCTTACACCATTGGTTTATAGGGCGATATCTGGAAGGAAGCCATATGTGCTTTTTTGAATCTCTGAGAATCCAACGTCCCACAATCTGGTAATTGTGGCGAGGTATTGGCCCAGGCTCCTGGAGACCAGGCAAGCATTGACATGGGGAAACATCATTTCCTCTGAAACCACCATTCAAGGAAACCGTGCACAGTTGCGAGTCGTCGAAGATAATGTGGTCTGGGCAGCTGCTTAGCGTTTTCTCTCTGAGAAGCGTTGGTACACTCAGATCATGAACCCGGACAGTATTACCCCGGGTGAAATATGCCACATATCTTTCGTTCTCTGATATTATCACATCCTGGCTGGCTGCTGTACCGGTGGGCATCTCGCTTCTCTCAGAAAATGTATCAATAACGTTGATCATCTGACCGTCGGCAATAGCGATATTGTTTGAGCCTTCCAACACCCGCAGAGTCGAACGGAAAGAACCGGTGACCTGAATCATGAGCGAACTTTTCCCAGTATCAATACTGCAAACCCCTAGCAAACCATGCGATATCTCCCAGCCTATCCAGATCAGCTGGGCAGATGTCCTGGTAAATGCAAGACTAAGCGGGCCGGGGAAGGAGATCCCATCTTTTGGTACGAGAGTGTGAATGCACTCTCCAGTGGCGACACTCCAGACTCTGATACGGCCAGTCATGCCACTTGTGGCCACCAATGTTCCGTTGGGCGAGAATGCTATGTCAGACCTAGAACGCCCAATCCCCGGCGGTGGGTAAAGATATATGCCGGACATGGTGCTGTTGTCCTCGAATAACCGAAGGCATTTGCCCGTGTCCAGATCCCAGACTGCTAGGGGTCCAACCCGTATGAGGAGGAATCCTAATGAGCGAGGTTGAATGAGAATCCGACCTTCTCCGCGGTTCCCACTTGCAAATCTTGCAAAGGAGTGGGGTCCCAGTGTGTCCTCACGAGTGGCTTCTGACCCAATGTCCATTTTCCTGATAGCCTTGCGTGCCTTCAAATCCCAGACAGTGACGGTCCAGTCAGTAGATAGTGTGACACACTCGCTTTTGGTACCGTTGTAAAAAGAGAGGGCGACAACCGAGACCTCGGACGGATGTTCCAACACTCCTTCGCACCGGCCCGTGATGAGATTCCAGACGGAAACTGTCGAGCCTGAGGCTGAAAGGAGTTTGTCAGGACTGCCCTCGGGGAAGGATAAGAGAATACTCTCCAGTTCGGGGTCGTTGAAGACGTTAAACGGAAATTTACCCTCGCAGGGAACGGTGAAAGTATGGAAACACTCTCCGGTAGTTGCATCCCAGACCTTTATTGTTCCGTCCGCTGATGCAGAGGCCACAATAGTTCCGTCGGGACCGCTGCTTGAGGACATGGCTAGAACATTGGCGTCATGACCCTCAAAAGACGAGACAACTGAACTCCAATAATCTCCAGTATGCGGTTTAATAACCATGTCTCTCGGCTCCTCGTTCTGGAATATCTGCCTAATGAGACTATTTCTGGGGCTGAAGATGAGGGCACCAGAGTAGACCTGAAGCGGGTAGTTCTCTATCCCTACTTGATGAAATCTCATAAATCGGAGTGCATCCTCCACAAGTTTGGATAGCAGAATTGGCTTGGCGACATCTTGCTGTCGCTAGTCATGTTAGCGGGTGAAATTCTATACTCAATGAAGCCCAACACTCACTTCTAATAGTAATGATAATCTTGCAATTGAATGGACACCAGTCGGGAAACTCTGTAAAAGAGAAAGGGCCTCAACCCAGTTGAGGAAGCTCTGTCTCAGAAAGAGATCAAGAGGACCTCCGTCGGCGAGAAGTTCTGATACGGCTTCATGACTTTCTGAAGCCAATGTGATTAGATGATCAACCCAAAAGACGCAACTGTAGTGAATTGAAGCAAGCGGATCTGGCTGAGGTACGACAAATTCGTTTATGGAGACACCTGGCCGCTTCAATTTGTAAATGTCGCGTTCCAGTGCTAACCTCATCGCTTGTAATGATCTGTCGATGATCTCGCGGTGTGTGGGCATGACCTCGATGGAAGCTGAAGAGGATAAAAGAAAGTCCTTGGCTGACTGATGAACAAAGTAGATAGTTTCGTTTTGCAAAGTGAGAAACGTGTGACAGATGCCCACAAGCTGCGCCGTCTCGTTTTCCTCAATGCCAGCCAGACATGAAAACTCGGCTACCGAGACCGGACGGCTGACGACTGCTGCAAAAGCGAGCACTTTTTGACATGGTCTATGTCCAAAAGACTCGAGGATCTGGCGGAATAGGTAAAGATACAAGCGATCTAGACCCGGAGGAAATTGATGGACTGTGTCGATCGCCTGGCCCCTTTCAGCTCGCTCCAGTGTCTGACACGCGAGCGTCACCCAGTGAAGATTGGCGTTGGCATTCCGTTCCAGATGAAGTTTGACGGCCATTTTTGTCTCTTTGTCGTAATCCTGGGACTCTGCCAGTTCATCGACCTTGGACTGCAGATAGGTGCGAAAACTAGCTGCCTCGGAGCTAGTGCCGAGCTCAATGCGTAGGATAGGATCATCCATAAACTCGTCGAAATGCTGTTCGATCTCTGGTTCGTTCCGGCTGGAGACGATCCATCTCACCCGTGACGTCTTGGAGGAGAGTCTGATGACGAGATCCAGGAGCTGATGGATGCCAGTCACGCATTCATCAAGAGCATCAACGATGATGACGATGTCTCCCAGGCCCTCCCGTTGGAGAGCTGTGTTTAGGATTTCCTTTAGCGCGTACCAGGCATTGCGATCCCAGAATAAACTCCTTCCTGCGTTCTTATACTCATCCTGCACAAGTTCTCGAATGGTGTCGTGTTCTCTGGCCAACATGTAGACAAGTCCCCGGAGAACTGCAGCGGAGGAACTTAGATTCTCATCTGACTTCTGACAAAAGAAGTATGCCAACGTCGCCTTTTCGTTAGTCCGAAGCCAGTTGATGATACTGCACACCAGCATGGTTTTCCCTTTTCCGGAGTCTCCTTTGATCCAGAGGAGACGGTTGCTCTCGGGATTCCGCCATTGGGTAAAGCACGCATCGGCGAAGATCCAGTCGCAGAGCTTTGCCAGTAAGCCGCCTTTGAGTTCTTCAATGCGATCTTTGTCCCGGCGTGGGTCGGTGCCTCGCAGGTCAATCATGCATTTGCCGTCTTCCGAGCTCGAAATGTAGTTGTCGCCAACGTGAACCTGCGAGCGTCCAGACGCGGACAATTCCTTGACGCTGTTATTTGCCATCGCGAAGACGACTCATGTATTGGAAGTCAAATAATTGAAAACCTCGAAGGGGAAGTCAATGTGGCTGAGAGAGACCCCTACAGAGCGAGGACCCCGCCAGGATCTTCCAGGGGATATCAGTTTAATTCTGACGTCTTGGTCCGCGCGCGGACTGCTGTTTGTGAGCGGTAAAGACACAGAGACTCCCCGAGTAGGCAAAGAGACGATGAAAGGTGAAAGCTGCTTGAGCGTTGAGAATTGCGGGGGGGGGGAAGAATGAGGTTCGAGGTGTGAGACTGTGAGCAAGTCCATGCAACATTACGGGGTCGACCAGCCTACTGGCTGAAAACCCAAGCCCCGGCGGCTGGAGAACCAAGGGCATAGGCTCATTGGAGCAATGCAGTGATCCACAATGATGAGAGCTGAGATTTCAAGTCTTGGCTACGACATGTGGTTGGGTAAACATGTTTCAGTTGGTCGGTAGTGGAGGCGCAGCGAGTTGCAAGTCACTGTACCGAATCAGGCTGTGATGTTACAGGGCCCTGGAGAAGAAATGGGAATCATATGGAATAAATTGTAAAGGCATTCAAGCAGCGGGAGAATGAAGTTAAGGTGAGAGGATGGCTGAAATAGCCGAAACCGCAAGTTCTACTATCGAGTCCAAGTAGACAGGCTCACAGGCTGCTGTTCATCAGGCGAGTCGCAGCAGGTTCTAAACTGACATGCAGAAAATCAGGCTGTGATCTGGCAGGTGTCTGGCAAGGAGGTTCGCGGAATGGCTGCGGAATAGCCGAAGTCGCGGCCCTGATCAAGAAAGATGACTGGTCAGGCTATCCGAGGCTTTTAGCAGAGGCACACCACCTTGCAACTCATCAGGCTCTGGAGCGAGAGGCCTCCAAACGTCAGATTGGCACTTATCAAGTCAGGCAGGCTCTGAAAACCCCTCGTCTGAAGAGAGAGAAACACACTTGAGACTTGCCCTGCGAGTGGGAGCATCTACAATCACTACCATGTCCGGCCCTGGGAGAAGTTCAACAGAAACCGTTATGGAACTATCTATCCGCCTTGTAAATGGTTAGTATGGCCTTGGAAGATCACCATTTTCTGCTAGGATTGACATGTTCAAGTGGGCGAGGCAGCAAAGGCAGTCAAGCTCACGTACGAGAGCAACACCACTGTAGGCGATTTGAAGCGTTTGCTTCGGTTGCCGCCTCACAACTTCGATACGGAGCGAGCTACTTTCCGAGGCGAAACCTCTAATGTAATGTTGGTGGAAGTGGATGATATGAGACCAGTTCAAGATCTCGCCGAAAGAAGCGGGACGGTCATCTTTGAAGGCAAGAAGTCTGCAACACCAGGTATTGCTTTACAGAGTACTTAACTTCTTTGAAGATGGCTGACCATACTGCTACTCGCAGGCACTATAGTTGATGCAGCCCCGGACAGGTCACCCGGTCCCGCTGATGCGCTGAACACGAATGAGGTTGAGGAGTCGAAGCTTCGAGGCAAAGCAACACTGCACGTCGGAGACAGATACGCAGGCGACCAGATGCCAGCTTGGTTGAAGAAAAGGGGTGTCATGAATAGGATCAAGAAACATGACGCTGCTGATGAAGCAGATGCTCATGTCGGGAACGTGGTAGGCATGGGCCGTGATTAGGAAAGACTCGATGTTTAACTTTGTACGTGTAATTTCTTCAGGCAACATTTGTGTCTTATACTAGCTATCAACCATATCTGTTTCCTATATGAACTACAGATGAGCCCTCGGCAAACACGGAATCTGCCTCATTTCGGGTTCGATCTTCGATTGCGGCATTTAGAGCAGCTGTGCTCCAATCGTTTCCCAGTCTAACGTTGGCGTCCTCACTGCTATTAATAACTTTCACAGAGTTTCTCACGCTGATGACCTTGACCTTTTCCTTGACCACATCCGCCAGGAGAGGATCGGCCTCAACTGCAGTCTGATGCAAGACTGTCAGACTCTCCTCGTCGGCGATATCCTCAATCTCCAGCTTGACAAGACGACGACGATTAAGCTCTTCAGCAGGGAAAAGCATCTCCAGGTCATCCAGAAACCCCGATACCTGCTCAATCAACTTCTCAAAGTTCTTTGCATCGTAAAGCGCCCATGAGGCCTTTTTAGCGAAGTTGACCTTTTTCTGACCGGGACGCCGAGTAGTATTGGTCCATCCAGCGTGGAGGCGACGGAACACGGGTTGCAGGTTCTCCTCGGTAAGGCATTCCAAATCTTCCTTGGGGGCTTTGATAGTGTAGCGCTTGGAGGACTTTTGGATGGTTTGGAAGAGTAGAGCGATCTCTTCCAGGATGGCCTGAACCTCTTGAACCAATGTATCATCCTCGCCTGGGGCGTTGAATCGGGGGTTGTCGTTGATATTGACAGCTTCTCCCCATCGATGCAGTCTCCGTTTGGCAATGTCCAGCTTCAGCTGATACATGCCAAAGTCTTGGGCGAAATGTCGACCCAACTGCACGTACTCGAAGCACTCCACGCATTGCTGGAAGAGACCTGCAAGACCGATGGCACCGGTCACTATTCCAAAGACCTCTGCCATTTCAAGGGTCTGGAATTAGGGCTGTAGTGCTTCGCGGTTCTAGAGATGCGAGGACAAAGGATTCTGGTCGTTTGTGAGACCACTCTGAAATTTATCGGACTTTTGTCTGGTTATATTGCCAGGTCTTTGGGACTGTCTGCCCCGCCACAAACCTTCCCGCTTAGGTAGCATAGCCACCGCAACGAGGCTGTGCCCTTGTGTGATGAGCCACCATGCATGGAGCCTACTATCGTCTGCCAAGGGGTATCAGGAATATCTAGGCGATGCCGGAATGGAGGAATGCGAAGTATAGTCATTTGATTTACTCCTTTCAGTAGATATAGCGTCATGACCTCCTTTAACCTTAATTATCTCAACTTCACTGTTTGTGACGTCTTTCAGGCACAACTCGGTCTAACCGATGTGATCATTGCTAGGGTTCCCTTGATTACTCCTAACAGCGACTATGCCAAGATAACCCCGATCAATAAGTCGATGCTGGTGAACAACACCCTTCAGGCCCAATAGTTTGTCCAGTGGGCTGTGGGCAACGGCTTAGACCTTATAAAGATTATTGGCGAATAAGCAAGCCGTCCAATCAAAAGTGGACAGTATCTAGCAGATGGTTGGAGACTCCATCCGTTCCCATAAGTTGATTAATTAGATAAAGCGTTAGGGTTAATTTGGCATCCCTACCCTTATTCTCCGCCGGGGAAGTAGTAGTGAACCCGGCCGCACGTGAGTACTTGCAGGGCACCACCAAGACTAACCAGACCTGCTCAGTGTTTGTTAAGAATGACAAACGGCTTCACGCCGCCGGTATCCCCATCTTTATGGACACGGATCTGTCGGCTTTGTTCTAGACCTCTTTAATATGCCTCGGCAAAAAGACCCACGAGAAGCTAACTAACCTGATCGAAGCCGGCCTGGCCGACATGAAAGTCCTGAAGGCCGCTACTAGTCTGTCGGCCAAGTTGCACAACCTAAACGATCGCAGTGTCATTGCCCCAGGCAAGCGTGCCGATCTTTGCTTCTCAACAACGACCCCTTAGTGGTCAACATGAGTAGCACTCTGGATATTGCCCGCGTCTGGATCGAAGGCACCGAGTATGAGGACGTAGCTACCCCTGAATGGGCGACGCATTGAAGCCGGGGATTCGGGCAGCATGGGGAAACGGATGGCACTGGAATAGTTCTGCCGAATTGGGGCCGGTATTTCCGGTGTTAGTTTCCCAGACAGGAGCTTTCTCCTCATTTGTCTCCTTGTCAAGTTTGCTCGGCAATTAACAACGGCACGATCCCCCACATTTACGGTTGGGCTAAAGCATAGACGGCCCGAATAGTTTCTCTCTTACCGACTCTTTACCGACAGACGGAACCACTCCGCTCTCCAGATGTTACTCTATAGACACTGTCATTTAAAAGACCCCAGTGTTGCAAATGTCATCTGCATGTTTGTGCGGGGATCGTGTGGGAGCGCGGGGATAGACATGAACCGAGTGTGCGGGTTGCAAGGGTTGTTAGTCTCCACACGCTTGCGTGGTTTATAGTTGCTTGACCGGCAAAGATGCCTAATACTTGCTAGCAGGTGACTTGATGATCCGTTGGACGATTTGTGGGATGCAAAGAGTCGTGCAAGTTTTGCCATTGTGGCAATCCTAACCCACCCTGGCATTCTGTTGTTGGTCATCAGGTCCATGGTGAAAATTGTCTCGTGAGACTGACCAGTTGCAGTCCGGCCATTGATGGGAACTGGGCCAGAAGATCGTCCATCCTGACCGTCCAACGGCCCGGTAGTAGAGAGGGGAGGGAGGGAGGGGGCAGATATAAATTCGTTCCAGTTCCAGCAGAGACAATGGCAGCATTCAAGCATCTCATGCACTGTTTATCAGATCTCTCACAATGCTTCCTACGCTCCTACTTTGGAGTTTACTCTTTGAGACTCCTCTGGCACAAGATGCACAGGATGTCATCACAAGTGACACATACTTCTATGGCCTTTCCCCGCCTGTCTTTCCCACACGTAAGTTTTTCTACCCCGTCGTCTATAACATCCCATTCTGGTGGTCAGGAAATCTGATGTGTTTCAACAGCGCAACAGCAGGAAACTGGACCATGGGCTGAAGCCGTAGCCAGAGCCAAGGACCTTGTGTCCAGGATGACACTGGAAGAGAAGGTGAACTTGACCTCGGGTGTGTCCCCAGACACAGGCTGCTCTGGTGTCATTCCCGCCATTCCTCGTCTTGGATTCCCTGGATTGTGCCTCGCTGACGCCGGGAACGGCGTCCGGAATACGGACTACGTGAGCTCATGGCCATCAGGAATCCACGTCGGTGCTAGCTGGAACAAAGACTTGAGTTACAACAGGGGCTACTACATGGGCTCCGAAGCCAAAGTCAAGGGAGTCAACCTCCTGCTCGGTCCAGTTATTGGCCCCCTGGGCCGTGTGGTCGAGGGTGGGCGTAATTGGGAAGGCTTCTCCAACGACCCTTATTTATCTGGCAAGCTTGTCCACGAGACCATCGACGGTATTCAGACAGCCGGAGTTATGGCAAGTGCAAAGCATTTCATTGCTCAAGAGCAAGAAACGCATAGACTTCCTGCAAGTATCACTGGGGCGGAATCGGTTTCCTCAAACGTTGATGACAGGACGTTGCATGAGTTGTATCTATGGTAAGGCCCAGAAACACCACGACTTGGGAACAAGGCTAATTTCTGACCAACTTTTGCGAAACAGGCCGTTTTCTGAAGCAGTTCATGCGGGAGTTGCCAACATCATGTGCTCCTACAACAGGTTGAACAATTCATATGCTTGCGAGAACTCGAAGGCCCTCAATGGTTACCTCAAAGGTGAGATGGGCTTCCAGGGATTCGTTGTCTCGGACTGGGGTGCCCAGATGTCCGGTATGGCTTCGGCACTGGCCGGTCTAGATGTTGTGATGCCAAGCTCGATTCTGTGGGGAGCCAACCTGACCAACGGCGTGAACAATGGCACTGTGGCCGAGTCGCAGCTGGACAACATGGCCACCAGGTATGTTTGTTGGTTGATTCGGCAGCAATGGACTCATTTCTGACATACCTACCTATTTAGAATCCTGGCAAGCTGGTACCAGCTAAAGCAGGACCAGGACTTTCCCACTCCCGGCTATGGCATGGCCAAAGATCTTTGGCAACCCCATTTGGTTGTTGATGCTCGAAATGCGAGTGCAAAGCCAGCATTGTCAATGGGCGCTGTCGAGGGCCATGTCCTCGTCAAGAACACAAACCACGCACTGCCACTCAAGTCAGATATGCGGTTGGTCTCCTTGTTTGGGTACTCTCTCAAGGCACCCGACAAGAACAATCCGGAACCCGCCGAAGGCATGTTTTCGTCCTGGGCTATCGGAGCCCAGTCCTCCAACCTCACCGAGATCAACACTGGTTTCCTCGGTAACCTGAGCCTCTCATACGGTGCCATTGCACCAAACGGAACTCTGGTCTCTGGTGGCGGCTCAGGGGCCAGCGCCTTGAGTTTCTTCAGTTCACCCTTCGATGCCCTAGTGTCTCGGGCTCAAAGGGACGACACCGCCCTCTTCTGGGACTTGGAGAGCTGGGATCCCATGGTTAACCCGACATCCGACGCTTGCATCGTAGCAGGCAACGCGTGGGCTTCCGAAGGCTGGGACAGGCCTGCATTATATGACGAATACACCGACAGCCTCATTAGGAACGTGGCTGACAAGTGTGCAAACACGATTGTGGTCCTCCATAACGCGGGCACGCGACTGGTAGATGGATTCCTTGACCATCCCAACGTCACCGCTGTCATCTTTGCGCATCTTCCTGGTCAGGAAAGTGGCAACGCCCTTGTGTCCCTGCTATATGGTGACGAGAACCCGTCGGGTCGTCTCCCGTACACCGTTGCCCGCAACGAGACGCATTACGGATCTCTGCTGAAGCCGGATTTGACGCTTGCGCCCCATAGGTTTCAGCACTTTCCTCAATCCGACTTTACTGAAGGTGTATACATCGACTACAGACACTTTGACGCCAAGAACATCACGCCCCGGTTTGAATTTGGTTTTGGACTGAGCTACAGTAAGTTCGAGTACGCCAATCTCCAGATCTCCAAGTCGGCTTCATCATACGGGGCATATCCCACCGGAGCTGTTGTCCAGGGTGGAAGAGCAGACCTGTGGGACGTGGTAGCGACCGTGTCAGCTGATATCACCAATGCCGGTGACATGGACGGCAAGGAAGTTGCGCAGCTGTACATCGGGATCCCAGGTAGTGATGTCCCCGTGCGACAGCTTCGTGGATTTGAGAAGCCGCTGCTTAAAGTGGGAGAGACAACGAAAGTGACGTTCAATCTCACTCGGAAGGACCTGAGTATCTGGGATGTGGTAGCACAGGAATGGCTGCTCCGGCAGGGCAATTATGTTGTTTCTGTTGGGCGGAGTAGTCGAGACCTGCCTTTGTCAGGCACGCTTCAGTTGTAAGACCGTATGTAGATGAGAGGCTATAAAGGATAAATAAATAATATATTACGGTTAAGAAAGAAAGTGTTCAGCTCTGTTAGTAGGCTTCCTCCCAGGCCATCATGCCCAACGTCTTTCAACGCAAACTCAATATCAAATGGGTTTCCAGGTTAATTAGAAACTTGGTAATCCGTTGTAACCCTGCCTACCCTACACTCCAGTATGAATAAAATAATAAAGAGCGGCTGTAGCTGAGCCGTGGCTATGATGCCAGTCACCTTGTAACCTTGGTTCGCCACCGGGTTGGTTAATAGAACTCGAGTTTTCGTATTCTCGTTAGTTTCTCTTCATTACTTACGTACTTGATAAAATGGGGTTTGATGGCATCTCGTATTGTGTCAACGCCATTGTAAGCACAGTTTGAGACATTGGCAACTCAATGCTCCATCCTAATACCCTGACTTGCTGCTGATGCTTCCCATTAATTCGGGATAAGTTCCAGCAATCTGGCTTTATCTGATCTTGATCCAGCATAAATGAGTCACTGACTGCCATATGTGTGGCACAGCAAAGTAACCCCTGTTATCTAGAACGTCCTTGTCCGCATTGGGGATACCAGACGACACCTCGGTTAAGGATGCGACAAGCCACCAACAGATTTTGTCTCAGCGCTTACTAGGCACCAGCATCCTTTTACGAGCGCACCTCTCATGCCTGCTTTTGTTAACGCCACGTAGCGAGCTGTGTACCATGTGACATATATAGTGTGACACCCACTTTAATCTCGCCTGTCAGCTTCCTTCGCGCATTATCTTGACACCTTTTCAAGAGCAAACCATCAACATCTAATCTGTTTTGTTGTCTCCTGCATTTACCTTACTCGCCTGACCATCACAAGATCTTTCAGACCCAGTAAGACAACAGACTTACGTACTCCCGCGATATAGCTCACTAACACAGCAAAGCTTTCAAGATGAAGGTCCAGAATCTGCTCGTTCCTCTTTTTGCCAGCGCTACGCTGGCAGACCATCATCCAGGCGCAAAGGAAAAGTGCGGCCGACTTGGTGTTATGGAATGGGACCCTGCCGAGCTCCCTGAGGGTGTGACCCCGGACATGGTCCGCATGTGCGCTGATCACCCCATGGGGATGGGCAACTACTGGGGTTGGGGCGAGTACATGCCCGACTGGGTCCCCGTCAACCCTCTGGTTTACTTGCTTGAATGGTGGTATGGTGACCATGATGGCAATGATGGCGGTGACGATGGTGAACTCGAGCTTGACCTCGACATCGACCTGTAGATGTTGGATGGGAGGGAGTTAGAGGCATTTTGGATGCCTGAATTTTCTCGTTGCAAATCAACCTGCTTGGGCGATATCTACTGTACATCAAATAGCCACAGTTTTCCAATACCGTTAGACTAGCCATGCAATGAGATATTACATGAAATATGATAGTTTTGTTATTTGAGTTAACTAACTATTAAGCTAGGTAGCAACGTATCTAGCCATGTTTACGTAACCTTATTTAGAGTCCTTCTTTAGAGCTAGGACGTAACGTAGCTATTGTGTGGAGGCACATTTTGCGCGGACTTGGTCGTGGAAGGACGGTTGTTATGTCGGGCTTGTCATGGACTGATCATCAGCCCTGCAAACCTGCCAAGTCACTCTCCTGAAACACTCTAGTCGTAGGGGATCAGTCGATCTTCGAGCTCAGTTAACCCATCAAGGGCCGGGCTACAACCACAATAAAGAACAGATCTTCAACACATCATAACATCATGACCCGATGCTAACACAGTGGAGCCAGGTAATACAGTGGTCTGCTTGGGGACCGGAAGTCTGGGCTTCCTTGGGTTCTGTCATCTCATTCATTGCCATGATAATTTTGCTCTCTCAATTTGAAGGCAAACCCGTTTTACATGGCATGGTGTGACCCTCAACGCTTTGGTCTCAATACTATCTGTAGCGATGAAGGCAGAGTAAATCCGCTCTGGGGAGTCAGGATAGGAATGTAGAAATGGCAGAAGACATCGAAGTGCCAATTGGAGGAGTTTCTATACTATTGGGAAGCATGAAAATGTCTTGCATGCAGTGGTACTCGCTTCATTCTCACTGTGTCGTCATCGCACAACTGAGTTCCTCCCATACAACATACTGCGCCTCCGCCAAGGGAAAAGCATTCACATATTGGCTATCATTCAGGCGCCATCAAAAGTGTACAAATCTACTCTGTAAAGATAGGATCAAGTAAATAACTGAGGAGTTAGAAGAGCTATCACAAGAGATACAAAAAGAGAGAAAGCGAGCTTTGCCTATGCCGGGGCGGCACGTCAACATCAGGGTCTTGTGTCTCCCTCTTAGACCAGGTGGACTTTTGTCCATAACGTCTGACTAAACCATGGTGTTGAAGACCAGCTCCATTTGACCCGTCCGTTGGCCGTCAGAAATTCCGGGGCAGACGTTTGAGCAGCCGCATACTGAGAAAGTCTAGACTCAAAAGCCTCTTCTTCCACCGTCTTGGACTCCATACCCACCCCTAAGTCGGATTTCGCAATAGTGTTGATAATGACGGCGCCGAGCCCAAAACTACCCGTACCGCCTGAGAAAAAACTCCCAATTCTGCTGAACTGTCGATCCTTGTCCTCAGACGTTTCCTGAATCACAAGGCCATGAACCCGCGTGTTCGTAAAATTAGTAGAGATATCACGAGACCCCTCTAATAGCAGTGGAACTGAGAAACACTGCAATCGTGGGTCTGAGTCAAAGGGCCTGCTAAAGGCAACTGAAAACAGTGCGTTCTGTGACGTTCTGATCTCGTTATAGGGACGGAAACGTAGTCGTAGGTCAGAGAGACACCCAACGCGATCCTCGTCGTCCTCAAAACAAAAGAAATCCCACCTATCTTTTTCAAGGTAGGTTTGGTTCAATTCGTGGTTGTCGTTAAAGTTAATGGGTATCAGGAAACAGTTGAGTCTCAAACTGGCCCCCCGAAAGGAGGTAAAGGGGTCCCCACCTGTTGGATTCAATATCCATTCGGTCAACATGGCAACGGGAATGTTATCGCCCATGTTGAATGAAGGAAGATTTGATGATAGATAATCTGAGCTGCGGAGGGATGAAATCATAGTGACTGGGCCTGGGAAGCCAACCCACGACCAGGAAGGAGCTTCTAGAATGTCTCCTGACTGATATTTCTGATGCGAGGTTTTGATGGCACCTGAGAGTGGTTTCCAGAGAAGGTCCGGGATCCAGTACTCTATCCAAATCCCTGAAAAATAGGTATCGCCAGAATTCTCAGATAGAGCTCTCGCTAGCCCCGAGATGGCAATAAGCTTATCCTCCTTCTTAGTCAAGGTGCAATTTGTATAAATTTCAACCAAACTTGACCATGAAATATGTCTCCTCTCGTCTATATCCCTGGCGCCTTCGTTTCGCTTGCCAAGGCTAGAGAGGCCTTGAGGAGCAGCCTCACTGGCAATATGGCTGTGACACTCCCAGTAAATCTGCTCGTTTCCCAGGTACGCTATTCTCGGAGAAAGGAACCTCTCTTGTAAAACCCAGCCGCGGCGATTGATCAGAGCTTCCGCAACGTCGATGTCAAAGCCCCGGAAATTATGGACAAATGCATAATCTCCAGAATGAGGCGTAGAATCGCCGTTTCTCGATTCTCGATGCTCGGCTGGTCGAGGGCGGGGGATAGTGCGAGGTCTGATGCTGCGAAAGAGACTAGCCGCTGAACAGTCCCAACAGATACTCAAGGTAAGGAAAGAATTCTGATAAATATGTGCCATCGTTCCGGCTTCGGAATGAAAGTCGTCGTCTGAGTCTTGGAAGATGCACAAAGAATCTATCCAAAGATAGCGGATAGAGAGCGCCCGGCAAATTGACATGATGTCTTGATAGTCGCGTGGCAGCTGGCTATTCTGGTAGAGTCGTTGAAGTTGATAGCCATCGCCATTCTTGAGCAATTTCGGTGTGTTTTCTGCCCATCGATGGGACAACGCCACGTATCTTCTATACTCCTCGACGTTGCCCTTGGTTTCAACAATATTCCACTGGTCTGAGTCCGTGTTGCCTATGTCTAATAGTCGAGTGGGTATCGTTGAACTGGTGATGCCTCTCCCTTTGCATTCGAAATGCCCGTTTAAACAGCCGTCGCTCCATCTACGGATGAGTTTGGCTATTGACTCAGGTGTGTGGATATTCGGAATTGGATAACGCCTTTCTGTTTCTGTGTGGGTCTGCGTCAGTAAGATTTATATGTAAACTAGCATATGGAGAGGAACTAAGGTGCGAATATGTTGAGTACTTACCTAGAAACCTTTCCTCCGTCGTCTTGCATATCCTGCAGAACATATACTCTGTCAAGGTTTCTCTACCCGGCAGCCTCACTTCCAAGAAGTAGCCGAATCTATCCGCCCAAGCTCCTGTCACCCAGCTTTGAAAATCATTGTGCTTCTCTTCTTCTGGGGTAGCAAGGGGCGAAGCTCGTAGGAGTCTCCACAGGCTCCAGCAAATTGGGCAGTCTTGGCTCAAAGAAGCGGCAAATTCCTCCCAAGATGAGTGCATAATCTTCTTTTTGCCACGGTCTACTATCCATACGTCCATGTCTTCACGCTGACGTATGCGCGCTTCATCTTCCGGAGTGAGTTCAGGACAAAACTGTTGGCACACGGTGCAAAGGTTCATAATGGAGCAAAAGGCCACTCTTCGGGCCCGACTGTCCTCCGACGCTGGCCTGCTTTGTGGGTTGCGGACGACGATTTCTTGAAACTGGGCAACAAAAGGTTTAGGTGCCTGCAAAAGCAGATTACTTCAACAAAAATGTCCAGTTTTCTGCGGAAAATCTTTGGCGGAAGAGGGATCAGCTTTGGCAGACAGGTCAGACGATGCCCAAAGCCAAGACATGGCAGCCTAACAGATGCATGCGGCCCCGTTTGATACAAATCTGGTTACATATTTCCAGAAATTCAATAAGTCAGCATTGTGTTCTAGGTAATTCATGAAGCGAATTTGCATAGACTACCTACTTCATGAATATGGATTCTATGGCAGGGCATCGTACATCCAGCAGCCCGGATTACTTGGATGTTTCGAGAGCGTGGAACATGTAGAAGATGCAGGATCTGGGCAGGAGGGTTCGATTGCTGCGGGTAGACATTTCTATTCATGTAATTACCCTGCGATAGCCCTTGATTGACTTGATCGGATCGATTTAGGTGAAGTCTGGGTGATATCGTTACTTAAATTTCCTATGTCAATTACAAGGGTAGGTTCTTTTTGAAATAATTTCCAGTTCATTGTTAATGTCTCTCCCAAAGACAACACTATAGAGCTCACTTGATGTCCGTCCTAAAGCCGGTCTACTCTGTGACTACTGTCGCAACATCAACGTGGAATGTTCATTTGGGGCCGGAAAGCAAAACAAGAAGCCCTTTTGTTGTGGAAGAGGATCGTCTGTTGTACCAGCGGTGTTGGCAAACATTTCCCAACCAGTCCTTGTCCATCTTCAACCTAGGGCTGTATTATTTCTGTTGAGGTGCTTCAACGTAAGTTCTTGTCCAATTATATCCCACGTTTCAACCCCCCAGCCACGTTTGCATGGGCAGGCGAAATGCCAAGGCAGAATCTAGAAGAGGCTTGGCCAGCACAGCCACGCTGGCATTTCATTCCCTCCTCAAATCGTGCTTAACTTGACAACCTTCATCATCACTTGAGATCGAAGCAAAAGTCTGGAGTCATTATACCCATTTGATTGCGATGCCGCAAACTCGGGCCCAGACCCGGAAAAGACACAGCAGCAACGAGACGCCCCCTCCCGCTCCCCCCAAACGAGCACGGAAGCTTCTGAACGATGTGCCCAATCCGTTGCCATACCGACAACTTGACTTGAAGAGTCACCAGATACGGATATTGCATCTCCATCCTGGAAAACGCAAAGACCCTATCCGCTGCGTGCTTCAAACAGCACTGCTCGACGACGGCCCCAAATACGAGGCGCTATCCAATGCTTGGGGAGATCCCCTCGATTGCCGTTCCATCGAGGTGGACGGGAGGAGAAAGAGTATCACGGTCAATTTGTACCATGCTCTTCTGAGATTACGCTACCCAAGACGCGAGCGATGTCTCTGGGTGGATGCTTTATGCATCAACCAGGACAATGACATCGAGAAATCACATCAGGTTAAGCTCATGAGCAAGATCTACTCGCGCACTAGGAGAGCAATACTCTGGCTGGGAGACTTTTCTTATGGACCAATCGCGAAAGTGAACCAGATTCCCCGGAAAACAGCGACAGCGACCTTCGCTTTGATCAAGGCGATGGCCGCCAACAATCACTATAGCAGTGGCCACGAGGGAGGAAACCGGGAGCTGGCAGACCAGGGCATCGCAGGTCTATCTTGCTTGTTCCAGTTACCTTGGTGGAATCGCGCCTGGACTTTACAAGAAGCGGTTCTTCCAAGCAATGCCACTGTCGTGTGCGGGACAGTACAGCTGCCGCTTTCATCGTTCATGGAGGCATATATGCACTCCATTAGCCATCTCGAACAAGGCTGCTGTGAGAATACAGATGACTGGGACCCATTTTGGAATCAGCTCCATGGTCTTGTTTCTACAAAGGAAAACATCCAAGGGGGGCGCCACAGGATCAACGATGCGCTTAACATTTTTAGAGCTCGCCATGCGTCAGATCCAAGGGATAGAATATATGCCTACCTCGGGCTCGGAAGTGACATCTCAGCAAACTATTCTATACCTCATGAGGAAGTGTTCAAGCTTGCAGCTCGCGCGCTAGTTGAAGAGACGGGAACGCTTTACAGTTTGTTAAGAACTTATGAAGAGAACAGGTCTCCCTCCCTGCCGACTTGGGCTCCAGACTGGTGTGCCGACTTCAAGGAAAGGGACTACGACAATGAGCTGGCGTGGCTTTTCCTCCATCATTGTTACAGGGCGGCCGGTGAGGTCAAGGCGATAACCAGGCTCTCTTCCTCTGATGCGGTTTTAGATCTACAAGGCCTGGTTTTGGATCGCATTGTGGCCGCGGGGCATGTTCTAAACACTGATTGCCGCATGAAGGAAATCATTACAGAGTGGCAGCATACGCCAAATAGCGAGTACCCGCAGGGAGGAACATACAAGGAAGCCTCCTGGCGTACAATATTGTGCGACATGGAGGTGGGACATAGTTTTTATAGAAGGCTGACCTCGAGCGATGACGCATAGAAGATGGTAAATTATGAGCTAAGGCAGGTCAAGAACATCAGCGCGTATTCCAAGAGGGGATTCTCTACAGCCAAAGGCCTGATTGGTCTTGGGAACAGAGATATACAAGTTGGAGATTTCATTTGTGTGCTGGGGGGAGGTTCCATGCCATTCATACTGCGTCAGGTTGAGGGACACGGAGGCGACATTGCGTATCAGTACATCGGACAGGCGTATGTCCACGGAATCATGGATGGAGAAGTGATGAATGAGGGACAAGACTTGGAATGGATAAGCCTTGTTTGAGAAAAACAAGATTGATTGAAGACAAACATGGAGTATTGTATTTGAGCAAAGTGGAAGCGTTCTTCCCTTTATCTGACCTGCTGCGATGTACCTATGCAATCCAATTCCAGATCTTCTGCCAAATGTTCTTGGGCTTGTCATCCTCCCAGATCTCGTCCAGAGCATCAATCTCCGCCTTTCCGGTAAAGAGGTCCCGCTCTTGCGGCGAGAGCCATTTAGTGCGACGGACAGCCTTCCATCCGATAAAGAGCACGACAAAAATGGGGATTCCGATGTACGCCGTAACAAAGTTGTATACATTCCAGCTTCCGGGAAAGAACATTGCAAAACCATTGAAGAAAATGATGATAAGGAAAAAGACCAAGGCGATAATGGCCCCGTAGGGTTGGAACGGGGCTCGGTGGACAAGAGTCTTGCGAGAGATGTTGTTTGCCTTCAAAGCGCCATGGAAATGCAGATAAGCCACACAAATGGAGGACCAAGTGATAAGTGTGCACATTGTAGTGAGGCTTTGAAACCAGAGAAAGATCTGGTTGGGGCCGCTCGAGACGGAAAGGAATGTGAGGAGGCTGAAGATGGCCGTAGCAGCGACACAGTAGATGGGGTTTCCCGAGTTGGTGGTCTTGAGCAGGAACTTGGGCGCATGTCCATTGGATGCGAGAGCGAGGAGGTATCGTGATCCCGTGTAGAGGAATGCGTTTCCAGAGGATAAAGCCGACGAGAGGATGACAGCGTTGATGATCGATGGCAGGACGGGTATACCGGCTCGCTTAATGGCAATGACCCACGGCGATGCGGCAGCTGTGTGAACTCCAGCAACTTGCTGGGAGAGCAGGTCTGGATCATTGTAGGGAACAAGAACACCAATGGCTAGGGAACCCAAAGAATAGAAAAAGAGGATTCGCCAGAAGATACGTCGAGCCGCCTTGGGGAGGTTGCGCTTGGGATTTTGGGATTCCCCGGAAGCGACGGCAACAATCTCGACACCAGCATAAGAGAAAGCGGCATTGACAAGAACCGAGAAGAAGCCCAGGAAGCGCCCGGTGTCTCCTGTAGTCATGGATTCCCTCATGGCTCCAGGATTGTTCCAGTACGTGAACCCCAGACGGTCGCCACGGGGACCGCCACCCAGATCCAAGATGAAGGCCAGGATGAGGAGGCCGACCATTGCGATTATCTTGACAGAGGCAAAGATAAACTCGGCTTCTCCATATACCCCGACACCGAATACGTTGAGGGCGACGATGAGGATTATAAAGATCGAGATCCAAACGGCAACATTGACGGCTTCAGTCCAGTAACTGACGAGAATGGCAGCGGCGGAAATTTCGACGGGGACAGCGATGGCACAGAAATACCAGTTCTTGAAAACAGTTAGCACAGAAGCTATGATCTTAATGGGTGACACCAGTCAGTGATGGACTTACGTTCCAACCAACGGCAAAACCCAGCGCTGGATCAACAAAGCGTGCACAGAACTGAGGAATGGCGCCAGGCAGAGAAATCCAGACAGCCATCTCGGCAAGCACTTGCATGAGCATCCATATCGCGACACCAGTGATGGAGTATCCAAGGAAGATGGACAAGGGGCCGGCGCGTGTGAGGGCACTACCGATGCCGAGGAAGAGACCGGTGCCGATGGTGCCACCGAGGGCGATGAACTGAATATGACGAGATTTGAGTCTAGATATTCGTGAGTGAAGGTTATATGTTGGGCAAGACAGCTTCTTACTGTCTGGCTACTCCGATGGGGGTTGCTTCGCCAGTCGAAGCTTCGACATCTTTTAGGCCAGGCGGACTGTCCTGTTTTTCAGAGGTTCGAGGGGCATCCATGTTGAGTCGTATCAAATGTCTTGCGAGATTCAAATCCCAGCATGAATAAGTGATACAGAGAAAGTCCAGTCGGAAGGGTTGGCACCAGCTATTATATACCTACAGCATGACAACCACTACCCCAGATCCGTCTTAACTTCTACTGGTGGGGAACTACCCCAGCTGGATGTATACCGGCACAGAGTCTGGGGAAAACTGGGTTCGTTCGCCGAGTTTACAAGTTGCGCCTTCTAGGAACAAGGTTATCACTAAGACCAAGCTACGGATATCGTGGTCAAACAACCTTGCCAAGTCTTATCTAGGAGATAGGAATACGATAAATCGGCATGTTACGAGAAGGCGCTAATAGATAGGAGAAGGCGTCTACCTTAATGGCCGGATAACACATTGGCGGGTGAGGAGATAATAGGGGATTAAATCGCGCCCTCGGTATCAGAAGGCGTACAATGTAGCATTTGCGGATCAGCGGAGGAACAGGCTAGCCTATAGGCCTTGATAGTCGAGCTTGACAATGACTCGAGGGTCTGACCAACACAAAACCCCTCTGCCTCTCTTTATCAATGGAACATTTGCGCCCTCTCACAATGCTGATACTGGGAGATAACCCGTTTCAACGTAGGTGAATTTTGCAGAGAGACGCCAGACTCATTCTATCATCACATGCTCGTGGATCGCCCCCCTATTTACCAACTCCAGCCGCAGTATACGGATATCCCGGCAGATCCGACAAATCATTGTCTAGAACGTATTGGTAGAACTCTGCAAGACTTCTACCGCGTGGAAAGTCAGAGAACAGCGTCCAGAAATTGACGTATCCCAGATAGTCTGCGTATTCCGGCGTGTTGTCTCCACGGATGCACCACGATATGCGATACTGTCCCATGTTGTAGTTGGCAATATCCATAATGTTGTCCGGGTGTGTGGCAGGCTTAGAGCTTGCGTCGAGTCTCTCTCGAGTTTCTTTGATGACCTGCTTGATTTCGGCCTCTGAGATCTAGATGCCACCATTAGCTGCCTATGATTTCCCCTTTCGACCTCGGGATACTGCTTACATAGTCCTTGGCGGGGGTCTCTCCGCTGGCCTTTGCCATAGTATCCCACATCTCATTCATGCTGAGAGCCTCGGTGTACGCAAACACCCGCTTGTTTAATGTTCGAGGAACCGACACGATCTGAGCGACGTATTTGCCAATGTCGGCCAAGTCGATGAGACTGAACTTTTGGTTGCCATCCCCGACGATTCGGTGGTCGATGTAGATCATGTGTGCGTCGTCAGACCGACCGGAAGGGACCTTTGGGACAAAGACTTGGAAGAAGCAGCCGACATCGATAATTGTATAGGGAAGACGGGTTCGTTGGATGACGCCGAGGATTTCGAGTTTCTAATAGATAATTAGTTGAAGCCTTTTGCTGTCATGGGTAGGAAATGGCGTACTTTGTCTTTGATGTCAATAACGCCCCTTGGAGCTGGGCCAACCCATTCAGAGGGCACAAATCGCTTCACACCAGCCTCCTTTGCAGCCTCAATCCATGGAATTTGCTGATCCAAGTGTTCCCACGTGATGCAGGAAATGACGACATCAATCGGCTTTAGAATCTCGATGAGAGCGCTGGAGGGACCGTTTAGATCGTAACCGACAATGTGAATACCTTTGGCCGCGAATTGTTGGTTGGTAGAGTTGTCGACTGACGCGGCTCGTGTGAGGGAGGTTACTGACTATTAGCAGGTTAGCAGTTTCCAGTTAGTGCCCGCGACTTGGCGACGTACAAAGTTTGTCGGCGAAGAGAGCAGACCCTCAACGATAGAAGAGCCCGTTTTTCCTGTGGCGCCAATGACGCCGACTGTGATTGGACCAGCCATGTTCAAGAGTCTGATAGGATGGTAATATCGAGCTGAGGGGACGTTGAAAGGTAAATGTGATATGGCTGCTGCCAGATCTTGAAATACCCAACCCCGTGTTTGAGACCCATCAGGGCATCAACGAATGTGGATGGCTCAGGATGAGTCATAATGAGTGAGCGGCTTGCAATTGTTAAACTTTAAAACTTAAAACAAGGAAATAGGCTCATAGCTAATACCAACCGCCCCATTCTTGGTTCTCATTTCCATTCCTCTTTTTATTAATTTTGAGGAAAAATTTAGCTCAGATCTGATCTGCCCCTGAAAATGACGAAACCATCCATCACAGTCAAGGCAACTCACACGGTCGTGAATGCGAACCCCGAAAGGCTTGAGTCGCTTGGCATGCCCTTCTGGCTTGGTCCCCTAGATCACCTCGTCTACCCCTCGGTTCCCATCAACGTCATCTGGATATATCAAGCCTCCACCGAATTCTCCTCCGATCTCGTCCCGGTTTCGCGGCTTCGCGATGCTCTCTCGATCCTCCTCGATTACTACCCAACTCTGACCGGCCGACTTTCCATTGAGTCTGAGTCCGGTCGTCGATACCTGGGCCGTTTTGGTACCGGGATTTCCTTACTCGAGGCGACTTGCGATGAGGCTCTCACAGTCTTTAGCGGCTCAGCTGATGGCAAATTCGACATATTCAACTTCCCCTCTGCGGGTGATTCCTTGCTTGGGCCATGGGAAGGCTCCATTGAGAGCGCTCAACGCGATCCACTGTTGACTGTTCAACATACACGGTTTGCATGTGGCTCCGTAGGTGTTGGCCTTCGCATCGCTCACATGATGTGTGATGCAGGGGGTTTCCTCCAACTCTACCAAGATCTGGCCCAGCTCTACCGGGGTTTAGCGTCCGGCACGGAAACCACACCCAAACTTGACGTTGCTCCCGCCATCGAACCATTTCTCTCTGGCAAAATCGCTGGGATGTCTGATGAGGAACGCGAAGAAGCTCTCAAGAATCAACCTCAAGGTTTTTCTCTAGTACCTACTCCAGAGCCAGCAGCAGCCCCAACCGATGAAGACGACACAGTCCCCGATATCAAAGAAACACCCGCTCCTCCTCCTCCCATCAAAGGCCGAACCATTCACTTTTCAGCAGCTGAGCTGTCCGCAATTAAGAAGCTGGCCACACCCCCATCTGCAAGTTCTTGGGTGTCGACCTTCTCAGCCTTGTCAGCTCACATCTTTCAACGCGTGCACAAGGCTCGCCTCGCTCATCTCCAAGCTCAAAAACTTCCCGCTTCTTCTCTGGCAACGCCGTCTTTCTTGACCAGTATCAACTACTCTTCGAAGCTTGCTTTTCCACCCAAGTACTTTCCCAACGCCGTCATCACCCCCTTCGCCGAGGTCTCTTCCTCAGAGCTTGCCCAAGAACCTCTATGGAAGATCGCCGAGGTTATTCACAAGCTGATCCACTCAACCATGCCGGATCAAGCCCGCGACCTATGTCTCTGGATAGCGGGACAACCCGACAAAAACAGGATCCGCCACGAGTTCCCATTTGGTAGCGCGTCGTTCATTACGAGTGCCTGGCATAAATATCCCCTCTATAGCGGTGCGGAGTTGGATATTGCGCCTGTATTTGTGAGCCCTTCATTCACGCTTACGGCACTGGTGGACGGACTGGCCTACTTTTTGCAGCCCAAGAACTCGGACGGTGACATTGGCGTTCTCATGTCACTGAGTGAACCTGTTTGGGGTCATTTGGACCGTGATAGCGGGTTTAGGCATCTTGAGTTATCTAACCAATCGCTTGCAGCGGTAGAGACTTTTGGAATTTTATAGCAGATACATAACATCGATATCTCAGACACAACGTGTTAGCATTGGCTTATGATATGTTAATGAGTCCGTTGTTATAGTTGAAGCCCAGCCTTCACTGGGATAATTGAGCCAGAAGACGGATGCTTCAGAGAAGCAAGACAATCGCCAAGCAGATTAGATCTTAGTCGTCATATTGACGACACCTTTGGCACTTCAGTCACCCAATGATACATGGTAAAGTCTCATCATGAATGGGCAATTGACGATGATATCATCAAGTCACGGCTTCTAGTGGTATGGATAATGGTAAATTCGATTTATTCGATTTCACCTCAGAAGGAGATTCGATTATTGGGCTTTAGAAGGGATTCATCGAGAGCGCCTGACACGACCCTCTGTTGACCACTCAACATACCTGGTTCATACCCTGCTTTGTTGTCATTGGCCATGCTGTGTGTGATGCTGGAGGCGCTCTCTTACTATCTTGCAATTTGGTGTTTGCCGAGTTTTGGTGTCCGGCACAGAAATGATACGTTCTGAACACAATAACCCTATGTTAGTGGAGAAAGCAGAAAATACTCCTCAACAGGCACCGAGGCAACTTTGCACGGGTGGCTTGGGCACGTGACAGCGATATGGTCAGATCATAACGGTCTGAGCACGTCAGGGATGCTAACCCCTTACACTCAGCTGAAAAACTGCCATCATCCCCGCTTCAAATAACGCAATTTTTAGCAACTACCAAAACACAAAGCTATAAAGGTAGACAAGTCCAGACGATAACCTGGGTCTTAGCTTCTCTAGCTAAATAACTAAAGTCTAAACACTGGCCATAGTAGGTTGTTCAACGGAACATGATTCATTAGCTGGAAGAAAAAGAAGAAGAAGCCTGGCTAACTGGATGAAACAGTCAACCTCCAGCAAATATTCATATTCCAACATGTTGAGATCTCAATTTGGTCCACTATCGAGAGCTTGCGCCAATGGCCTGAGTGCCAGCCGCCGTCGTTTCTCAACCTCTCCAAGCTGGCTCCAAGCCCTTCCGGTCCAAATTTCGGGCCAAGGAACCGGCACAATCCAGTCCATCTCCGTCAAAGACAAGCCATACACGTTCTCGGCAGACACGTATACCGTCATTGGCGGCACGGATTCGCACCCTTCACCGGTCGCTTACGCCCTCGCCAGCCTGACCTCTTGCAACCAGGTGACAGGCTCGTTGGTTGCAAAGGACCACGGCATCAAGCTTGGAAAGTGGCATGTGACAGCCCACGGCCAACTCCCCACTGCGGTTCTAGTTGGAGGCCAGCAGGGGAACCCCAACTGGGAGAGCGTGGCTCTTACTGTGCGGGTGCAGAGTGATGCCAAGGATGATGCCGAGTTTCAGCATTTTGTGTCTGAGGTTGAGCGTCGATGCCCTATTACACAGCTGTTTAAGCTCAGTGGTGTACAGTATAGCAGCGAGTGGGTGAATGAAGCCCTGGAATAGTGTCAATAGGTACTTAGAACTAAGAAGTATCTGTACAATGACTCGGCTTCCAACCTTGTCTTTCCCAATTTCCAAGCCACAGCCTCACGCTCACACCTTAGCCTGTGGTGTGTTCCCCTGCTTCCTCCTTTTAACCTCTCTCGCAACCGCTAGAAATACAGTCCCGAGTGTCAAACAGGCCCCGGCAAAGGCTTGCGCACCAATATATCTACCGTTCATCGCGGAAATAAGCGTCCCTGCGATAGGGGTGCCAGTCAAGACTGCAAAGCTGACGATGGTAAAGACCATGCCGATTCTTGTACCTTGCTTGCTTGGGTCTGTTGTCAAAGAAGCCAACGCTGAAGGGAACATGGCCTGAATGCCCCCCAAGGCAGGGCCACTAACAGCAGCCCAAACATAGAGACCAGCTTGGGAATTCACAGCTATCCAGCACCATACCATCAAAGCTCCGAGCCCGGCCGTAGGTACAAAGACGGTCAGCGCACCTATCCGATCGCCAAAGTAGTTGGGTACGAGGCGGCCGATAATACCGACTCCACTCATAACCATGATAACGTCAAGGGACTTGGAGTAAGCCATGCCCTGGATATCGCGAGCATACGCGGCGATAAAAAAGAAGGCGAAGTATACGCCCCAAAAGCACTATCGGTCCATGTTAGCGGAAAGTAGACAAGAGACGCGGAAGCCTACCATGAATGCGCCCAGGGTGTAATATGTATACTCCAACTCCTTGAACGCAGACCACTCAACCAGTCGCCCACTCTTTCGCGGTGGAATTCTAGGTTTTAGGGACAGCAGGGAGATGACGAAACAGCCTGCCTGCATTAAGCCAATAACTCGAAGCGTCCAGCCAAATCCCACACGCGGAAGTAGCCCTCGTACAATGCCCGGGAAGATTAGGCCTCCCGTTACACTCCCGCATGCTGTCAGTCCTATTGCGATAGATCTATACTTCTGGAAGTAGGTCGAGATGATGGCAATAGCAGGACAGAAGAGACAGCCGTTGCCCAGACCGACGCATACACCTTGGGCGAGGAATACCTGCCAATATTGTGTGCATACCGAAGTCACCAGGGTTCCAGCAACAACAAGTATGGATCCAAGTATGGAGATAGGGAGGAAGAATCCGGCGTCGGTGAGGCGGCCAGTAAGGGTGCCAATGAAGAAGAGGAGAAATACTTCTATAGAGCCAATCCACGCTATGTCGGACGGTGGTCGTTGAAGAGCTTGCACGTAGTAGCTTTGAAAAACTCCGAAAGAATTAATCACTCCCCTATTTGTGTTAATCATCACTGTCATGCGGAAAATAGAGACACAGGGGCATACCAAGTGTTCATAACTACCAAGTGCGTGCCGAGTACTGGAACCTCAAATCAGCGAGTCTTCCCTAGGGGCATCTAAAGGTTTCTTACCGCACATCCATGCCCTAAAACCCCCATCAGGAGCGGGACCAGGCGTGGCGCTTGTCCTTGATGCGATGCGGCTTAGCACCCTGCTGGCTAAGCCTGGCTCGGCTTCCTCCTTTGGCACAGCGTGTTCGGCAGATGCCACACTCGCCTGAGATGATTGGCTGCTGGGCAATACCAAATCCTCGGTCGCTTGTCTCTTTTCGTCGCTTTCTTTCTCAGTGGGTGAATCCTCGTCTGCCGCGTTCGGTAACCGAGGTTGAGGGGCTTGGAGCGGGCTAGGCAATTTTTCAGGCATTGTATTCGCCGGGTCGTGAGCTAAAGGGAATCCTTGATAGACTTTGAACCCAGCTGAGAAGTTTAATTGCCGTTGGTCTTTAACTGTTTATTTCGAGTGTCGTTGTTCTTGAATACAGAGATTTGTAAGGTTGCTGACGAGGGTACCGGAGCCAGTGATGATTGTCTAAAACACAACACAAAGGTGGTAAAGGGAGGAAAATAAAAATGATAAAGAAGAGACTAAGCTTTTGATGAAGGATTAGACGTCTTTGTTATCCCCCCTTTCCTTTGTCTTGTCCATTTTGCCCTTTTGCTTGTCTGTTTCGCCCTTTCCTAGCATCTCTGTGGGGACACCCCGAAGACGCCAATGTCCAATTGAAATCACGCGGCACACACTTAAACAGCACTATTCATACATGTGTCATGCCATGTCAAGTTTGTCTAACTAGAAAGGTAAGTCATGTTTGAACTGGAATCTCTATTCAAATCTGGCTACAGCCGGCTTTGACGTCGCGTTATCTTCCTTGCGTAGGGGTGCCTGTCTGTTGGCACCAAGTGATCAACTTCAAGACTGTTGATCAAGTCTGGGTGGGCGTCCCTCATCAAGTCCGTCATTCCACACAAACGCATCGTAGTCTCGATTTCATCGCGCAAAACTACAAGAGCGTTGATTAGCACTTCTGTAAACGAATATAGGGCCTGATAGAAACCTACTGGAAATGGCATGCTCTACTCCTTGCTGGCCGTAACTCAGCGAGTACAGAAAGCTTCTGCCAATGCCGACAGCTGATGCTCCGAGGCAAATGGCCTTGACCACATCGGCGCCCCTGCGAAATCCACCGTCAATTAAAACTTCCATCGATTCGAGTACCTCAGGACAGTTCTTTTGAAGCTCCAACAGGATCAGGATTGCTGGGGGCGCATGGTCGACGGCCCTGCCTCCGTGGTTGCTGATAACTATTCCGTCGCAACCATACCTGTGAGCCATCCGGGCATCATGAGCCGTCTGTATGCCCTTGACAAGGATGGGGAGAGAGGTCAGGCTGCGGAGCCAGCTGATGATGCCCCAATCCACACTGGGATCGATGAAGGCACCAGTTTGTCGCGCAAGGCCGGCTCCCTTTTTGTCACCACCCTTCACATCTGACTTGGTCCCCCCTATAGATACTGTCTCGTTGGACCTGATGCGCTCATCTGCTTCTCGCTTTGGAACAACAGGGACATCAACGGTGACAAAGATGGCCTTTATCTTGCCAGAAGCATCCATCTGTCGAATCGCCGCTTCTGACTTCTTCCGATCCTTATTCACGTAGAGCTGAAAGAAGGCCTGTCTTGGAGTTTCATCGAGGATTTCGTCGTGGGGGTATGAGGATGGAGTTGCAAAACAGTGAACAATGCCGCCAGCAGCTGCACCACGGGCTAGAGTAAGCTCCCCCTCTGCCCCGCCAGTCTTCGCTGCGCCTGTAGGGGATATGTAGACGGGAATATCCAGCTCACAGCCAAATAGTGTCGTATTTGTCTTGACGTCCCTTACATTTCGCATCACTCGAGGGCGTAACAAAATCCTTCTCAGGATAGAGCGGTTCGCATCCCTAGTGTCATTATCGTTAGAGCCACTGCTGATGTAGCCTATGGCCTTTTCACTTAGGGCGTTCGTAGCTGCATGCTCAAAATCATCCAAGTTGATGATGGCGCCCAAGTCTGGTTTCTCAAGTCGGTCCTTGGATTGAGGGAGACTGGGGACCTGCTGTTTCTGGGGCATCGTGGCCTGGTCAACAGTCCCGATGTGGAACTTGACGTCCAAGGATTTTCGAATTAGAGATGGTCCATGGGCTTCATTGTAGGCGGCCGACGCATCAGCTCCAGCGTGCTGGTAGATAACTATTGAAACGACGGTTAGCCGGATCGCTGCCGGGGCGGGCTTTGGGCTTACTCTCAGCTCCTCCGGGGTGCTCAGGCGCAAACTCGGTCATATTATACACTATTCCATTGACGGAAATCCAGACGTCATCTTTCTTATCATGTTTGGATAATTCTGATGCTGCGATGGCCGACGTCATTGTGGCCTCGGTGGTCAAACTTTTCCAATGTCGCGTCAACGTTCAGTCGGCTGCCAAGGGTTGCTCGCAAAATACCTTGATATTCTTGAGAAACCATAAACCAACTGGTCGAAAACAGACTTCAGTCGCTGTTCGGTCAAGGTCAATGGACGTGTGGTGGAACGGCCCGGCATACATTGACTACCCCGCTCTGCTGCCAAGTGACGGACCGAGTTTCGGCACATGGTTATTTTCCTTGTCGGAACGCACCATGGGAGTTCCGAGTTGACGAGTCGGCGATACGGTAGCCCGTTAACCGATTCCGTCCTGACCATCTGAGCGGGGCTCTGAGATGTTGTACGGACAACCTCAGACGGAGGGGTCATATTTAAAGGATGAAAGTCGTTGTCTCCGGAATATATCATGCCCTCTCACGGCTTCACTACTTCCGACTACTGCTGTTACGGCTTGGTCCCCCGTAATAGCGCTGTAAGCCCTATAGGCAGTTGTTGCACCTTCTGTAATTGCTGTAATAGCGATTATGGCCCAATCTTTTGCCCCGTGGCGCAGTGGCTAAGGTGCCCACAGCTGTGACTGCCGTCACAACTGCTCTCCCCAAACCAAGCTACGTCATCACTCCCTCAACCGGCGGATTGACTACGGCCCCATCACCCAGGGAGTCACCTTTGGGCCATGCGGATGAGAACCGGATACTCGGTTGAGTCTCAGGTTACCGGCAATGATACCGTTGGGGGTCTACAGTTCGAGATCACTCGCCTATATCGTTCTCTGAAGGGTAATGACGGCAGTAGACCCAAGGAGGCGAGATTCACTATCAAGTTAGTAAGCAACAACACTGAGCTTTTTTTTAAGGTCAGTCACCGCACTCGGGTTGATGAACTCATGTGCTGGGCGCAAAAAATGAGCAATTCACGTGAATATTCACTGATGGAAAAGGGCGGTTTTCAGCTTCTTTTTGACGGCATTCGCCTCATAGGTGATTCCGTCTGCTTCATGATGACGCAGTAATGTTAGATTGCTAATAGCTGTAGCTAGCACCACGCTATGAGACTACGGGGGGATCCAGGATGTACGCTGCTTCACCTTTACTTATCCATGTAGTATCCCAATGCTAAAATTTACACAGGGGGATGTTATTGAATGCCATAGGGAGTATGTCGGTGGCGGCGGTGGACGAATGCCAACTTACCGAGAGCCACAAATGAACCTTGCAGCTGGGGGTCTCATCAAGCAAGGAGTTGTTGAGCTGCCCCAACGCTACTACCAAAAGACGAACACCATCGCATTCAACGTTCAGATCCTGAACAGTGCTACCTTTCAGCAAGTAACTGGGAACCCGCCGCCCCCAAGCCCTGTTTCTGCCGAGACCTACGCCAAGAGTGGCTACCCATTCTTCTCGGGGTTTGAGGAACCAATCAATATTGCGGGAGACTTCGTTGCCGTGCGCTCCATCAGCCAGCTCAACGGAGATGCTGACCCACCCCTTCAGTTCCCCCTCGTTGACGCCAAGACTGGGGTTTCCTTGGCCAGCGGCACCGTTGGGTTCCTTAACCCGGACGGTCCCAAGAAAGAGTTCAAGTTTACCTAGGAGATTGCTAAGGAGCTAGGACAAGAGTCGAATGTGTCCTGAGACTCGATCTTTCTTATGTAGGATGGATTCTCTCTCATGGTAGTGAGCTTGTTTGGGGAAGAAAGAGAACAGAGTTGTGAGGCATGTCCAAAATGTGTCTAGGACATCGATAGAGATGTGTTTTGCATGTACCAAGAGTGAAAAAGACTTTAGGAAATTGCTTTGCTTCGCACTGCATGTAGTGGAAGGTGAAAGTCTAGCCAACCTAAGTTAGCTCTCAACGCCCACGCAACGATCGACGACGCTAGTGATTCGACTCTTCCTTAATTAACCACTTGTGCCAACGCTAGTGTCTAGAACATTGTTCCCCGACTGCTATTTAGATCCTCGCCATCATGACTTGCCCTCTCCTCGGAAATACTTTTGAGCTGCCATTTCATCGGGATAGCACCCAGTTGCCTCCTTGTAGTGGTCGTTGAACTGTTCCTTGTTTTTCAACACAGCCTCCAAATCCTTGGCCATGACTTCAATTTTCTTTGGAGGATTTCCGTCTACAGCTTCTTTCAGACTTCTATGCCGTGCCAAGCTAATGGCGCTAAGCAGGACTGTTTCATCAATCACTGTTAGCAATTCCGACAGTTTGATGCTTAGAAGGAGGCCCAAACTTACGATTCCGAATGTCTCGCCCGTTGAGCTTGAGATTGGTCGGGTACTGTTCCCTGCTCAGAACGACGTCTCGTGCGGTAGATCGGGCAACAATGGTCGGCTTAACGCCTAAGCCACCCGTTTGTGAAGCCTCAGAACCACTTTCCTGGTCCTCCTCCAGTTTGTCGAATAGCTTTCTCCAAATTTCTGTCCGCTCCGCATCGGTGGGACGCTCATATTGCACTGCCAGATGAATGCGAGACATCACAGCCTCGTCGAAGAGACCGATCCCATTGGATGTCTACGAGGCAATAGAGTATGTAGTCAGAAGAATCACAGAGCGAGAGAAGTCCAAACCGGATACTCACGAGAAACAAAAGACCTGGAAAGTATTCCATGGAACGAAGAAAAGCTGGGGATTAGAAGTTAGTACAGCAAAAGGAATGCCGCAGAGTCATGAATATCAAAATGTGAAAACAAACCAGTAACGAGGGCATTGCGGCCTGTTTGCCCAGGTTCACGTTGCTCCATATAGACCTCGGCTTCATCGATGAGCACAATGGCACCCCAGATGGCTGCACGGCTGAGCCACTTCATCAACCGTTTCTCCATTTGGACTTCTTCCGTGCCGAGATCTGCTACAGAGAGACTCAGAAGGGGCCGTCTGGTCTTTTTCGCGATCAACTCCACTGTCATGGTCTTTCCAGTCCCCGGAGAACCTGTCCTCCTCAGTAAGTGTATGTTCTGTCTTGCGCTTCCGGAGAAAAGAAGTAGGAGTATTCATCACGACTGAGCATACCATGAAGAAATATAACCTGTCCTCGGCCTTTGCCTTCGATAAAATCCGCGCTCCAATCAGTCGTCCAAGGTTTCAGAGCAGTGCCCTTTCGAGGGGACCCAGCCACCGCTTCGATCATCTCTTGCTTCTCCTGGCCCATGATTAAGTACTTCATTGGGTTGCTGTCCATAACTAGATCCTCAACGGAGCTCATATCAAAGATCGCTTGCAAAAGTCAGATTTTCAGAGGGCGGTGATCAAAATGGACTACCACTCACCCCACTCTCGCTTCCCGAGTGCAAATCCCAGGACATGTACCGGAAGAAGGAGATAGTGAGCGGGATCAAGCTCATTGGTTGCTGAGCACTCCATGTCATTGAACTTGGAGAAGAGCGGCGCCCCGTGCAGATCCTGGGGTTCTTCACCAGAGACATCTGGCACTGTCATGTTGGGGGAGTCCAGAGCCCCTAGCATGTAGCTTTGGTGATCCACGATGATGTCTCCTTGGTACTACAATAGTGGCGGTCAGTACGAGTCTCATGCTCAAGATCAGTGTCTGATTTCCGCTAAATCTACTTACGTGATACGGCTTGTCACTGATGACGAGTCCGTTATACCGCATGTAGCTTTGTTGATCACAGACAATGCGATAATAGCGCTTTCCACGGTCGATCAGCTGGGATCGCAAAGCTTCCGGGTCGGGCGCAAACTTGATCGGGAACGCAGCGAGCTCCGTGATGACCTGTACGCCGTAGAAGCGGTTTACATAGATGACACGGGCCCGCCGCCGCAGGCGCCCATTCTCATAAGCGAGGTTCCAGAGAGTCAGTTGCCAGCGGTCTGTAGGGTGTGGATCAACTAGTGGTGATTGGCTTCCGTTGGACGACACGTAGCAAAAATTCATAACAACGAAGCCGGCCAACTTGTTGTCACTGCCCTGCGATCGCAAGAAAACAATATCCCCCGGCTTAAAAAGAAGCCAAAGGAAGTCGTATGATGCGCGACCAGAGCTGTACAGGTCCAGTTCAGGTTTGACGACATTTTCCCATGCCTCCTGTATTGGAGGAGCCGTCAGTAGCGTCTGGAGATGCTTGCAAGTTATCTCATCGCAGGAGACTCTGACCTGAGATCCCATGCCCGGATTGTGAACGGTAGTTTCTTTCTGGTTAGTGGTATCTCGGTGGCCTAAAAGAAAGTGCAAGTCATCCCAGTAGTGGAAAAGCTCCTTGAAGGGGTACACGAACGTCATTTCGTGATCTAGAATGTTGTATCCGGGATAGTAACGAATGAGTGCCCGCAACACGTTCTGAATGTAGGGCGAGTGTACACGAATGCGGGTGGGGTATATTGTGCGCACCCGAAAGTCAACATCCAGGTTGAACTCCTCTGGGTCCTCTATGAAGAAGGTCTTTCGAAGTTGGCTCTTGCGAGGGGGGTTCTTTAAGTGCTCGCCCTCGACCCAGACGTCGATGTCCAGAACGGCGAGGTTTCTTCTTTCACGTCTTTCGCGATCATCTTGCTGTAGGCCCTTGAAGGGTAGCCAGGAATACCGAAATGTCTTCTGGCCCCCCTCGCTGCAAACTAATCAGTACATCTGGAAGATTACTACTCTGTAGGGGTGCAACTTGCTCGCAAACCAAACGATAAAGGATCTCCTGGCCGTTTCGCAGGAGTGGAAATTGAGTCGGTAGATATTCCTTTTCATCAGATATGGCCATGGTGTCGTAAGTAACATCGAAGCGCTCATCAAATGGCCTGGAGACGTTAGTTTCCTGTCTGTTTGCTCGTAGCACATCGGCGCACGCATCCTCTAATGATAGATCTGCTGGCCCTGAGTCTAATCTTGGTTCTTCCAGTAACCGGTTACAGTTTTCTTGCAGGTTCACATCTTGTGATGATCCTGTTTCCTCATCCTCTTGGTCCCAGTATGTTTCAAGATATCGATGTGCTGACACCTCGGGCTGAGTCGGAGACGATGGTGGTGAGATAACATGGCTCATTGTCTTCTGTGGCTCTTTGAAAATGAAAGCAAAAGGGACTGTGAAATAGGTAAGGAAGGAAAAAAAGAAACATGCTGCAGAGTAGGTAGCGGAAGCGTTGTTTTTTAACGGCCTAAAATTAAAACCTACTCTCTACTCGATATTTAATGACAAAAAAGACGCCGGTGTGGGGTACTAATGAAAAGCGGATGACGACTTATGCGATAATACGCCGTGGGATGCCTTGGGCGTAAATGAGGCCGGGCATTGTGTGCTGAATGGACGGTTTCTCAGCTCGCTGCCCAAAGTTATGTCGTTGGTGGTTCGCCGTCTCATTTCCAGCCCAATCGGTGCAACCCAAACGACGCCTTCCTCACACAAATCCAACCGTGATCACCGTCATTGGCTCAACTCCCTGTAGAGGGCTGCCTTGGCTGTTGACAGCCTGCTTCAGTCACACAACGCCTGATAATGGATGTCTACACCTAAAATCTCTCATATAACCGCACGTGTTCTTTCGAATTGATCCTCATTCTCGTTCACTTATAACCATGTCATTCGGTTGGAGCGCCGGTGATGTGTTCGCCGCAGCACAGCTCCTCTGGGGCTTGTACAAGGCTTTGGACGAAAAAGAAGGCGCCCCCGAACACCATCAAAGATCTGCATCAACTCTAAGGACTGTCCAGTTTCGGCTACGGTACTTGAGCAAGGTGGTTGGAGAGGACGCGAAAGCAGACCCCATGTCTGAAACCGGGAAGCCAGCCTGCTTGATAGAGCGGATAAAGATGATATCCGTTACACCATTGTCAGTCTCAAACTTTCAATCAGAAGGCTCGAAGCCTTAGTAGAGAAGGGCTGTGGCTTGAAGCTAGATCCGACCAAGAAGAAACGACGTCGAGACTGGCCCATGGATCAGATCAACAAAATACGTTGGTACACGTTGAACCAGGACGAGGTGGATGGCCTGATTCAGCATATGCTGGAACTCACTGCTCCCCTGTCGGATCTGCACCAGAAAATCAACAAGTGAGTACCTTCTCTCTAGCCAAACGACACTTCTTTTTATCTGCAGGTCCACAAGCTGACTGAAACAACAGTGCCGTTGTCAAAGAACTAGCAGCCAACCAAGGGGTATACCACGAAACTCAATTGAAATATCTCAAGGCAATTTTGGAACAGGTTATAGTGATGGCAAGGGGACCTACCCAGAATCAACTACTAGGTTTGAACCAGGACGAAGAGGAGAAGGGGCAGGTGCCCTTGCTCCACACTGGTCCCGAGCTCGGCATCTCTTCGCCAGCTGAGCATGCACCAACGGTCGGGTCAGCTCTATCTCATCTCACGAGCATTGCTCATGAGATTATGAATCCGGGCCTACGAGCGAGGGCGTTGAACTTGAGGGCTGATCACCATGTCAAGAATGTCTTCACCAGTTGGTACAAAGGCACGATCCCAGCACGGCTGTGGCTGCATGGCGATCAGGCCGGCACCGTGAGCGCGATAGCCTACATGGCCGCTCGAGATCAAAGACGGCCCACCATTGCCTTCTCTGGACGCCACGCTGCTGGTGGCCGACTACTCACGGACAAGGAGAAGCTCTACCGGATGGTGTACTCGCTCCTCTTTCAATTGTTGCAGCAATTGGAAGATATCCCCACCTTAGCCGTCACCGGCGTGGACCGGCCATTTACCGATCTTCAACTGTCCATGGAGAGCATGCCGCTGGCGCTGCAGTACATGGGATACTTTCTAAGTCTACTTCCAGAGTGCATCGTTGTTGTGGACGGGTGGCAATTTATCAGCCAGGATGCCGGAGAGCAGGTAAAGCAGACTCTCAAGAATTTCTTGGATCTGTTTGAAAACCCACCGGAGAATTCAGGGGATGGTGATTGGTGCATCAGACTACTGCTCACGTCACCCGGGGACTCGTCAATGCTACGGGAGCTTGGGCAGGCATTTGTGCACGGTTTTAATCTCAGGGGTCGACTTAACACTGGGGCAAAACTATACATAATCCTGCTCGGCATGGACTGGTAATTAGCCTTGATTGTTTGACAGAATGATTAAACTTTGTCTCACAAGTATACTCTCCACAAGCACCTATTTTACATAACTACCAAATTGAGAAAAGCACCAGTCACCAAGTCAAAGAGACTCCATAAGGCCGGGGGGCAGGCGCTTCAGAGCAATTCAACAGAAATAGCGGCCAAATTCATCTTCCGTTTGATGAGTTTCTACCCTGTACGCTGCCAAGTCCACTTGAAGTGTTTCTGTCTTGATGGTTCTCCTTATCCTCCCAAGATCACACCGGTTTCACTCGCATGTATGGCTATGTCCTCAGCCGATGAGTAGCCACTGCCCTACGGCACTTGCGGGGTCTTTCTGGCAGGGGGGCTGTAGGCCGATGAGCCCCAGGCCACATGGGTGGGAGGGTCAGGGGGTCCCTGCATGTCAAATGCCGACGGAGAGGGATCCGACACGTCTTCCCCCTGCCACATGACATTGAAGACTAGACCGGGCATGTAGAAATGAAGCTACTCCCGAGCAACAAGGTCATCAGACCACAGAGTCCAAGAAACTATGGGGATCCCTCAGCTGGGGCTCCATGGTTTCCTTGGCATATCCCCCTCCATAAGGCTTGTCAGGGGATTGCCGCCCGCAAAATTGACTACAAGCATTAGATCCCTGCACAACCCGTGGGCAGTATGGGCCCGGCTTTGCCGCATGAGCCGTCTGCAATCGATCTTTATGGGGGCATTTGTCCCCTGCATCTCCGAAAAACACTCCGGCGGATCTGTCAACTTGACCCCGGTGCGGCAGGAAACTACACTTGTGAAATCTTAAAATTCAGAGTGTTGCGGATGCAGCAGCCTAGAAGTATTTGGCTCAGGCAGTCACCTCAGCTCATCCAGACATGGTCGCAGCCACCAAGTGCGGGAGATCGACCTCCACCAACACCGGGCTCACTCACATTCATGAGCCTGGTGACTGGCTTGGAAAGCTTTAGTGGCGTTTCAAGAGTACTCAGGAAAAGGGTTGGATTGACTCATGCAGCCAAGCTTCTGGAAGAAACGTGCGACGCTGCTCCCAGCCAAACAAGCTGGAACTCACTAGACTGCATGGGTTATTTGCATCCTGGCAGAGAATGTTGCTTGGGGCAAGGGCCAGTCAGAGAATGATCTCCTATTGATCAATGTTTGTGGCTGGCTCACGGGAAAAGAAATGGGACGGCAAGACAGACTTCTACTTGTGGTAAGCAGAGCAGAGGCAATGGGGCCAAACACAATCTGAGGCAGCCCAACAGCCACGTGTAACGAAAGCCAAATTACAGGTCACGTTGACGGGCTTCCGTCCTTGCAGCCACACTCACCGCCCGAGATGAAGGAACTTGCCCCCCTTTCAATGGACCTGGCATTGCGAACCTGATGTTGAGGCTCCCGATTGTCTCACACCCTAAGCAAACGTTCACTGCAAGGTCGGCACTTATCCGCCTCTCGCACGGATGTCACCTTGGTAGGGAAAGGGTCCAGGCCTGAGGGGTGAGCCTTTCGCGAAGTGTTTAGGGCAAAGACACCTAGACACCTCCGCATTGCTGCGGGGCTGCTCAGGCACGCAGTTTGGCCTGCTTGTAAGATGAACTAGTCTATTTCGATTCCTTGGCCTTGCTGGATGCCCATCTCTGTATGAGCGGTTGTTGGGGTTCTGGTTACGTCTGGCCGAACCATCCCCTGAGTCGGCAAGCCCAAACTCAGGGGAGGGGAGCTTTCACTTGGCGCTCGCACCCTGGCCTGTTTGAATCTTCTTGTTTTCTTGTTTGCTCATTTTGGCGAAGCGGAGTAGGTCTTCTGGGGCTTGCTCCCGGCGGCGTTCCACTGACCACGCCCCCAGCGTGTCCACTGCATTTCACCTCTTCATTGACGCAGGTGACCCTTGCGGGAAATCTTCTACGTGAAGTTGATTCCACGGGCCAGTTTGTCGTATCCGTCGCTTCTAGGGAAACATCGTCTTATTTGATGCTGTTCCCGACGAAGACGTCATTAATACCAACAACAGTGCCTGAGGCAGAGCGCTGGCGGCATCCCTTGCGAGGTGCGTAGAATTGCGCGCCACGTCCCGCTGAACAAAGAAGAAATTTGATCCAGTGGCCTCTAGCAACTGCCAATATCCCTGCAGTGAAGAGGCATCCAGCGTGCCCTTGAAAAAATTGACCAACTACAGTGTCAGGAATTGTTACACAAGAAGGAGTAACAGTGAGAGACCACTGGGGCTAAGCCCAGCTCGAAAGCTCGTAGAAACAGAACTGTCAGAAAATATGATCAAGAAGCTGTTCACCGGGCAAGCCGAGCCGCTTCATACGTGTGAACACGACGGAACCGTGCAGCCATGCCATACATCTGGACAGAGCCACCCCTGAACAGCACCAGCTGTCAGCCCGCTCCCCGTCCCTTAGCGGCAGAGCCTACCCCTGCTCTGCCATCTGGCATCAAAGAGCCGGAGTCCCCGCGAGCCTACGGAGTATACCTCTAGGAATTGCTTTTGGTTCGTTCCAGTCCACTCACGGTCCCTCACCCAACGGTGGTCTCACATTTGGGGGCGGCTTATCTGGGACCGGTTGTGCTGTCGTTTTACAGCTGTATTGCACAAATGCCAGGCTAAAACATTAGTATTGTATAGGCAAAGCAGTTGCAACAGAGCGTCGCAAGTCATAACACGGCCAAATCTTATGGCCTGCCCGCCAACTGCACATCAACAGGAGCAGGGGTGACCTTTTCCTGGGGTTTCTCAGCTCTGGTATCACCCATGTCTATTCAGCCATTTTCAGATGGGCTATTAAGGCGCTTTCATGCAAGGATCATGGCTCAGTCATGACAAGACCAGTGTCTGAGCCTGTGGGGCTAGTTCCTCTCTCCTGTCATGGCCAGGCTCTGAGTTCTGACAGGAGTATGGCCTCTCCCAGCCTGAAGCGTCTGATATCTCAGGCTCTTTGTTGTTGTCAATGACATCTCTCTTGGACACAATATCGCAGGCTCGGTAGGTCAGTCTCTGGGGACCGGGGTGTTGAGGGCTGGCAACCTGAGCATTTAAATATGCTGGAGCTTCTCCTTCCTACCGCAACTTTGGCCTACAACTTCATCCATTGATCACTTGATTCAGCCTCTCAGACGATATCCTCGTTCAATCTCCCTGGCAAGAACCGTTTACTGTCCACGTTCGTTCACCAACCAAGTCCCTACTCAACCAACGATTTTCGTCACAAACATCGAAACCAGGCTGCCCTCCCTCTGGTAGACCATCCCCATCCACAAGTTCCCCGATACCAACAATCGCATTTTTCCAAATAATCATGTCGGGGGCCGAAGTTATTGTCCCTATCACCCTCTTCTGCGCCAAGTTATTCATGAAGCTCGGGGGTGACTTTCTGGAAATCAACTATGATGCAGAAGCCTTCCTCATGATCGAGCGCAACGTCGCAGACGACATCGAAGATGCTCTGATGTTCCACCGAAAGCTTATGAGACACGTGGGAAAGGAGGGGCTACTCAAAAAACGCGCAATGGCCGCAATTGTCAAAACGCGAGAGGCCCTGGAGCAATTCCACCGGCGCATTAAGCGTGCACACTTCAGAAAAAAGCTGAAATTCATACTCAAAGACCACAGAGCAGCTAGAGCCTTCCTGCGGCCGCTTGAGATGGCACAGTCAAGTTTATCCCGTCGAGTCGACTGGATGCGGAGTGCGTTGGAGACGCTGGCCAACTCGGCTGGTGAAGAAGGGGAGTTGGCGTCCAGCATGGCGCCAGGTGTCGAGCATGACTAGGTTGAGATCAATGACCCTCTGACGATGGATGAGGGTGCTGGAAATGATTTCTGACATGTCTTTGTGGTGGATATGCGTGGAGAGGGTGGCAGGTGGTTATTCGGAGATGTGTTGGGGGGAGGTCTTTTAGGGCTGACCGGTTAGAAAGCAGATTGAAAGCAGGATCACTTCATAGCGACCAAGAGAGAGTTTCAGTCATGGATATGGCAGCCTCTGTCAAGGTTTTATTTTTAATAATCGATCATTTCCTTGGGCTCATTCTGGCTTTCTGTCTATTCTAGTCCCCTTCTATCACCCTTTGAAGGAAGACCCAATCATCCACTCTTGGCATGTAAAAGTGTGTTCTGGTCCGCGGGAAGATGTTGTGGCGGGTCACAGTAGTATTAACGAAGACAGAACTTAAGGGAGAGCAGTACGATTCCATTCATTGCTAACAAACTATCCGCTTGAAAAAACAAGGCTACGGAGAGAACGAGAAGGAGGGGGGGGGGGAGACAGGCCACTTCACCGGTTCGCGGTGCTTGGACCAGACTCCTGGCCGATCCCTTGAGTCAGAGATTGGCCATCCTCGAGACTGGGCAGCTTCTCGGTGTCAAGATTTGGCTGTTCAGGGGCACCGGCTTCTGGATATTGGTTATCGTCTGCATGTTTATTGTCGCCCGCCTGTCGATTATCGTCTGAGGGTATCGGCCGGACAGTATCGACGTCCACCACAGCAGGCTTCGAAAACTTGGTGTAGCCATTCCAAACAAGGCGAATCTCGGGAAAGACAATAAACCCAGGCTCGTTTGCCTCCCACACAGCCTCCCACTCAGAGGGTTGAGCCAGAAGATGAAGGGCGCTGTTGGCAGACGTCTCAAGGATTCCTGTGATGCACCTCTCGATCGTATCCTCCTCCTGCCGTACCCGATCGTTTCTGAGGGACTCCAGGTGCAGGACATCGATAATGACGGGAACCATGGCGAGCGTTCTTTCCTCCCTTGGGTCACCCTCCTCAAACCAACGGGGTGGGAGCGGGAGTAGGGTAAAGGGGTCCAGCAGTAGAAGGAACAAGAGTTCACGCCAAATACCAATCAAATCATCTCCTGCGCTCTTATTAACCTGGATTCTGTTCTTATAGTCGAGTTTTAACTTACTGCCTGGGTTGTCATGAGGGACGTTTATGAGTTGGTAGCAGCTAGCGATCTCCGGGGGTAGCAGGCAGTCTTGGGGAGGACAATTTGGGTGCATGCGCTTGAAGACAAACTGTGCCAGGAAGCATTTCACTGCCGATGCTCGTGTAGCTGTGTTGGAGATGGACGCGGACCAGGTTCCGCCATTGATAGGCTTCCCGGCGAGGCGGACGAGTTCGTTTTCGTCGAAGAGAGACTCTGGAACAGGCGGCTGTGGTTGGAAGGGGGCCTTGAGGCACATCCCGACAAATCTATCGATGGAGCGTTCGAATTCGACGGCTTCTGCGATTTGCGGAACGCTCATCAAAGGGATCATACGAAAACCGAACCGTCTCACTGAATCAATCCTGGGGTCTGCTTCCCGCCGGTTCATTTCTCGCAGGTGTTGTGGAATCTCCGGCCAGGTATGCACAGGCTCTCCGTCCTGGACGATTTGGATGGTGGGAGTCCTAGGAATGAACCAGACGAGAATCAAGGCTCCGACAAAGCCGGCAACAACGCCGATGCCGATGGCCTGGCCAACATTGAGACCCATGGTGAAGATGAAGAAGGTGTGGAAAGTGAAGAAGATGCAGAAGACGAAGGAGATGTGGAAGGCGATGGAGATGTGGAAGGCGATGGAGATGTGGAAGGCGATGCGCTGGAGGCTCCAACTTGCTTTTGTACAACTGGCCCGCCCATTACTCAGGCCGACACAGCCGCGGGCAAGGAAGGATTGTGCCTCCCTGCATAAAGAGGCGTTTGTGCCGTGGCGGCTTGGCTGATTGGATTGCCTTCCCAAGTTATTCATGTTGGTATTGTTGTTTGCTTGTGCTATTAGCGGCTGGTGATGGAGGTGTGCTAACTACCGAGACCCTTAGGGGTGTCTCGACTCATGTGTGAGGTACCTTTACACTCGCCTCACCAGGACTAACCAATTTTGGCCTCCTGGCGATGGCATCCATGCAGCTCTCCGAAAGTCACGTATTGGAATTATGACCTCCAGCTCCATCTGGCTGGTGACTTCCTGGACTTGCCTGTTGCTTCCTGAGGCATCCAAGTCGGTCGGTCAGGAAAGGATGTCATAATGGCCAGGGCAGCCATCGATTTGCTCCCCAAGCCTATTGCTCCCCAAGCCTACTTTCCTCTCATCAACTTGAAGCTCACCCAGTCTTTCTTGATATACCCAATTCGGCATTTATTCGCTCAGCATACCTAAGATGGCATTCGATCTGATCGTCGGCATTGACTTTGGCATGAGTGGTAAGAACCCCTTCTCATTGACTCGTTCCAATGCACACTCTAACCAGTGCCGACACAGGCACGGGAGTCGCTTATCACCAACCCGGGACCGCTCCTGACCCGACCAAAATCGACGACGTGACCTACCTCATGTGGGGGATCGACAAGACGATCGAGAAAGTCCCGACAAGACTCGTATACACACAAGACGGCCACAGGAGGGAGCTCATCTCCTGGGGAACGGACATTCCCGCGGACAACAAGGCCATTCTTGTCGAAGAATGGTTCAAGACAAAGTTCGGGGAGCCAGATGCTGACCAAGCAAAAGTCGAGAAGCTCTTTCTCGACTATTTGAGTCGACTGCATTCAGAGCTGGCCCGGCGGTTCACCCGCGATGTACTGTCCGGGAAACCCTGGGCCGAGGCAAACGTTGCTGTCTACCTCAGCGCACCCAGCATCTGGGATGCGGCTATGGTCGGTCGTTTCAAGGCCTTGGTCGAAGACGCAGGCTTTGGCCAAGCCCAAAACGCTGTCCACGGCAGCGGTGTTCGTACGGTTGATGTCAGTCTAGTCGAGCCACAAGCAACGGCAGCTCTCCATCTCTGCACAAAAAACACGCCGGTCAAATTCAATGTCAGGAGCCCCAAGCTTTGTCGCTCAATGCTTGCTGACAACTGTTGTTTAGAACGGACAGTGTGTCATGGTCGTCGACGCCGGCGCCGGCACAGGGGTACACCCTAACCCCCGAGTGCCACTAGTTCTCTGGCTGACTGATCCCAGGACTTCTCCCTCCTGAGAGTTAAGAACGATGAGCGGGGTGCTTCTCGGCTGGACGAGGAGTCCCCTGTCCATGGTAAGTGGGCTTTTGCCTCTGGTGGCGATGATGGTAACTGACTGAACCCCCGAAAGGCGGCAGGATTGGGTCCTCTTACATTGACCAAGAGCTTCAAACCCGCATCGTAGAGGTCATCCAACCCCACAGTCATCTATTCAACTGCAAAGTTGAAAAGGTGGCATGGAGCATGAGAAGCAGCGACGCCTTCCAGGAAGCCAAACACCTCTTTGGGACAGACGAGGCACAGCCAGGGATTCCTGTGCCTCACCTGAAGGACCCTGGAAGCAGTCTGGGCGATCGGATTCAGGATGGATTGCTGATAGACATCCAGTAGGTCCCGAAGATGAAGGCTAATGTTCCCGTGACTGACGCAATGTAGGAATGACCTAGAAGACGCCTTCGATAAGCAACTAGACAAGATGCAACAGCGCATCCTAGATTTGATGGACAACTATCATACTAGCGGGAGAGTGGCAAGTTTTACAGCTTCATTTTCATGTCAACGGTACTAACAATCTAGGCAGCACTATCTGTTGCTTTCTGGAGGGCTGGGTAGCTCAGCCTACGTCCAAAAGAAACTCGGGGAATTCTGCACCAAGGAGGACCGCCTCAAGAACACACGGGTGATAGTGTCCCGTCACCCTCGCATGGCCGTTTCAATGGGCCTTGTCTTTGATGCTGTGAGCAACCGGTCATTGTTGGCCGAGGTCTGTTGTCGGAATTCATTCGGCCTGGTGTTCCGGATGCCAAATGACAACTCGCTGGTGTCAAGATGGACAGCAAAGTTGAAAGGGTTCAAGCTATGGGGTTTGCGTCGCAAGCAAGACCCTCTCACTAGTGGTGTCAATTGGTTCATCCAGCAAGTAAGTTTGCTTCACCGTATCTCTTGTCTCAAACACGTCCGCCTGCTGATACGGTTCAAGGACGATAAAATTGTCAACGGTGAAGAGAAGTCCTATACCTACAAAGCCTGCTTCAAGGCTGGTGGGCCGCGCGTCTGCGACATTGAAATCATTGCATCTTCGAACGAGACTCAATTGTCATCCGAGAAAGGTATACCTACAACCCAATCACACCCAAATATTGTATACATCAAGCTGACGGATCTAAAGATCACCCGCAAAGTCGTATATTGATGCACGTCGACTTCAAGCATTCGACCCCATTCACAAAATCTACCACCTGGCGGCGAGAATCGTACGTCACATTTGCTTTTTCGGTCAAGGCGACCATTGAGCCGGCTGAGGTGAAGTTCCGCTGTGGTGAGTAGACGTCCAGGCAATTGACCTAGTCGTACCACTGACCTTGAATAGTCGATAGCAAGGGGAAGGAGGTGAGTAAGGGGGTTCGTTTCTCTGCCGATGGCGGTCATGGCTTTCGCCCGCTTCTCATGGGTTTGGGCGAAGATGAGGAGTAGGAGAAGAGCAAGCAGTGTGAGGATTTGGGCGCTTGTGGCTGGTAGATATCGCTGGTTTCTTGTTCTTCTTGTCGTTCTGTTGTTTCGAATCAGCGGCCACATGACGCATATGTAGCTCGCGATACCGTGGTTACCTGGATACCAAGGACAAGGTTTCAGGCAATATTCGATTCCTTTTCAGGCTTCTTGACAATGTCCAAGGCAAAACCGTGTGCTTTTACCTTGAACTCTCCACAACCTACCCTACTGCGGTCCTGAACAGAGTGGGGTTGGCCACCAGCAGGGGTACATGGCGGCTGCATTGACTGTGTTCAGAGATCACCAGCGCCAGGGCCGAGCTTCTCTTTTCGGGATCATCTTCCTGCGTAAGTAGAACTTGATTGCCCGGTCCATACGACAATCACAAGTTCTCGACACATAAGAGATGGCTCAAATATGGGATATGAGCAATTAGTTAACTTGCGGACAGAAAGAGCATCTTTCTTCCACTCTGCGGGTACCTGCTGGGGAGAGAATACAAAATCGGGGAAATCTAAAGTTTGGTAGCTCGAGCCTAACTTGTTATCCGAGCCAATAAGTGGTGAGGACTACCCCAACCCCCTGGAAGCTAACTAGGAAGATGGTGTGTACGCATTGTTACAACCAACAACGCCAATTTGATCAGTGTTTCAGACACCGGCCGACACCTACTTGAAGAAATCTCACTGTACCTCTAGATGCTTCTACAACTCAACCTCGTTTTCACAACTAGACTTGTGATTGCCTTCGCAGAAGACATGGCATGGATGAGTGAGGGCAATGCATTGCTTCTGGTTTCAAGCAGTGGGGAAGAGCCTCCAGCATTAGCTCGTCCTTAGTTGTCCTCAGAGGTACCTCAACAGGTCCATTCCCGTACTCCTAAGCCACTGCTGGATGGACTTGGGCGTTCTCCGCTCAAACCCAAGAGCTGACCGACAAATATGATTGGAGCGCCTCAACTCCAAGATTTGTAATCGTTAAATCGCTCTTCCATGAGCAATACACTCCGCAATTGCCGCTGCGAGTTCTTGTGCGCATATAAAAGCCTCGGTCGCCCTGAGATTCGAAGCGAAAAATCTCATTCAATCACGCCACTTTGAAAGAAATCGCAACTTTATACCGGAAAACCCTTGTTCACAATGTCTCTTGGCAGGACAGTTCTTCTCAACAGCGGGCACAAGATCCCGTGAGTGCGCCAAAATTACCGCGATGCGGGGAAGATGGCTGACGTATTCGGTGATAGCCAGCTGGGTTATGGAACCTGGCAATCGTCGCCCGGCGAGGTTGCTTTGGGAGTCTTTGAGGCTCTGAAAGTTGGGTACAGGCATTTGGTAAGTTCATCATTCTTACTTGTCAGTGGTGTTGTGCCTCTGCTAACATGAGATCAGGATCTTGCCAAAGTGTATGGATTGATCCCTTGACGCGCTTATCTGGTGCTCCACAGCTAATGTTATTTGCAGGTACGGAAACCAGCCTGAGGTTGCTGAAGGTTTGAAGAGGGCTTTTAAGGAGATTCCAGGTCTTCGACGTGAGGACGTCTTCATCGTAAGTACCATCTCCCCAACTGGAGCTCAGAAGCTAACCCAGGTCGTGTAACCAGACATCCAAGTTGTGGAACTCGTGCGTACTCTTCCTGTCTTGCTAATTGCTTCACTCACACCCTACACAGTCAACACGATCCCGAGATTGTTGAAGCTGCTCTCGACGACTGCTTGGAGGAGCTTGGTCTCGAGTATCTTGACGTAAGCAGCCTTCGGAACATGGACCATGACATGATGTTGCTAGCCTAACACTTCCAAGCTCTACCTCGTTCACTTCCCAATCTCGTTCAAGAAGAGCTCCGTCCATGTCGGTCAGGACCTGTTCCCACTCACTGGCGGCAATCAGCCCGAGGGTGACGTCGTCATTGACGACACCATCTCGATTGTTGACACCTGGAGAGGTAAGTAGAAATTCCTTGCCTATGTCTAACTCCAGTCACTCATGCTGGTGGAATCTACAGCCATGACCAAGTTGCCTAAATCAAAGGCCCGAGCAATCGGAGTGTCCAACCACACCGTTGAACATGTAAGCTGAATATTTGTGACACTTCTGGACAGGCTAACAGAAGTACTATTTTAGCTCAAGGCGATTATCGACGGTACATCTGTTGTTCCAGCGGTCAACCAGATTGAGCGCCATCCCCTGCTCAGACAGGACGATCTGATTGCCTTCTGCAAGGAAAAGAACATCCACATTACCGCCTATTCCGTATATCCTCCCAGTCACTGTCTCGTTCGATGTTGAACTAACTCTGAAAATAGGCTTTCGGAAACAACATGCTCAATATCCCATTGCTGTTCTCTCATCCAGACATCAAATCACTGGCCGAGAGACTCTCCCGTGAGAGAGGGCAAGAAGTCACCCCAACTCAAGTCTTGTAAGCACCGTCGGGTACCTTTACAGAATGTCAGTGCACATTAATCTAACACGGCCTTTCCACCTCGTTGTAGGCTTAGCTGGGCTCAGAGCGGTGGGCACAGCGTCATTCCCAAGTCGGTCACCCCGGCTCGCATCGCTGCGAACTTTGAGGAAATCGACCTGTCCGCCGACGACCTCCGAGTGGTTGAGGGAGTAGGCAAGGAACAGAGACGGTTCAACATCCCGTACATTGCAAGTAAGTGATGGCTTGGTTCCCCATGCGCAAGTGATGATACTAATCGAGGGAAACCCAAACAGACAAGCCACGGTGGGACATTAATCTTTTTGGCGACGAGTCTGAAGCGCCAGCAACGCATAAGATCATTATCTAGGCCAATCTTGCCTGTGTCTTCGGTGAGGGTCTCGGAGGGACAGGAATGGGATGGGAGCTCGCCTATGTACTTGGTCATTCTGGTCTCAGTGGTGGTCCATGTATCGAGATTACCTTGGTACATATTCCTGAAAAAGTAAAGCATCTCGTCTCGCGGGTTCTCATGCTGGTTGCCGACCCTCCCGTCATTCTTACATAGCAATGATCCATGATGTATCATGCATGTAGTTCCTGGTGAGGTATCCATTCAAGCCCACTATCTCGTGTACGTCAATTGTGATAATGCATCCAAAAAGCAATACGAGCCATCTGCCGCAGCAGAAAGTAACAAAGATCATAAAATAGCGAGAACGTTACAACCAAATCGTACAAGGCCAGGTCCATCATCTCTAACCGGGTTTCGAAAAACGGCCATAGCTATCTTCACGCTTGGAACTGCATGAGGAGGTACTTTCATAAAACCTTTAATTGCGGTGTTCTGGCTCTAGTCTGTCTCAGGCCCTTCAGCGGGCGTTCAGATCAACTGCCTAACGACCAACATCAGCCGCTCTGATATGACGCAATATGCAGGCTGGGCATATTCACATCACAGCAATCTCGGTAAGGGACCAAAAGATAAAAACTAATGGCTGCGTTTCTTGATTGGGAATGGCCACTTGCTGATCAATACATCACTTGAGCCTCCAACACGTGGCTCCGGTGAGGGCAATCAATGAGGTTCATTGCGATACGAGGACGCCTGCGCTAATGTATGAGCCGTAGAGAACAACAAGCACTATCATTGGCCGTTTCATTTGACTAGGTTCTCTGGGAATACCCATTCGTGCTTTCTTTCCGCCTCCCCCCAATCTCACTTGCGCCAACCCCTTGTCTCAGATTCAGTTGATCCACGTTCATCAGACGATTTGGGTCCCGGAATGAGAGCCGTACTTGACCATGGGTTGGTGGAACATTCCCGAGAGTTTGAATAGCGATGAATTCGTGTAAAATATAATAAGACTAAAACACATTATATAAATCCAAGCGACGGAAACCAGTCTGGTTACAACAACTTTTGGTAAACCAGTCACTCTTTTTCCACTTCTTCTTACACTCGTTTGAAACACAAGCGTTGTACGCAGTTCGCTCTTTACTTCCTGTTCTCATCACTTCTTCTTTTATATCTTTGTCTTACACTTAAGCCAGACAGAAAAGCATTCCAAGGCAAAGGGGATAAAATGAGAATCCAACCACTTCTTTTGACTGCTTATGCGACCCTTGCTGTCGGCCGAGCTCTGCGATGCAAGCCCCATGAGCATCTCTCGTACCATCGCAGCCAGTACACTTTGCCCGGAGGAGAGCTGGCCTCAGTCACTCCCGGCATTTCAACGGGTGAAGCTGCTACTTCGCATGGCTACAACACTCCCTCGTCCCTACCCCTAAATACGACCACCTTGGCCAACCTTGTTCGTACAAGCGGCTTAACTGAGGATCATTCATCCTCCAGACTTCCAGTGCAGACTTCTCTACCTACAACTGCGTCTTCCCTTTCCGCATCGACCACCATCATCACTACTGTGCAAACCACTTCTTCAACCGCTTCAACAGAGGTAACCAAGTCCAGTAGTGTACCAGAAACTGCCGACTCTGACAAGCGACCCAAGAAGGGCATGTCCTTCACCAACCAAGAGGTAGCACAAGCCTGGGGTCAAAAGAAGATTGGCTGGGCTTACAATTGGTGGACCGGTCGAGGTGACATCCCAGAGGAGATGGAGTATTATCCCATGGTCTGGTGTCCTACCAAGATTGGTGTGGACGGCTGGACAAAGGATGCCGAAACTGCCATTGCTTCTGGATCTAAGCATCTGCTAGGTTTCAACGAGCCAGATCAACACGGGCAGTGCGACATCCCAGTGGAGCAGGCTGTTGAGGGATACAAGAATTACATGAACAAATTCAAGGGACGAGCTCTCCTTGGTTCACCGGCCGTCACCAATAATCCCGCTCCTCGAGGTCTCGATTATCTCGGTCGGTTCCTTGAGCAGTGTGGAAACGATTGCCGTGTCGATTTCCTCGTAACGCACTGGTACGGGGTGGAGCAGAATGGAGTCTGGAACTTCCAGCGTCATGTCAACAATACCATCGAGCTCGCCGAGAAACACGGTATTTCGCAGGTCTACATTACCGAGTTTGGGATGACGGGAGCCGACGTCAAGACGACCAGTGCTTTTATTGAAGAAGTTGTTCCCTGGCTGGACCAGAACGAAGCAGTCGGTGGATATGCGTACTTTGGATTCTACGACGGCATTCTGATGAAGGCCGATGCTATCAGTGAGCTTGGCCAAGCCTACGCAAGGGCGGGCTAGAAGCTTGTGGTAATCATCCTGCTTTACAGGGAGAATATCCTCTTGCCTTGAACCCTCTTCTTCTCTTCTGCTCGGACCCAAACAGTCTTTGTCTTTCTTTTTCTCCGTTGTTACCTACTATTTACTGTACTTGGCTGTGCTGGACCTCAGCCTCAAGCATACATCTCTGAATAAAATAGCCCCTGTTCAGCTGGCTCTGAACTTTTGTTACACGCCCTACGAAGTGACATAGCTTGCAGATAATCACTGGCCACTCTATTAAAGAGTGGCTTAGCCTTATCCCATCCCAAAGATCCTTTAGATAGATTATGGCAACCTAGGCTAGCCCAATGCCAGTGTTCTCTCTCCTCGCTCACGAAGATTCCCGAAAGGCCCTGCCGTAGGTTCCGAGTCGTGTCATTTCATAAATATCCGCGGACTGCGCGGAACGACGGAGAAGACTGACGTGAAAGAAAAAGTAATAATTGCCATTGCTTAACAATCATTCGGGACTTATCAGGAGCCGCCTATCGCGTCGAATTAACCCGAAGGCGGCGGCCGCCCCTAACAAATTTGATAGGTTAAGCGAGTGTACAGGGGTGAAGATCGACATCGATCGTATGACTCCCCCGAAGCTAGGATGCGGCGGCAGTCGGGGAACCGTGTTCTAGGCAATAGCGTTGGCACAAGTGGTTAATTAAGGAAGAGTTCGAATCACCTGCGACGTCGATCGTTGCTCACCACTTCGGCCTCGAGAACGAACTAGGTCTTTGAGCTTCCACAAAGCAGGGCGCTATGGGCCGGGTCAGATAACTAACGAAAAGAGAAATTTGGATTGCATCTATACCTTAGCATGATATTAGAGGGTGAATGTTGCTGAGGGTGACCGCATTGTGTCCAAGGCAGTTGAGACCTCCGACTCTGACATAGACAGGGGTAGAAAATTACCAATATGCTAGGAATTTTAAATAATAGCAGATGAGGCAATTCTTAAACTGTTTTCGTCTTCATTACTGTAAAGCCCTTCTCTCCCAATACCCTTTGCCCATCTTTCATAGGTGGTTCTATTCTCCGTGGTCAAGGTCCATCACCTCCCGGAACGACGGCCACAAACTGGCGGACCACGCCTGGCTCAACAGCGAAGCCATCAAGCCAGTCCTGATAAGGCACCACGATGTAATCCTATATAGTCTTGCCCTTTTTGAGAAGTCTGCTGCGATGGAGAGAGGTATTAGCAGTTTCGACGGCCGTTTCGCCTGAGATGACGTTGACGTTGCCCGAGTAGATCTTGACGGCGTATTTCTTCTGGGAGGAGAAGCCAATCCACATTGCCTCGCGCTCTAATAAGATAAAGAAGTCTCCCGCATCAGCTACCCGAGTCTAGACGTAGAAGGTCGTCGTCACTCACGGAACATGGGAAAGAAGAGGCCGCCCTTCTGGGCCATCACTGAGGGAAGCTTTGCTGCGTATTCGCCGACATTGAACAGCGGGAACTGACCGAGTGATGGGGGCAGCTTGTTCTCGTCGAAGTTGTCTGGTAAACGAACGGTTCGGTGAAAGGTGATTTCCAAGCCATCTAGCTTGATGGTGTCCGACAACGGGATTTTGGGATCCCACTGGGTGAGATCCTGCGCCGTTTTTAAAAGCTTTCTCGCAATGTTTTTGTGATGGGCCAAGGGAGTCTTGAAGATGGTGTGGATGGAAAGGGGGAAATGCGTATGAGTTTCTGGGAAATTTGAAGGTGTTTAAGTAGTTTTCTGGTTCTGGATAACCAGGGATCTTAAATAATAGCAGATACAGCAATGTTTAAAGTGTTTTGGTCTTTAGTACACGTCAAGCCCATATCTCCCTACAGCCCGTACGAATTTTGCCCATGCTTCGTCGGTAGTTTTGTTCTCCTTCCCAACCCAAGGTATCCTCGCCAACAGAAGTGCAAGACAATCCCTCCTGCAAAAACAAAGGCCGGAAAGTGAAATGACGTCTCCCATAACATTCTTGGACCCAAGATAGACAACCTTGGAACAGGGACCTGGGTTTGTGGTTTCTTGTCCACCACTACAGGGCAGCACTGTTCAGAATGTGGATGTCGAACGCCACGGTGTTCATCTCTCTGGCACTGTCGCCATACTCTGGATAGCCGGACAACCCGACGATTCTGTGTCGGTCTGTCGAGGCGTAAATCGTGTCCCCCTGTGCCATTGTTAGTGCCAAGATAAGAGATACAAGAGAAGCAACCTGAATCGCTTACATCCTGCACTTTGTGGTCGCCCAGGGTATCATCCGCTACGACAGTCAGCAAACATAAATTCCGACTTCATGAGAGATTAGTTGGGAGTGTCATTACGTCCTAAGAACTTGCCGTTATGACGGATGGTGTAAGTAGGGGTCATATTGTCACGATTGTCACGAGACTTGCAACCAGCGGTTCGAAGCGTGAAAATGAGATCGGTGATAGGAGTACCGTCATGAACCGAGAAAAACACGTTGGAAAACAAGCCGTGCAGTTTGATCGCATATCTCGGGCTTTTGAAGCGACCTTCATAACTTTCGGTCGGGGAACGGTCCAGACGAGAGATCTCAAAGCGCAGCATCCCCATGGTATCATGACCAGCATCCTGAGACTCACAGCCCGGTGGGAGCACCAGGGTGTAATTCTGAGCGAAACTTCCGCCTTGAATGAGGTTTAGACGATGAAGAGGGGGCTCCGTTGTGTCAACGGTCAGCTCTCCCGAGATGGCGTTGACACTGCCCGAGTAGATCTTGATGGTGTACTCCTTTTGAGAGGAGAAGCTGACAGACATGGCCTCGCGCTCTAAGGATTTACATGAACTCCATCAGCACCTCGCTACCTTGGTATCAGGAGACCGCGACTTACGAGACATGGTAATAACACGGTCACCTCTCTGGGCGACCTTCGCTGTGTGATCGCTGGCATTGAACAGCGGGAACGAGCCAATCGATGGAGGCATGTCATCGCGAGAAGAACCACCAGCAGCGGGAGTGAAGCGATTGAAGGTAATTTCCAAGTCATCCAACTTGATCGTGTCCGATCGCTGGATGTCGGGATTCCATTGCGTGAATGGTCCGACGATTTTGTCAGGAGCTTCCATGTCGTTGTTTTAGCTCAAGGTCGTTTCTTAGAGTGCTGTAGATGTAGAAGTAAAAAGATGTTGTGGAAGGATTGAAAGTCTCTCCTGGTGGGATTTGAAGCTGCTTAAGTAGTTGGCTGGTTTTGAACGTGCCGACGTGCTCTTGATTCAGTCCCACAGGCATGATTCTTTCCAGGTCTGCACTTTACCGAAAGTTGGAGAACCTCATGGTCAATGACGAAGATATAGATGAGCCCGTTTGTACCACATCATCAAACGCGGCACGCCACGTATCTGTTGTCTCGGGTCGCTGCATAGCTAGCGTCTGGAACTAGGCCTTTCACTCAAAGAACTGTTTGGGCCGAAAGGGAAGGCGTTGGCAACGGAGATGCAGCATTTGAACTAATGTGCTCATCTCTGAGCGACTTTCAACCCAGGCGGCACATTTGTTTGGCCTCTCATGTCATAGACACGTAGGTATGAAGCGGTTGTTGGCAACGGCAAGCTGCCGGTGTGACGGCCCGGGAGGTGAACAACTCACGGGCTACAGCTTGTGGTGACAAAGGAAAGATACCTCATGATCATGCATCAATAATCACGTAGTTCAGCAAACGTCATTTCTGTTGAACAGGTGTGTAAGTCTTATCTCCAGCAAGGCCAACTTTCGTTGGGAACAGAGCCTGTTGAGCATAGCCACCGGACAATTATGCCGGGATCCGGATTTCCCGCTTTCATATGCTGCAACATCTACAAAGTGTCTCGAATGTATGATGAAACGAGACATAGTGCCTTGCCTTCTCTCATGGATGGCTTTGCATACTGAGCCAGGCCCGGACCAAGGCCGGTAGTCCGAGGAAAGTGTGGGGCACCATCGGCGGCTCTCGGCACTCCGTCATCTCCGGCCGAATTCACCTTCGGGACGACAACGCGGTCCACAACGTGGGTCATCCTTGCATCCACTCATGAAAAATCTGCTCACGATGCAGAGAGACCCCATCAACTTGTTTAACAAGCCCGCTTCCCATCGGCCGCGTGGCCTAATGGCTAAGGCGCTAGATTTCGGTCTCTGAGCTCCCGAACTCTCTAGAGATTCCAGGTTAGTTCATTCATAGCATTATCCATCGAATCCCCCACTAACATCATTCAAAGGTTCGAATCCTGGCGTGGTCGAATGATCAAGCTCAAATTCCTTTTTTTGTCAAATTTTCCTTGCGTGGGTACGGGGTGGTTCTTTTTGCCCCGTAGCCCTACTCATGCATGTTGAGGTCGTTTACCAACTAACTTCTTTGTTCAAAAGGACCCATCTAGAATATGAGTTTACATGGATCTTCCTGCTTGGGTTCCTTTTGACAAGTCTAGATAGACCTACCCTAAAGTAAAGTTGAAATCCTATCCTTTTCTCTTTAGAATCATTGCGAGAATCTAGGAAAGGTTCATACCATGTACTTATACCTAATTCAAATGCTTGATTTATACCTATATTCGTCTAGAAGGCAGACTGTCCCGATTTTGGTTACTTAGCCAGGTCTCTTGGGAAGCCATCGGTGAACATAGCAAAGAAACTCACACCAGCACACGACAATATTGAAACCCCGATCGAAAGACACTGTCACCTGAAACATGCCCATACAGCCGAATAGGTCAGCCTAGTTACAGTGATGCCTTAGGACGCCACTTCGCATATGGATGACCGTCTAGACCGGGAACGAGGTGATCCACGGCACCCGTGTTCACCAATCCAGGGTGGACTTGAGAGAGATCAGTGATACCACAGAGTCTCATTGTTGTCTCGAGTTCGTCTTTGAGTACTATAAAGCAATTAGCCCCCTGCCAAAATTAGCTTTTCGAGCAAGTACTCACTCTCGACATATTTCTTGACACCCTCTTCACCATAGTTCAGAGCGTATGAAAATCCTCTGCCCACACCCACAGCCTTTGCCCCCAGACAGAGTGCTTTGAAGACGTCCGTTCCACGTCGAATACCTCCATCTACCAAGATCTCTAGCTGGTCAAATACATGAGGGCAGTTCTTCTGCAGCTCGAGCAGTAGTAGGATGGTCGCCGGGCTAGTGTCCAAGTTTCTGCCGCCGTGGTTACTTAGAACGATGCCATCCAATTTGTGCTCAGCCGCGAGCTTGGCATCCATGGCGGTCATGACACCCTTGAGCACAATACGACCAGACCAGGCCTTTCGCAACCAAGCGATGTCTTTCCAGCTGAGCGAGGCATCCACCCAGTTGCCCATGATGCGCCCGTAACCGCCACCCTTGCTGTCACTCTTGGCCTTGGAACCGCTTGGAATAGAAAGTCCTTCTTCGGCCTTTGCTCGTTCGTCTGCTTCTCTCTTCCCGGGCACCGGGCCATCGACAGTGACAAAAATTGCCTTGATGCCCAATGCCTGAACTCGTGCGAGGAGATCTTCGCTCTTGCTCCGGTCCTTGTTGACGTATAGCTGGTAAAAGAAGGACTGCCCAGCCTCTCCTTCTTTGACAATCTCTTCCACAGGGTAGGATGCTTGTGTCGAGATTGTCTGGATGACATTGCTCTCCTTGCATCCTCGCGCAACCGCCTTCTCGCCCTCAGGATGAATCAACTTGGCCATGGCAACCGGAGAGAAGTAGAATGGGACACCACTCTCACACCCAAGGATTCTCTGCTTGGTGCTAACTTTTTCAACATCGACCATGACACGAGGACGCAAGATCATTTGATCATAGCAAGCTGCGTTCATACCCTTTGTTATCAGATCCGTCGCTGCTGAAGAGTAAAAGGCCCATGCTTTGGGGTTGAGGGTCTTCGAGGCTACTTCCTCAAAGTCGAGAGTGCTAATCAAGGTGTCGAGGGGTGGCTTCTCTCCGGGCTGTGAGTCCACGGGAATCGTTGCAGTCGCCGGTGGAAGATTGGAAGCTGGTTTGCCATCCTGTTGGGTCTCGCTGCTAGGCTGGTCTATGTTAGCCAACTAGGCTTGCTTGGCGAACAAGCAAACAAGGTGCTGATGGGCAGGCACGCACCATGATGAAGGGATTATTGTCTAACGTAGGTAGGTAGGTAAAAAAAAAATTCGGGGTTCTTAGATGTCTGTTGCTATGTATTCAGCTTGAAACTCGCGGGGGATCAACCACCGAGAGGCGGGGCCAACTATTTACATCGTTGAGGGCCCCACGTAAGAGCCGCCATTGAGCCAATCAGAGAGTGTTAGGACCATTCACTCGGTGCTCTCGGGGTAACTGTTCGCAGCGGTTTAACCGAATTTAACAGGCGTTGAGTTACAAGATTACTAAGAAGGATTAACCGCGGCTTTTTCGCCGAGCTGGCAGGCTGACTTGATCGCGCCATCGGAATGCTCTCCGTTATTTAGCACGACGGATGTTGCATTGCTAATACCGTTTCTCAAAGGTAATTGGATAAAAGACGTAGATTTACAGCCACGGCCTGGAAGCCCTGTATGGCGTTGGCTGAAACTCAGGGACTCAAGGGTGAGGGCTAGCCAATTGGACAAGTTCAAATCATGTCAGATATTTTACTCAGATCGTGTACATACCTATGCGCGTTTCAGCAAGAACCCCGCTAATTTAATTCCTTGCGAGCTGAAATGAGGGGATCAGTCTCACCCGTACCCAACACATTTTCCCTCCTCCTCTTGATATCCTCTTACTTTTGAATTGATCCCCTCTTTCTGCTTCGTCCTCTAGCTCTACCATGCCGTTCCACTCGCAATCTCAGTCTTCATTCGTCGCCCGTCTGCCGCCCGAGGTTCGTGAAGCTATCTATCTCGAACTCTGGCGTTGTGTCGGCCTGCGGCAACACCTTGTCTCTCATACAAGGTATCACGATGGGAGATTAGGCGAGGTTCACTTGGCCCGATGGCCTTGTACGACAGAATTCTACGTCGGGAATCGCCTGCAAGAGGAGGTTGATGCCTTGCCTATCGAAATGTTCAATTCTGTCGGCAGGGTCGCAAACAACATTCCTTATCGTCGAAGAGATTTATCCTCGTGGATGAACCATTGGGCCTGCGAGGAGAGTTTCTTTGAATGTGTGGTCGAGAATTGGGACCCTGAACAATGTGAGAAACTCGAGGAATATGATGAACATGAATGTTGGTGCAGTATCAAGAAAGAGATGGCGGCGAAACGAAAAGATTCTTCGGCTCTAGGCTCGTATATGGCCATGCTATTGACATGCAAGCTCATGTGCGTGAATACGGCAACCCCATTGCACTCAATCTAACGAAGAAACGCAGATCCTCAGAATGCCTAAGATCCATCTACCAATCCACAACCTTTATTGTAACAGATTACTTGGCCATCCAAGGACTCTTCGGGTCTTGCAACACACACCCAATATTGAGGGCACGGAGGGGCTTCTACGAAGACCGCATAAAACCGCCCCCGGCCTTCCTCCAGTACACCCGTCACATCGAAATCTCGCTCGACCGGAACTACCCTCTGCACCATCGCTGCTGCTGGAGCATGGCCACAAGAAAAGAAGCTGATAAGAATTTGAGTTGCCAAGAAGGCGAGCCTTGCGACGACCTTGAGCCCAAGGTCCACGAACCCTGTGATTTTCACTGGCTACACCTCGAAAGATTCCAAAACCTACGAAGCCTGAAAATTTGGATTTCTACACACAATAGCAACCTCTACGGCGGTTTACTTACCCATCCCACCGGCCTTGAGGAGCTGGATTTCGAGAGACTGAGGACACTCCTCTCGGGTCTTACCAACCTTGAATCTGTTGTCTTGAGTGCCCCATTAAGCAAGCGTGTTGAGCCTGACGAAGGCTACGTTGAAGGCATTGCAGAGAAGGGAAGCCTGAAAGTTTGGAAAAGGGGTCAATTAATCCTTCTGGGGGTCAAATGGGACATGAAAGTTGGTTAGAGACGAAACATAAGCGACATGTGACGTGGTATGGATCACCGCTTTTCTAGGCCCTACGCTCGCCGGCTCAATTTCGGCTTAGCCCGCATCAGCCCATCAACTCTAAACTGGTCCCATTTCTAGGCATTTGGATTAATCCTTCACTCCTAGACCTTATCCCTGGCAGAAAGCTTGTTTAATTACGACAACGGACTTGATGAATATGCCTTGAGTTTCAGGAGTGGAAGTATTTGGGCCAGTGCGTAGGCGGAGCTACCCTAGATTCACCTTGAGATCCTGGGCATCTGCCCAGTTTAGACGATGAACGGGTGGAATATGAGCAGGATGAAGAAAGGCTAGCATTTCTCGAAATAAGGATAGATTAGACACGGAGACGAAGGGTCAAAATGCGCTCAATAATTACACGTTGGATGCTGTTGGGGTTAGTTCTCTTGCTACAAATCAAGACAATTTCGAGGCTGATGACTGCGCATGACGAAGAGTGGGGGTCGTGGGCCAAGAATGTGATGTCATGTTGGCTCTTGGCAACGGCTGAACTTGTGGGGCCACTTCCCTGTCACGCCACGAATAGAAGCTACCTACCATTCTGTAGAATTACTAGTAGGGAATAAGTACCTGTTAATCTATGCTAGTCGACTTTTACCCCGGTTAGGACTCTACAAGCTCCTTGACTGCCCAAGAGATAAGGGACTAGGTTTACAGACATGACCTTGGAAAATAATGACAGAGCTTATGTGAAGAACAAAGAGGCAAAATTGTTACTGTCATGGGCCAACGGTCATGACAAATGTATTTCATCACTTTGCTCAAGTCCTTGGCAAATTAAGGATATGAGAAGAAGACTAGAGTGCATTCCTTGGGCTTGACGGGCAGTGAGATTCGATGGAACGGACCTGATAATCACCTACTGCAATCCAATGAGCTCTGCCGCCTAACAACCGAGGGAAGGTCAATCGATACTTGTCAAGCCGGCAGGTTGTAGGCCAAGAATATCACAGAATGATACAGCAGAATGGGAATCAATGTCTCGAGGTTTGTTGCTTGACACTACACTCACCCGTTCGGAAAGTATCCGGTCAGTCTCAAGCAAATGACCTGTGCTGCTAAGCACGCAGAGACATAGGCGCGAGGTCCGGTGGTTTGCTGGGTCGCAAACCGGATATTGACACTGGTGAGTTTGACCTCGAGATAGGTGGATGATTAAGACCATGAGTTCTAAATAACAGTACTGGTTTGGAGTCGATGAAACTGGAAGTGTTGAAGGTACCAATGTTTGCGGGGGGGCATTGTGGGAAAGCAATGGCGGCATCGTCGAGCCAGGTCGATCATGGGAGACTGTTGACTTTGAAGCAGGCAGTTGGGGGTTGATTTGGCGTCTCATGTTTTTTTACTCCCGCGTGACGACTTGGCGGGCATGCCGAGAGTTACCAGCTGAAGATGGCTGTGGCGGGATGCTTACGACAGAAGTTCCGGGGGCATGGCTAACAGGTGCTGAGGTCGACGTGAAGGAGGAGCCGCGGTACGCTAAGAGCGGTGGATGTGTTGATTGAGAGAAAGAGGAACACGACCAGATGAGAGCAAACCAGCTGCAAAGCTTCAGGAATCGTAAGTCGTCGGAAATGGCGGGCATGAAGAGATCAGGAGGCAATACAGCCTGGCGAGTGGTGGAAAGACAACAGGAGACTATTTTCGCGGGGCTGACGAAAATAGTCTCCTGTATTTCCCCCGCCGCTGGGCCTGGGCCTGGTGTAGGCTCCATCGTATCTGGGAGCAGCCATCGACGCGTCTGTGAGAAGACCAGCAGCGCAGAGGATGGGGGTCGATTCGTGATGAGAATGGGGGCGTAGTTGCGGGCGCAAGAAATTGAGAGAGTTGTGCCGTTGTGTTATTGCGTTGCCTAATTATTGCATTGTTTGAATTTACCTCGGGTCACAGGCCGGCCGGGCTTGAAACGCTGCCATTTTCCTTGGCAACGTTACAACTCTACCCCCTTCTTCGAGCCCTTGACCAAGCGGATTGATGGAATACAGGCTTACTATCCCTTTTAGGCCGGGCCTCGTAAAAAGTCGTGCGCATTGATGGAACAATATACCTGGTCGTGCGACTTCTTCTAGAGATCGGGAGACTATAGTGGCGTGAACAGTTGCCGCTTATCCAGCGCCAAGAGCATATATCCTGGGCCCTCCCGCTCAAATTGAATGCCAAGCACAACCATCAATGCCAAGAGCGACCATCAGTCAGACGAAAAAGACGGTGAGTCCCCTTCCGAACCAGTAATATTTCACAGAGGCCTTGATCAACCACTCACTCCATTGATGGGAACCACGCCAAGTGGCATCTCACCACGGTCCTCACGGTCTGCTCAGCGGCTCGATGTACAGCTATCATCCCACCACGGACTTGACTCGCTCGCCTTGCCAGGTGAGAGGTCTCACCGCGTCCTTCGCGTCTCGGATTTCGAAGGGGACTTGATTCTTGGAATAGGGGTCGGGACAAACCGACGACCCCCACTCGGGGCCCCTCTCACGATCGTGGAGCCAAGAATCTCCCCACAAACGCCCTGCACACCAAGAGTCTTGGAAGGGCGGGAGGCCTGCCAGAAATGCCAAGAGGGTCTCGAATAGCTTCGAGTTCCATGTCATTCCAAAGCTTGCATGCGACAAGCTTTGACCAAGCTTTGTTCTGTGACCAGCATCTGCCGTTCTCTCGGAACAGTTCTTTGGTTGCCGCGGACCTTCTGTCGATGATCAAGAAGCACAGGCCATGAGTGAATTGTTTTCCATCCGTTTCATGGAATCATCCATGTCTCTACGAATCCAGCCCTGAAAATGCGCATCAACGTATGGACGACTTCCCGAAGTGGACTATCAACAACCCTCGCGGCCGTCTTCCGAAGGTGTCCACGATCCAGGGTCTATTAGAACTAATTCCCGCACACCGGTCAGCAAAGTCCCCTCTCGCGGTCTGGGTTGAATTCGCAAGCGATGGCCCTTTTCCTGTCGAATGTCTCATGATTAAACGCGGGAATATTAGCGATAAGCGGTATCAAACATTCCATTTTCCGCATTCGTAAGGGACGCGCTGACCTCTCGATTATTCCAGTCATCCGGGAAGATTCGGAGGTTATGCCTTTGGAGCATTTCGAGCCCTATGATATCACCGTGGAGAGATTTTGAAACTCGCGGCAACCCTTCATCGCCCTACATCTCTTGGAATATATATTACCTCAAGCCTCACTGGTTTACTTTTAGTTATTCTTATCCTCACACTCATCTCCACTCTCAGATGCGCCAGTGAAACAACCTTTTTGGAACATATATTTATCGCTTAAGATTTCACCATCAACCCCTTTACACCCCGGTCCAGGAGACCAGTAAAGGCTCTCTAGACCAAAAACCAACAAAAAATCACGGCTTAGACCAAACACTTTGATCTTTTACCGAACGAAAAAAGATACCCATTGGGTTTTTTACACATGTCTCACAACACCACCAACAACATGATGGAGAAGAACGAGATAGCGGAACAGAACCAAGGAGATCACAGCGACACTACCGACCATGAAGGTTTAGACCACAAGCCCGTCTACTCCGATGCCGATGAAGGAGAAGTAGACGTCTTTGGTGGTGAGGGTGGAGCCAACTTCCGTACTATGGGCCGCTTCGATACCGTCTTTGCCCTCCTCACCAACCAGTTTGGTCTCGGAGCACTTGCTCTCCCTTCAGTTTTCAAGACTCTTGGTCTTATTCCCGGTCTCATCACTCTCATCGGCGGAGCCCTCATCACTTACTTCAGTGGTGTTGAGATTTTCTGGTACTACGTTGCCCATCCCAAAGTCACCAATATCGCTGAAATGATGAAGATCGTGGGGGGCCGCCCAGCAGAGATCTTTTGTGGCATTGGCCTATTGCTACAACTTATCATGACTGCTGCCTCTGCAGTTGTTACCATCTCTATTGCTTTGAATGCCATTAGCGAGCATGCTGTCTGTACTGTCGGCTATATCGCTATTGCCTGCATTCTTTGCTTTATGCTCTGCATTCCCCGGACTGCTAAATTCTTGGCTCAGTCTGGCCTCCCTTGCATCCTCAGCATCCTTGCCGCGGCTCTTTCTACTATCATCGGCCTCGGTATAAAAAACCCTCCCGGAGCCCCAGAAGGCTGGAAACCCGAGATTGAGCTTTTTGGAACTCCTACCCTCCGCGAGGTCTTGAACGGCGTTCTTAAGATCCTCTTTGCCTTGGCTGGTAACTACGCCTTTGTTACTTATATGGCTGAGATGAAGGACCCTAAGAAGGACTTTATTTACTCTCTTAGATGGTTGATGGTTGCATCTGTTGTTTTCTATGCATTCATCGCCATCGCTGTCTACTGCCTCGCTGCCGAGTTCACCTCCTCCCCTGCTCTCAGCTCCGCCCCTATTGTTGCTGCCAAGGTAGCCTACGGACTCGTCCTCCCCGCCATTTTAACTGATGGTCTTGCTTGTGGCCATATCGGTACTAAGTATGTCTACATTACTATTATGCGACAGATCAATGCCCTGAAGGAAGTTACTGCAAATACCCCCAAGGCATGGGGTACCTGGATAGGCAGTAATGCTGCCTTCTGGGTTATCGTCTTTATTCTCTCCAACACCATCCCTGTTTTCGACTCCATTGTTGCCGTTAGTTCGGCTACGACTTACGCTTGGTTTACATATGGTATCAGCGCTTTCCTCTGGCTGCACCTCTATAAGGGACGTTATTTTGAGGACTGGTGGAGTATTATGCTGTTTATTGCGAATATTGGCTTTATTGTTTTCTCTCTATTTTTGAACGGTGGTGGAACTTGGTCTTCTATTACTGCACTTTTGGATATTTTTGCTACATCCGATAACATTCGGGGATGTTTTAGCTGCGGCGATAATGCGGTTATATAAGATAGAACTAGATAGATATTTTTTAGAATTTAAAAAAAAATTAAATTAAAACTTTATGCTTAAGGTTGTGAAAATAAGAAGAGTTTTAAGAGACTTTTTTTAATTAAAACAAAGTCGAAGAATTCATCTAAATTTCGGTCCGTCTCATGCCAAGTTAGAGATAATACCTTTAGCTGGACCCTTGGCCCATTGAGTAGCATCTCAGTTGGATGATTCGAGGTTGCTCGGGAAAGTGGGTAGTGTGCATGGGGAGAGGTGCCAACATCGTAGTGAAAACGTTTGTCAAAAAGGTCAAACCCACTCGCCACAGGTATAAGTCTCCCAGAGGACCAAGATTGCGAAAGTTGAGTCGAGTTCAGAAGTGACCACGCAAAAGATTTGTTTAAAGACAAAGCTGAGCGCAAGCTACTGAGGGGGCAGCATTTGTCCAAAACGATTGCGGTGATTCGGCAAATACCCACTTCTGCGATTCAGCATCGCATTGAAGGGAGCATCCACAGCGCCTCAGAACCCAAGTCATCATTTGATTGCCCTTGCCTTTTGTTCAGGCTCAAGCAATCGATAGAGCGAGCACCTGCGAAATAGAGAAATAGCGAAGTCTCCCGATGCATTGAAGAACCCACTGAGTGTGCTGGTTCAAGTAGATAATGAAGAAGGAGCGGGAGAGCATGGCCATTTCGCGATGCTTTTCTTCTCAAGATTTGCAGTTTCTGGCCATGCATGTTGCACAACTACCAAGGCTTCTGCTGAGGGTGGTTCTAAACGTCTCCTTGAAGATCGTTGTTGGGGTGAGAAGAAAGAAGACAGAAGACAGAAGGTGTGGGCACCAGTCTATGCAACTGAGCCCAAGGACCAAGGTAAGCAACAACAACTCCTTTAGACATCATGACGCGGTCCAGACCTTGCCACCGTTTTTCCATCTTTTCTCCTAGACTCTTTCATTAGATACTTCATTATAAGTGACTAAATCTAGGTGATGATATTCGACATCCGCGGAAAAGGATCCCAATCTCTCGAAGCAGACACTTGGCGGTCTCTCATAAGGTACTTAACTACTCTAACCTCCGTACATAGCAGCTTTAAACCCCAATGCTGGAAAACACCGTAGTGGGAAAGGAGTTGTCGCGTAAACCATCACGGCGTTAGAAACGCCTATAAACAAGAGGCAGCCTCGGCCTCTGTTAGGACTTCTGCTTGGGTTGTATCTCCAAGAGCCATAAAGCGAATTTTATGGATTATGCTGTTTCAGCGCCCTTAACTAAGCGATCAAAATAATTAGAAATTATTTAGAAATTATTTATTCGGGCCATTGGTTCCAAAGTTCATTTTCCTTGCTCGTTCATGTGGATGTCTGAGGACCAAGTAAGAGCGAGTTACGCTTTCATAGAATTTCAAGAACTTCAGACACTGAAATAGCCTTGAGTTCTCGTATTATGTTCACGCTCAGTCCATTACATGGCAGGAAAGTCGAGGAGCTAGACTCTTGGGTTTCGCAAGATGCCACACTAATAAGCCTACTTTTACCGGCTATAACGGGCATAATAAGTATGCATGCGCGTTGCAACTTATCTTGGCACGAAGCTTTCCCCATTCAGCCTCGCTTAGAGACCTTAGGACCTTTGTTAAGGGCTTATCACTGCGTTTTACTGGTGGGTTATGTGAATATTTACTACACCACCGCACTTGGGTTTTGTCGGCTGCGTTCAACATTGAACCATCAACCCTCTCTACAATTACTCAATGCCAAACCTGGGTTCCCGTCTTCTTATGAATCACAAAGACTTGGCCGAGTACTCTCGCTCGCCTCTTGTGATTCTCCAACTGCTCGTGTCTCTGCATCAGTGTTACACAGCCCCTGAGCAAGTCTCGGCTGGGGATATAAATACTCTTGCACATGCCCACTCACTTGACCTCAGCAGACTCGCGCCGGCAAAGAGAAACTCACATCAAATCAAACTGCCAATTATTCAACAAACGACCAAGGAACCAACGTCACAAAATGGCTAGTGTTTGGCCAGGCTACTTCACCACCCACAAAATACCCATCGAGTGGATCTACGACCAAAAGGTCTTTACAGATGCCCTCACAAAGATTTACGGACCGAATTACATGTTGACTTGGGGGCCCGCACTTATGACCGTGGACACAACACAGAGAGAACCCGAGAAGCTGAAGCAGAAACTCGTGGACGAAGACATAATTCGGGATCCGAGCTGTAAATGCACCAATTGCCAGAGAATGATTCAAGAGCTCAAGCCGAAGGAACCGGAAGTGACTGGCGAAGCATCAGGAAGTAACCAGGGAACGCGCTGACGGATTGGATACTTAATAAGGGCGAGTGTATGGGAACTGGACTTTTTCGTCGGCATTAATGCAGTGCTCCAATCTCGCCATACCTTCTTAACAAATGAGAGAAAGTAAGACATGACTAAGAGCTCCAGTATCTAGGACATTAGGCTGCACGTCATAATTTGTCAGAGCCTTAATGGCCGTGGTTTTTGGGCAGTTCACGAATAGGGTTCCAGTGGCTAGAATAGAATAGAAACAACCTCAATAAAAGACTCGATTCATACTCTAAACTACAAGCCTCACTCCTTGCGAATGAGATGATCGAAAAAGTCTCCCAAAAAGTAAGCCGACCTCTTGGCATACCTCGTCTTGTCCGGACTCTCAAAGTCTATCCAAGTGCATCCAAACCTATCCGAGTAACCCGCAGCCCACTCCCAGTTATCCGTAAACGTCCATCCGAAATACGACTTGATGATAACACCTTCCTGAGACGCCTTGGCGACTTCGGTGAGATAGCTCTTGTAAAAGTCGATTCTGAAGGGGTCTTCAAGGACATCGTCGGGTCCTTTGGGCTTCCAGTCGTGTTCGCCTTGTGCGGTGGTGCCGTTTTCGGTGATGTAGATTGGAACACCGTAACGGTTCCAGATCCAGCGGAGCAATCTCGCCCAGCCCCAAGGTGTTGTGCGGAGCCAGTATGTGTCACTCATGGGTCCTCGAGGTTGGCCCTGCTTATTCTCATCAGACTGCTCAATGTTGCCCTTGTGGTCATTGATATCAGCAGGCTCATCGCGATGTTTGACGTAAAACGCAGAGTATGAGTTCATCCCATAAAACTCCGAGCTGCCAAGAACGAGCTTGCTCTCTTCTGGAGTAAATCGTGGAAGTCGATCGCCAAGCTGAGCCCGCATCGACGCTGGGTAATCTCCCGTCTTGTACAAAGGATCGGCAAACCAGGCAATCTCGAATTCTCGTGCCCGCTCCGCAGCCTCTTGATCTTTGGGGTCATCAGCGTCCCAAGGCTCAGACCAGTTGCCATGAAGCGTGATCATGATCTTTCCTTGCTGGGTTGGCTTGAATTCTTTCTTATACATGTCTGCCACGTATGCGTGAGAGACGAGCTCCGTATGGCCGATGGTGAAGGGCTCAGTGCTGCTGTCGCCCTCTTCGTTACGGTCGCGGAAACTTGAGCGAGCTGGGGCGTGCACTCCTGCGGCATATCCCGCGAGTGAGTATACGCCGGGCTCGTTGTATGTGATCCAGTTCTTGACGCGGTCTCCAAATCGCTCAAAGCAGACTCGAGCATAGCGGATAAAATCGGGCGTGTAAGCCTCCTTGTTCAACATGCCCCCATACCGATCCTCCAGGGCCTGCGGAATATCCCAATGGAAAAGGGTGACAAAAGGGGTGATGCCGTGTGCGAGAAGCTCATCAATGAGTCGGTTATAATAAGCGATACCCTCCTCATTAACAGGGTCATCTTTCCCGCCAAGAGGAATGATGCGCGACCAAGCAAGCGAGAAACGGTAGCCTGTGGCTCTATACTTCTTAAGCCAGGCGACGTCTGTCTTGTACAGATCGTAGGACCGCACAGCGTCATCGCCAGTGCTTCCGTCCTTCACCTTGCCGGGCGTGTGGGCAAAGGTATCCCAGATGGATGGACCTTTTCCATCCTTGTCCCACGCGCCCTCAACCTGGGCAGCCGCTGTAGCCCATCCCCTGCTCAATGTCAGATGGCGCTCTGGGCCTGATGAATCAACTCACCAGATAAAGTCAGGAGGTAGAGCTCCCTTGATGGATTCATCAAACTCCTGAGAAGTCATATTGTCAGAAACTCGTGATAGTGGACAATGTTGGAGCAAGAAGCCTACCCGCAGAGCCTACTGAGGCTAGAAATAAAACCCCAAAAACGTGACGACACAGGATTTCACCATCATGCGTTGTCAGAGGGGAAAACATGCATGCATTAGTGGAGGTTGTGCTCACGAGCACCCGTCCCCGTGCCCAAGAGAAATGGTTCGTTGAAAGTCGGGTAAAACTGTCCCGATATTGGATCCTATGAGGTAGCCGAACCCCTCCCACTTGCGCACGAATGGGTGAGGGCGGCTATTCGCATATCACGGGCCGTCGGTCCGTCATCCCGTAAGGAATCCGGGGACCCTTCGACAACAGAACGCAACAAAACCCCGCCGGCACAAGGCTCAATTTTTATTGGATGGTAATTAGCCGTGCCGTCGGTTCAGAAACGTCATGTGATCTCGCGTATCTGTCGTGGTGAAGGGGAGGAGGTTAAGCATCTCGATTATACCACCACTACTTGAGCCTCCATGCGAGAATTCCTCAGCTTAGCGAGATATGGAGACTCATGGGCTCTTGAGAGATCCGGAGTGATTCATCATAGTGTCTATTACATAATGTGCCCAAGGGCGTTTGAACATGACTACGCAGTCCCATAGGCGAGGTTCAGCGACCAAGCGACCAGGTGCGAAGTGGGGTTTCTTTTTCGTGATTACGCCCCCTTTTCATGAAAACAATCCAAGTTATTGCAAGATAGACAAATCCAATGTTATTGAGATTAGTGATACGGTCATGAGAGCAAACTATTCCAGCAGACTAAGGTATCATATGGTTCACATCATAAACAAAGTGGTCTCATCAACACACCCTACACCTCCACAACGCCTCCATTCCGCGCGCGGAGCTTCTCCGCCTTGAGCGAACCCCACTTGGCGTCGGCAACCTTGACGCTCAGCTTGACGGGGTTGGCGCCCTTGGTCTCAAAGATGTGGTCGATTTCCTCCAGGTTAAGCTTGCCCGTCTCGGGGAAGACAAAGTAGGCGATAATGAGCTGAACAAAGTTGTAGACGATGTAGACGGCCCAGATCTTGTAGCCGATCTTTTGGATACCGACTGAGATGCCGTAGTTGTGGACGACACCAGCAGCGCCCTGCATACGGTCAGTGCTGTGTTGACATAGCGGAGAGACGGGGGCTTACCTGGAACATGGTGTACATGGCCATACCCTTGGCTCGGAGGGCCAGGGAGAGCAGTTCAACTGGGTACAGGTTGTGCATGGTAGCAATGAACGAGGCACTGCAAACCTGGAAGGCATAGATCCAGACAACCGTGAGATACGACAGGTATCGCGCGTTTTCTTGCTGCTCAACTTGCCAACTGGTGATGGTGACTGCAACCTGGGCGATAATAATCGCGATCAATCCGGCAAAGATTAGAGTGCGACGACGGAAATATTCGATGATGTAGGCACCAAAGAGGGTAAAGACGAAGTAGGTTGCCGTCAAACCGAGGTTGATACCCAGAACATCAAGCTTCTTGGTGATTCCAATGGTCTCGAGGGCGGGGTCCAGGTACATGCCAATGATGCCACCACCTAAAGAGTCAATACTGTTTTTTTGCACAGATACATGCGTGACTTACCATTCCACTGTTGGAAAACAGAGTAAAGTGCAAGGATGCAGGTACGGAAGGCAGCAGCCTTGGTAAAGAAGACGCGGAAATCCCAGGTAGCACGGAAACCCACAACACTGGTCTCGATGGACTCGTCGATCTGGGACATCATGACATCGACAAAAGGATGGTTGATGTCTTCAGAAGATGTAAAGTAGCGTGAGATCATGTGGCGAGCCTTCTCTCTCTGTCCCTTCATGACCATGTATCGAGGAGACTCGGGGCAGAGGAAGTAGATGGTGCAGCAGACGAAAGCAGGGAAGCAGGCTTGGATGAGGAAGGCGACTCTCCAGCTCCAGTTGCTCTCCCAGTGGGTGAAGCCCATCATGATTCCGATGATGGCAAGGGAACCGACTTGGAAGAAGGCACCAAAGATACCGACGATACTGTCTCATGTGTCAGTCAAGTAAAGACAGGAGGGTAGAGGCAGTACTCACTGTCCACGAATGTGAGGAGGCGCAACCTCGGCAATGTACTGCGAACTCGTGCAAAGCGCAGTACCAAACCCTAGGATGAAACGTCCAGCCATCAGACAAGCAACATTGGGCGAAGCAGCCTGGATAGCGGCAGCGGCGACGGTGAGGAAGCAACCGGCAAAGTTGACGCTGCGTCGGCCGACCTTGTCAGCAAGACAGAGGAAGGGAGCGCCGCAGAAGTTGCCGATGGTCATGAGGGCATTGATGACACCCAGAGTGGAGCCCTTGTTCTCGAAGCCAAAGTAATCGTGCCAGTGGGTGTTGGAGTTGATACTGCTGATTACACCCCAATCGATACCGTAGCTGTACAAGGTTAGTTACTGTTACACAGAAACATGTCTTCATCAAAGGCACTCACCCAGCCTGGTTAACAGCCATGACAAGCATGATGAGAAAGAGACGAAAGCCAGCCCTTGATCGTAGCTTCAAGGCCTCCCTCGACTTGGTGACCAAGTGATCCTCGGTAATACGAGCCGCAACAACTTCCTCAACGGCAACGCCAGCCTTTGCGGCATCGGCGTTGACATCTTGGTAGACGTTGTGCTGCTCAACGTGTGCAACGGGTTGTCTTCTCGCCATGGTTCAAGGTATTTGAGCAAAAGAAGATGGAGAATGAAACCTTGTCTGGGGAGGAGCCGCAAGTGTTCGTGCCGGTACTTATATAGAGATGCCCAATGCAACCGTTACAGTTGGATCATCCTCTAGTCTTGACCGAAAGGTAGACGTGCTGGAGCCGGTACCGCGTCCACGGGATTAAACTTGCGGTGCCGCATCCTGGCATTGCATTTGCCCATGACCCCAGACAATTAACCAACCCACCTGCTCATGTGCCCATGGGGCATTTTGCAAAGTTCCTGGTCAACCCTACCCGAAATGGGTCCTCTATGCTTTGCCGATCACTCACGGCTAAAGTCGAGCAGGGCCAAGCTTTGCCCAAAGCTTATGACTCTGGGGTTGGTTCACCCCCCTGTAGACAATAATTCCTCGAATCAGAGCACCCAATTCCCCTCGTACCCCAGCCGCCCACTTCGGTATGTGGGTTGCTCTGGTGGGTTCTGGGGTTAAAAACAGCGGTGCAAGACGGTCCTCGTGGAGGATCAGTTCATACACAAAATCAGGCTAGCAAAGGGCACAAGCACAAGCACAAACGCAGCACATCCTCACATTCAACCAACAAGACGGCTATATTCTTACACTCTTGTCTCCTTTCCCTATTCTAGCTTGATTCCCGTCCCCGCAACCACTAGGCATCGGCAAGCCGGCGCGCGCTTCCAGCCATGGACGATGTCGATCAGGACCTGGCTCTGCACTACACCTCCCCCGCATCTTCGTGGTCTGAGGCCCTCCCGGTAGGAAACGGCCGGCTGGGGGCAATGATCTACGGGAGAACTACCACCGAGCTGCTCCAGCTCAACGAGGATTCTGTTTGGTACGGCGGCCCGCAGGATAGAACCCCCAGGGATGCCAAACGCAACCTTGCCAAGCTTCGAGAGCTCATCAGAGCCGAGAGGCACCAAGAGGCCGAGACCCTCGTGAGGGAGGCCTTTTTCGCCACGCCAACTAGCATGCGGCATTATGAACCATTGGGAAACTGCACGATTGAATTTAACCATGGCGTGGAGGATGTCACTGACTTTAGGCGACGTCTTGATCTGAGCACTTCTCAGAACACCACCGAGTACACGTGCCGAGGTGTTTCTTACCGACGGGATGTTATTGCCAGTTTTCCAGACAATGTCTTGGCGATTCGGTTCGAGGCTTCGGAAAAGACGCGCTTTGTTGTGCGATTGACGAGAAGAAGCGATGTCGAGTGGGAGACCAACGAGTTTCTTGACAGTATTCGAGCTGAAGACGGTCGCATTATTCTTCACGCTACGCCGGGCGGAAGAAACAGCAATCAATTGGCCCTCGTGCTTGGTGTTTCTTGCGATGCAAATGATGGGGAAGTCGAAGCGATCGGCAATTGTTTGATCGTCAATACGACTCGTTGCGTGATTGCCATCGGCGCGCAGACGACGTACCGAGTCGCCGACCCCGAAGCATCAGCTCTTCACGATGTCGATGAGGCTCTCAAGAGGCCTTGGAGCGAATTGGCCGAGCACCATCGACAAGATTATACCAATCTCTTCGGCCGAATGTCGTTGCGAATGGGGCCAAACGCAGGCCATATCCCGACCGACGAGAGAATAAAGAACAACCGAGACCCAGGGTTGGTGGCGCTGTATCACAACTATGGCCGCTATCTCCTCATCTCCTCGAGCCGAAACTCGCACAAGGCCTTGCCAGCGACGTTACAAGGCATTTGGAACCCATTCTTCGCGCCTCCTTGGGGATCCAAGTACACCATCAACATCAACCTCCAGATGAACTACTGGCCGGCTGCACAGTGCAACCTTCTCGAATGCGCATTGCCGGTCATGGATCTTCTGGAGAAGATGGCTGAGCGAGGAAGGAAGACGGCCGAGACGATGTACGGCTGTCGAGGCTGGTGCGCCCATCACAACACCGACATTTGGGGTGATACAGATCCACAAGACACATGGATGCCTGCCAGTCTTTGGCCGCTAGGAGGCGTCTGGGTATGCATTGACGTCTTCAATATGTTGAAGTATGAGTACGATTCGGCTTTGCATAGTCGCGTGGCTCCGGTACTCGAAGGTTGTATCGAATTCCTGCTCGACTTTCTTATTCCATCTGCGTGCGGCAAGTATCTCGTTACCAACCCTTCGCTCTCGCCAGAGAATACCTTTTTATCGGAATCTGGTAAACCTGGAATTCTCTGTGAAGGGTCCGTCATTGATATGACGATTGTTCGCATCGCATTCGAGAGCTTCCTTCTCAGCGTCGACATTCTCAACCAAGATCACCCTCTTCGGAGTCAAGTCCAGGAAGCTCTCGAGAAGCTACCGCCACTAACTATCAACAACGACGGATTGATACAAGAATGGGGGTTAAAGGATTATCAGGAACATGAGCCCGGCCATCGTCATGTCTCTCACCTCTTCGGCCTGTACCCTGGAGAATATATCGATCCCATCATGTCGCCCGAATTAGCCACCGCGGCGAAGAAGGTGCTTGAACGGCGGGCCGCGAACGGAGGAGGTCACACTGGTTGGAGCAGAGCCTGGTTATTGAACCTACATGCTCGCCTTTTCGACGCCGAAGGTAGCCGACAGCACATGGACTTGCTGTTGGGAGGTTCAACGTTGGCAAATCTGCTGGACAACCACCCTCCTTTCCAGATCGATGGTAATTTTGGAGGATGTGCTGGTATTCTAGAATGCCTTGTGCAATCTCGAATCAGGTCTGAAGGTGTGGTTGAGATTCGTCTCTTCCCAGCCTGGCCGGCTGCATGGTCATCCGGCAAGGTGACAAAAGCAAGGGTGAAAGCAGGCTGGCGCGTATCTATGGATTGGAAAGAGGGGCTATGCATAGAAAATTTGATCCTGGAAGCCACAGAGCCTGACACACCCGACGCCCATGTTGTCTTCCCTGATGGAGAGGGTGTACTTGTCGCCGGAGGAGACCCTGGACCACGTCAAGTTCGATCAAGAGGAGGCGACAAGGGTTATTGATAGCTCACTATAATATTTCTATCAGAATCCCACGCTCTTGCTCCTATTCTTAGAACACGCTTTGAAAATATTAGTGCAAAGATCCAGAGCCTTGTTTCGAGGTGTAGAAAGTGGCGTTCCTCGGTTGTTTCGTTACACCCTTTGCTCTACCAATCAGCCAGCCCATTTGCTAAATGCACATTACAGCTGTCCAACTCATGGCCAGTTATTAGGCCTGGAGCCAGCCTCAGCTGAACGTCGCAATAAGCGCCCTTAGCGCCGGGCACCGATATATAACGAGCTGAGTGGTTTCGAGCATCTGCCGTTATTCCCTCCCTCATTGCTTCTTTCAAATTTGATGGTCGACTTTTTGCCTGCTTTCGAGCTCTCATCTTTCAGACTTCACAACCATTTCTAGCAAGAAACTCCCCATGTCGCCGTACCAGTCCAAAGCGACGTCATATTCCAGGCGCGGCAACTCGCTACCGGCATTACCCCAGTTTGAGACTATGCTCGGATGGAAGGTTGATCAATTTGATGAAGGCGTGGGCGCTATCATTAATGCCACCATTGGTCGACCGTGGAGCTGGTTCCAACTTCTTAACCAAAGCTCAAGTGCCGAGTTGCTGGACTCTATGCTACAGATCGAACTTATCCCTGGCGTTTGCGGGGACGATTTAAGCACTATCACAAATTGTTCGGACCTATGCAGCCGCCGCTCAGACATGTTCGGCTCATGGAGGACGCTATGGCATTGTCTCAGTCTCGCCTCACTCTCATTAGCAGACACGTCATTCCCAGGCCTCAACGAGTCGTCTCATGAACTCATTCACAATACGCTGCGCAACTTTTCCATCACTGGTGCTGGTGACTTCCCTGGCGAGATTGTACTCAACAACACATTTGAGTGTGCCTTGGCGAGCTGCAACGCGGACAAGGGAGAGTGCACGATGAAGGATCTGGATGCCGGCTACATCGTGGATGGTCGCTTCCAGTTGGATGTCTTGAACGAGTCGCTTATGGAGTTGTGCGAAGGTGTTGAGGTCGAGATGGATGCTGATATAGCTGGGCCTGGCGTGAGTGCAGCATGACTTGGTGGCATTGCGGAAGCTGACCGGTGATAGGTGGTCATCTCCTACATCTTTCAAACAGCGATGGCGGTATATGTATGGGCATTCATATCACTACCTAATTACCTGGACGTTTTAAATACTCTCCGCAGCACCCCATATCCTCCTTTGAACTGGGGGAGGCTATTCGATAGCTGGCCACCGATTTTACGAAGCCTGTGGAAGAACTTGGTTCATGCTACAAGCACTTTCTTAGTCGAGTTCCATGAAGCTCAATGCTTCCTTGTCATCAGCATCGAGATCGCATTACTCTATGCTAAGTCCCGTGCCCTTACCAGCGAGTCAGCTAATTGGGTGAATCTATCCCAGTTCAGAACATTAGTTCAACTCGTTGGTAGTACAGGTGCTTGGTCTGTCGCCCTGACCCAAACCTCCCTGCGCCGAGCACGGCTTAACCCTTTCTACAACCGGACACTATCTACAGTTTCTCTGGTACTGGCCATTGAGACCGTTGCTAAAACTACTGACCCAACTACCGACGAGGCATACAGGTTGTTTAAAGGATTGAACAGCATCTCGGAATGCGGTGGCAACACTTCACTTCGATCATTTTGTGCCCCTGCCCAGGAATTTTACGGCCTTATATTGCCGCCTACGACTATTTACGTTTCGGCCATTTCGATCATTACTACTTGGTCATTCATTCTCATATCGGCACTGACCAAGATGGCTTGGGTAGCCCAAATGCATCGGCGCCTCAGGCAGCGATCCACATATACGCTAGCGATGGGATTTCTTGCTCACTTGGAGCATTTCATGTTCGCTGCCTTTGACGTGATCATGGTCTTCTTTCTCTATGCCTGTCTGATTTCTCTTAGGATTCTGCAAAAGAGAGTTGGTGCAGATGAGTGGGGTGTTGGTCAAGTGATCGCGGTACTAATATGGGCGCCCGTGTTATCGAAGTACTTGTACTTGATCATATGTAAGTTCAACTCCAAGAGTTACTGGTTTTCGTTGTTGTACTAATTGTCTGTCACGAAGTTGGCGTTGAGAGGGGATTCTTATATCGGCTCTCACGCTCATTCATGGTGGTGAAGAGGCCAAGCGAAACCGAGAATGATGGCGAGGGGGACACTGCGCCAGGTGATCAGGGGGATGTTGCACCAGGTGATGAGGAGGGAGTTGCCCAGGCTGATGAGGGGGTTATTGCCCCAGGTGACGAGGAGGACATTGCGCTAAGTGATGAGAGGGACATTGTCCCAGGTGATGCAACTGATGCTGATAATGTCCCTCTCATACCTGTCTACAGAAAAACGGCAGCATGGTGAAAGGTCCATGTAATGCAGCAGTGAGGGGAACGTTGGTGGTGCACAAGAGAGGTAAAGACCGATGATGATAAAAAGTCCGACAGCACAGCCACAAATAGTCCATATTTTTAAACAAGATTTGAACCATCGACGCACCCATCTCAAGATGGAGTCACATCCCTGCAGTGTCAATCATCTTCTGTTCACAGCCTCCATCGCTACTGTACTGTAACTGGCCGTTACAACGTTTACGCCACCAGACCGCTAATCAACACCTTAATCCCTTGAACAACCCAATTTCGACGGCAAAAAAGTAGCGCATCGTTGCCTCATTCCGAAACATGACGCAATGTCCGGATGGTAAGGCTGACATTGAGTTCAAACAGCCCCCAAATCTATTTTGGCGGACCAATCGCTTAGCGTGGATCAGCGGGCGCTATTGATTCGAATGCAACGCTAAACTTGATTAAAAGGACAACGGTCCCCGCTCAACGTGTCGCGCGATGCCAGCTCCAACCCCGTCCTTTTTCTTTACCCATTGCACCATTTTAATGTTGTAAAACCTTTGCAATGAGAGCCCCTGGGTACGGCGAGATCGAGGCTCAGCCGTTCCTCCAAGATCCGAAAGCCAAGAAACGATCCAAATGGTCCGAGATCTCTTCAGGATGGAGACTCAGTCTCGTTTACGGAGCCGGCGCTTCGACTGTTGTACTGCTCATAAACGTCGGCGTCACCATCTGGTCGAGCACACTGAGCAAGGGAGAAGCAAACAGCAGCGACATTCAATCCAACAATCGGAGAATCCTCTTTCAGGGATCTTGCGAGGAGTCTAGGAAACTCAACGTTGTTCTACACATCTTTATCAACGTCTTTAGCTCCATCCTGCTCGCAGCTAGCAGCTATGGCATGCAGTGCCTCACTGCCCCGAACCGTGCCGAAGTCGACAAGTCCCACGCCGCTCAGAGGTGGATGGATATCGGTATCCTCAGCGTGCGGAATCTACGCGGCGTCTCCTGGAAGCGGTCTATCCTATGGCTTCTCCTCACTATGTCTTCGATCCCTCTCCACCTTCTGTTCGTCTTTCCAGCTATTACGTCATTGCTAGACACTAACAATATGCAGGTACAACTCGGTCGTCTTCTCATCATTGTCGACTATGAACTACGACGTCTACCGCGTAGGCGAACAATTTAACGACCCCGGATCAGCCAACATCACCAAACTCGCACGCGAACAAAAATGGGACAACATCACGGTCGAACAATGCATCACCGACTATGGCGTAGCCTTCCTGACCTCTCGAAGCGACCTCATCCTCGTCGTCGACCAAGCGCCAAAGACAAACGGCAGCAAAATCTTTAACAGCTTTTACCAGAACCACGATCTTATCGTGGGTGAGGGTTGCTACAACACCGCTTACTCGTGGATCTGCCCGCGCATAGGTTGCAATGCTCAGGCTTGCCTCGGCGAGCTTCCAAATGTGAAGAAGGAGGCGAATAACTGGAGACCATTCCAACACCGCGTCAAGTACTGTCTTAGCAAACCGAGAGAGGAGACTTGCCGCATCAACTTTAACATTCCTGTCGCTATAGGAGTCATCATAGCCAACGCAGCCAAGGCTATGATCCTTCTCTATGTGGCCTTTAAGCCACCAGAGGAACCATTGCTGGTCCTTGGAGATGCAATCCATTCCTTCCTTAAAAAGCCGGATCCCTTCTCCAAGCATATGTGCTTGGCATCCATCCACGATGTCAAAACACAGGGAGCGTGGGCATCCATCAAACCTTCGCGTTGGGTACCGATAAAGAAGCGGTGGGCAGCTGCAATAAGCCGTACCCGTTGGTGGATAAGCGGCTCATTGTATGTTTCTTTCTTCTTCATCCAAGCCTTGACTAATTCCGTGACAGATATGGTGTGGCTCTTGGCGTAGCAATCTTCTTTCTATCATGGGGAATCAAAGCCCTGAGCGGCTCCCATAGCTTCAAGACCCTCTGGGATATGGGCTTTGGTGCCATCACCGACAAGGCCCTCATATCCGGGTTTCAAGGCGGCTCGGACAACTCCGACAACCAGGTCATTGTCAGTGTTTTACTGGCCAACATTCCTCAGATCACCTTCTCGGTTCTCTACTTCCAATACAATGGGCTCTTCACATGTATGCTGTCAGCCAAAGAGTGGTCCGATTTTGGATGGAAGAGAAAGGGACTGAGAGTGTCATCTGAACCCGTCGGCGAACAGCGCTCTCGATATTTCCTACAGCTTCCATACCGGTGGAGTATTCCCCTGGTGCTCCTGTCCATCTTGATGCACTGGATCCTATCGCAGAGCATCTTTGTCGTCGCCGTCGAGACGGACAAACCGGTTAGAGACTGGGACGCACCTCCGGTTGGAGACTGGCCACGAAAGTTGTCTTGGAACTTTGCCACCTGCGGATACTCTCCTGTGGCCATTGTCTGTGTTATGATCGTCTCGCTAGTCATGGTAGCTGCCGTCGTCATCACAGCTACTCGTCGACTGCCAACTGCGATTCCCGTAGTTGGGAGCTGCAGCTTGGCTATCGCCGCGTCTTGTCATCACCCCGATAGCGTTCCTCAACCAGAGGCGCCTTATCACCCTTTGAAGTGGGGTGTTATGGGTAAGAGTGAGACTGACACGGATGGTGTGTATCTCCATTGTGGATTTTCTACTGAAGAGGTCGGCGAACCTCAGGATGCGTTTGAATACCAGTGAGCTGGTCTGACGAGGTTATGTATATGATACACAAGGATCAAGGAGTTAACAAGGAATTTCACCGTCTTATTATTCTCAAGCGCTGCTCCTCATCTCTAACAAGCTTGAAGGAAACATGCGGGATAATGATTAACCAACGCCGCGTCTGTGCCAACTATTAACCGGAACTTGAACTCAAGCAACTTATTTAGGGAAAATCAGGTTTCGAAGCCCATCTCCCCCAACATAGCCAACAGCGGCTGGCCACCCTCCAAGAGCCCCAAACACGTACCCATACGTTACATCGTGAGCGTAGTAAACACCCCCAAGCAACAAGTTCACGCCGTCAAAGATCCAGTTCGACTCAATATCCAGCTTCAAAGCAAGGACTTCCTTCTTCTCGTCCACCTCTAATCCCAGATGGAGAGGCTTTGTGTGCCCAGAGACGGGAATGTCAAAGTTCTTGAGTATCGTGCCAGAGTCAATGAGGCTATAGGCAACCATGATGGTGTCGGCGTTGCCCCAGAGAGACATCCAGCCGCCCCATTCGGAGCTTGAGACGGTGATGCTTCCCTTCTGGCCTACTGGCCTTGACTTGTCCTTGATCGAAACTTCCCCAAGAACGGCAATATCAATTTCCACAGTTGGGCCGATACCAGAGTCAAAGACACTGGTCGAAGTCAAGCAGACCTCTCCAATGTACCCTTCACGGAATGCCTGAGAGACCTCGATTGGTAGTGCATTTTTCTTCTCCTCATCCTAGCAATAGCCCGTTAGCAACATGTCTACCTAAAAATAGGACTGAGGTGCTTTACCGCCATTTTAGTGTGAAAGATGCACTTGTGGGTGTTGAGGCTAGGCGACCATTGGTTGTTTCCTTCAGGAACCGTGAAACGGACGTCGGTGACGAACACCTTCAGACCCTGCTCAATCTTACTGAGCTTGAGGACCTGACTGATTCTTCCGCGAGGCATGTTTGTAGTGTTTTGAGTGACGAAGGTTTAGAAAATGAAGAGAAAGTGCTTGGGAGGATTTTTGCGATTGTACGTTGAAGACTATAAAGGTGACTTTATAGAGAGAGAATGAACTTCTAGACCAAATGGAACACCCCGCTTAACATCTCAGCTGGTCATCTACAACTTAAAAAGAGGAAAAGATCGACAAGACGGACAATCCCGAGAAATAGTCTGGTGCTTAGCAAGGAAACTAGTGAGCGGGCCGAAGCAATAGTCTCGGCCGAGATAAGCGATCCCTGGTCCAGACTCCGAAAGCAAAGGTCGAGATGAGGCCTCTCGTTTAATACCACCGGGTCACGAGAATCTCTAGGTTTTCATCCCTGTAGGTGGCATAGTCGAGGTAAACCTAATCGTTAGGACTAGTTCCGTGAACCACGTTAAGGTTGAGTCTCGCCTAGATCAGTCGTGACCATGGAACCACATCTTACCACGCTATCCAACGACGAAGAGTTCTAAGAGGTCAAAGAATGGGAAGCACACTTGCAACGAAGGTTACATACAACGGACCCTTCTAAATGTGATCAGGTGTTCGGGGAGGGCTGCGCAGGTGTCTACATATACAACCTGCCAAGGATGCCTGACAGGCAGGCAACCCTACAGTTACTAGGATACGCTGTTTAATTGGAGCGGGTTTTACGATTCTTGGCAGTTTGCTGACCGGGTATTCTCAGCCTCGTCTGACACGACTCTGCTTACCAAACGGTCAGAAAACCATCATTCTTTTCAAGACAGATTTTTCTCCAGATCAAGTCTCGCGCAGTTCGCAATGTGTTCACAAATACTCGAGTTCAACGCATGCAACTGCATTTACTATCAACATGCAATCTCTCGATGTGCCTCATACGGAAATCCCGGTCATCAGACCACGTTCTATCGACGCGTTTTACCCGCTCTCTGCCCATTCCATCAGCGAGCCAACCAAAACCAGAAGGCCACTACTGGCCAAGATGATGCAGCAGGAGGGGTGTAAAGTGGAGAGAGAGATATAACCGGTGACATTTCAGACGAGTGAGATCCATCGAATATGGCAAGGTAGGAACTGTTCCTTTTGACAACCTGCTGGGCAATTATTCTAAGAATTAGGTTCAGGTTCTCCCTCAGCAAACTAGTCAGTATCCAGCGATGCCCTTCGGTTCTCGGAATGCAATAAATGGTGGAATCCGACTAGGAAGAGATGAACCGGGACTACCTAATAGGGTAGTAACAAGATTGGGGATGACGGAAAGGTAATTGTCTATTCTCAGCAGATACGCTGCTGTCCTGATGGCTAGCATTAATACGAGTCTAAGGATGAAGACTTGGAGTTGGGTCTGTGACGGTTCGTGATGATGTGTAAATCGCACATGACGGAATAATAGGAATTAGGGCCTTGTGTTACGCTGTGTTATCATCTGATGTGTACAAGAAGGTAGCTAGCCAATCAAGCCACCGTTGGAGCCTTCGAGGTATCTTGAAACAAGGCTGCAAAAGCGGGGTAAGGCACTCAAGTGATACACTATTGCCTGCTGAAGCACCACAGGTAATAAGAACAGTAATAATATCCCTCAACTCAGGATTAACCCGAGATATCTCTTGTCTCAGTCAACCACCTTCGTGAGGCTGCCTCGAAGATGGAGCTCTCCCCTCATGAGGACACCGCCGACGATGAATTCTGCGCCTGGTACTCTCGACCTGACCTTGAGCACGCCTGTTTCTCGCACAACGCAAATCTTCTTCCTACCGATCTGTGCACGGAATGCAAAGAGTCGACGTCCCACGAGTTGATCGAAATCTACCACAATTTCCGTGGAGACTACACATTCCGGAAGACTTACGCAGAGATCCGCCGCGACGCTGCCGTTTGCGCTCTATGTCGGGCCATCGACGACTCTAGCCACCTATCGCGGCTGTTGCCTCCTATTGCAACGCCACCTGTTATCCCACCACCCGATTCCACTATACACCTAAAAGGTCTCTTCTATGACTCCTTTGGTATTGGGATGAAGAAAGGAGGTTACTTTGTATCTGCGAGGGGTTCGACTCGGTCCAGTAGTGGATTTGCATATGAGCCCATTAGATTGGGATACCTAGATCCAATCATCTCTCAAAGCATCGACACCGACGCTAATACATCTCGGAGCGAATCCGCCGATTCCGAACTGGACAGGCTGCCAGGCGCCACCGTCGACCTCTGTATAGCTTCACCCAGGAACCCAAACAGCTCTTTTCCCGTGGGGAACTCTGGGCGAGAGGGTACACTTCCATCAATGAGATCCACTCTTCTTTCATGGCTTCAAACCTGTGATGACCACCATGAGGGATGCATGGCTATGAGAGAAGCTCGGGATTCTATTGGTCGCGAGGCAGCACGTCCGTCTCGAATGATTCATCTTAGAGTGGTCGGTGGCCGGCTGCGCTTACGACTTTGTCAGCCTTGCGAGAGCAGACAACCTTACACTGCCCTCAGTTACACCTGGGGGGGGATCCGATTTACTGAAAACGACCATTGGAAGCTACGGCAATTTTCAAGATAACATCCCTGCTGGTGGGCTTTGCGAGACAATACGGCAGGCCGCTAGAATAACATATGCCATTGGAGTAGCGTACATGTGGATTGATTCCCTCTGTATAGTACAGGACGATGCTGAAGATTGGGCTCGTGAGTCGCCAAAGATGGTAGGGCACCCCTATTCCCATCCTTCATCTTGCTTATCGTTTCTTCAGAGAGATGTCTATGCCAACGCATACCTTACCATTTCGGCTTCGGCACAGGGTAGGAATGGATGCTACCCTCACAAGCTCACAGATTCGCGCCATGCCAAAATTATACAGGGCAAAAATAAAATGAGGCTCATTCCACAGCCTTCCGATGCCGCTCATTGGAACATGCTGAATGAGCCTCTCCAAAGCCGCGGTTGGACCCTCCAGGAACGACTACTCTCCCATCGCGTTCTTTACTGCTCCAAATTGGATTACTATTGGCTGTGCAGGGAAACCCAGGAGTGCGCCGCTCATAGTTTTGCTTCCGCCTTTTTCAATTGTACTGGGATTGATCCCCATGAGGACATCCTTGCCGGCTTTTTGTACGACCTCCCTCTTCTGCTTCCAGCAAGCGCACAGCCAATACAAGCCTTGGTTCTCTGGTATAAGATGCTTCTCGACTACTCAGTCCGCCTACTTACGGAACCGTCCGACAAGTTACCTGCTATCGAGGGAATCACTCAGAGATTTAAAATGTGGATTAAATCTGATTGTTTGCATGGTCTCTGGAAATCTGATCTTGCTTACGGTCTGATGTGGCGCCGACATTGGGCTTCCTTTACTCAAAACCGATATGATTCCTCCGACTACAACCGTCTCGTGCGTGGAAGAGTGCCATCATGGTCCTGGGCAAACACGGATGGCTATCTGGAGCAACTTGGCATCTATATCAAGCTGAGTATGTGGAAGCCTAGTCAAGACCATCACCGAGCTCTCGAGGCATCTGTCGCGGTCGCAGACGAAGACGAACACTCCATGTATCCCAGCTCCACCAGCATCATCAACCCTTGTTTGCTCAAAATCCGCGGTCAGTTGCTGCCTTTGAAGTATAACCGCGACAGCGAAGGACGCAGAGGCGGTATGCCATATTGGCAACTGCAAGATCCCCAGCCTGGCGACAAAGTTGAGGTGCATTTCACGGCAGACGACCCGAACTTCGATCCAAGCGAGTCCACATCTGGCTCCAAGCCGAGCATCTATCTTCTCCCAATTATTGGCCTCATGGCTCTAGTTGTCACCCCAACTGACAGACACAACGTCTACCGGAGGGTCGGACTATCTAGCGATATGGATTTAAGGACAATTATTGAGAGGAGCTACAGACACCTTTCTTCTACTAATTCATTAGAATCCACTAGTACATCCCATTTCACCCAAGAATCATGTTTTGGTGGTGATGGAGCTGAAGATGAAGATGTGGCGGCGCTTGAGGATAGTGGCGAGGGGCTCGGCGGTGGTCGCAGGTATGTGATAAATAGCAGCAGGGCTCACTCTGGGCCCAGTAAGGAGAAAGCCTCAGCTAACAGCGCATCTGACAGCAGCAGTGTTAGCCAGGATGAGTCTAGTCGAGGGGAACGTGAAAGCGGCAGTGAATCAAAAACATCGCTGCCGTGGGAGGAGCAATACTCTCCAAGTGCTAAGTTCTGTACAATTTTCTTATGCTAAAAGACGGAGGCCAGCAGGAATGTTATTGTTGCAGAGTAGAGATTTCATCATTACCGTGGACGCCTTCACATTTGTCCTACTAGCCATACTGGAGTGGTCTCTGGGCTATTGTTTTACTCAGGTCTTGTCATTAATCAAGTTTTTCTCTTTTCATCAGATCATGACACTCTACCGCAAGCCTCCTAGATTCTTCTGAGAGATACTCCTCATCGGTGCTCAGCTGCATGAATGTGTTCCTCCAATGTTCCCAAAAACCAGCCATGGTGTCTACCACAACATGCTTCTGTACTATCTTGCCCCTGCGACCTCTCGGAAAGGTTTGGATATGATCCGGCTTCATATTTGCTATCAACCTGGACCCGGCGACCTTGAGCCACGCGTGAATTCCAGTGATGACGATGTCTAGCCCGGGGCGCCCAGAGCATACCTGGTTTATGATCTCGTAAGCCCAAATATCTGATACGCCTCCAAGATTACGCAAGTAGAGTTCCGCCTCGACTGACCCGACAGCTTCAAAGTGTTGGCATAGCTCTGCTTTCCTGTCAGAAGAGAGCAATTCTTCCCCCCAAGTATCTGATCCATCAAAACCAAGTCGAAGCAGATCGCACCACATGGATGCAAAACCTGGAAGATCTATCCAGTTGATGCCTGCTTCGGGTGGAAGTGCTTGAATGGCGAAGAGTAGATCATAGAGCTTTTCGCGGTCGGCAGGGAGCTCAACTGGGGCTTCGCAGAGGAGAGCCATTAAACGGTAGAGCTGTTCCTGTGGATCATCTTCTTGTAGGACTGGCTTGGTTATGGCGGTTGCAGCTTCTTGGGCTGTGATATTGTTGTTGAGGTAGTCGATTAGGCATATCGCCTCGTCTAGGTGGCAGCCGTCGCCTGCATAAAGTTCCTCCTTGGTGGGCGCGGCTTGCGACAGGATCCATTCTTCCCTTGTGGGCATTATCCGATCTGTAGAGTCGGGATTTGGCATGAAGCAGATGCTCTATCGTGATCATCAAAGGTAGGCGTTTCTTGGCAAAAAGAGATCAGCAAGTTGGGAATTCAGCAATGACGTGGTGCAGTTCCAAGGCAGCACTGCCGACCTTTCCAGCGAGGCCCCACTAGGCCACATCGGGCCAGCGGAAAGATCGTTGGTTATTGGGTGTTCAGGCTTGTTGACCTTTATTCACTAACAACACTACACACCGTTAATGTTTTTATTATACCAGTTGCTCACTGTTGAGCTCATCTGAGGCTTTCGAATCCAGCCTCGACAGTGTATCAAGAAGCTGCGTCAAGTACGACCTTGACCGTGTCCTGATTGTCTCATTGTCGACATTCTGAATCACTTCGAGGAGAGCACTTCCAACCCTTCGAAACCGTTCAACCTAGACCATTGAGCTTAGTTAGAACGGAGTATTGATGTAATACTGGTACTCACAGTTGGCTCTCCTTGAACCTGAAGACACAGAAGAGGGACCCTGTTCACCTCAACGAGAAACTCGTGTATAATCTCCGTCTTTTTCATGGCAAGCGTGAGGTCTTGATCATGTAGCCCCATAATGTCGGATAGACCATACTCGATAGCCTGCTGGAGAAGGACAAGGTGGAAGCAATGAAGTCCCAAAATTAGGTTGCTCCGCTGGACCGAGAAAAATGTCCTCTGAAACACAAGCACCTCTTTGTCTTGAGAGAACTCAAACGTGTCGGGAGACTCAAGCCATGGAGGGAGCTCATCGACCATGCTCGTGAATTCCAAGAACTGTCCTGTCATTTTCATCTTCTTTTCTCTCCTCATGTCTGGCTTGCAATGAGCTTCTTTGCGAGCGTACTTGCGCATTAAAGCCATCAGTCCAGCTGCTGATGCCCAAAGACGCCTCGTTAAGTGATACCCTGAGAATGCGCGATCCTCGAACGGATCTTGATATCTTGGTTGGCCCTTGTCGAGTAACCCTGGTCCTCCCTCCCCGATAGGATCTAGGGTCATCTCCCCTTCAAAAAGAGATTCTTGCAACACAAAAACCCTGTTGCGCATCAAGGAAGCCGCTTGGTCCGATACGTAGAGATGCCAGAACCGAAAACGCAGTAATTGCGTCTCGATTAGGTCGTTTCGCCTGACGTCTCGCTCACTGTACAGTCGCATGCGTTGTGCAAGAAGCGCGGCCTGGCTGAAGATGCTCCATGCTGCTCCTGTCTTGCCTGTGGTATGCTGAAGAGCTGTCGAGTGAAACATTCGCGTAATCAAGGAGGTTGAGTCGGAATGCTCCAGGTCGTAGTCTTCATAAACATGAAGCATATCTCTAGATGCCCGTAGAAATGGTTGCACGACTAAATGTCGATATGGGAGTAGCGTCTGGGGCATCGTCGCCGAAACGGCTGCGCATACCGCTGTTAAGCTAGCAAAAGCCCTCATGAAACGGACAAGTTGCTGCTCATCTCCAGTTCGAAACATGGATGAACCAGACTGTCCCGAGAAGAGCTCCACATTAGATTCCCGAAGGCTCTTTTCATGAACAATCGGGCAGCATGGGAAGGTGTATTGCATGTAAATGTCGATACAGGAGTCCACAACGTCGAGAATGGATACTGGTGATAGAGCAGAGTTGACTCTGCTAACAAGCATCTCCCAGATCATCTGTGGATTGGACCCAAATGGCTGTGACAGGTTGCTGGCGTCAGAGCCTGGTGAAAAAACAGGAACGCCTGGCGAGGGCCATTCTCGAGGACTGTATCCCGACTGAAGATCTGCGGTTGATGGTGTACTGGGCTGACCAAGACTGTGATCCTCTCGGAAAAGATGACGCCGAATACCACCTTCATTCACCATTTGTCGTGACGAATGTTCAAGGCTCTCGGGTAGGCGTGTAACTTTGGGTCCTCGTTTCCTCGGCACAATGGTATACTGACAGGCGATATTAGAAACGCAGCATGTTCCGCATGGGTGCGTTCCGTTGCATTTGACCTTGCGTCGCTTGCAAGCATCACAAGCCCTGGGCGGCATCTTGAAGTCGGTAGTTTGTGAAGACGAATGGGGAGACGAAGAAGATGGCGAAATCCCCTCAAATCCTCCGAGGAGAAATATGAGCTAAAAATATGGATCCGAGGACTTGGCCGGAAATGGTAATCCTAAGCCCTGGCGTGAGTGATGACATGACAGCTGACCAGGCACCATGAGCAAGCACATTACACGGTTGCATACAAGCATGCAATCCCCGTGTGTCGGTGCATTTCCATTTCTCTATTCAACTTGTCATGACTTGGGCGGGAAGTGGAGGTGAGATCAGGATCATATTCAGACTGTCTAACTATACAACCAGTTACTAAACGCCATTCCACGTAAAGTTCTTGACTAATTCAAACTCTGCGCGAAGCAATTCATCCTTCGGATCAGAGCTTCTGGCAATAATGACCTCAAACACTCCCGCCTCAGCCAGCCACTTGCATTCTATCTCGCTCCAGAAAGACAAGGCATATTTATCGAGGGAAATCGTCACCTTTTGCGACTGTGCAGCATCTATCCAGACCTTTTTGAAGGCCTTCAGTTCCTTGAGTGGCCTTGGGGCCGTGCTCGTCTTGTCAGCCACGTAGAGCTGAACAACTTCGTGTCCACCACGGTTGCTGGTGTTGGTGACGTCAACTGAAACATCGAAAGTGTCTGTCTCAAACAGGTTGACCTTTTCTGGTACCTGCAGGTTCGAATACTCAAACTGACTGTAAGAGAGACCAAACCCAAAGTAAAACAGCGGAGAGTTCCGTAGCTTTTCGTAATAGCGGTACCCGACAAAGACACCTTCTCCATAATGAATCTCCCTCTCTCCCTTGCCAAAGGTCAAGAAAGCAGGTGTATCTTCGAGCCTCTTAGGGAATGTGAGAGAAAGTCGCCCACTGGGGTTGGTCTTGCCAAAGAGCACGTCGGCAATTGCGTTGCCGGTCTCTTGGCCGCCAAACCAAGCGTGAACGAGTGTCGGGGTGTCATCGAGCCAGGGCATGAGGATTGGGCAGCCTGACTGCGTTACGACGACCTGGTGGAAATTGGTTAAAATAACTTCTCGGGGTAAGACGAGGGAGACTTGCCGTGTTTTTGTTTGCCTTAATAACTGCTGTGATGAGCTTATCAACAGCTGGTGGTAAATCAAGCGACTTGCGATCAAGCGCTTCGCTCTCAAAGTCACTATTTAGTCCAGCAATAACAATAGGCACATCAACCTCTGAAGCCAACTTGACAGCCTCTGCAAGAGCAGTAGCAGGGTCGATCTTCTCACAGCAGCCAACTCTCAACCCACCGCAGTTCAGCGCGCCTACTCCTGCAGTAGCAGCTTCATTCTTAAGATAGACCAGAATCTCGTACTGCTTTCCCTCCTGTACCTCAAGCTCAGCAGTGACTTCCATGCTAGCTTGGTCAAACATGGGGGTCTGCAGAGTCTTTTCTGGCTGACTGGTGTAAAGGTCGATCTTTTCTTGGCCGTCGACGAATAACTTGCCCTTACCGAGGACGCAAAGACCAAGTTGAATTGTGCAAGACTTTGGTGCAGTGTAAATAGTCTTTGCCTGAAGCCAGTATGTCTTTGGTACTGCTTCTGGTAGGTTGTCGGCAAAGTACATCTGGGCCTGAACAGTAGTGACCGAAGCGACGGGCTCAGCGGCAGGGTTAAGCACGGGATCTTCCTTGAACCAGGAGACAAGATATCCCGGCTCGGTGCTGTTGGGTACAGAAATGTCCTTTGATAATTGAGGAGTGAAGAGGTGTGCTGCCCTTAGTTAGTTCGCTGTCGAAGGAGGTGTTATGACGGTACTTACCCTGGCATCCGATTGCAGTCTTGACATTCTCTGATCCCACAACATCGATGATGGCTTCCAAAGGTCTGCTCACATAGTGCGGCGTCAAATCAGCCGAGCCGCCTCCGCTGATGGCTGGGTTTCCAATAGCTGGGCCGATCAATCCGTACGTTTGCCTCTTATTAGAGTCCAAAGGAAGTATGTTGCGCTCATTCTTCAAAAGAACAATCGCCTCACTTGCAACCTTTCTGCACAGATCGCGCTTACGCTGGGTATCTCCGACTTCCTTGGGGGCTTCATCCTTCCAAGGTTGGACCTTGTTGATGAGCTTGAGGAGGTTTCGCACGCTAGCGTCGATCGTAGGTTTCTTGACCTTGTCACTCATAACGGCCCAACCGAGCAGGTCGCCTCTCCACCTTGACGGACCTGGCATCTCGAGGTCCATACCGGCATTGAGAGACTCGGAGGTGCTATAAGTGCCAAACCAGTCACTCATGACAAGTCCATCCCAGCCCCAGTCCTGCCGTAGGACCTGATTCATCAACCAAGAATTCTCAGTGGCGTGGACACCATTGATCTTGTTATAGGCCATCATGAAAGCCCACGGACTTGCATTCTTGACGGCTAGCTGGAACGGCAGGAGATGCATCTCACGAAGAGTCCGCTCTGATGCTCGAACATCGTCCTCTACCGACATGCTTGACTGATCGTGTGCGGCGAAATGTTTGATCGCGCAAGCTACGCCATGGCTTTGAACACCATTGACGTATGCTGATGCTATGGTTCCGCTGAGCCATGGGTCCTCTGCGAAGGCTTCGAATCCACGACCGAGAAGGGGAGACCGTTGGATGCAAACGGTTGGAGCCAACAAGACATGGCATTTCTTCTCTTTTGCTTCGGCTGCTAGTAGCTCGCCGGCCGTATGTATCAATTCGGGGTCGAATGTCGCTCCCATTGCCGTCGCAGAGGGGAGTAGCATACCGCGAGGGCCATTGAAGAAGCTTGTACCACGAACGCCATGAGGTCCATCGGATGTCTACACAACAGGCCCAGCAGTTAGTATCATGCCATCAACGAGTTGAGATGCGGAAATGCACATACCGTGATTCGGGGAATGCCGACACGATCATTCGCCCAGGTGCCCCATGTATCCTGCCCAGCGAGGAGCTTGACTTTCTCGTCCAAAGTCAGCTGCTCTATGGCATTCTCGACATTGATCAGAAACATGCTCGGCGAGTATTCAATAACGAAAGATGCAAGGCTCAAAAATCGGATGCCCCTGCAGAAGTGGTGACAAGATGAGGAGGTAATGTTTGGGTCAGCTGCTCTGCAGCTAGCTTGTTATAATGGCCCGCATACCGGGATCCAACAGCTCTCGTCTACCGAAAGGCCCGGGATGCCTGTCATGATCGCTTCATCTCCTCATCCAGCCATGATCCGTTCAGGGGTCTTGGGCCTTGGCCCACATAGCTTGCCCCTCAATTCCTGCGCGGAGAAATCCAAAGAAGACCCCCATTTCCCCCGGTAGCGTCATTTCCAACCAATAAGATAAACGTCCACGACTCAGGAAGCAATCGTACTAGTATTCCGCCGCGGTGAAATACAGAAGCCCCGCGGGAGACGCTGTCAAAGTTTGTCTGGCACTCATCCGTGACCTGTCAAGATTTTCTCGCTCATGTATTTTCGGAATAGTTTCTCCTCGCTTGGTGTGGTCTGTCCCGGAAAATCATATCATCTGGGGATTAGTGTGGTCATGAGCTGGGGCCCCAGATTTTCTTCTTGGTCTAAGCTCGGTTGGTGACAGCCTCATGATCTCTGTTCGGCTACCCCTCGGCTTGAGCATATAAGGACTCGACATCTGCTCTCTGCTTCGAAACAGCTCATCTCTCACAGAGAGCAAGATCAACACCCTTACCTTTGATCAATTCTACTGCCCTTTATCGCTTTTGGACTCTCTTTGTCCATTGGACACACCATGGCCAAACTCGAGGAACACGAACACCACACGGCATCTGATGCCATGGTCGAGGATGCTGCACCTCCCAAGATTGCGGACCTCATTCCCGACTATGGGAAACCTTGGTACAGGGTTCCGCATCTTCTAAAGTTGAATGCCCTCCTCCTCGTTCCTCTTCTGACATCTTATGTCTCTGGTTTGTTCTATCGACTGACAGCATCTATACTCCTTCTAATTATGAATCAGGATTTGACGGAAGTTTATTGAACGGGATGCAAAGCTTACCCTCCTGGAATGAAGGTCCGTTAATGTGAAGAAAGCTGTACTATAGGCGCTGACTCCTTGTCCCAGACTTTGACAACCCGTCCGGAAGCGTCCTCGGAATCGTCTCTACCATCCAAGTCATTGGCGGTATCGCTGCTCTGCCATTCGCCCCAATGCTTGCCGATCGACTGGGCCGCCGTATTGGAATATTGGCTGGCTCCCTCATCATCATCGCTGGTGCCGGTATCCAAGGTGGTGGTAGCACCATGGGCACTTTTCTTGGAGGCCGTGGCTTGGTTGGCTTTGGTAGCAGCTTCATCGCTGTTGCAGCTGCCCCAATGATTGGCGAACTTGCATATCCATCCCATCGCCCGATCATCACCGCCATCTACAACACATCATGGGTAAGGATCCTTTACCCTCACAACTCCAAGGGACAAGACTAACTAGATGGAAGTATCTGGGCTCCATCGTCGCTGCGTGGGTTACCTACGGAACCTTCAAGATCCCCAACAGCTGGAGCTGGAGAATTCCTTGCATCCTTCAAGCTGCGCCCTCCCTGATTCAGGTCGCCTGTATCTACTTTGTCCCAGAAAGCCCCAGATGGCTTATTGCGCACGACAGGCCTCAGGAAGCACAGAAAATTCTCAGCAGATATCATGCTGGTTCGGAGGAGCCTAATGAGTTGGTCCTTGCCGAGATGAACGAGATCACTGTCGCAATTCAGAACGAGAAGCTCCAGAATACTGCTTCGTATATGGACTTTCTCAAGACTAGTAGGTCCCTTGAGCCTCTGCTCTGTATAACTTTGCTGACTTGACCAAAGATGGAAACCGTCGTCGCCTGTTTATCTGCGTCTCTATCGGTTTCATCATCCAGTGGTGCGGAAACGGTCTCGTCTCTGTCTATCTCGTCCAAGTCCTCAAGTCCGTCGGCATCACCGATCCCGAAACCCAAAACATCATCAACGGCGTCCTTCAAATCTTCAACTATCTCGTCGCCATCACGTCCGCCTTTTTCGTCGATCGCTTCGGCCGTCGTGGCATGTTCCTCTTCTCCATTGCTGGTATGACACTGGCCTTTATCATCTGGACAGCCATTTCGGCCAAGAATGAGCAGCAGCACTTCCAGAACAAAGGCCTGGGCATTGGCGTGGTCACCATGATCTTTGTCTTCTTCCTGTTCTACAACATTGGCATGAACCCTGTCCCCATGGCCTACCTCCTGGAGGTTCTTCCCTATACCCTCCGTGCCAAGGGACTCACTATCTTCAACATCTCTCAATTCGCTAGCTCCGTCTTTAATGGGTTCGCTAACCCGATTGCCCTCGAGGCTATTGGGTGGAAGTACTACATCGTGTTCGCATGTCTGCTTGTCGTCTGGTTCATCGTTGTCTACTTCGCTTACCCCGAGACACGCCGACTGAGCTTGGAAGAGGTTGCGACCCTTTTTGATGGAGAAGACGCTATGCGAGAGATGGATCCAAAGATTGTGTCCGAGAAGCAGGACCAGCTGTAAGACGAGAACTATAGTACCTAGATAGGAGGAGGATTTGGATCAAATAATTATGGGCTTCTTCTGTTGAGAAAGATTGCCTTTTCGTGTGTGTTCACGCGTAAACACGACCATCCAGCTTCAACCCCTTCTTCGACTCGTACCCAACATCATCTGCGAGCGCAGCATACCCAAATTCTTGGTCCGGCTGTACATCTCTTATCCTCAACCGTCTGTCCTTGAGTAAGCGCGCTCGCTCCTCACCAGCCAGAGTACTTCCTCCTGCCGGCACATTGATATAAGCAGAGTCCCTCGTTAATGCCGAGACATTGGTAAGAAAGTCGGGGGCTCGGATGATAAATCTAAGCGCAAGCACGGCGGCTATAGCTAGGATCATCAAGATAAGAGACACCATATACATGGCCATCCAACTCGTTTGAATCCAATATCTCCTTTCGGTAGTAATGAATTCACCGGTCGCATTGCCGTATGTGTATGAATATTGAGGAGCTGCTCCTGCGGCTGCGATGGCCGTGAGGTTTACCTTGCTAAAGCCCAACATAGCAGGACTGTAATAAGAGACGCGCAACGCCGTATTGATGATCAAGGCAAGGCGCTGAGCGAAAACCTCGAGCGAAAGGCTGGTATACTCGTCTTTGACGCCCTCATCTACCTCCCCTGCTTCAATACCTTGAGCAGGGTCGGCGAGATAATTCTCAAAGGGAGACTTGTACCCATTATGGTAAGAGGGTGTAAGCCATGGTAGAGCGGCAAAGATCGCAGCTGGTCCAGTTCCATTGAGCGCCGTCAAGTCTGTATCGGGCATTGGAATCTTATAGCCGGGCGAACGGCGAACCTGAGTCGCAAGGCAGGCCATGGTACCAAGTCGTTGCGATCGTTCGCATTCGACGCCAACGTCGACGTATACATGACTGATGTCACAGATAGTCGAGTTCTGAGCACTGCCAAATACCAAAGTCCCCTGGGTGATGTTTCCCTTGCTCGTTATATCCTTGGACGAGAAGTTGAAGCCACCGTTGGGGCCCGGGATATCCATAAAGACGTTGGGGCTACCGCCTCCAAAGCCAACATTATCTTCTCGAAGAATACTTGAATTTGAGTATCTGTGAATCCACAGACCGTCTTTGGTGTCCAACAACCACTGCGTTGTGTTAAACCACGGGGAGCACTGGACGCTAATTAGTCCACTATGAATATTTCGTAGGACTCCAAGGGTTCACCTCAAGGGCCAGATAGGCGGCTGACAGTTGGAGCGTCAAGTTTCCAGGGGAGTCTGTAGGCATGCCTCGAAGTGGAATGCCAACAAGAGACTCATAATTCACCAGTTGATCGGTAGGGACGTGGATCCAGTTATGCGGGTCACTTGAGCGGTATCCCGGTAAAGAAGTAATCTCAGGCACACGCACGTTACCCCAGAGATCTGCTCTCGCACCTGCGCTTGCTACCACAGCACCTCCAAGTCTTTCAATCACGGCGTCAAAGTTTGGGCTGGAGCCATTGGCAGCCTGCCCAAGAGCGCTCGGCGCAGACAATGCGGCGCCGAACATGGGGACAATTGTGCCGAGGGTCGTGCCTCTGTACGATGCACTCTCCCAAAGGCCGTAGTTGAGGGGTGCTCCAACAGTTGCCGCAGGGCTGTACATCAACTGGTAAGCCTTGCCTTCTGCGTGCGCTGCAGTATAGATAGTGCGAAGAACGGCCTGACCACCGAGCGGGCTAATACTCCATAGGATGAATAGGAAGAAGGTCCAGGGAGAAAGAAGTCGGATAAGGAATGGGCTCTTGAGGGTGTTTGTGAGGGTTTGACTACCCAACAGAACTTCGAGAGTCTGAGATCAGTTAGCATGTGTCTGTGATCTGCTGGGTTGAGGTAAGTGAGCGAACTGACACCCAGGCTTGTTCCTCTCTCCGCTTTAAACAAAGCTATAGTTCGAACAAGGGCACCAATAACTGCAGCGAAGGCGATGGGCCACACCGTGGATGCCACGCCCATGGCATCAAGAACATCTCCTCCATGTGATGAAATTGGCTGATTGTTCAATTGGTACATGTAAACAGCGAGAGCTTTAATGTTGGATTAGAAGCGTGATCTGCCAAGAGGATAACGTATAGCCTACTGATGAATGGAACTGGAACGACAACCAGCGGAAGGAATCCCAGAGAAAAGTCGGACCACGAAATGGCTAGGGGACGAGGATGGTTTGGCCAGAACGATGCATCATTTAGACCACCATCGTGAGATGAGATTGGAGTGTTGCGTGTCGAGAGCAAAAGGGATGTGGAAGCCTCCTTCTTTCCACTCTGCGTCAATGGGTTCCGGGCCATATTCGCAGTCTTTTAGCGTAGAAGGTGAGGGGTTAGTTGAATATGCCATTGCTGCGGCCGAGTTATTTATTCTCGGGCCTTGAAGGATTCTTTGGCCCCCAACTGAACTCCGCTTCCTGATCATGCAGGCCCATACACAGGGCTGAAATGTAACCATCTTGGCACACAACATCCAATCAATCTGTCCGCAAAGACAGGGATCTAGGCTATCTTTGGCTCGGTTCAGCAAAAATAGGGCTCATCCCCTTGCTCAACCGTCATCAAGTTCATCTGGTGGGTTCGTGAGGATTTGGGCCACAGCCACCGCCTCGAGGCGGACTGAAGCGTAGCAGGTCTTCCGTCAAGGATTAATGGCTACCAGCCCAAGTTAAATCCGATAAGCCCGGTTTCATTCTATGGGCACTATTCTCGATTCCATATGATTCATTTAGTTGAAGCGGGCACCTGTCTTCTTTTGTGTTTCTTTTGTGTAAGAGTAACTGTTAATAACACCTTTGAACTTGGCATGGTTTCGTGCGAATTTCCTGATTTCTTCCAAGATCTCATCAATTATCTCGTAGTCAGTCTTCTGTTGGTACCCAATGTCGAACCCGAGATTGCTTTCAACCCCTTGCCTTGGTTCCAATCATGTCTAATATTGAGATGAGTGCACGAGGTCAGCCCTCATCTAGCCTTGTAGTATCTGTCGAGGAAGTTCTTCGTGGACGTGATCAATTTGGCCCTTGCCCATGATCATGACCTCAACTTATTTAGCACTTTTCAACTTCTTGGAGATAAGTTTGCTAGACCAAGTCACAGCCATCAAGCAACTGCTTCATAAATAAAGACTATGGCCCAGGCTCAGGGAGTGTATCTTGTGGTTAGGAAGATGGTTCAAATGGACCTTCCGGAAAATCACACTAACTTTACATTCCTCCAATATCTATGCTCTCATGGTCCACCCAACATTAACTAGAAGGAAACTCGCTCACTGGTCCTGATTCCCACCTTTCACTGCCTTCTTCACAGTCTTACGGTGCGGCTTGATGAAACCGCCGTACTTGATGATATTGAACACGTTATTCCTCTTCTGCTTCGGTTTCTCCCGCCGTTGACCCATTTCTTCATCTCTGTCCTGATCGAAAAGGGTAGACCGACGGCCGGCATCGTTGGGATCCTGTCGTCTCTTCGAACGAGGTTCGAATTCGATGTCGTCATCTCTCCCCTCAGGCTATGCGACCTTTGTTATCATCTGCTTGAAAGGGGCCATGTGGCTGTGGCTTCTGAGGGATATTTGACTTACTCTGCGTCCTTCCCAAGAATCAATTTTTTTCCCTCACCCAGGTGTCTGCCTTGTCTTTGATCTCTTTCCAGACCAGAGCGTCGAGAACTGCCTCGGCCTGGTGGTAGAGAGACCTTTGAAAGGGGAAGAATGAGAAATGAGCGCATGCCATGTCGTTTAGGAGAATGGACTTGAACTCATTTACGATCTTGTACTGGATAGAGTAAACGACGCATGGAAAGTCATGTGCAAGTAGCAGCATTTCAGCTTCAGAAGTGAATTTGTCGGGCGTTCGGGAATCTTGACAATGTGTTGGTGTGTTGTCGCGCATCGAATTGTACAAATCGCTCATCGTTTGGGGTGGATCATTCTTGATGTTCTCCTCGGCCTTCCTCAAGACTTCTTCGACCAGGGACTTATCAATAGTGAAGTCTTTGAGCTTGTACTTGTTGTCATGAGTATAGACATCGCATCGTATGAATCTTGAGGAGGGGTCCTCGCTCGAGAAGTCGTTGCAGCGAATTTCCAAAAGGCCGTGTACGGATATCGCTTTCTCATTTCGCGCAGCGGCCAGCTTATTATGTAGCTTTTGTTCTTTGCGGTAAAAGTCTTGCCACGCCATCTCATATCTATAGGTGATAAAGTGTAAGGAGAATAATTCACCAACAGCAGCTCCTTCATACCTTTTCATGAGAGAGTTCGTCTCGCATGTACCGAAAACCAAATTCTCTAGGTTTTGGCTTGTCGAGAACCCAGACTTTTCGCCTGGTGACATGAATCCCCCCCAAGAGAACGCCGCCAGGAGCAACCACTGTAGTGTGTTCTGTATCAGTATCATGGCTCGAGCGACGAGATCTGATCAGACTTTTACAAACCTCGCTAGAGAAGAAACCAGATGACAGGCGTTTCTGTTCCCATCCGAGTCCTGACGCTATCTACCGCAACGGTAAGTTTCAGAAAGTCCGGCTCACGCGGAGATTCTTACATCGCTTGCTGAGAAGCCTCCCATGGCTGCGGCTTGAGTGAGCTGAGAAGCACGCTTGCCCGAGGCTGCGGCCATCTTCGCATCAGACAGTGCAACTTTGATAGTAGTCTGCCCATAGAAGAAATCGTACGTTTTCACTTGGGAGTCAAGGCCCTGGAGGCGCTTCTGTTTGAGGGCTTCGGTTATCTTCCGTCGGCGAAACTCCATCGCAGCGGCTTGGTCGAATTCCATCTGCGTCAGTTTAAGTCCCAATTCTCCACGGTCCTCAGCCTCTAGACTGCCCTGGATCATAAGGTCTCGCTTCCCTACTTCGAATAAGATCTCATTCAAGATCTTGCAAGCCTCTTGGTCTTTGAATGAGATGAACCTGCGGATGGGATTCGTTCCTGTCTCCCCCAGCATCGTCATGTACGAATGCCAAGATCATGGCCACCATCGAGCATTTTGAACTGGGACCGCTCAAGGTCAGAGGAGCTGCCTGTGATGATCCCATCGTCGATATTGAGCTCTCTTCGTCAACGCAAAGGGCCCTCATCGATGGTGCTATAGATCTCTGGGCATTATCAGCCGACTTACACCTCGGGGCTGAAGTCTACCCAAAGCCCAAGCTCGACTTCTAGGTCGATGTCTCGTTGTCGGACTGGGTGAAGTTCAAGCTTCAGGCCAAACTTACCGGTGATATCGACTTCAAGGACCGCTCATCACTAGCAAATGCTGATTTTGCAATCTATGGCCTGATGGAGCAGCATATACTCGATAACATTATCGACATGCTTGATAAGCAAATCAAATCGATGCGCGATCACGCAGACTTTGACGAGGCCAAGCGAATGCTGTTGGATAAGGAGAATGAGTTCAATTCACACGTTCAACAAGCTCGGGACCGTGTTGACGAAGCCAAACGGAACTGGGAGAACAAGGAACGGGACATCATCTCAGCGTTGGATCGTGCCAAGTCTGGGGCACAGAACTACAAGCAACAGCTCGAAGACAATCTCGCAGCGGCAGAAAAGTCTTATGCCAGCGGCGTCGTCGCTGCCGTCGCTAATCTGGATCAAGCTCGTCACGACGCGGCGGTCACTATTCATCTGGCCGAGACAGACCTTCAGCGAGCGCAGTCTCAAAGCGAAGAGGTGATCCGCCAAGCACAAAGCGACCTCAATCAAAAGCGCAATGTCTTTGGGCTCGTTTTTGGTAGCGCTCGCTCTGATCTAGAGCAGACGAAAAAGAGCTTCGACGAAGCTATTATTGCGAATGATACGACCACTAAAGATTTGGAAGACCTTGACCGCCGTCTCAACGAAGCATCCCTCCTGGACATGCCGGTTCTTCTGGCGGAGAAAGCAGCCAAAACTGCAGAGCAGGCCATCGCAAGTGCAGCTCTGGAAGCCGCCAGAGTCGTGTTCGAAGCCGCAGAGCTGGTCATTCAAGGGTCGGAATTCATCGTTGCAGAGGCTGACATTGCTGCTGGTGAAACGGCATTGGACAACCTGGTAAAATTTGAGGCCGCATCGATGGAAACCGCCAGTGCCGCCTTTGAAGAGCTCAAATCTCATCAGGAGGAAATTGTGCAGCGCGCAACTAGGGCCTTGGAAGATGCTGAGAAGCGCTCACCTGAACTGGAAACCTCCACGCAAGCCAAAGGCTTGATTGCAGACAGTCAAGCGGTGTTAGACTCCATGGTCTCGCCTTCTGAGAAGGCTTTTGACGAGAGGTACAAGTGCGCAGAGTACCTTGCCGTGGCCACAGCCGAGAAGGCCCTGGCAGCCACCCAGAGCAACACGGTTGAGATCGAACTGGCCCGGCAGGCCTGCGAGCTCGCCGAGCAAGACTCTTCTAGCTTCGCCGACGACATATTAGACGTGGGCCTAAACATCGGCAAGTGGATCGCCAGCGCTGCAGCAGAACTCGTCAATATCACCAGGGTTGAGTTCTCGGGATCAATCTCGAGCCTTATCGCCGACGGACCGCCCTTGATCGTCAACGTGCAGGGCAAACTCGTCGGCCAGGACATAGACCTTCACATCAACTGGGAACCTCACTTCAATTTGGCCAAGTTCATCAAGGCCATCTTCAGCGATCTGTGGGAGATGATCAAGAATGCGGCTAGCAAGTTCCTCGATGAGATTGGCGCAACAATTGTCGAGTTCGCCGAGGATGTCGTAGAGGCTGCAGAGGAACTTGGGGAGGAGATTGTAGAGGGAGCTGGGAAGGCGGCCGAGGTAATCGGCGAAGGGGCTGGGAAGGTCTATGAGGCGATTGACGACGCCCTGGACGACGCTGGAAGTGTTTTAGGCCATGCTGCTGATGATGTTGCTGAAGTGTTCGATGATGCTGGAAGCGCAGTAGGACACGCTGCGGAGGATGTTGTCGAAGCCATTGATGATGTCATGAGCGATGTAGGCTCAGTGTTTAACGATGCCGGGAGTGCGGTTGGCCATGCAGCTGACGACGTTGCGTCGGTGGTTGGACATGCGGCAAGCGATGTTGGGCATGCCGTTGAAGATGTGGCCAACGATATCGGAAACGCCTTCAATGATGCCGGTAATGCAGTCGAGAATGTAGCAAACGATGTTGGAAACGCGATATCGGACTTCTTCAGTTGGTAGCGTCTGGAGCACGCTCAAAATATCTATGTAAGCCTACTGGCTCAATGTTACTTCCTTTAGACTAGCAGATATACTGTAACTGGTTAGCGCCCTTGACCTTGGCGAAGTGGGATATCGCGGATCAATACTAGTCCGAGGAGCTTCGGCTGTTGGCCGGACCCCGCTGTGCTGACGGCTGCCTAGTACCGTCCTAGCTATAAGATCAGCCAAGCTTTCCGTCCCGAAATATAAGCAGATGTAAAACGCGACAAACTTCCCCAGACTTCACAAGCCGCTCAAATGGGTCGGTTAGCTCCGTTCGTAAAGAACCGCCTAGAATGGATGGATATCCAGGAACAAAGACACAACGGACATAGTCTGCGCGACCGGGCCACCAACGGCAAATGGCTCGATATTTCGACATCGCTCACACCTCAGGTCTTGCCCAAATATGACTGGATGCCTAGTGGTCTATCAAAAAGCCTGGGATTATCTGTCACCAAATTCTACTCGGACCAGCAGCAGTCTTTATTGCTTTCCAGGCTACCTAAGGAGATCCGGATATCGATTTGGGGCTATGTGGTTGGTGGGCACGACGTGACGATTGTAAGAAAGATAGACAAGCTGTCGCATGCGATATTGCCAATGGATACAGAAAGACTCAAGAAAGCGGAGCTGGTGCCAACTCGAAAATCATGGATAGGACCAATAGGTTATGAGAAGCGATACAAGGCTACCGAGACAATGTCTGAGCTCGACATGCTACCCCTTCTCCGAACCTGCAAGCAAATGTGAGCCCCACTACATTACAACCTGAAAGAAGCTAAATATTTCTGAAGTTATCTCGAGGCTTTACACATCTTGTACAGCCAAAACTCCTTCAAATTTCACACAATGGAGGCCTTCTACCGGTTTCTCCTGCTCTCACCACACGACGGCCTTCAATCGATCCGACATCTTACAATCCAGTGGCCAGGCTTTGCTTACTGGGCGGTATATCAAGACGAGGATACGGGAGAGCCCTTGCACGAGCATGACGAAAGCTGGCAGGAGATTTGTGATGCAATTGCTGCCATGGACAACTTGAAATCCCTCTCAATCGTTGTTCCGTCGGGAATCAACAACAGCTTCCGGAGAGTGAAGAAGCACGATGTCATAACCAGGATAAGCTTACCACTTGCTGCTCTACCAGAGCACGTCGACTTCACATTTACCATTCCCAAAGGCCACATACGCGCGCATTCGCAGGCTTTACTGTGCGAGCGAGGATGTCGGAATCTGCGTCTCGTTGGCTTGGATTCTCCTGTTGGGTTTAGACACAATGACGATGACTCGGACTGACTTTGCTTGGCGCTTGCAACCATGGGGAAAGAGGTCCCATTTTGATTACAACCTGACGGCTTCAGTTGTGGTGGATCGCCTTTCACCACCATGCATGACACGTTTACGCAGCACCACCTTATATACAAAACCTAAATTGCAAACTCGCTTGATATTATCCCCTCAGGTCTTCGAAATCATCCGGAAACCTTTTTTGTCAGGAAATTAGACGAAATATGTGGAATTGAAGCTGCTGAGCCACCAACCCCAGAGGCTGAAATTGGAAGACGGATCTGGGCACAGCAACATCTCTAGGCTGACAGCAAAACAGGGGTTAGTATGGATCACCAACCCCGGTTATTGATGTGGTAACTAAACACGAGTCATTATACTATGGTATCGTTTTTACAAGAACGCTATTTTCAACCATTCGCTCCAAATAAAGATAGGTACCTGCACAGCCAAACAACTTCAAGACCCCTAAGTAACGTGTGATTTTATGAACATTTCCTCATTTTTGTCAGCTGTGCTCGGCCAATCATCTTGCCCAGTTGGTAGCTGCACGTGAGCTCTCACGAAACCAGGCTGTGTCAATAAGCCTCATCTCCCCGCCTCAACTTCCTCTGATTGTGTCACCGATTCCATCTCTTGCTGCCCTGCGACATAAACTCTTGCACGAAAGGCCGGGGCGCAAGTTACCTTTCAACGGGTACCGAGGGAACTGGGCCGTTGATGATCGGTCTCCGAAGCTTCTCCACTCCCCTCGTCGCTAGCGCGGGAATGCCCGAGAGATGAGCTTCCTGAACGCCCCCAGTTCACAAGATGTCGTCTTGTCGCAGCGTGCCTCTCGTCGGGCGGACCAGACGGCAGCCGTCAAGGACCTAGAGAACACCATTGCTAGGTTCCACGCGATCTTGACCGACGATGACCGAAAGAATCTGCAACAGCTAAAAACCGAGCCCCACGATGCGCAATCCATCATCATGTTTACAGCAAGCCTCGATAGGTTCGATCCAAAGCGTAGAGGCAAAAGTGTCGCTTCAAGGCTGGCATCATTCCTGCAGACGATTGAGCAGTTCACTCCCATCGTTGATACCTACATCCAGTCCAATCCTGAGATAGCGGCACTGGTCTGGGGGTCTGTTAAGCTCACCTTCCGGGTACGTATCCAACCAAGGTATTTTGAATCGCTACTGAGACTCAACAGTTACTCGCCAACTTCACATCCTACTTCCAGTCCTTTGTCGAGCTCTTGTCTGGCTTTGGGACATTGTGTTCTAGGTTTGCCGAGTACCAAGTCATCTTCAAAGACTCCCCCAGACTCAAAACATCCATCTGCGCGTTTCACTCTTCCGTCGTCAATTGCTGCGAAAAGATCGTCCTAGTGACACGCCGACCAAGTAAGCTATTTCCTGCCGAGCTCTAGTCCTGTATCCCTTGCTAACTGCCTAGCAGTGAAATCGCAAGCATGGATGGCTATTACTCAATCCTTCCAAAGTGAAATCCGAGGTTATGTTGACGACATCAAGTCCAAGGCCGAGATTGTTCGGGATGATATCCAACTCGCGAAAGCCCAAAGTGACAGCGAGGAGCACCAGTTGCAAGCAAAAGCACGGCAGAAGTCAGAGGAGAGTCACGGTCGCATCTCTTCCTTGTTGACAAAGGCTAGGTCAGAAATGAGACTCATTGGTGACCAGGGAATACGAGGGACTGCAGGTAGGTTCTCAATGCCTTGTTTCAAAACACGCAGCTAATGGTGCAAGAACAACGTCGACGTCGGCTTCTAAAGGACCTGTCGTCGCATAACTATACATCCGCATTCAACAATGCGCGTAACAAGCGACATCTCGGAACGGCGGAGTGGGCATTCAACACCGACCAATTTCAGAACTGGCTCACGGGTGATGGACCAACAGTTCTTCATGTCACAGGCAAAAGTAAGCCAGGCCCACGCTCACACGTGCCTTTATGACTAATGAATCTTTTAGTTGGATCTGGAAAGACAATATTGGCGTGAGTGCGACCCGTTTCTTCCCTTGACCGCGCTGTTGCTAACTTTGCGTCAAAGGTCTTCGATCGTTGAACACTTGTGCCAGATCAGACAACCCAATCAGTTCATCTCATTCTTCTTCTCCAGATTCGACAACACGACAACTTTAGCTTCAGACACTATAATCCGCTCACTGATTCAACAATTGCTATCCGTGGCTCCTATGGAAACGATGAACCAAACTCTCGCATCCGAGATCACTAGCTGCCTTCAAAAAGCCCAAGACAACTTTTTCTCCCTCGATACTCTGGTGGAGCTGTACCAAGCGGCTTCCAAATTCGCACAGGACTGGTTTATTCTTCTTGATGGTGTGGATGAGTGCGAGTCCGAACAACAGCTGCTACTGTACAACTTCTTATCTCGTCTCCTTGACACTTGTTCAGGACCACAGCGAATAAAAATCCTGATCTCGAGTCGGGAAACGACAAAACAAGACATCGGGAGGTCATTTGGTTCTGTGGAAAGGCTAATTACTGGCACTTCTAATACAAGCGCCGACATTGTTGCCTTTGCCGAAGACATCATTGTCGCAAAGCGGCTTAGAGGCGAGTTGGTTGTGAGAGATGAAGCCATCATTGATGAAATTCTCGATGCAATTGCATCCAAGGAAGAAGGAATGTAAGTGTGAATTCTCTGCTAGTCACTTGTCAGATTCTAATCAAACCCTCCTAACAGGTTCCTATGGGCATTCCTGGCTATTGAAGACATTTGTTCTGGCACAAACGACAAGGAGATCAGAAAAGCGCTTCAAGAGATCCCAACAGACCTTCCGGCAACATTTGATCGTGCGTTGAGTCGAATCACGAAACGGCGTAACCAAACTATTGCTAGCAAGATATTTGGATGGACAGCAACTGCTTCTCAGCCATTAACCTTGACCCAACTTCAGGAAGCTCTCTCCGTCGAGGTTGGCCAGCGCAACTTGCATCCAGATGACCTGGTCAGCGGTATGGACCGTATTACCGTCTGGTGTGAGAATCTGGTGTGTGTTGAAGAGACGGATCACACAGTCCATTTCAGTCATCACTCCATTCGGGAATACCTTCTCCAGCCCGAATCCGGCGACCTGAAAGATTTTCACGTTGATCTTGAAGAGTTTGATCAGCATGCTGGCGAGGTCTGCATCACATATCTAAATCTCGAGAACCTGAAAACAGCACTCATTGACAGCGAAAAGGCCGAGCCTCCCCCAGTTGTCACAGTCGCCATGGAAGGCTTGAGCGAGCAGATAGTCCGAACAGCGGTTGGTGGAAGTATGGGTGCCCGAATCGGCCGCTGGACAAGCCGTATAGTCAAGTCTAGCGCACGTTCAGTCAAGCCTTCGGCAGGTGATATTGCAATCTACTCGACTCCTGGGAGTGTTCGCCATGCGCCTCCGGCTTCGAGAGGGATTGAGTATGCTTTTCTCGAATACGCCGACGACAACTGGTTTCGGCACAGGACTCGCCTTGTTCATGCTTCTATCCGTGATCCTAACCGAGCCGAGAACAACATGTGGCATCTCGTTGGCCGGCTTCTCAAGAGCCCTCGTCAAGGGGGAAACCTGCCTTGGAAAGACTTGTGTTGGCGGGAGTCGATCACAACGCGTGACTATAATCACCTGCAACCGCGCGGTCCACCTGGATCTTTCGTTCCCCCAGGATGCTTCTTCATGCCTTATGAAACGGAGAGACATTTGCAAGCCCAGTTAACGCCGGAACCGATGAGCGACCTCACACCCATTGGTAGCCTCCCTTTCCTGGCCGTCTACGCTATTCGAAACCATCGTGAGAGCCTGGCCTGCCGCGCTTTCATGACATTTATAAAACAGCGCCCAAGTTCTCCCGTAACCAAGTGGCTCACGTTGTTCCTGGCACTGGAAGGGAAGCACTCAGATTGCTCAAATCACTGCTTCGCTCGACTGCAAAAGCATCTATCTCATTATGATCTGGTCCATATTATTGTACTTTGCATCGCCGCTGGGGTTTCGCACTGGCCCGCCTCCGCCTCCGAGGGAGTTATCGACGACGACCAGCACAGGCAATGCTCTACGAATAGATTTCTGGATTTCTGCAAGTTGATACCGACGGGCTACATCGCGGGAGATGTTATGCGTATTCAAGACTTTGCCTTTGTGGCGTTGTGCGCCCTCACCAAAGCAAACGTTTCTCATCTTCCAGGCTTATTGCATGGATCTAGCAAACCTCTCACTGCGCGGACAAGCAATAACATGTCCCTTGTTGACGTTGCGGCAGAACAAAATGACATGGACAGCCTCCGTTTTTTAGTGTCATTCTTCCAACCCAACGCCTTGAAATTGGATGGATCCCCATTCTTCGACATCGCTATACACCGTGGAGAGATGGAGAAACTAGCGTTGGGCGGTCTCTGCACTGCTTTACGGAACGCCTCGAGTGACAGCGCAAAGCTCTTATTCGAACAATGCGTTGATCTATTCAGATCCGAAGAGGCAGGCCAGCTTGAACAACTAGACATTATTAATCTCCATCAAGCACTGTCCCAAGCAGCCGTGTTTGACTGGCCGTTCGACACCATCAAGAACATTTTGTCAATGTTTTTCGAAGCGATAGTTGCCAGGTGGGATAGGGAAGAACAAGTGAGTCATCTCATCGAAGAATCAGTCAGGGCCGACAATTGGAAATTCGCCGCTGCCGTGGTCGACGCGGCTTCAGACCTTCAATTCAATTGGGCAGGGAGTGACGATCCTTTCTTCCAAATGACCCTGGACGCGTTGAGCTGTCAGCAATGCCGGTGGAAACAATCCTGGCCTGAGCCCACGGACACGCGGCTTTTGTTCGCTGACCAACGGTACAAGTTGTGCCCCAAGCATAACCAGCAGGCCGTGGCAACACTGGATCCAGGACTATATCTCACCCCTGACAACGGGTCGTTGAAACTGGCGCCTTTGAAGCAGTGAATTCGAGAAAAACCCTCTTCGGACACCGAGGTTGACAAGGATTCCATTGTGTGTGAACCTGGTGATGAAGAGACATGGTCCTCGGGGGGGGGAGTTGACGTTGATGAGCTGGCATGTGTTCCTTCAGGAGGGCGTGGATGTTGCTGTGTATGAGAGTTGATGATCGGTTCAACACTTGGGAAGATTGATTAATTAGAACCAACGTTTTGAGTGCTAAATCATCAAAAGACTTGTCAAATCCTTCAAGCGAGTCAACTGCAAGGCATGTTATGATGGTTATTACTGTTTCTTGGTATCAGACGAGTCCGTGGCTTGCAAAAAAGCCTCACGCTACTGGCTGGTTTTTCTCCCCCACCTTCAAACCCGATGATTTCATCCAACTCCATGCCAATCCCCCACATTGACGACAACTTGATCGTTGGTGAGGGTGCGCGAAATATCTTTCCACTGTCCAAGGCAAGGGAATGCCTTCTTCCAAAGACATGACGGCAGGCCGGGATATCTTTAGCAGTCTATCCTCTATCAGCGGGTTTCCAATCTGGCTGGGCGCAATTCTCGCCTTGACTATCTTCGCTATCCTCTTTACACTGCTCCGTGCCGGGCTTTCACCTGTGAGAGCCATACCAGGACCATTCTTGTCCCGTTTCACGGACCTTTGGTATCTCTGGAGACTTTACCGAGGCCAATTCGAGCAGGAAAATCTCGAGCTACATCAGCGATATGGTAACGACAAGAAATCTCCATTGCCACTAGCTGAAAGGTCTAACAGTATCCCAGGCCCAATTGTTCGTCTTGGTCCTAACCGCTACTCCTTCTCCCATCCCGACGCTTTGAAAGCCATCTACGGACCAAGCGCCGCACATCTATTCCCCAAGTCCCCTTCTTATCGCCCAGCTGCGCCTCCAGACCCCGAGAAATGGACCCTCTTCGCTGATGAAGATATTCAACGCCACGCAAAGCACCGTCGACTTTACCAGAGCACCTACTCTATGTCCTCACTTGTTACTTATGAAGCCTACGTCAATCAATGCGCTGACCTCTTCTCACTCCGACTCTCTGAGCTTGCTGATGCTGGCGTCCAAGCTGACATGGGCTATTGGTTCCAGTGCTTTGCATTTGATGTCATTGGTCTCATTACTTACTCAAAGCGTCTTGGGTTCTTGGAGCGAGGCGAGGATGTAGGAAGCATCATCAAGACCATCGACAACGAGATGGTCTATTTCGTGGTCGCTGGCGTCTACAGCTTCCTCCACAAGTTGGCTTTTCCGATTCGAAACTGGCTAGCTGGGAAGGAAGGTACTGGTCGGACGTACTTGATGAACTTTACCAAAGAGAGGGTCATTGAGCATCAAGATCGACCGCATGTTGTCACCGCTGAAGATGCCGAAGCAAAGAAAGTGCCTTTGGACTTTCTATCCAAGTTCTTTGGCAAACATGTAGAGGACCCGGGCAAATTCACCATGTACCATGTCCTTGCAGGGTGCGCATCTAACATTGTGGCCGGTTCAGACACGACTGCGACAAGTCTTTCAGGTATTCTCTATCATTTGCTCAAGAACCCTCAGGTACTCCAACGGCTTCGACAAGAGATTGAGGAATTTGACCACGAAGATTTTGACGGTCGAACCATTTCGTGGACGCAAAGTCAGAAAATGCCATACCTCCAGGCTGTGATAAAAGAAGCCTTGAGATTGCATACCGCCGTGGCATTACCTATGGAAAGAGTTGTTCCCCAAGGAGGTGCAGAGATTTGCGGCCATTATTTCCCCGGAGGTGTAAGTTGCCTCACACATTCAAGTTCAGTTGATAAGCTGACAGAATATGTAGACTTGTGTAGGATTCAACAACTGGGTCTATCACCGTAACAAAGCTGTCTTTGGAGAAGACGCACACGAGTTCAAGCCCGAGCGTTGGCTCACGAGTGACTCGGAACAGCTTAGTGCCATGAACAAAAACTTGATATCGGTACGTGGGCCTTCTTCTTTCTACCAATCCATTTAGTGCTGACAGCTGGCTTTTGTAGTTTGGAGCCGGAGCTCGAACCTGCATCGGACGCCACATTGCAGCACTTCAGATGTCCAAGTTGGTTCCACGGTTGGTGAAGAACTTTGATTTCACGCTTTGTGAAGACATCTCCGGGCCTGAACATCAGTGGACTACCAAGAACTACTTCTTTCTCAAGCCAACCAACTTTCGAGTTTCGGTGAGAGCTAAGGCATGAGTAACGTACATTAGGTTATCAAAATTGTCATCTCATCATTCATCTCTACTCGTTCGCTTATTCTACTCAACGTCCAATTCTTCTGCCATTCCCTTTAATAATCGCGTCTCCTCAACTTGGAAGGCTTCGACTTCTTAAACTCAGCCTTAATCTCATCCAACAACCCATCAACCGTCAAAACATCCACAGCAACACCCGCGAGACTCTTGCCCACCATGAGCGCCTTCTCAAACGCGGGCTTGCTGATAGCTGCCTCTTCAAAGTCCTCCGTGTGAGGGCCACCCTTAGGCACGGTACCGTTGGCAAAAGTGATCTGGAACTGGGGACTGATGGCAGGGAAGTCGTGACTAATGTTTCCCTGGTCGGTTGAGCCACCGGGCTGGCGAGTCTTGTCGATGTCCGCGTCGGGCAAGTCACCACCGAGCTCCTCGAACCACCGAGTGTAGGATGCAGCAAGACCATCGTTGTTGTTCATGTTGGCGTAGCCGTATGGCCGCATCGTGAGGTTCAGCTTGGCTCCCGAGCCGAGAGCACCGGCTTTGAAGCAGTTGACAACGCGATCAGTAAGTTCTTCAAGTTGCTCGTCATCAGCAGAGCGGATCTGATAGCTGGCCGACGACAGAGCGGGGATGACATTGATGCGGCTGCCTCCTGACGCGATGATGCCATGGACACGATCCGTAGGACGCATCTCCTGTCGCAAGTAGGAGAGAGCGCTGTTGGCCAGCAGTAAGCCATCCTGCGCATTGATACCCTGCCAAGGCGCCGCCGCTGCATGGGACTCCTTTCCAATGAACTCAACATCAAAGCGATCCGTCGACATTGTAAGCATGTACGGGGTGTCGGCGCCATTTCCGGGGTGCGAGATGAGCGAAATGTCAATCTTGGCGTCCTCGAAAACACCAGCCTCCAGCATCTTGACCTTGCCGCCGAGTGACTCCTCAGCTGGCGTGCCGAAGAGGATAACCTTGCCGGCTAGCTTCTCCTTGCGCATAATCTCGGCGGTGGCCAAAGCTCCAGAGAGTGAGGCCGTAGCGATAAGGTTGTGGCCACAAGCATGGCCTAGGCCCTCGAGAGCATCATATTCGGCGTTGAAGCTGACAACTGGGCCATCACCACTGCCCTCGAAAACAGCCATAAATGCAGTATCAATACCGCCGACGGTATCGGTCACGTTCCATCCCTTCTGCTTCTTCATGAACGTTGTCAGAAGCTTGTGAGCTTTAAACTCCTTGTAACCGAGCTCTGGGTTGTCGTGAATCTCCTTGTTGATGGACCACATGTCCTCTTCGATAGAGTCGACATAGTCAGAGACGGTTTCGAAGTAAGGACTTTTCTCATTCTTCTTTTGGCGGGGCTGTAGAGAGCTCTGGGGGACGGCGAGAGCTGGGGTGATTGATGCTAGGCTGACAGCAGCGGCCAAGAGGCCTTTAGCCTGTTCTATGCGAACCATTTTTGTGAAGTCAGAGTCCAGCTAAGATAGCAGTTTTCAGTAGAGCAGGTTCAACTCCGAGAGAAAAGAGGCTCTAGCGAAGGACAGGTCGAGCTCAAGTAGCCAACCGCCAATGGGGAGGCTCCGGCTTTTATATAAATTGATGATTACCTCGCCTCCAATCAATGCCAGTTCCGACATTCACTTATCAATAATGCGAGTCATGCTTTCGGACTCTTGATCATCTTGTCTTGGCGAAAAGTTGACCGACCCAAGGGAACCAGAACTATACCCCGAGACCGCGCTCCCCTCACGATTTATATCAACCTGCCTAATAGGGTATGTAAACATGTCGATGATATCGAACCGCCGACGTATTTCCATTGCCGAACATGCAAGCCGTCCGTTGACTAGGCCGGGGTAGTCCGAAGTGGGGTTTGACCCAAGTTAGTGGCCATGCTTGTCCGGAGTGCAAGTCACCTTATTGCTCTCGCGAAGGCCGGGGAAGTAGTTTATCGCTCACAAGCTCTCCACAAGCGTTGCATCTTGTAACGGGCTCACTCCCGTGCTCGGGGCTTGCTCCGTTGAGTGGACCTCGCAAAGATAAGGAAGTGGAGAGACAGAATCCGACAATCTTTCAACTGTTCGGCGGGAGCAAGATATCTCTCGGTCATGCCAGACAGACTCAAGCTGTCTGTGTAATAGTTGTCTCCGACTTCGCTCCCTTCTGCGTACAATCATCAACCGCAGCCCAAATTCCGCATGGCGTTTGCAGTGTCTAGATAATCTTACCTTGAATAAGCTTGTATGGTGCAGGGATTAGGATCCTCGGGATGCCACCCTAGACGGCATGATCATCGCTCCAGGAAACGAGCTACCCCTCCTCCTCCTCCTCGACTTATGACGTGACAGTCGCTATTGCGCAGCATGCGGTGAGGTCCGAAACTCGCTGATAAAATGCCTTTACTATCTGAACTTGCTCCGGACTTGACCGGTCAGCGGCGGGATTTCGAGCTCAACTATATCAGTTTAGTGAAGTCACCAAAATCTTCTGGGCGCCCTGTAGCATCGTGGGACACGTTAGGTAGTTTGAAATCAAGTTTATTGGGTGGAATGTAGTGTAGTGCGTATTGTTGAACGACCCATAGGAACAATGTAACAGTTGCACTACCTAGTTCAAGAAAATAAAAGAGGTTGACGCAGTGACGAAGGTGATTTGGCAGCAGATCCCTCCGAGTACGGGTTTTGAGATGCTATTGGAGATGGGAGTTCTTGGCTGAAAGTTCCCAAACACCCAGCGTATATCGAGAAAAAAGTCACAAGTATAAAACACACAGCTCCCATAGAGATAGATAGCCTCCCAGAACCAAAGGGAAACATTTTAGGAACTACTGGAGGTCTATCTTGAAAGGACATGCAGTTCTACACCTACGTTGTCATCATTTTGTGCAAGAGCCTCCAAGAGATAAGTCACCAGCAAATGGCTTTCTCTCTACCTATTCGCAATTCACGGTGGAGTATGCCACAACTTCCGGCAGGCACTGAAGAGTAACTGCGTGTGATGGAGGGACTGGGTTCATTCAATTCTTGCTCCCCCTTTGGATACGTCAGTGAAGAGCTGTGAATCTGGTCATTTCTTACAGCCTTCATACAGGTCGCCATCTGACACTGCCCCTTCTCTTTCTCAATTAATGAGGGAAATTTACGAGCACATAACAAGTAGTTGCGGAAACGGCCAACAAAGTTTCGGCGGAGCAGGCCGTCGAGGCCGTTTACCCGACGAGTGACGCCCATGATTAAAGACAAACGACCTGAAGTGGCGTGAAGTGGACGCGCGTCACTTTGTTAGTTCTGACAACGGGACTATGCGTGCCTGACGGGCTGTAAAAACCTATGACGAAATAAAAGGGGGCACTCGAACTCTGTATGGACCGGACTTCAAGGTTCGAGGCAACGCGGGGGAGGCCGCATGCCGACCAGCCGAAGTCTTTCGGCTTATTTTGACGACAGCTAACAATAGCAGCCGACCTGAACTCTGTTGTCCTGTATCCTGTAACTGCCGGTGCCACGCTCGAAGAAGACTCTCATTTGCTGGACCGTAACGCAGCAATATTTGACACTTGGCGGCCTCCAACCCATGAAGTGGTTGACACCTCCAAACCCCCAGGTTAGAGACAACTAGCTTGCCGGTTTACCGAATAACATCTCGTATCCGAATATTACGGCCGGGTCGTGCCTTTGGATATGACCACCTGTAAGCTGTAAGCGTAGCTGCCGACCAGCCGAGTTTGCCGGCGCTGAGTGGCTGCACCAACGCTGACTGCCGAGACGGAAACTCACTTCAGAACTGAAGGCATTCGAGATGGAGATGTGTATAAAAGGGAGCGTAATTGACGGCGGAATGGATTTGTTTCTGAACCAACTTACAACTTCAATCACTCGAACCTCAACTCAACACATCAAACAACCCAAACAAACCTCCATCAACATGCTTTTCACCCGTTTCTTCGTCGGCGCCCTCGTCGCCATGAACTCGGTCAGCGCCCTCCCCAACCCTGAAGCCGACAACCAAGATGTCGAAGCTCGCAGCCTCTTCCACCACTGCGGCAAACACGCCTCCTGGAGCGGCGCAACCAAGTCTTGCGTCTGCCACGACAAGGGCAAGGAGTACCATGAGCACCACAAGAAGTGCCGCTGCCCCAAGGGAGAGAGATGGCACCACATTGAGCGCGAGTGCAAGAAGCACTAAAGTTGATACTCGTGCTTGGCAATTGGCTGCTGGGGGGCTGGTCGATCAAAGACTACGAACCAATCTGACGCGAACGTATCCCGACGGATCATGATGTAACCTCCTTCACCCAGACTTGTCGCTCTATCGGCTCTGCGCAATGGCGATGTTGATCAGAGCGAGATAGTAGACTCTGCACCAGAGAGTCTGAAGCTATGGGGTGGAACAATGGCAAATGTGTTTCCTGTAAATATTGCAACACGGCAACGGCCATCTTTCATTTCTTCACAAAGCTCCAATTAACATTACATCTAAATACCTCTTCATATACTTGAGATATTTTTAGGTGTGTATGCTTCCATCTATCTAAGTGTGATCTCTTCAATAACCGTGGTCGACTTGGTTATAACCTCCCCCTCCATTATGCCCTGGACATATGCATCCCCGACATACTCAAACTCCAAGCTTTTCTCACTACTTCTTCGTATGACATGTGGAACCTTGCCGCACAGCAACACCCAAACCTCATCACCAATATTTGCATCTGGAGGTCCAATACCAAAGTACCCAGACTCTGTAATGAAGAATGCCTGACTCCTCGCCATATCCCGTGCACTCTCAGCAATTTGAGGATCCCAACAGCCGCGGGCATAGTTCTGAACTCTCGCTACATCTTCTTCCGACGCCTGATGATCTGGTTCGGAGCCATTGTAGACGAGGTCGCCAATTAGGACGCGGCAGATGGCTTCAAGACATGTCATGTCTTTGTTACCGATGTACGGCTCGTCTATCGACCGGTCCCCTAGCCAGTCGTAGAATACCGAGGACCATAAACTGATGGTGTGTAGAGTGTGTTCGTCGTATTCCCCAGTGCTGAGTTGTCGGTAGTCAAGGAGATAATTGACAGACCCGAGCACCGCAATCCTGTCCACCTGGGCGCCCTGAAGAACCAGGCCAGTGCCATCCGGCGTCATTTCAGGCTCAACATACTTTCCACCTGAGCATTTGAAAAAATTGTATCTCCAACAATGACCAAAGTAATCTGTTGTTCTTTGTGTCGGATCATCGGCGAATGTCCAGTCAACGACCCAAGACGGCAGCCCAGGAGTCATTCGAGGCTCACCGCGACGGCCACATACTGGGAGAAAGCCTTGATGATGTCGGATGAGGTCGAAAGTCACTCGAGTATACAACTCAGTCTCGGAAATGGTATAGTCGCAAAAGGGCACGCTCTTGAAAGCGCCCTCTGGAAGCAACCCCATCAACGCATAGGTCTTGTCCAAAGGATTCGTCGCATCGCGAGAACGCCAGCGGTACAGCGGTCCTAATATCGGCGCCGGGTCGTTGATCTGAAGGTTCATAAGTGGGATACAGAACTCGTTGGACAGCGGACCAAGAGCAAAGCATTGTTCAAACCGTTGGCCCACGCCCGAGTCAACCATAACCAGGCCAACGGCGACTCTCTTCAAGATGTCAAAGGATAGAGTGTAGCCTCCCCACATGAGGTCGGATTCTTTCGGTAGCTTTGCTTCTTGAATTGTCCAGATGCGTTGCCACCATTTGACGCCTTGCCATTTCGCCCATTGAGAGCCCATAAGTGCAAGGATGACTTCGCCGAGATCCCGTGCCCGCACCCCCTCGGCCGACGACCCGGCGTTGGGCAAATCGGTGATCATTTCCGTCAAGCACTGGAAAACGAGGGCTACATGAGTTTCTGGGAAGCCTGTCTGCTCTTCGGTCGGAAGCTCGCCCAGCCAGATCAGGCCGCGCGATGCTTTTCTGTAGATATCACGCATGACGCTGACTTGGAGAGACTTTTCGACGTCATTGGTTTGGTCGATGCAAAGTTGATCAATCCACATTGTCCTTGGCTTGTCGCGCAGACGCAATCGTGAGAGCGCAAGGTGAAGACTTTCGGTAATGACTCTTGGTGATCCATCGCATGTGATTTGGCGAGTATTTGACTGATCACCCCATACGTATGAGAGTGTTTCGTATACCGGATCACTCTTTAAAGGCACCGTCCTAACGTCGCATACAATCTCGTCACCGGGCTTCCCCGGAAGGAGCCGTAGGAGAGCGATGTTGACATTTGAGAGGTCTGAAAGATGTTAGCTCCATGGACGAGAAAAGGATGCAATTCACATACCTAGAATGTGAGAGCCCATGGTGAAGCCTGGTTTTGTGGTTGTGTACAATTACGCGCATTCATCAGAGTAAAGACAAATTCGAAGACGCGAGAAAAGAAAGTGCAGATTAATCCTGGGCACGGCATCCTTATGAGACCAAATGCAAACGCCAAACGAAACTATTCTCGCCGCCGACGTGATCGCGCCGGCGCTTTGATGCACCGCCGTTTACTAGCTCCTCAACTTGGCTGTGTTAGCAGTGTTCTCACAGCCGTGTTTCTAATTTTCCCCGCGGCTGAGATTCCTTTAGTACTTTGGTCCAAGGCTGAGTTGATGCGGCCTCCGACTAATGATCCACAGCGTGTTGGGGGCGAAAGGTAGTGAAATGTAAATGCGCTACGGAGTAGTCTCGACGACTCTAAGTACGATTAGATATGGGTGATAAGATATCACGTCCTCCGCAACACGAATGGTAAGATGCATGCTCATACACCCTAGACTCGCATCCCACTCTCTCGCCGATTGTAGGGCTAAGCGCAAAAGACCCGACTGGGTTGAGTTGCATACAATTGTCACACACAACTAAAACACTCACTGCCTTGCATCAAATCTGGCGAGAACAGATCTCGGTCAAGATGCCTCGGCTCAACCAACCTCCTTACTCGCAAGCATTTCCAGAATGGATCTTTCAGGCCTCTTCCACAGGGCTCCATAGTATTATTAAGCATCATCTATTCTGGATATCATCCCACCGGCCTCAAACATCGTGTTACGAAGGACGAAAAACCACTGGCTCGTCGCTAAATCTTCATGCGAAATAATGGAGAATATGACGCAGAAACCCGCTCACACCGCCTTCTTCCCCTTTATGCATGACTCGGCAGTCGGCAATTCAACAGTCCGTATTCACCGGAGGGCTCGCCCTATAGAAGGGCTGCTCCCCCGACGGCCCGACGCCTTTCATTGAGGTACACACCGATGACCCAGTTCCATCTGCAGCCCGCACTATCACCAACACAGTCAACAATCTTCACAATGGTTTTCGCCAAGATCTACACTTACCCTGGAAACTACCGGGTGCAGCGCGTAAGTAAATCAACTCTATGGCAACATTAACAACTAACACTTCACCTAGGCCAAGGTCGCTGCTGAGCTCAATGGCCTCGAGGTCGTTGACGTTGAGAGCTTCAAGATGGGCGTGACCAACAGGGAGCCCGAGTTCCTCGCCAAGTTCCCCCAGGGCAAGGTCCCCGCCCTCGAGACCCCTGACGGCTTCTGCCTCGCCGAGAACATCGCCATCTGCCGGTTCATCGCTGAGAGCGGTCCCGCCGCCGACCAGCTCAACGGCGCCGACATCCGCACCAAGGCCAAGATCAACGAGTGGGTTGCCTTTTGCGAGGCCCACATTGCTGTCCCCATGAACTTTGTCGCTGGCGTCACTGTTTACAAGTATATTCCCCAAGAGGAGGGTACTTTCGGCTTGATGGTCTCTCAGTTTGAGAAGGGAGTCCAGCGGGTGGAGACTGCTCTTGCTGGCGGCAAGGAGTACCTCGTCGGTGAGCAGGTCACTCTCGCTGATATCATGGTTTTCGGTGCTTTGTCCTTCTCTCTCAGCTTCCTGTTTGACGAGGAAAAGCGAAGCAAGGTGCCCGAGACTGTCCGATACCTCAAGGCGCTTTCCGAGCAGCCTGCTTTCAAGAACGCCTTTGGCGAGCTGAAGATTTGAGACCAGCCATTGTTATCGATATAGCAGCTCCTACTCTGATAAAAAGAGCGTCACAATAAAAAGCGTTGTTTAGCATTCTACAAGCATAGAACCAGATATCTCGTAGTATCGTGAAGTGAATGATCGTGACGTCTAAAGAAATGATGCACGTAGAAAGGTCTAACAACTGATCTTGCTCAATTTGAATAAACTCATCATGGCCATGATGTAATGAACGACAATAAAGGTTGATCCTAGGAGTCCTCCTTCCTCATTCAAAGATCCCATCAAATGAAGAAGTCCGAAGCCCTAGATGGCGATAATCCAGGAGTATGCTGATATTCTCCTCCATTCTCTACACCTACGGCTCCCTCACTAGAGAACATGGGGCTCACGGTTCTCCCTTGCCCTAGGTACCAGCTTAAGAAATCAGCTCGCACTTTGTCTTGTCCTCGCCACAGATATACTATATAGTGTTAGCAACCGTACTAACCAACCCAGAACGAAGTTAGAAACTTACCGAAAAAATGGACTCGGGGCAGCTGTAAAGGTGGCATGGTCCTGTGATGCACTCTGGACACTCAATCTCGATCTGAAGTGTGGCATCGGCGCAGATACTCTCCTCACAGGCATTGGCAGTAGCGGCAGCCAGGGTAAAGATAATAGCGTTGATGAACTTCATTGTGATTTCAGAGGGGGCAAAGACGTAGAATGGGGATGTTTTCAAGGGGGCTTGTCAGGCTTGTTTGTGCAGATGAGAGCAGAATAGCTAGGGGGAGTAAAGCTGTTAAATAGATTTTCCCTTGAGCTAGACAGCCAGAATCTCCCTTCTTCTGATCCGAGATCACTGACATGAAAACACTTGCTCAACTCCATCAAATCATTGCCCCCACTACCCCGGCTGATGCCGATCACAACTCTTCATGTAAGCTTACCTCCCTCAAACAGACATATATCTCCAGAGTCCACTACAGCGCGGCAACTGACCCATCTCAGCTCATGTGCGCCCGCCATTACGCTGCGTAGAATCTTATCCATGGTAAGGATTAAAAGTAACTCCCCCATTCTGCCGAAAGATAGGCTGGGTCAATGTTGTAAAAGCTTTATCTTATCATGCACAACCACTGCGGAAATGCTGGTACTACACCCTATTTCATATTTTCATTGGCCAAGTCCCTTTTCTCATCTTGGTGACCATTCACCTCGTCATTTGGCAGATAATGGACATCCTATCTCGCCCTTCCCTCGCATTACGTGGACCGGTCTTGGCGGTCCTGTCCTGTGAATGATCAACATCTAGTTCCGCAACAAACTGAACCCTGGAGATCATGATTGGATACAATTCCCCGAAGATGGCCCCGAGTACTCATGTAAGATGACGATCAGCTATCTTGTCACTGTAAGAAAAGAGCTCTTCACAGGGATGAGGACCTAAATCCAATCTCTCACGCTCGTCGTTGGCCATCATCACTACTCTATAAAAAGAAATGAGTGAAATAACAACATAATACTGGGGTAGCACAACATCCTTTTGTATCCCGTGTCCGAGCTTGGCCCGAGACAGTGCAAGCCATAAGCTGACGACTTTCCCAATTCTTCTCTACCAGCCGCCTCAACAGAACCTTAGGTGGAGTTCGCGGCGCCAACTTTGATCTGTGGAATGGAAATTTGGAAAATCACTGCGCTGTGTGTTTCTTTTTGACTAATACCCTACTTCAGTGTGACTGTGCTAAGCTCGGGACTAAATTCCATGAAATCTTTGCCCTCCACGGCCAACCTGCTCACTGTAATGACGGTCTGTCGCTTGTAGACTGCCGATCCTTCCTCTCCGCGGAGAATCACCAGAAACACCTGCTGGTTTTGCAGCCCATTTCGCAAAGTTTCCTTCTTTACCCTTGCCGCGACCAAACACGTGTACCTCCCTGTTGGAATGGTGTTGTTGTGCTTAAAGTTTCGCTCCGTTATACATCCAACTGCCGTGTCACTCCCAGGTACCACAAGCTCGCTAAAAGGTTCGGTTCGAATGTCAAGTGTCACCACCCAGCCCTCAAGAGTCACTTCCTTGCCATTCACTCCAATCATTCGTGGGACCAGGTCGACTTGGGCAGTCTCCTCCGCGATTAGACCAACCGGATAATGCACGCTTCCACCCCAACCTGCCCAACTCCAGCTTGGGAAATTTGCTCGCCGCTTCGGCTTGACAGTGAAATCGTGTATCCAAGCAAGTGACTGGGGAAATTGCTTCAGTGGCATGCCCCACTCAAAGCCTTTCGGGTAAGCTGCCAAGCCGAACCGCGTAAGGGCGCCTTGGAAAGCGCTCAGAGAGTCGTCATCGTTGGTCAGAGATCGAGGTGTGTAACTGGAAAGGATTGACTCAAAGATGGAATCAGCCCTGTCGAGAAAATCGGTATTATCGACCTACATATATCATTAGTTCCACCAGGCTTAAAGCATCTGATCTTTACTTACCTCCACATATCCGGCCTTGACCTTCCCACCTGATATGTGCGTCCATGTAAGATCAGGCACTGAATCACATGCTTCAGAGTGAAAGCTGCAGCCCAGTGTTTCATTACACTGCAACTGATACTGCGTCTCTGTGAGAAACAACTTTCGGGTAGAAAGTGCATCTTCCTGCCAAGTCCATGCGCGACTCTGCCAAACAGAGTTCTTGACCTCCGCCATGATCTGAGGCGGAACAGTCAAAATGGTGTGTCCATCAATGACTTCCTCCGTAGAAGGTACGCGGGGGCGCGATACACCGGGAATGCCATAGTCAGACCGTGGACCAGCAACGGCAAAAATTGTGATGCTTGCGCAGTAATAGATGAGATGCATCAGTCCGAGTTGCTTGGCCTTTTCAGCAGCTTGTTCGGGCGTCGGATTAAGAGTTTGATCTATGCAAAGAGCGTCAACCTGCAACGGTTAGCGAGCAAAGAGATGAGGAGCGGGAATCTCATACCCATAGATATTGCTTTCCCAATCCCTTTGTCAAAGTGATGGCATCTTCGATCGTTTGAGGAAGCGTTCCTGCTTCCAAAGCGCCATCTTGAGGGTGCACGCCACCCCATACGTAGCTCAGGGCTAAATAGTCGCATTGGTCCGGACAGTTGACCACCTTTCGAGTCGAGACATCGATCATGCGTGTAGCAAGCAGACCCTTGTCAAACTTGGCTTGACATGCCTCGGGATGATTCTTTTGGCAATGTTCCAAGCCCTTTTGAATGTGATCAAAGTCAATCATCCCATTGATCTTCCTCGCAGTATAAGTCTCTTCAGCCGGCATATGTTCAATGGGCGCCAGAGCGATGGCTTCCCCCGTCATCATCGCGGTTCTGAGATTTTGGCCGCTGGTGAAAAAGCTGCGTCCGGAAGGTCCCGCAACTTCCGGAGACAAGAGCCCCAGCCACACGGCGAACTTATCTCTCCTGCTCTCCGGAACAGTCTCCCAGTGGTCTTGTCGAATATACCACCGAAACGGCGTAAGACTGAGAACCTCCATATCGTGGTCCGGTGGTGGTCGAGGGATGAGACGATAGATAAGTCGACATAGCGGACAGGTTGGAGTGACGACAAACGCCGAGAGAAGGCCCAATCGCAGCCTGTACCTTTCTTGAATCTCAAAGTACCCGGTATGTTTATCTCCGTGAAGGTCAGCTCGTTGCCTCTGGTCCAGTGGCCTCGCTTCGTTGAAGGCTCTCAGGATGTCAAAGTCGGAGCAGCGCTTGCAGAGCGAGCTAGGGCTCTGCCGAAGTTTCTCTAAAAGATCTTCATCTTTCCTGGTCCATGGAAGGGTCTTTTCCAGAGGACGAGTAGCGAAGGTCGTGATCGACTGCTCGTTCTTAAGCGAGGGACATGGCTGATCCTTGGGCTCTAGACATCGACAAAAGATGCAAAGTCTCGAGTTTGAGAGGTCCATTCTAGTCTGTCACAGTCAATAGCCCGTGTTCAATGCAATATTCAAACAAGTCTCGTGCTTTGCCTCACGCCTGAAGCAACTTGCGTAGTTATATTGGCTCGTCTTCCAGTCAACTTGACACTATCAACTTCAATAAAGTCAAGATAGTGTCGGTCTAATATGCGAACGTACGAGTCTGAGAACGCCATTTACCCCGCAATCCTTCCAAGAAAGCTGACAGCAGAGCGGCTGTGCTTCATATCTAATTGGGCAGTTTGAGGCTGGGCAGCTGACGATTCCCTGCAACTTGCAGGTAGACAAGATGGCCCATTTATGCTAAGCGTGATAGTGCATTAAAAGAAAAACGAGTCGACATCTCTGGCCTGAAAAAAGTCTTCCCTTACAACATCAATAATCGTCATGACCTCACGCAGAAGGCTACGCCGCCGCATGGGCTGCCCCAACTGTGGAGATTTCGACTGGGGCCAGCTTCAGAGCAGCCCATTCGACGTTTTCTTCAGTTACCCCGACAAAATAGCGCAAACAGCTTCAGAAGGCTGTGCTACATGTGGCATCCTGCTAAGGGTATTGCAGCATTGCTACCCTTATGTATTTGAGAATCCCGAAGAGTACAGGCTCGCTTTTCATGGGTTTGAAGGACCGATGCGCTGGGACCTGTTCCATCCTGGAGAGGATATCCGAGCCGTTTCCAGAACGAATAGGTTCATTGAACTATTCTCTCGTCGAGGTAACACATATTCTACTATATGACGAGAATGAGAAGTTGACTTGGTTCATAGATGATTATTGTCCCTGGGATGAAGTTGGAGCTGCCGATCACTTCAAGTTCGACCTCGAAAGTGCCATCCAGCAAGCCCACATATGGCTAAACAGCTGTCGCAACAACCACCCTAAATGTGCTGTTCAGTATGCTGGAACTCTCCCATCACGAGTCGTTCGAATCATGTCTCACAGCAACACCGCCGATCCTCTCAGTCCCCCAAAGATTAAACTCCATGAAACAGCCAACGGAGAAACGGGACAATACATCACCCTGAGTCACTGCTGGGGCAAGAATCCCATCATCACAACAAAGACCACCAACATTGATGATTACAAGAACGAAATTCCTTGGGCTGAACTATCCAAGACGTTCCAAGAGGCCATCATCTTTGCCGGTCTAATGGGTGTCGAAAGCATCTGGATTGACTCCTTGTGTATCATTCAGAACAGTGCCGAAGATTGGTCGGCTGAAGCTGTCAAGATGGCTTCATACTATTGCAACAGCGAGTTCACTATCGCTGCGACAGCCTCAAGCGATGGGGCTGGAGGTTTATACCATGCGACCCCTCTCGTTGAAACTGCTATCGAAATCGATGGATTTGATCCCAAAACTCAGACCGAGTTTCATGTGGGGGCACGCAGACCCCTCGCCCATCTTCACGACGCCTTGGAGGATCGCACCAAAATCGTGGACCGGTTTCCGCTCTTGTCAAGAGGTTGGGTCTACCAGGAACGAATACTATCCCGACGATTCCTCCACTTCGGACCAAGAGAGGTTCACTGGGAATGCCATGAAGAAGTTAATTGCCAATGCGGCGGCGGCAAAGCTGCCCTCAAGATGAACCCCTCAGGAGCCGAGACTTCAAACCAAGCTCTCGCCATCACCGAAGGAAAACTCTTGGTCGACAAGATCATGTTTCTCTGGCTTGAGCAGATCGAGAACTTGACCAGTCTGAGTTTTACTCACATCAGTGATCAGCTTCCAGCTCTCTCCGGAATTGCAACCTTGATGAGACAGTCTCAGCAACCTGGGAGATATCTTGCTGGTCTATGGGAGGGAGAGCTGCTCTTTTGGCTCTGCTGGGCCACTCAAGACTTTGGGCAACCCAGGACATTGAAAGACACGCCTTCGTGGTCTTGGGCATCTATTCAGGGCAAGGTATCCTATTCCTTCATCGAAGCGTACTTTATGAAAGGTCCTTGGGGTTGGGCCGGTCACGAGAACATGCTGTTTGTGAATGAAGCTCAAGTCAGGATGAAGCAATGCGTTCCGAGCAATCCATCTCTTTCTGGCAAGCTCGAAGAGGCAGTGCTGGAGTTCTGTGGGCCAGTTGCTCCTATTACTCTGCATTGTAGGGAGGGTCAGGATCCTAACGAGGAGGTTTTCGGTTTCTCCCTCGATCCGCAAAACGCTACATCTTCCGGCCACTCAACACCAGACATTTGTTATCCCTTTCAGTGGGACATCACTAGCAGAGACCATCTGAACAATTTGGATGGTAAAACGGCTCTACTGCTACACTTACTCAGTTACGAGAAGCTGGAATCAGCTTATGAAGGCCCAGATTGGATGCGCTCGTTCCTCATAGTCAGACCCGTGGATGGGGCGGAAACGAAGTATGAACGAGTGGGCATTATGTGTACAGACGTGACAGGAGGGTTTCTACCAAGTACGGCCTGGATCGCCTTGGGGGAAAAGCAAAAGTCGGGACATGTCGCAGTTCGCGATGAGTTTCTGAAACAATTCAGAAAACTATCTTCTCATCGGACAGTAGACATCATCTAAGGAAGGCCAATTGAGAACTAGGGCTGGGGTTTTCAATACAGGCTCAGATTCAACGTGATTAAAACACACTTTATTGTTCAATGTTCAGCACAACTCATGGCTAGCATGGTCGTACCGCTGACTAGCATAGATACCAAGCAACTGAAAGAGGTCGCTCCAGATCTAGTAGAGCGAACACGACTAAAACGTTCTAAAGTCGAGCTCCTTCTCGTGGTCCTTACCCAGCACCGCGTCGTCGCTGGCCAATCCAGCAGGCTTCTTTTCCGTGGGGGCGTACTGCAGCGTATAATTGGCGTACTTGGGCGGCAGATCCTTCTTGCTCGTTGACTTTCCAACATACTTGCCCGTTCCCCTGAGGACTGAGATGACAGTGTCGGGGAAGTCGCTGGCCGGTCTCTCAGGTCCACCGCCGATCGGGACAAATCGCCAATGCAAGTGGTTCTCGAGATACTTAACAACATCATGTCCTCTCACAGTATCGAGATGCTGGAAATCCTTGTTCAGAGCCTGAGTGATAAGTGGGATCGTGAGAGCCACCTGACCCCTCGAGAGCACTCTTGTTGTCCCTCTGAGAACCGCAGTTGGCACAACCTCCGGGCTTGATGTCAGACGAGGGAGACATGCCAGCAAGGCAGTAAATACTACCGACCAAGTTTTCCGCATCGTGGAACGCACTCTCTCGATCTCCATGCCGACCACCGAGCCAGAACTCAATGATGTACGAAGAGCCGTTGAGAGCGTAGCGGTCGTAGATGACGTTGATGATATAGTCGTTCCATTGGTGGACCTTGGTATTGTGAGGCCCGAAAAACTCTTCATTCGGAATCTTCTCATCTTCGTAAAGCTTTCTGTAGTACTCGCCGGTGCTGGTGTAAGTGCTGTTGATCTTGGCTAGCAACTCAGCCGTGTAGACCTCCTCGTTGAGGGCCCCGTTCTCGTCGAGGGCGATTGGGGCCGGAGTCAGGATGTCGTATGTATAGCCGAGCTTTGTCCAGTCACGAACTCCCTCAGACGTCCAGAACCCTTTGTCGGGCTGTTCATCAGGCTTGTCGGTCTTGACATTGTGGAAGGGAAGAAGAGGATCACAGGGCGTAGGATCCGGGAGATTCTTCATCGGCCTCCCCATCCTGTCTTTCATGTCTGGAGCTGGTGGTTCCTCAGTGTCCCACCACTTGTTCCAGTTCAAAGCTTGCCACATGGACAACAGTCGGTCGATGTTGCTATAACCAGGTCAGAAAAGGCGATGCATGTTGATTTGACGACTTACCAATGATGGAGCCAGAAGATGGGGTCAAACGCGGCAACTGGCACGTCCGACATGTGGCCAAGACCGTACTCCTTGAGATCACCGCCGCCAGTCACATTCTTCAAAAGTCAGTATTACGAGTAACAGTCGCATAGTCAATGCGGTACTTACATGGACATTGTTGTGGATGTACTCCAGAGATAGATACCCAGTCGTGAACGTCCGAGCACTCTCTGCCCACCACTTGGTGCTAGAAAAGCTCCCCCAAGTGTCATTGTACTCGTCCGAGAATAAGCGGTTGATGGAATCGGCAAGAGTTCCAGGAGGCTTGGACTTGAACTTGGCTACCTTGTCGGGGTCATCACTCCTGTAGGGATTGTACCAGTTCGTCGTGTCCGACATGGCGTTGATGGTGAGGTTTGCCGTGTTGTAGTTGTTGACACCAGCAAGGCCTCTGTAGCCTCCTTTGTCGTCATTGAAAACTCCGTAGCGGCTTGTGCCACTGCATTTGTTCCACTACATTACTTATTTAGCAGTGCTATCAAACAAACATTGACGGGGAAAACTTACAGGCAACGGGGGACTATCTGGCTCGGTGGCATTTTCGTTGATGTTCCACTTCTCCTTACCTGGAGGCATCTCTCCAAATGGAAGAGAATTCCCCTTGGCATCCTTCTCAGGGTTGACGAAGCTTACCAAAGGGTTCGGACGTGCCGTGTCACCACTGGGAGGGTAGATTGGGACGTGATCCAGGATGCAAGCATACGGGAGACTGAACGAGTTCTCGTAGCCTTCGTAGGTCTGTCTCTGAGCCCAATCCCAGTATGGAAGTCTCCAAGAGTTGGCCGCGGCCATCCACTCTTTCTCTTGCTCTCCAACGAGCTTCCAGTCCTCTGTGATGATCTTCTTCATGTTTTCCCAGATGATTTGCTGGGCCAATGATTAGCAAATGAACGGATCTTCAGGATGACGACTACGAACCTCATAGAGCAGCATGTAGGGCCTATGCCAGGTAGGGAACGCAATGGTGTTGTGATGGCAGTATCCGCCGTACGGATTCGCACCATCGGGCTGCGACTCGGGGGGATCCCAGACAGGGTCCTTTGGCGGATCAGGAGCTCCGTCCCAAGAAGTCTCGGGGTAGCCATGAATACCGGCGACCTGGAAGTACGACTCCCGTTCATTCACAGGCAGCTTCTTGAACTTTTCCAAGCCCAAGATGAACAGCGTCCATTGCTTCCTGATGACAGGGTCTTCAGAGGGGAAGAGCTCGTTGATCTCACGACGGATGGGCGTGCCAGGGGCATAGGGGATGTGCTTGGTCTTGGTCTCGACATTCTTGACCGGAATGCCGGTGATGGGGTAGGTCTCGTGCACCTCAGACTCCGCCATGTTGATCAGAGTTCAAGTTGCGAGATGGGAAAAGTGATGGGAGATGTTATCTGGATTTGTCTCTATAGAGGTCGAACAGGTGCCTTTACACCGTTCTAGACCAGTACGATACCTAACGCGCGGCTCCGAGATTCGGCTTCTTCTTCTGAATGGATCGCTATGGCCTCAAAGACCAAGACCGGGATCCAAGACAATCAACACCACACCATAGCCACTCGTAAAGGCCATATCGTGACCGATGTGGGAAACATTGGCGAATTGGGCCAAATGTTTCACATTTTACAAGTCTAGTAGCTCGCCAGCCAGCCACCATTGGAACTAGAGCCGCTCTAGATCCAACCCCGCTCAGCGGAATTGACAGACTAGCAGGCTGCGCATTTTCAGCTTCTGTTTCTAGCCCTGATAGCAATGGAGGTCAGGCCCGTTCTAGAACTGGCTGACGAATGCCGCTGTCGCGTAACCGCCACCACATGGTTTCCTCAGCGGATAGTCCCACCTGAATCTAGACGAACTACTGCACGGCCCGTCCCTTTGACCCCGGTTCCGCTGGGGCTGGTTCGCCCCGTGGCTCACCTGAGATGATATAATTGGATAGGTGGCTTCGGTGCGTGCACGCTTTAGGGAAAGCGATGGGGGCCAAGAGCAATAGTTCGTCGTCACGTCGCGTCCAGCCGTGATATCACAATTCGCCTTCTTCATTTTGTGATAATCAGATAGCTGCTTTCTTTTCCCGCAGGTCAGCCACGCGACATCTGGCTACGGATATACGGATACTCGACTGATTTATTTGCCATGAATATATCCGTCTACCTGAGTCTAGCCTCCCACAGCCACACTGGCAAGGAAAAACGTCTTTTAATGAAAGACTGAGGTTCTAGCCCGCCTCATCATCCTCCCAACCATTCCCTGATGGCAATTTGGCTTGTAGCTGTTGAGCAAAATCTTCCAACTCACCAGGCAGATCAGGGTAGTGGCCTATAGCTCTGGACACATCCCTCAGGAAGTCTACGGCCTCTGTGAGCCGTGATAACAAGTCTGGATATAGACTGCTGTCCATTTCATCAAAGATTTCCCTGATCACCCTATAAGCTTTGGTGCATCTTACATCCATCAGACGAGCCTCATGATTATTGGCCTGGATGAAGCAGTCCAAGTTGGAAAACTTCCCACCATGCGTCCTAAATGCGCGCCGTGATACTAAAAAGCCCCATGAAGTAGGTAGGTAAAAAGCTTTTTCTTAATATCTACTAATACTAGCTCTACTAGGATAGGCTGATCAGAACTGCTGATGAAGCAGGCACACTGATCTTCAATAACCCCTGCTTGATGGAGATTTCGTTATGTGCCTCAGTTGTTGATAACTTAACGGGCCTCCCTCGGGAACTCTCATAGGCAAACGTGGTGCCCCCAAAAGTAATGTTTTTTGAGGAGTCGCTCCCTGGTCCTTCAAGCCTCTCTACCGTAGCTTCTCGAAGCGACCTTGCGAGACGAAATGGGTACGGCCTATCGTCCGGACGATGTGTCGCGCCGGCCTGAACCTCCTTGAAGTTGATAACAACGATGCGTTTCAAGGCTCCGTTAGCATAGATCGTATACGCACTATGCAAGTCCTCTTTCAAGTGTAGAGGGAGGATCGAGACCTTTTTCTCTTTGCCGATGGTCTTTGAGACCAAGACCATGCCGTAATAAGGTGGTCGAGTAGCTGGCACAAGTCCATCTCGAGTGTTGGGGTCCCAGGCGCCATAACGGTATTTATATCCTTGGTGGAAGGATACACGTTTGATGTTCTAGTAGCTGATTAATCCGCATTCAAGGGTAAAACGTGGTCAAGTCGTACCTGAGAAGCCGTCCAAAGCGCAGCACCTAAGCCGTCAGTCACACCACTAACCCCTTGGCCCGAAATGCTGTTACTTTCATCATGTGTTGAAAATCTGTTCTTTATTATATTTGCAGCCCGGTCCTCGATGGGCTAACTGAGCCCAAAGATCGTTGAGGTCATCGTGTCTGAATCGAGCACAACGGCCCTCATGTGACAACAGGACCCTAATTAACCAACAACATGAAACTCTACAATTATGTTACTTTCTAATCCGTCTTTGTCCCTGCCTTGTCTGTTTTTGACCACCATTTCGTGTAGACATCAGCAGGAGTAAACTGCCTATTGACTGGCTGTATTCCAAGCGCCCACCCTCCCCATGATGCTAGAAACAACACAACGTGAGATACCAGCCAGTCCAAACCCCGTAGCCAGGATAGGAGAGTGTCGTTAGATGCGTTGGCAAAGTTTGGCACATTTAAAAAAACGGGGATATTGTCGAGATGCTTGAAAATGACAAAGAGGTTGAGAGTGATCCAAAAGTCAAGGGCCAGGCCCTGAACCCTGCGAGGTAGCCGTGAGATAAAAGATGAAGGGTCATTCAACAGCTTTGGGGCATTCAGGATGACTCCGTTGAGATTCCAAAAGAAGATGGCCTTTTCATTATCGTCAGGCTCTGTCCTCTCAATTACCACCACTTCTCCATCAGGGCCTGCGCGCTGCCACTCGTGCCACACATAGCGTGCAACCTTGATCTCAGGCTGCCCATTTTCGGTTGCGCTGATGTATTGTATCGAACTCCCGAGCTGTACGCGAATTGTACCCTTGATTACCTTGAGGTACTCGTCGTGGGTTTCGTGCCAATGCAGGCCGCTTGACCACGTCGAAGACTCTGGGAGCGTGATCTTTACTTGCCCGGTCGTTGATAGATCGTAAGTGACTGCATTTGGAAGGGGCCGCTTAATTACGGTTGGGATTTTATCATCGGCCATTGTCATGTTGTCTTGGTCTCAAGATAAGAGGAATGAATGCCAACGACAACTTTATACCTAGCTTCCCCGCGCTTGAAGTTTGGGGGATTTATAAGCTGACCGACTAAGGCGATGACAAAGCTTCAAGCTGAGGATAAGCCGATCGATTATCATCATGACACGTATGCCAACTCATCAGTAGGGCATATTGAGGCTAAACTCAAACGATAGGTGACCCGATACGGATCGTACTATTTACACTCGAATCTCTGAACCTTGGGCTCAGAGGTCATACAACCACTCAGAACCTCTTACCCTGCTTTGACGAGGAAAGGCAATGCTTCGGACAAGCTTGACTTCCCTGTTGAACTCTTCGAACCTGGTTCCCGATGCAATACTCTCTTCCACATTTTAAAGTGCCTCTATTTCTAGGCTACGCATTTAACGAATCGTTTCTCAAACGCAGATAAGTGTGGACATGATGGGATCTGGGATAGAGGGCTCGCCGTATAATATAAAAACCGCAAGCTCAGTAAAGACCGCAAACCCTCAGCTATTTGGTTGTGATTCTGCCTCGTTTCTCATGTTCCGACACCAATGCATGCACCGGAGCTGAACTCAGCCCCAACTGTTTACGCCCAGTTACTCATACCAAATTGAAATCGCCCGTGTTCCCCGTATATAGGCTGCAAATCCTTTAGAAGTCGGGCATATTATACAATTCGTCTGGGTCTGCAAATCCATTAATACCGAGAAACATGGAAGAAATGTGTGTAAAACTCACCGGTGCCCTCATCTCTAATATACGCCTTGACTTCTTCAACTCTTGTATCAATCTTCTCCAACATGCCGTCTAGTTTCTTCTTGACCTCGTCCTTGTACTTGGCGGCACCTCCCAGCGCTCGCTTCGCCACATCGAACCTGCTCACCCCGTTAACCAACATCATGTCGAACGGCGTCGTCGTGGTTCCCTCTTCTTTGTATCCTTCAACTGTCATGCGGTGCAAACCAGGACGACCGAAGATGAGGCCCTGGAGCTCCGCAGCGTAGCCGTGATAGTTGAAACACACGGCCTTGTCCTCGGTGAACATGTCTAGAAACTCGACTCGGCTGAGCGCGTGTGGGTGGCGAGATTCAGAAGCAAGCACCATGAGATCCGTTACGTTGATAACACGGACTCGTAGGTCTGGAAGTAGCTGTCGGAGCATTTCGGCGGCCTTGACAACCTCAAAGGTCACCTCGACACCTACCCCAACAAGCACAACGTCAGGGTCCTTTCCACCGTCAGTAGATGCAAACTTCCAGACTCCTGCACCCTTTCTGCAATGCTCCGCAGCGTCATCAGGCGAAAGATAGACAGCGGTCGGCTGCTTGGAGCCGATCATGAGGTTGACATAGTTCTTGGACCCCAGGCAGTGATGGATGGTACTGAGGAAGCAGTTGGCGTCGGGAGGTAGATATACCCGCGCGGCCTCGGCCTTGAGATTCAGCACGGCTCCGATGAAGGATGGGTTCTGATGCGAGAAGCCGTTGTGCTCCTGTCGGGCCCAGGTGCTAGACTCAATATAGTTGATGGAGCTGAGGGGGCCTCTCCATTCCACCTCGCGTGCAACCTTGTTGAACTTGGAATACTGGACCATCATGGTGTGGATGATGCCCAGGAAAGACTCATAGCTGGGGAATAGCGCAGTCCGACCCGTGAGAGTGTACCCCTGCTGAGAGTTAGCTTTCATCTGGTCGCCCGACGTGCAATGGCTCTCCTTACCTGCATCCATCCCTGGCAGCAATGCTCAGAGAGGATTTCAATGACCCTACCACCTTGAGCCCGTGAGTACTCGTCCCATTGGAAGTTTCGGCCTGTATGCTCGAGAACTGCACTGAGCTTATTGCTCTCCAGCTCATCGGGGGAGAAAATACGGAAGCTCTTGGGGTTCTCGGTGATGACCTTGTCCAGGAACTTGCCCGTCTGCTCCATGCAGCTTCTCTGCCGAGAGGCTTCCACAGAAAAGGGCTTCCAATCAGGGAGTTTGAGGGCCTTGTACGGGTCGTACGTCTGCTTAAGCTGCCCAAGCCTCTTTTCATCCTTCCGGGGCATGATCTCCAAGATGCTCTCGGTAGGTTTCCCGCCCTTGAGCAACCGACCTGCGTCATAGGTCTGGAGCCAGTCCTGCAAAATCTTTAGGTGCTTCTCATCCTTGTTGGCGTTGGGAATGGGGATCTGGTGAGCGTGGAATGAGCCTTCAATGATGTCATTATCAACCTTCTTGGGGCCCGTCCAGCCCTTGGGGGTTCGAAGGATAATCATGGGCCATCGCGGTTTCGCAATCGGCTTGCCCTCTCTCGCAGCTCTCTGAATGCTCTTGATCTCGCTAATGGCCCATTCTAAAGCGCTCCCAAGTTCGACGTCGATCTCATCCAAAGTCTCAACGATGGCCGGCTGATATCCGTAGCCAGAGAACAAGCTGACAAGTTCCTTGTTGTCCATGCAGCCAAAGATGGTGCGCTCACTGATTTTGAATCCATTGGCATGGAGGATGGGGATGACGGCTCCAGACTCTGCGGGATCTATATACTTGATGGAATGCCAGGCGCTGTGAGCAGATTAGCAATTTGATCTTCTGTCTTGGATAGCTGAACTTGCGCTGCGGTTGGGCCGCTCTCAGCCTCACCGTCGCCAATAACACATGTAACAATGAGGTCAGGGTTGTCCATGACTGCACCGAACGACACTGCTAGGGCATAGCCAAGCTCACCACCCTCGTGGATGGATCCCGGGGTTTCAGAGTTGATATGACTGATGGCTACATTAGCAAGACATGTTGTCCTGAAAAATTATTGTCTCACCTGGGAAAACCTCCAGGAACAGAGAAGCCTGTGATGAGGTTTCGTAGACCATCTTTGTTAACACCATACTTCTGAGGAAAGAATCGCTCCAAGGAGCCCTCAAGCCATAGGGATGCCAGAGCGGCTGGAGCGCCGTGGCCGGGCCCAATAACATAAATCATGTCCAAGTCATGATTACGGATTAATAAATTGAGATGAGACCATACGAGGATGAGGCCAGGACATGTTCCCCAGTGACCTATGGTGGTTAGCCAAGCGTGGTTGAGTGTAGAGGTAGTGAACTACGCACCCAACAGCCGGGGCTTGATATCTTCTAATCGCAAGTCTCTCTCGAGTAAGATATTGTCCCTTAGGAATATCATGGCTATTTCATGGGGGTCAGCCAGTTTCTTCCATTCAAGGGTGGCTCACCATACACCCAGCAAGATAGCATGCTGCTTGTTGAAAGTCTTTCAGGGACTGCGCAACACTCTTGTCCAGGACCTTCTTTGGCGGCCTCGCCGCAAGGTTCAGGGTCTCATATGGCAACCGACTCTCGAGCGGCGCCGGGTTGGGTCTGTCAATGACTTCGCCGGGCATCTTGTTCGAAGCTCAAGTTTATAGGTATTGCGGTATCGCAAGGGAAGTGAGACGAGGTACACCGAGCCAAAACAGAGGAAAAGAGTGTGTGTCTGAGGATCTACAAGTTGAAAAAAATATCAAGGGTTGAATAGGTCCGGCTAGGCCGACATGATTATGACGACAAACCAAGCATGAAATGATGTTGTACTAATGACGTCGATGACGTCGCTTTGACAAACGCCCTACGTAACAAAATATCTTGACAATCAAAACCGTACTACAGCGAATGAACAAAACACCAGTAAAAGAGATGAGGATTTAAAAAAAAAAAAAAAAAAAAAAACTACCTCGTTCTCCGTGACTTTCTCCAAGATCAGTGCTTCGAGATGACAATGTTACTCGGGGCGGGAGGCGTTGAACACACCGGCTTCTGGAAGCTTCATGGATATCGGCTACTAAGCAGCGAAACAAGGCTCCCGCAATAGCTTGAACTATAGCTGTCACTGAAAATTTGAGATTCCACATCAAGACATTGCAAACGGGCCCCGGCCGATTCGTCAGCCCCCAGAAAAGACGGCGCGGTGATGAGGTCGTAATGTAGTATGGATAAACCACTCCCTGGATTTTATGGTCATTCCCTCCTATCCCACGGTATTCTACGACACTTGAAGTATCTGTATTGCGCAGTATGCAAGGGGTCCTCGCCGCGAGCGATTGTGATTTAGTAGGAAATTGAGGGGTTTGGTTGAGCGTCACGATCATGATAGGCAGCTGACTGGGGCAATGCATTTGCAACTCAGCTTTCGGATATTACGCAATAAGAGAGCATTTCATCAATTAGTTTTGCGATAGCTGAAGCTAATCACTGAACAGGAATGAGGTCATAAGCCACATGGTCGACGATGCTCCATTGATGTTCTGAATAGCCTCAAAAACTCGCTCTCGCCTCCCACGATTTTAGCCCCCAAGAAGAGTAGAAAAGCCGCAAGAAAAACACAAGTTGATGTTACAGACATCTCTTCTGGAATCTTTACAAAATTACGCATAGACAACAAGCACACGCAACCATGGCCGCCTCATCACCTTCTGGATTCCCAAAAGCAAGCCGCATCCTATCCCACACTCTCAGATATGACACAATGGCCACAAGCTCCCAATGCTCCCCAAAATTTGCTCTCGACCCTATCTCTGCCATGGCAAAACGCGGAGGCTTGTTGCTGCCAACATTGAGAGCTCCCGTCGCTAACACTAGGCTGGGCTCGGCAGGCTGGACCAGTTCCCATCCCGATTCGCCTTTTCGCCACTCAAAATGACCGATTTGGGGTATCGAGAATTGATGCACCGCGGTCTGATCGCCTTGTACGGTGTAGCTGATTCTAAACTCGCAGTAGTCGTGGAGTGTGGCGTTGGCGTATCCTCCATAATGCTTAATCGTAGCCAGGCGTTGACCTTGACCGGAGATGAGATATAAGGTGGCTTCCTCCGCATCCCAGTCCATCGATCCTCTCGAGGAATTGTATTCGCAGGTGATTGATAAAGGTGAAGAGCCACTGTCTCCTCTGATGTTGAACTTGGTTTTTGAATCATCTTGAGGGCGAATTGTGAAGGTGCTTGGGAACACGATGTCATCTTTCTTGGGCATCGTGGATAGAGCCACGGTATCCGAGGCTTCTTCTGATTGACCCATGTTGACTATTCGCTCTGGAAGGTGTTGTTGCAGGTTGCAACAATGGCCGTGTCTTGTATCGATCGCTTGGCGGCTATCCGTCGGATGCGGTCCAGATCTTATAGCTGTTAGATCATGAGACGGTGAAAAAGCCTTAGCTGAAGCAAGGCTGAGTTGAGCTGAAACAAATGCTTCTTTTGATAGGCCGTTGCGACGCCACTTGTTGAAGCGATTTCCTTTTTCGAGCCCACGTGCTCATCCAACAGGTTCTCGCAAGTTGAGCCTGGATGTGCGCATGGTTAAAAAGTCTTGGCACCCCACACCAGCTCGTAATTAATTCTTTGAGTATCAATTAGACTCACACGTGTTGCCAATGGAAATTCTGCCAATTATCCAGTCTAGACAGCTATATAGTTGAATACTTGCATATCCATTTACCCAAGAGCCAATCCCTGCTCCTCGTCGTACACTGAGGCACGCCTGGTGTCTTGGAGCGATCCTCCTTGACTTCAACACCAAGATCAGAACGTAAACTACCCAAAACACCGAGCATATCCGTACCTGGGAATATGGTACATTGTTCACCAATGAATTTGCTAACACGTAAAAGTCCTTTTTCACTGGAAATCGCTGCCATATATGTGGCCAGCCATGGCAACGTTACATGCCCAGACGGAGGTCAGAGCAGTTAAAATACCCGTGAGAGGTTAGACTTTCATGATGATGTAGCTAGGTATGACTCTTCTGCTGCTGCAGAAGTTTAACTAGGCCACTGTGTTAACATCGGGTCATGATGTTATATTGTGTTTAAGATCTGTTCTTTATTATAGTTGCAGCCCGGCCCTTGATGGGTTAACTGAGCCCGAAGATCGTTACATGCCCAGATACACAGCAGATATTCTGCGACATACTGCCAATCACAAACACATAATTCTAGTCCAATCGCTGGCGTTAAACAAAGGCGGGGTCAACGCAGCCTGAATAATAACTGACAGCATGTCTCTCAGCAATCGTACTTTTTCTCCTTCATCATCTGCTTCCAATATGAAAACCCTAGCCCGTCCTCATGTCATCGTCGTCGGCGGTGGCATCGTCGGTGCCTCCATCGCCTGGCACCTGGCTCACGAGACTACCGTGACCATCGTCGCCGAAGACGTTGGGGGCCCAGCTACTGCAGCCTCTTTTGCGTGGCTCAACGCCAGCTCGGCCAACGAAAAGTTCTACTATGAATTCCGCCGTCGTTCCCTAGAGCGATGGAAGCAGATCAGGCTCCAGCTTCCTGACCTCCCAATTTCTTGGACCGGGTCGCTGAACTGGCACAAGTCGCCCGAAGAATTTGAGAAGAAGGAGAAGAATCTCAGCGCCTGGGGCTACGACGTTGTCCACATGCAAAAATCTCAAATCGCCGACCGAGAACCCTTCATCGACACATGTATCCTCCCAGAATGGGGTATCTGCTATCCCGAGGAGGGTGCCATTGAAGCGCACATTGCCGCTCGCCAGCTGATAGCCGACGCAGAAGCTCAAGGCGCCAAGTTGATCAGAACTACAGCAAAGGGGTTTTGCAAGAACAACGGCCGCGTCAGTGGGGTTGTTTTGGCCTCTGGGGAAGAGGTGCAGGGCGATCACGTTGTTGTCGCCGCTGGCTTGGGCAGCGTGTCTCTTCTGGCAAGTGAAGAGCTGGCACTCCCCGTCACCAGTGTACCTGCTTTGCTCGTGAATTCGAAACCTACAGAGGAGAAGCTGGTGAACGAGGTTGTCAACTCCAAGTATTTATACGTGCGTCAAACACTTGATGGTGTCATCCGGGCGGGTTGCGAGTATCCAGGCGATGACCCGGGTGATGATCCGGAGCAAACAGCGCGTGACGTCTTTGCAAAGATTCAGCAGACGTTGGTTGGCGGGAGCAACCTCGAGTTCGATCACTATACTATTGGACACAAGCCGGTCCCCGAGGATGCACTGCCTATCATTGGACCAACCGGCCTTGATGCCCTCAGTGTTGCAGTCATGCACTCTGGGGTGACAAATGCTGCCATAGTTGGAGAACTGCTCAGCAAGCAGGTCTTGACGGGCGAGACTGACCCAGCGCTCGTCAACTTTCGGCTCGACCGGTTTACCAGGTAGACAACGAAGCTACCTTGATTTTGTTCTTCAGCTTGTCATTGCTTTTCTTTTCCGTGTCAGAGCCGGGCTATACAGATTGGTTCCATAGCTCCTCATCTTTAGCAACAGATTTTCGCTTCACGATAGTGGCTCATTGACTTATTTACCTTTCTGTTTCTTTTTCTTCTATTCCAAGTCTAATACTTGGTCTTTTTCCTACGATCTTCGGGCTCAGTTAACCCATCGAGGGCCGGGCTGCAACTATAATAAAGAACAGATTCCCAACACATCATAGCATTATGGCCCAATGCTAGCACAGTGGTGCTTTACTTCTCAGATCAGCGCCTTTGGCTACATCTCCCTCAATTTGCCCAATTACCATCTTCCCCTTGTAGATTCATTCTAGGTTCAAGCTGTCTGTCCTACTCCGGCTCCCCTGCCCATCCATTCTAAATTCTGATCTGGAATCCTTAGAATGCGCTTAAAAGATACAGCCACGATCTCTCGAGTTACGTTGAATTCCCTGCACCTTGGTGGTCGATGCAGACACCAAAGTAAATTTGGATAGACATCAACATACCTCGAACAATCGTCTGCGCTTCTGCCGCCACCCGTTGCACATGACTCTGCCTCTTCCTAGCCGCTGAAACGTCATTGGAGAATGGCATGTCTCACGGAATCCGATGATCTCGATAGTGTCGTTTTCTTGCCCATACCGGCCCTAATATCGCTTTACGCCCACACATATGATCTGTTGCTCACCTGCATCCTGCTCAAGCTCTTCCTCGAGGTCCGGTATGAAAAACCCGACGATGCAGCCACATTCATCTACCAGTATTTCTGTGTGATCTGGCACTGGTGGGTTATATGGCATTTGAACTTTGTTTCCCAGTTCGTCAAACCGCGGTATGGCGATGCCTGGCACAAGAGCATGCCCTAGAATTCCCGCCAGAATCTCTTGTTCTCCGATCGGTTCCATCGGACCCCCCACAATTCTCAAATCCTTCAGCTTGGTTTGCCGAATAAGTTTCCCAGCTGGACCTTCAAAGGAAACACGCCCCGACACGAAAGTTCCTTTGCAATCCTTTGATGGATCCCTCGACTCGCACTGATTACGAATCTTGAAGTCTAGCCTGGTTATCAAAAGCTCGCTAGTTCCTTGTGGTGTCGACATAAAGAATGATATCTCGCCACTAAAAGCAGCCCAGGTCCAGGAAGGCGCGTGGAACTCGTTAGAGGTCCGCAAAGGCCCCTTACTGGCATACCAGAGCAGATTCTCCGCCGCGTCGCGAGGCGAGTGAAACGGAATTCCGGCGTAGATCTTGCACGAGAAATGGGCTTCTAGTCGAGCAGAGATACCACCAACAGCGGCTAACCTGTCCTTGCTAAACGTCAGTTGGCAGCGTTGGTAATCTGAAATAACATGCTCCCAAATGGGAAAAACTGGATAATCGTTTCCTCTCTGCAGCGGAAACAGAGAGATCCTGGCAGCATCTTTGGGATCACCGCCCTCCTCCTCGCCGCTTTCGGTGAAGCAAGACCAGGAGAGCTTTTTCTTGGTGTAATATATCAGTCTCCGAGAGAGGAGCCTTTCCTGCAAGACCCAACCCCTCTTATACCAGTTGGAGCGTGGAACACGTCCCCAAGACGATACAATGCGTGGGCGAATCGTGATGGTGTTTTTGTCCCAAGTGTTCATGGTTGGTAGTTCCCTTAACCATCGCATCTTCCAAACATAGACTGAAGCATTGGTTTTGAATACTCGTTGGGATAGCTTGCTGAGAGGCACTTTCTTGTAGGGAATCGCGAGTTTGACTGAAAGCGGATCGGTGTCCCGTCGTAGAAACAATCCGTGGTCGATTCCGTTGTCGTCCACGGAATCGACAGCAGCAATTGTGCAACCAGCCTCTTCAAAGATAGTTCCCATCCTATGGGACTCCTGCGACCAATCAGACTCGTCGTCTTGGATGATACAGAGCGAGTCGATCCAAAGATAACGGAAACCAAGTTGGCGTGTCACTTCAATAGCGTCCTGAAACGTTGGCGGCATATCATTCACCGGGAGCTCTTGCTGGTATCGGCTGAGGTTTTCACTTTTCAGTTTCGTCGCGATAGCCTTGCTCCAACGATGACTCAGGGCAATGTACTGTCCTAATGCCTTGTTCGATATGAAGAGCCGTGGCTTAGGCCCGTGCTCTTTTAGATCGCCCACGTCGATGACTCTGGTTAGTAACACCGTGGTTTCTTTGGCTGATTTATCTGTCATGGAGTGTGATGAACAGCACCTTTCGTGGCTGGACATGCAGGTAGAGAGCCATTTTCGAAGCATTCTGTAGTTTCTTTTGGATGAGGCCGGTTCAACATCGGTGAGCGGCACAAAGCCATGGGCTCCATACAACGAGTCTACCTATACGTCAGAATGATGAATCTGTTCTAATAAAATAGGAGAAACTCCTTACCTGCTGGAGCTGTAATCTGAATGGTCTCACCATCGTCGAAGTTTCCCTTTCTAACCTCCCAGCTGTTCTCGCGGTCACCATCATATTGGATCGTGCTCCAGTTCAACTCAACCAGTGGTTTTAGCTTTTCAATGACTGGTGATGGCCCGAAAATTATACTTCCTTCCCTGGAAACCGCTGGCAGCTCGGGTAATCTGGGAGCCAAGGAATGATATTGATTGTCCATCTTATACGAGTCAAGGTTGACTGAAAGCTTGCCAGTTGAGCAAACCATCAACCGACATAATGCGCATGTTTCCCCAGATGCGATGGTGTCCCGATATGCCAATGGGTGAGTATAGCCGTCTCGAAGCATGGTAAACGTCAGGGCGCTGCATGTGGCGCAGAGCCGCCGAGGGCGGTGCGCAGTTGCCATTTCGCCAGATCCGCAGCCCAGAGGGTGAGAGCAAGATGCAATTCGGCTTTAACGTTTGGAGTCCGTATATCTACCACGGCACTCTTTGTTAGAGTGCGAGATTGTGGAGAGAGAGAGTTGAAAAACACACCCGGTAAGGTTTGTCGTCTGATCTTAGAAATCCGGACTCCACGTGGATCAATATGACTGGGCTCTGCAAGTCTGGCGTTGTGTCCGCCTTGTTGCCTCTTTATGCACCTCGCCTTGATCTCACTCGTGGTGGAATATGGGCCCACCACAAAAGGAACTGATTTCCGCAGTTGCGTTGCACATAAGTAGGAGGAGTGCTAAAGCCATCAAATGCTGTCGAAAGTAGAGTCGGAGTATGTTGACGAGGGTCGCCAAGTCTCATTAGTGCTTGGATAATCTTATCTTGCAGGTTGGACATGGCGGCGAAGTGTAGAGCGCTAATGGAAGGGGAAATGAAGGGTATTATACACTTAGACTATGCTTTAACTAAAACACTACTGATTCCAGCTTGTAAATAAGGAATGGGTCGAATAGGGACGTTTAAGTACGACCTTAGCTATAATTAATATCCCGTTTCCGGGGAAAATACCCCCGTCGGGCTTAGGTTATTTAAAGACTGCGTGCGTGTTATTAAGTTTCATATATGGCCGAGTGCGGGGTAGACGTTTAAACTCCTTCTATATCGAAGGAACTCTGGGCATTCTTTGCGATCCACCTGAGCAGTATGCAGGATAACGGTCTTCTGTCTCGATATTCTGGTCTAGTTAACCCATCAAGGGCTGGGGTTTAACTATAAGAAAGAACGCATTATCAATGTATCATAGCATTATGGCCCAATGTTAATATAGTGGACGTTTTTTTAGCATTCCATTGCTTGGAGTCGAAGACTTATACCTAGCGGGATTGTGAAAGGCTCCTCGCCTCTCAGGGGTTTTTTGACTGCTCTAAACATAACAACCAACCCATATTGTTCCTTTCTTAGACCTTAAGTACAAGATTTTTCATTATGCCATCCCTCTTGAGTGAATATATGGCATGCACTGCCTGAGAGTAGCATGAAAGGGTTTCCATAATATAAGACAGACAACCTCAGGCGCACGAAGCCCCTATAAATTCCGGGGTTACATATTAAATCTTTGCATGCTCTCTCTTCTACGTTTGATATGTCTTAATTCCTCTCCTGGGATTAGAAGCCCAAGTCTCAATTCTTGATAGATTAAAGTCGCTTGCCGCCGCCTCGTCCATCACGTGATGGTCTCTTTTTTCTCACTTTTGAGCCAATTATGAGATTTTACAACAGAACTCCTTCAAAGTCTCTCTGCCTCGTCTCTATTTCCAAAGACCGTCCCCGAAGAAGATTACACTCAAATTAAGCATGCCTGCCGAAGAAAATGGCCCAGGGGTCTTGCCCAAAGACCTCATGGTCCTCCAACTGGGTCAGATCGATCTCCTGATGGCCATGTACGAGTCAGATAACGCTATTTCGATCGATGCCTCATCCTCAACTCTGCTTGAGACGCTACGAGATTGGTGCGAGAATGACGGGGAGATGCCCAAATTCACTCAGTTAAGCATAAACATGCTTCTCACTCTCGAGATTTCTGAAGAGGGCCAGACAAAATCTCTGCAGCTACATTTGTCCGTCCCCTTGGTGGATCAAGGAGAGGGGACTGCAGATGAGCCACCACCAGTGAAAACAAGGATACAACAACCAGATTGGATGAGCAAGGGCGAGGTCGCCGCCCTGACTGCCGAGATCCCCAAAGAAGACATATTGACCGTCATTGAATACGTCAAAGACGCGGCAGCTCAACACTTGACAGCACAAGCGCAAACAAACCACGATGCACTAAGTACGGACAAGTCCACAGTGCGCGTATGGTTTTATTTCCCTTCAATCAGCACTCGAGCGAAGCGAGATGATCTTGTCAACTACTCTCCCACGTACGGCCTCACCGGGTTCCTTCTCGCTGGGAAGCCTGGTATTCTTTGTCTCGAAGGCGGTTCCCAAGCCATCGATGACTTTATGAAGTTCATCAAGACGGAGAGTTGGGGTGATATTCCAGCACATCACAAAAAGGTCAGCGAGCGCTATCGAGAAGATGGCCCTGATGTGAAGCGAGCGTTTGTTGATATGCAGGAGATTACGGATACCGTTGGGGAAAAGAGAGGGGAGAGGGCGAACCGCAGCGACATGAGAGCTATCGAGGCCTGGCTAAATGAGAAGGGAGTTGGTGAAGCATTTGCAAAGGTTGTCATGTAACGATCTTCGGGCTCAGTTAACCCGTCGAGGGCCGAGCTGCAACTATAATAAAGAACAGATTGATGTCATGTAACAAAGTATCATGGGAGGGTGGGCTGGTCCACAACGACCTCGTAGTACAACAATGCAGTCATCTCAAAAAGATATCCCGGGTTAGTGTCTCGCGACCAAATAGTTTCAATGTTCGAGAGAAGGGATTCATCTCGTATTTAAAAACTACCCACGGGCCAATAACTGGGGGCTGGTAAGAGGAAGTGAATTGAATATGCTGGTCGATAGAACCTGTCCCGCCTCCCAGTACCACAAGGTCAAGTCTGAGCGGTGAAACGAAGAACACCGCTTGTCCGCGCAGCAGCCAGTATCCTCAAATACCGAAATCTTCCACCTACTTCTCCTCTTCGGTGCCACGGCAGCAGGTCCAGCACTCGCCCTATCACAATGTTAGCAAATTCACCTGTCACTAATGCATGAGACCGTCGTACCTGCTGGCTCGCGTACTGTCATCATGTTAGCACGATTCAATGCCAACATGTTTTTTGGTATGCCACTTACCCAGCCCTCACCACACTCGGGCTTGTCAAAATAACAAATCTTCAAGCAAATGTCTCGGTTATGGAGCTCTGCACTCCTCTTGGCAATGTCGTTGGTCCTGTCAGAGACCTTGGGCATGGCGAGGATGCCGTGGGCAAGGGTGAGGAGAGTGACAGCGGAGAACTTCATGTTGATGAATTGGATGGTGTTTTGAGTGTGGTGACTGTTGTAAGATGTTATGTTCGAAGTGAATTTGTTGGTTGATGATAATGCCAGACTGAGGCCAGATGCTCGACTTTATACAACTTCCTCCCTCTGGCCTTTTGTTGTTTTCTCCATTGATCTCATCTCTCAGTGTGGATACTCCGTGCCGTGTGTTCACAAGGGAGGATATTTGCGTGTATAGATGGATACGATTCGGGCCGATCTGCGTAAGAATTATTCTCACCTCACATTCCGCATTAGGCACTATGCGGCGTCCGCAGTGACAGCACCCATCAATGGGAAAACGAGGCGACGGCCCAATGTGCATGCAATGATCACATCAAAAACTTTATCAGCTTCCTTGGCTGTTCTGATCTGAAACAGTGCATGATCCAATGAAAGTGTCCAAGGATTCACCCAACCCCGGGTCCAAATCACTCCCAAAGGACTCAGCCACGGATTCCTTCGTTCTTAGTTCCCATGATCTGCTCTTAAAGACCCAGAAGTTTTGATAAACACAAGGTTAGCATCAGGCCTAGTTGAACACCGGTGGCTGATTGATTCATCTAGACTTCATCCTATAGAGCTGTAGAATCTCGGGAGATCATACCATGGTGGCCCATACTTCAGCTCCCCCGTACGGAACTCGCGAGACACTTATTGAAAAGTCCATCAGTACTCTAAACAATCCCTCATCTTCTCTTTGCAGGGAGGGCGGGATCGGCGCAAGTGAGCAAGGCGGGGCGATAAGACGCCACAGGGTCTTGTTGTCTCACCTCACTTCACAACCATTCGTGATACATGGGACACATGATGGGGAATGTGGATTCGTCTTCGACATGCGCGGCAAGATGACATAGGTTCCGTCCTTCGGTCCTTCGCATTCTGATCTTGACATCCTGAGGTCCTGAGGACGATGCTTACGAGGTTGACGAGGGTTCTTCTTGTCCACAGCCCTTGGCTTGGCGTTTTTTGTTGAGGCTCACTTGCATTAGAGCAAAGCATCTCGTGCGTAACAGTATGATTGGACGCTCAAGGCCAATACGATGATGCTAAACCCAGACCCCCTAACCATCTAGAGTAGGAGAAGGTCCGATGCCCCGACGGATGAGCAGATTCAGTCCCCGTTGGTCATCCCATTGGGGGCGACTTCCGCCCTGAGACAAGCTTCCATAGCTCTCCAGCTTATGTCTCACTCAGAAAGGATATGATTTACACGGCCTTTATGGTACGTACATCAAAAGGACTGCCTATCACTCTTGGCATAGATGCCTCTTCAGTTGTCGCGTGGTAACATGGAGATTGAGGCCGCCGGTGAGTACCTGTCACGGTGGCCTTTCGGAGGGAGGTTTTCAAAAATGGAAGAGATAACAGCTACTATTTCAGGAGTAAATGTCATTCAGGTTCCAGGTGTATCTCCACGAGAGCAGCTCAAAATCTACCACTCAGCCTTGGATCTTCCCCTCGACCCCGAAGGTACAGCATATCCCAGTTTCGACTTTTCAAACTTGAAAGCAGGCGCCAAGATTGTAATATCCTCTTCAAGCCCCCACTCCTTGCCAGACATACTCCAAAAGTACTCGGGATGTTTCAAAAGATCCGGTCTGGCCTTGTGCATCGCAGCATGTGTTTTGAACAACAAGACCTGCATGTCGTCGGTGTGGCGAGCCGAGAAACCCTCATTGCGCGCCAGAAGTTCCTTTGCCTGCTCTTCGTCATATTGGCCAAGTCTATAGTACCAGATATTGTACTGGGTCAAGCTGACGTCGATGTCAAAGGTGGCATCCTCCTTTGTTCGCTGCAGTAGAGCTTGGAGGATTGCAATGGCACCAACAATCCCAGTTTGGTAGTCCGAGTTTGCTGTAATGGCACGTTAGCTCTTTGTATACTCTATTGCTTCATGTAACAAAAATATTTACGCAAGAGCGGAACGACCGGCTCGTCGAGACCGAGGAATCGACCCTGTAGCCAGGAGATGCCAACAAGGCAGTCACTGATCTGTTGCCATCCAGATCGGTGACTCAAAGGACCCTTGAATCCGTAGCAGTTCTCCCGCACATAGATAAGTTTATCGTTCACCTTGCGGAGACTTTCAGAGTCAAATCCTAGGCGAGCCAATGCTCCAGGGCGATATCCATCGACCAACACATCAGCGCCTTTCACAAGCTCAGAAAAGGCTTTCTTCCCCTCATCGGTCTTGAGATTAATGTCGGTGTCTCGTTTCCCAGTGCTGAGGTCTACCCACAACGGTGAGATGTCAGGGAGGTCTTTGCTTGTTACCTTGATGACATCTGCACCAAGAACAGCGAGGATCTTTGAAATGACGGGTGCAGCGATAACTCGCGAGAAGTCGATGACGCGAATACCGACAAGGGGCTTGAAACCCGAGGCTTCTGGTCCCTCGCTCTCGTTTGATGGCCACTGGCTCTTCGGTGCAGGGACGGACCTGGTATTCCACAGTGGTTCAGCGCCTATGATCTTGCCCTGCTCCGTGTCAAAGAACTCTTCTGGAGTGAGACAAGTTACTCCAGCTTGCTTGAAATCGTCATTGGCCAGCTTCTCAAGAGCCTCTGCATCATAATGCGCTACCTTGTCTGCGTAAATCTTAATGGCTTCCTCTCTGGAAATACCCTGCTCCTCGACGCCAAGCATTTTCATCGTCGGGCCCGCATTCATAGATCCATGGAGATGGTAGAAACGACTGTCCTTAGTTCTGTAGACATTGGTGGATTGCTGGTGGATAGGCTTCTGGTTGTCGTATAAATCTCCTTTCTTGACTTCCGCCATCAACTGGGTATTCTGGAGAAACATTTTGCCGTTGATAGTTGGAAACATGACCGACTCTAAGAAGAGTGTTGCAAGGTCGCTTAAACATCATCAGCAGGTGATCTGCTCTCGTTCTCGGAGTTGACTCACGTATTGACCTCGATATCCTGATAATCAATCCCATATCGATCTGCTGCTATAGCACTAGCTGCAGCTGCAACGAGGGCTGTGAGCGAAGATGCAGACTCAGTTATCTTGCACGGCGTAGGAACAAAAGGCTTCGGATCGTCGCCAGTGAAGGTGATCTTTTCCGCCGCTTCCGCGAAAGACGGTGACAAGGCAAGCCGCGAGTCGCCAAGTAGACACTCTCGCAGAATGCGATAGCTTTCTTCCTGTACAGAATAAGTGCCCATGGTTAGTTGAATTCGAGATAGTGTCTTCTGGTTATCTGATTTGAGATGTCGATTGATAAAGTTGCGGTGTCCTCTTCATCACGCGATATCCACTTGCGTCGTAGCAGTCATCGTCAGCTAGACTAAGCCATTTGGAGAGGAGTAAGCCGTAATACGAAACGGGGGCAGCCGGAGCCATGCGTGAGATGCATCTCTAGTGCTTTAAGATCCTTGGTTGTCAAGGTTGTATTGGCCGGCTCACGGTCCTTGATGTGATGTCATGGCTTACACGCCCGCTCTCGAGAGAGGAGAAAGAAGGAGACAATGTCTTTGCAGCCAAGCCCTGACTTGACAAGATCCCTAATTTCACTTTTTAGATCAAAATCTCATGGTTATTTCCAGTTTTAGGGTACAGATCTGGACCGGACTCGGATACTTTGTCCTAACTCGGTCCTTTGGAGGGTGGGATCGGCATCTATTAACCAAGATTCGGTCCACTCAAGGCCCCAGCTCCGAAATCGACAGTCTGCAAGAGCTCTGTATGGGTAGAATTTCAGAGAATGCAAATACGTCCATTCAAATTCATCGATCTCCTGAATTTGCGAAACTTGATGGAATGATTGGAAGTGAAAAGATAAAGAGAATGCAATTGCTTGCGAACCCTGGCCAATAGCGAGGGTGGCGTTGGGCCTCATTGATTGGCTGGATTAATAAAGGTCCGACTAACAACAGCCAAGAGGAACCCCCTTCCACACATCTGAGTTCGTCCACTTCCTCTCCTTGAAAAACACTCAGATCTTTCAAAAAGTTAACCATCACTCCCAACACCCCCTCAATACCTCAAAAATCCCTTTTCCCAGTCATTTACAAGCTCTCACGTGCTTACTAATGCGGTGGGGCCACGTAATTGGCTCCCCTCACTGGCGTCTCGCCCGACAGCTCGCGACGGCCGTTTGCACTGTCAACCACCTGCAAAGCGTCACGGTGACTGCTCAGGCATAGGTCTATATGTCAAATGTTCGCAGCCTGCTGTCACCAACAGGCCCAGTCCGTTGGCGTAGCGGTTTAAACCCTTGCCCGGCCTCTCGATGACCCTTCAGCCCTTTGCCGCAGGCGAGACAGGTGCTAGTGGAGACGTCTTCGGACAACTTTTTGTATTTTTTTTATATTTTTATTGAAATGCTCATATCACAAGAGGGCGATTCTTCTCTTTTCTTTTTTTTTTCTTTTTTTTTTTCTCGTGGCTGGCGTGTTGTCAATCGTGGTGCGCAAAGACATCACCACGCCACGATCATGGTGTTTGCAGTTTTTTTTTTTCGCGACATAATAAGCACAAAATGGTATCATTTGGCTGAAAGAATCAATTTTACCGTGCCATGGGGCCATCCCTTCCCTCCATAGGACCCCATCACGCCCCGATCGTGAACCTGATGGTATTACAATGCTCCAGTGAGCATAAACGCCCAGACACCAATCATGCACAACCTCAGCTATCCACCCTCGCATCCTGAACCTGCTTCGTCCTCTCAGAATCGGTCTGATCCCCCGTATTCACCGTACTCTCATGCTCAATCATCATGATTGTCGCATTCTCGGCAACGGGCCGATGCTGAACACCCTTTGGAACCACAAACATATCGCCTTCGTTCATAATCACCGGATCTTGCCCCTCAATCTCCATCTTGAGCTTTCCGGATAGAAGATAAAAAACTTCTTCGGAGTCGGGGTGTGAATGCCATATAAATTCGCCGTCAATCTTGGCGACTTTAACATGGTGGTCGTTGATGGCGGCGACGAGGCGAGGGGACCATTTTTCGGTGAAGGAGGCAAGGACGCCTGGGACGGAAGTTGCTTGCAGCATTATATTTGTTTATTTGGATGAAATTAGAAGTGAGAGAGCTTGAGATGTGATGCAGTATTGAATTGTTTCAACTCACATCTCTCTGAAGTTCTTATAAGAGAGAGATCATGTGGGTCATCTTTGTGCATGTCATTGGCAAGGCGCAAGGGCGCGCGCTGACGATGTCGTTGGTGGAGAGCTCCATCTACCCATGAGTAATCCCGCCCTTGGTATTGGTCTGGACCTGTTCTTGGCACCTCTTGCATCGCCAGGACCATCATGATTGAAGATTGGCAGTATTTTTATCTACTTTTTGTCGAAATCATAGGAACACACCGGGATTAGAACCCAAGGTTGTTGCACCCACAGCATTCGCGATTCGAACCACGACCTTCAAGGATCCCCAAGCTTTGTGGCTCGAACCCGTGACCTCCGTCTTCTCTTCTCGCCCTACAGGGTAACTACTTCACTTCGCACTCTCACAGCATGTGAATGGACACCATCCGAGGCCATCCACAACAGCTCTCCACAAAACGCCACGGCAAGTCAGTTCAGCCAACGTTGGGACTCACTCAAATGACGATAAGCCTCCTCAAGGTCCATCCGTTCTAGAGCTGCGAGATAGCGCTCTGCAGCTCCTGACTCGACTCCAAAATGGCCCAATCGTTCTCCCCACTCTGGGAGGCTATTCACGTCTGTGAGACTGCGCTCAGAAACTTTGGTGTACAAACATGTTTTACCTGACGATGGAAGCTCCATCCCTGCACAGTACCAATGATATTCAGGCACAGGAGCCATTGGGCCCCATTGACAGCGCACTGCAACCCTTCCATCGATTCAGGTCAACGATTCGAGAGGTTATTTAAGCCTAGTCCAACACACCAATCGCATTCAACCACCCATCACCAAGTGGCTTGGAGCTTCGTCACTCGACGCACACTCACACAACCAAACGGAGATATCCTTTCGAGAGTTCTGACAGCCCCGGATGCCGCGCACCTCGACGCGACCGTAGTCACCTGTCAGAATGACTTCACGCCAAAATCTCATGGTGGTGAGCTGGCTTCGTCTCGGCGAATTGGAAGCTTCCGCTGAAGACATTGCAATCAGATCTGCTTGGTTGCCGCAGTAAGTTCCATACCAGTGGCCTCTAGCGGCGTCCACCTCGAAAGCCTTTGTTGTTTTCGGTATGGAGCGCGCCGCAAGCAACACCTTCTTTTCCCCACGAAACGATCACAAAGTTTGTTTTGTTCATAGAGTTGCCGAGGCTCTCCTATTGGTGTGAGACATTGGACCCTTTGGAGAGTACTTCTGGGTGATCGCCCCTCGAGTGATTCTCCCTTTTTCTTGGACAGCTGAGCGATGCTTCATGCGTTTACGGGTCATCAATTGATCACTCAATTCTCATACCTTCATCATGGCGCAGTCCCAGTTGCAGGAGGATGATGCCATTCAATCAGCGAGCTCCAACACTGGAAGACCAGAGGTTGAGGAATTACCCCGGCGACACGACTCCAAATCCTCAGGAAATGATCAATCGACATCCTCCAACGATGGATCCGGGAGCAATGGGAGCTTCCCCCCAGACGAAGTCCGCCATCACAAGCACCCAGCGCGTCCCCGACTTCACAAGCGTCAAACAACCCACGTCGCCCTTGACAATGCCGACCGCAACGAACTCGTCCGTATCGCGACGGCTCTTTCACGACGCTACTCCGTCGCCACTGGTGAACCGGCTCGCGTCCACACTCTCGTGACTGAAGATGAGAATAAACCCGCCCTCGACCCAACCAGCAGTCAATTCGACATCTACGAATGGCTACAGAATTTTGTGCAAACTCTCAGAACTCAAGGCATCACAGCCAAGAAGACGGGTGTGGTCTGGAAAAACCTCAATGTATCTGGTACAGGAGCTGCATTGCAAGTCCAAGAGACTGTGCTGTCCATGTTGATGGCACCCCTCCGAATGGGCGAGCTGTTCAGCTTTGGAAAGAAGGAGCCCAAGCATATCCTCCGGAGCTTCGATGGACTCGTAAAGAGTGGAGAACTCTTGATCGTCCTTGGCCGACCCGGATCTGGGTGTAGTACCTTGCTCAAGACGCTTTGCGGCGAGCTTCACGGCCTGAGCATTGCCGACACCTCGACCATTCACTACAACGGCATTCCGCAAAAGATCATGAAGAAGGAGTTCAAGGGAGAAGCCATCTACAACCAAGAGGTAACCAAATACCCGTCTACATCATGAACGCGACTGACTCGCAACAGGTCGATAGGCATTTCCCGCACCTGACCGTCGGCCAGACCCTCGAGTTTGCCGCCTCAGTCCGAACGCCATCGCATCGCATCCACGGCATGTCCCGCAACGACTTTTGCAAGTACATCTCCCGAGTCGTCATGGCCACATATGGACTTAGCCATGCCGCCGACACAAAGGTCGGAAATGACTTTATCCGCGGTGTGTCTGGTGGAGAGAGGAAGCGAGTCAGCATTGCTGAGATGATCCTCTCCGGATCTCCATTCTCTGGTTGGGACAATAGCACCCGAGGTCTCGACTCTGCTACTGCGCTCAAGTTTGTTCAAGCTTTGCGCATGGCTGCCGACCTCGGCGGTGTGACTACTGCCGTTGCCATTTATCAAGCGAGCCAGGCCATCTATGACCTCTTCGACAAAGCCGTCGTGCTCTACGAGGGCCGGCAGATCTATTTTGGTCCAGCGAATGAGGCTAGGAGCTTCTTTGAGCGACAAGGATGGCATTGCCCGGCGCGACAGACCACTGGCGATTTCCTCACATCTGTCACGAACCCAAGTGAGAGAGCTGCCCTTCCTGGCATGGAAGAAAGAGTCCCACGCACACCCGAGGAATTCGAAGAATACTGGAAACAGTCTCCCGAGTTCCAGTCTCTTCAGAAAGAAATCGAGGAATACGAGACTGACCATCTCGTCGACCGACCTGGCGAAAGCATCGCAACACTCCGAGAACAAAAGAACTTCCGCCAGTCAAAGCACGTGAGGCCAGGATCGCCATACACTATCAGCATCCTCATGCAAGTGAGGCTCTGCACCAAGAGAGCATATCAACGGATCTGGAACGACATGTCTGCAACAGCTGCAGCCTGTATCACTCAGCTTGTCATGGCCCTCATCATTGGATCTATCTTTTACGGTACACCGGATGCTACTGTTGGTTTCTACGCCAAGGGTTCTGTTCTGTTCATGGCTGTCCTTCTCAATGCTTTGACAGCCATCTCCGAGATTGCAAGCTTGTATGCTCAGAGAGAAATCGTGACGAAGCACGCCTCTTTTGCTTTCTACCATCCTTTTGCTGAAGGAGCTGCTGGCATAGCTGCTGCAATCCCCATCAAGTTCGTAACCGCTGTCGTCTTCAACATTGTCCTATACTTTCTCGCAGGCCTCAGGCGCGAACCAGGAAACTTCTTTCTGTACTTCCTGATCACTTACATCTGTACCTTTGTCTTTATCGCCTTCTTCCGGACAATGGCAGCCATTTCGAAAACAGTCTCACAGGCCATGGCCCTCTCGGGAGTCATGGTTCTAGCCCTGGTCGTCTACGTCGGCTTCACCATCACTGTTCCAGAGATGAAGCCATGGTTCTCTTGGATTCGCTGGATCAACCCCATCTATTACGCCTTTGAGATCCTAGTCGCCAATGAGTTCCATGGCCGCCAGTTTACCTGCTCGAGCATCTTTCCTCCGTATACGCCAAACATTGGAGATTCTTGGATTTGTACGGTTCCTGGTGCTGTTGCGGGTGAATGGACAGTTAGTGGTGATGCATTTATTGCTGCCAACTATGAGTATTACTACTCACATGTCTGGAGAAACTTGGGTATTTTGTTTGCCTTCTTGATCGGATTTACGATTATTTACCTCGTTGCCACCGAGCTCAACTCAGCATCGACAAGCACGGCAGAAGCCCTTGTTTTCCAAAAAGGCCACATCCCACCCCATCTTCAAGCCGGCAAAAGCGACAGTTCAAAGGATGAAGAATCACTTACTCGCCCGGCTGGCAAAGAGACTTCGTCTAGTGGGGACGTGGGAGCAATCGAGCCCCAGAAAGATATCTTTACCTGGCGCAACGTCGTCTATGACATCCAAGTCAAAGATGGGCAGCGTCGACTCTTGGATGGTGTTTCTGGGTGTGTCAAGCCTGGAACTTTGACGGCTCTCATGGGTGTCAGCGGAGCAGGCAAAACAACCCTTCTCGATGTTTTGGCACAACGCACAACTATGGGCGTCATCACGGGCGACATGTTGGTCAACGGAAAGCCCTTTGATGCGAGTTTTCAACGCAAGACGGGCTACGTGCAGCAACAAGGCAAGACATATCCATCAGCTCTCTGGAAATCAAGCTAACATGAAACAGACCTTCACTTGCAGACAGCCACAGTCCGCGAAAGCCTTCGATTCAGCGCCATGCTGAGACAACCAAAGACAGTCAGCAAGCAGGAAAAGTACGCCTTTGTCGAAGAAGTCATCAAGATGCTCAACATGCAAGAATACGCCGATGCCATCGTCGGAGTTCCAGGCGAGGGTTTGAACGTCGAACAGCGAAAGCTCCTCACCATTGGTGTCGAGCTGGCAGCAAAGCCCAAGTTGCTTTTGTTTCTTGACGAACCCACAAGTGGCCTCGATTCGCAGAGTTCTTGGGCTATCTGTTCTTTCTTGAGGAAGCTGGCCAACTCTGGACAGGCTGTGTTGTGTACAGTTCATCAACCGAGTGCCATTCTTTTCCAGCAATTTGACCGCCTTCTCTTCCTCGCCAAAGGTGGTAAAACTGTCTATTTTGGTAACATTGGAGAGGACTCGCGGACGCTCCTCAACTACTTTCAGAAGCACGGTGCACGAACATGCGATAAGGAAGAGAACCCGGCCGAGTACATCCTCGAAGTCATCAGTAATGTCACAAACAACAAGGGCGAAGATTGGCACTCTGTTTGGAAGGGCAGCAATGAGTATCAAGCAAACGAAACAGAAATCGACAGGATTCACACCGAGAAGCAGAATGAAGCAGCAGCTGGGGAAGACGATCCTTCCTCACATGCTGAATTCGCCATGCCATTTTTTGCTCAGCTGCAGGCCGTCTCGTACAGAGTCTTTCAACAGTACTGGCGCATGCCGGCCTACATCTTTGCCAAGTTTATGCTTGGTATCGTAGCCGGGCTGTTCATCGGTTTCTCATTCTTCCAGGCGTCGACTTCGCTGGCGGGAATGCAGAATGTCATCTTCTCTGTGTTCTTGCTGACTACAATCTTTACAACACTTGTCCAACAGGTAAGCCGACTAGCTGGACTCTTTGAAGATTCGTATGCTAATCTGTGTGTTAGATTATCCCGCATTTCGTCACTCAACGGTCTCTCTACGAAGTCAGGGAACGACCAAGCAAGGCATACTCGTGGAAGGCCTTTATCATTGCCAACATCATCGTCGAGATCCCATACCAGATCGTCACAGGCATTCTCATCTGGAGTTGTTTCTACTACCCCGTCGTAGGCATCCAGAGCTCCGACAGACAAGTTCTCGTTCTGCTCTTTGTCATCCAACTGTTCATCTACGCCAGCGCCTTTGCACAGATGACCATCGCGGCACTTCCAGATGCGCAGACAGCAGGCAGTCTCGTCACCATTCTTTCCATGATGAGCACGATTTTCAGCGGTGTTTTGCAGACTCCCAGCGCCCTTCCTGGATTTTGGATATTCATGTATCGCCTGTCTCCGTTTACGTACTGGATTTCTGGTATCGTAGGGACCATGCTACATGACAGACCAGTCGAATGCTCCTCAACCGAGACATCAACCTTCAATCCCCCATCAGGAGAAACATGCGGAGAGTACCTCAACCCAATCCTGTCACAAGCCCCAGGCCAGCTCCAGAATCCTTCTGCCACGGAGCAATGTCGATACTGCGCTTTCCGCTACGCAGATCAATACCTCGCAGGCTCCAGGATCTACTGGTCCGAGAGATGGCGCAACTACGGCATCATGTGGGCTTTTATCGGGTTCAACATGATGGTGGCGATTGTTACGTACTATCTGTTCAGAGTGAAGAAGTGGTCTAAGAAGTGATGCTGAGGGGACATATAGGAGGTTTTTGCTCTTGGCACTAGTGAGAACAAGGTTGAATAACTATGTAATATTGTAATGGTACCTAAACGAGACAAATCTTATCCCACCGCATTCCGGCGGAAATAGCCTCACCAAACATTGCCCCATGTACATATGCCTCGCCAAACACTTTAAAGGACTCGCCACCTACTTCACGGAGAATAAGTGGTGTCGGACAGCCGGACAATAGCCATACTGACCGCCCAACCTCAAGGTCTTGAGGCCCGCTCCCCAAGTACCCTGAATCGAGGGCAAATACTCTCTTGAAGTTGGCATAGTAGAGGGCGAATGGCACGAACCGATGGCTCGACGTCTTCCAGAGGTCTAATGTTTGCGTCTTGGTCTCCCTTGGGACAAAGATCGTCTGGCCCCCGGCAGGGTGACCGATTTGCACCAGACGGCGTTGAACCTCTGTCTCTGAAGGGATGATACCGGTAGGGTCGTTTGTCGCCAAGTCTTCCATTTCAGAGTATTCCTGGAAGAACTTGATCCGTTCCTCCACGGGGTTAGCGCGCCGGTTGGCAAACGAATCAACCCGGTCGAGAAACAGGTTGAGTATTTTATACATGAGCCAGTCTCTAAAATGCCCCCTCAAATTGTCGTGCGCTGGTCTTTGAGCCATGTCGCTGTCAGTCAACAAGACTCTCCAGAACGCCTCTGTAATGTGCTGTCCAGTGGGTGCGTAGATGGAAGGGAGGCTCTTGAGCATTTGAAAAGTCTCCTTCATCTGACTGCGGGTCGACATCTCTTCCCAGGAGTTTCCGACGGCACGAACTGTACCAAGCTTCTTGGCGTAGACCCAGAGCTTGTTAGGGTTCGACGGGTCAAAGACTGGTTTCATAGCTGGTGGGATCTGTGAGCCGCCGCTGTCGTAACCTCGCGTGCGGCGGAAGTTGGGACTGAGGAGAGGAATAGCTTGACGGAAAGGCTGTAGATCTGGGACCCATGACGGGAGGGGATCTAGTCGTGGGAAGAGGACGTTGTATCCAGCTTCACCCGCCAGAGTGATTAGGTTAAGGGTTCCCGTCTCTTCAATAATTGCTCTGCACATTCTCATGCAAACCGCCTCTTCCGTAGTTGAAGTAGAGTAATCAGGCGTGAAGTCGGGATGTTCCGCGTAGTCGAATCCGGTAATTGCGTGCAGGATGCCATGAAAGGCGTAAAACTTGTCCCGCCTCTTTGTAGCAGTGAACCCATAGCAGCCAAAGACTAGCTTGAGAAGAACACTACCTGGACCATTCTCCTCAAGGCCGGCCATGAAATCAAGTTCTTTTACCAGATCCAAAGCCTCAGACGAAGTCTTGCCAGTCCAGAGTCGAGCCAGCTGCAAACTAACCGTAACAGTGAGTCCCAGCGACATGAAGAGGAAATCGGTATTGCTTGGGTAGAACTGCACCATGCTCATTGCGGTATGCGTGAGGCAGGCAAAGGAAGCAAACCAAGCGAGTGCATCCCAGTCAAGGGAAATATCGCCACAGAGAACTTCAACATGATTTGACAGGGCGACTTCTTGTACCATCCAAGCTCGTCCAAACCATCGCCTCGAGAACAACTCGGCAAGTGATTTCCAATCTTGGTGAGATAATGGTGTGACGCCGAACCGTGAGAAGGCAGTTGTGTCGGTGATGAAAATAGGTTCTGTGTACTGTCCTTCGCCATGAGTCCGCAGCAGCTCTATAGTCCCTCGTCGCGCTGCTTCTGCGTTGCGATTCAGTATCGAGACTGCTCGGGCAATATCATGACTCTTTTTCCCCAACCAAACAACAGTCTTTGCTGCTCCGCCATAAACATGATCCATAATCCGAATCTGCTGCAACTTTTCATCTGAATCTTCTTGATTAATGCAAATAGCATCAGCCCAAAAGAGTGTGCCGGGTGGATACAAGTCGCGAACATGAGCCAAGGCGTCATACAGGTTAGGCATCACTTCAAACCGACATCGGTCAATCCACAGAGCCTTCTTCTCAAGGTCGCTGTATTGGTTTCTGGTGAAAAATGCCGCTAGCTTTGGGGGACCCCAAGTGTACGAAAGAGCCACATAGCTGGGACAAGTTGGGCCAATTTCATGCGTCTCCAGAGACAGGACGACATCAGATATGTTTGGGTCGCAGGCAGGGTCCCTGACGAATCTGAAAAGACGTATCTTGTCCGCCTGAATTTGGTCTCGGTACTGGAAGTTGGGTATCTTCTTTCGTGAAAACTTGACTTTCTGGAGGAGACCAATCACAGCATTCCCGGCAAACTCTGCTGTTGAGCCCCCGGCGAGCTTGGCTTGGTCAAAAAGTAGCAATGCTGTGTTTAAATTCATGTTGGTGATAAGGGAGCGCCTCCTTGTTTGTTTAGGTTGATGGCTTGTCAATTCCAAGGGCAGGTTGTCACTATTATTTAAACGATTAAAAATGTGGCTGTCAAGTCTCCACCTAAATGCATAAATACGGTAGTTACCTAACCAATATTAATGTCACGAGCTCTGATTCTGTAGGACGCCTGATTGGGTGTGTATATGGGGAAGCCTCAAAATGATGTGCTGATTGTGGTTCAGCTATGCCATAGCAGTTCGCTTATCAAGGGCTTTACCCAATGACTGGCTTAATTAACACTCTTAACAGACTCGTCGTCGTCGACTGGCAGAGGCAGACTCCTGTCTATACTCGCGAGAAGACACCTGTTAGCCTTGTCGGCCAAGATATTCAGGTGCCTATAACTGCCACCAAATCTTGAGCCCACAATCCTAACCATCTCCATCAAAATATCAACGGGACCAACATCCATAGTCGATCCCTGACTGCCCACGGGCACCAATGACAAAAGATCAGCCAGTGAGCATGCCACTTCAAAGACCTTTTCCAGTATCCCAATACCATTGGCCTCGAAAGCTTGAGTCGACACCAGCTGGGAGGCGAGTACGATTCCACGTGCGACGGTGACGGGATAATGCAGTGACATGGCGTCTTCGCTGCAGGTGCTCGAGAGCAGAGTCTTTGACGCGCAGAGCTTCCAGACTATGATCTTGAGCCATTGCCGTGATACTAGGAGGTCTGCTTGCTGGACCTGGGAATAGTTGGATACGTTAGGGAGCGTGTACTTGAGGAGATTCTGGAGTGTTGATAGTTGCCCAGGATCTTCGGCGTTTGAGGGAGTCGCAGAGTTCCGGTTTGCGATAAAATCGGCATCAAAGTGGCGAAAGAGAGAAATGAGATCGAGAAACCCAAGGAGTATCTCAGCACCTGAACCTGATAGATCGACCATGGGTACGTTCAAGGTAATTTGCAGCGTAATCTGTCGATTCCTCTGCAATGCGTAGCCCCTCTCAGTGATGAAGAGCACCCAGGCCATGCGCCGAGCGTAAGTAGCCAAGACCGGATCGTCAATGTCGCTGTAGGTGGCCTCCTCGTGCAGCCGCAGCGTCTGCAGGATGGTAATGGCCTCTCGCAGGTAGTACCACGCTGAATTATCCTGATCCAGGGAGAAGAAGGCGGCATAGAGAAAGAATGATGTCTGGATATGTGTCAAGGATGGGTGCTCGACGAGGTTACAATGCTGTCTTGCGCGGAGGGTTTCAGAGATGAGGAAATCGGCAGATGGAATTATTAGCTCATCGTGGGGAGATGTTGGAGAGAGAATCTCTGGAGAAAGCGAAATGACAGCGCAGCAGGCTGTGATGAGGCCGTATTGCTCGGGCGAGACTGGAGTTTGCTCGACTGTCTCACGATGGAGGATCGGCGTGAGCGGATACTTGTGCTTGAAGTAGGCGTCAAGACACCATCGGATGACTTGATCGGTGATTCGAGAAGATGGCTGAAAGACGGCATTTGGTGTTCTCCTGGAACAAGACACCTCGGGGCAATTAGATGCTTCGCTGGGACTGAGCTGGGTGCGTTGCGGTATCGGGGCAGGCTGTCGTTGAAGGGGCCTCCGTCGTGGACCTCCCTTTGGCCCCGTCTTCTTGTGCACGGCCAAATAAGTGCAATTGGCCGATGCCTCACGGCAGTTTATGCATGGCTTACAGCCATCGCAGCGCACTTTGCGTACATGACAGGCATCGCAGGCTTGTCGGACTTTGTATGGCCTCTTGGGCCCCGTTGAACCAGTTGGGCGGGTCATGGTGTGAATGTGACTGGGATGGGGAACAAGTTCCAGTTGCCTGACTGGAGAAGAAATATAAGTTATGGGGCAATATTATTAATAGCCAATCAGAAACCAGCACAACATCCTGCCACTATCCCTAAAGCTGGCAAGGAGCTTCCATCCGTACCTCGGCCCAGCGTTATTGGGATAACTGGATTATGCGGTAAGAATAATCTCATCTGTTTGAATATTATATCATGATTGCTTACTCCAGATATAAAACTCATTTTTAATCAAAGTATTCCTCAAATACATAAATACAATTAGCCTAAACCCCCAGAGTGACCTGGTTGGAGCTGGTTGGAGCTCGTTGCCAGCTTTGCCACAACTTCTAACCAGCTTAACATGATCACATCACTCTTCTTCAGGGCAATTAGGGTCTTAAATTCAGTGAGAGCTATGAGCTAAGTTCTCAACTTCTTATTTGTACCGCAAGCCCCCAGGTCGCCCCTCTACCCAAGACCTCAAACCTGCTATCCATGTCGCTTATAACAACTCAGCTATGAACAAAGCCCCTGAGTCAACTACCTTCTACACACGCGGCTTTCGAACAACGGTTCCATCATCCACAATAAACTCGCTAAACTTTCTCGGAGGAACACCCTCGGCGTATAGACAGTCAATGTCGTGGTAAGTCCTGTTCTTCGTCTCAGGCTGGAACCAGAACAGAGTTGCCAAGATGAAAACCTCGGCACCAACAAACAAGAACATGACCTTGCCGCCCCAGTTCAGTTGATCCGGGTTGATAAAGTATGGAAACACGGACGACAGCATAAGTGCCGTGAGCTGCTGGCACACCAGACTAAAGGCGATTGTCTTGGGACGCGTCGCTTGCGAGGCAGTCTCTTGAGCAACGGCCCAGCCGAAGCAGCCCACTGTCGCCGTGTAAAGCATCGACCATGTGATCATGAAGGCGAGGAGGGCTGTGTTTGCAGCGTTGTTGGCTTGGCTAGCGAGCGAGGTTCCGGCGATGATGATGGACCAGCAGCAGAGTAGTGTGCCGCCACCGATGAGGGATTTTCGGCGAGGAAGGACATCCGAGACAGAGACGGCGACGCAGTTGGATAGAAACTGCAGGGTCGAGGAAATCGCGGTAAGTCCGAAGGGGTCAGCCTGGCCGATGAGTTCGAAATAGTACGTCTGATATGTATCTGCAGACGTTAGCAATTGGTCGACAAAGCGTGCTGTTTAGGTTACTGACTTGCAAAGTAACCTCCAGAGAAGTTCTGGGATTGCAGTCCCATGACAGCAATGAGGGTTCGCGATCGGTGCTCTTTGGAGAAAATGGCCTTCCAGCTTGTCTGCTTAGCCATGTTGGCCTCACCAGCTGCAACCTCCAACTCAGATTTCATAAAGTTGAGCCTCTCCTCGACGTCTACACTCTTGCCATAGAGTTTGATGATGGCCTTGCGAGCATCTTCATCTCTTCCCTTCTTGATATACCAAACAGGTGACTCGGGGAGGAAGGGGAGAACAATAGCGAAGAGCGTGGGGACGAGGAACGTCATGACAAAAGCGAGTCGGTAGCTCCATTCTCCGTGGATTTTGGAGGATCCCCAGCCTGTAATGGAGGAGAGGAAGAAGCCCAGCACGATGATGACGTTTGTCAGAGAGCTGAGGGTGCTTCGGAGGGCAGCGGGTGCATTCTCGGTGACATAGAGCGGAGGTGTGACGGTTGACAGGCCGACTGAGAGACCGAGCAGAAGCTTGGAGACAAAGAGGACAGGAAGATTTGGGGAAAAGACAAGTGCAAATGATGAGGCTAGGGACAGCGCAACAGCAGTCCAGAGCACGGCTTTTCGACCGACATAGTCAGCAAACTGACCGGTCAGGAAAGCTCCAAACACCTGGCCAATGGTGCTAGCCGCGTTCCAAAGAGACTGCCAAAGCGCCGGAATGACATATTGGTCACCGACAGAGTAGTACTCTCCATACGCCTTGCGAAACTCGGGAAAGGCGATGGCGACACCTGAGAGGCCAGAGTCATAACCCCATCCGAAGACGAGGGACATGATGTAGAGCGACCAGAAGACATAGGATTTGTCTTTTTTGAGGTTTGCCCACAGGCGCTGGTATTGCTGCTTGGGTGTGAAGTCTTGGGCGTCGATGGCTTTTTGCACTGAGGTTGAGTCTGCAACGGGGCCCTTTTCGATGTGGTAGGACACAGTCGCCGCAGGCTCAGATTTGGCAGCCATTATGTTGGAGATGCAAAGAGGTTTGATGAAGGAGTTGAAGTGATCTGAGGCTGAATGAGATGCTACTGCTGTTCTGCAGAGGGCATCATGGCCAGTCTTTATATATTCAGTCTTCATGTCGATAGCTCGAGTGCAGCATGACTCGTGATCCCCAGCTTTCTTCCATCCTGCCCCATGGGGAATCAGGTGAGACTAAAAAAGCAAACCATCGAATAGGTTTAAGCTCGCCCCTCGATGGGCATGTCCTCGCACCGAGAAGATGGTGATATATCCTAGCCTAGCGCTGTGGGTGAAATGGTTGAATTTCCATTGGCTAAGAATTCGCTCAGTGGGTGCGGCCTGGCTGAATTATTATTGGTCTCCGTCCATCTCTTGACGGTCCGACAAGAGTCTCGCCTCCTGGAGCGTTTGGGCAAATCATAATTCAGCCATGATAGTGCAGCCGACCATCCTCAGTGCCGCTAGTGTCAATGGACAGCTTCAAGTCCAATGACAAATTCAACCGACGCAATGGCAATCGGGTATAAGAGGCACATGAACAAACTAATAGCTCCTCCCAATACGTAAACTCAGGCTCACCAGCTCCAGACCACACCACTATGCCACCATCAGCAACTATGCCAACATCTACCCCTCCGGACAGGCAATGGTGGAAGGAGTTGGTGGTCTATCAGATCTACCCAGCAAGCTTCCTCGACACAAATGCCGATGGGCTTGGCGACTTGCCAGGGATTATCTCCAAGCTGGACTATATTCAATCAGTAGGAGCCACCGCCATCTGGCTGTCGCCCATCTTCAAGAGTCCCCAGCATGATATGGGCTATGATGTCTCAGACTATCGAGATATCCACCGCCCGTATGGAACAGTTGAAGACGTCGAGGCCTTAATTCGAGGCTGCCATGAGAGGGGTATCAAAGTCCTTCTTGACCTCGTGGTCAACCATACCAGCCACGAGCACGAATGGTTCCGAGAGTCACGCTCATCTAGAACCTCCCCCAAGAGAGACTGGTACTTCTGGCGTGAGCCCAAGTTTGATTCGGACGGCACTCGCCATCCGCCCAACAACTGGGCTTCCATCTTTGGCGGCAGCGCCTGGACGTGGGACGAGCAAACAGGTCAATACTACCTCTCGCTGTTCTTGCCCGAGCAGCCTGACCTGAACTGGGCCAACGAGGAGATGCGCCGCGCAACCTACGCCGACATGCAGTTCTGGCTTGACAAGGGCGCCGACGGTTTCCGCATTGACTCGATGAACCTCATGTCCAAGCACCCGGACCTCCCTGACGCGCCCATCACACGGCCCGGCTCCGAGTTCCAGCCGGGAGACAAGTATTTCGCCAGCGGCCCACGGATGCATGACTACATCCGGGAGATGCGGGAACAGGTCCTGGACAAATACGTCTGCATGACGGTTGGCGAGCTAGGCTTCACCAAGGACGAAGACAGCGTGGCAAGCTACGTCGCCAAGGACAGGCATGAGCTGAATATGCTATTCACAGGCGACATTGTGGATATGGACTTTGGTGTCAACCACAAGTACGAGCGGGACGACTTCAGGCTCTCCAAGCTCAAGGCCATAACCAGTCGGTGGCAGGGCGCCATGCCCAAGTTTGACGGCTGGAACTCGGTGTACATGGACAACCACGACTCAGGCCGCTCCCTCTCGCGATATGGATCGGATCTGCCCGAGTACAGGAAGGACGCGGCCAAGATGCTGGCAGTCTACCTGGGGACCTTGAGTGGCACGCTGTTCCTCCTGCAAGGTCAGGAGATTGGCATGGCGAATGCGCCCGAGTCGTGGACAATTGACGACTACATCGACGTCGAAGGTCTAAACTACTACAAGAGCGAACTCAACAAGAGAGGCCCTGGCGCTGACATGTCGGACGTCATGAGAGAGATGAAGCTCAAGGCACGCGACAATGGAAGATTACCCATGCAGTGGAGCGCAGACAAGAACGGTGGTTTCACCCAAGGGTCAAAGCCATGGATGCGCGTCAACGACGATTTCAGTGAATGGAATGTCGCGCAGCAGGAGAATGATCAAGACAGCGTGTTAGCGTTTTGGAGACAGGTCTTGAAGCTGCGACAGCAGGAGAAAGATGTCTTTGTGTACGGGCGGTTCGACGTACTGCCCGAGTATGAGGACAGTGAGCTTATCTTTGCGTATACTATGACGAGCTACGATGGGAGAGTGGCGCTGATTCTGCTGAGTTTCTCAGATAGGGAGCAGAGTGTTGAGCTGAAGGGATATTCTGGGTGGAGGAGATTGCTTGGAAAGAATGCCGAGACCCTTAAGGCTGGTGGTGTTGAGCTCAAGCCTTATGAAGGGGTGGTGTATGCGGGCTGGGAGTAGCTTTCACTACCTAGGCATACACTTGGCGAATGGCACTTATGTAAAGGGCTTATAGCAAACAAGGTATATAATATATAAGCTTCAGTTATGTTACGGTTGTGTCATCTCCATTGGATTGCTCAAAAGCCAATCCCCCAACGCTTCTTTGAGCCCTCAAACAGGGAGTGTTATTCTCCAACCTTTATAGTATCCATTGCGAGAATCATGTCAGAGCAAGCTGCAGCAAAAGTCAAGTAAATGGCAAAAGACCTTCCCTCTCTATATGTCCCCTTATACGCAGGGTGCTCAAGTCTTCTCTAGGGTTCGGGGCCCACAAGCATCATTCCCCTCGAGCCCTCACGAGAAGGCAAAGCACCATGCTATCTAGCTCCATTCTTCCTCCTAATTGGAATCACCTCAAGCGGATCTTCCCCCTTCCTCAAAGCTGCCATCAAAAGCTGCATCCTCCCATCAACCCTCTCATCCAACCTCGAACAAGCCTCCTCAACCCCGATCTCCCCCTCTTCGCACATCTCGTCAACTTTACGCACAATCTTCTGCCGCACACCAACATAGTTGCTTGCATACTTGCGCTCCTGCAATGTGCCAAGCCTCCAAGTGGTGCCGTGATTGCGCTCAAGCTCTTCGATAGCTGGGTTGCCGTGGAGCCCGTGTTTCCATTCTGTCCAGACGAGAGCCACTGTTTTTGGCATGCGGTGGTATTTGAAGCGCCGACCTGGAGGACCAGTGGCGTACCGGTAGCCAACGGATCGAGGGACGGAGTAGCGAGGTTTATAGCCTTCCGCAGGTGGAGGGGATTCCGCCGAGGAAGAGGGCGTCGAGGAGCGAGATGCAACAAGGGTCGAATGCTCGTCTTCCTCATAGTCGTCATGTGCAGGATCATGGTCAAAGTCCCCATCGTCTTCCTCTTGCTCTGGGACTGCCCTGAGGTGAAAGTGTGGCGTCGACGACTGTGCTGTATCGTGATCGCTATCTGATACATTGATGGCAGTCCACGTCGCGGCTTCTTCGAGTCTGGGGTTTCGTTGCGATGCTGCCCTCATGCTTCGCTTTGCTTGGCGCCTCGCTCGTAAGGGTAGATTCCTCCTTCGTGGTGCTCGACGTCCAGTGCTCCGAACAGGAGCCGTGTCCATGTCAGGTGTAGGTGGTAATTGATCAAAGGAATCCTCTACACTGTCGACCCACTGCGACGTGATCTGAGTAGTAGTGTCCTCCAGCATAAGCGGTTCTTCTTGTAGTTCCTCGTCATAACTAGGCCAAGTCTGCTCATTGAGCCTTGGGCGCTCTACACGAGGATGAGCGAGTCGCGGCTCAGGCCGAGTCTTTGAAGCTAGTGCCTCAACTTCTTCAGCATGTTCACACCCCAGGTGTTTTGCAATCGTCAACTCTGTCAGAGCCGCCCTCTCACCAACAGCAAACCTGCCCTCTTTGACGTCCCTCATAAACCCTACGAAGCCATCCATGATGATGACATGCATCTCAATCCTCTTTTCCATCTCATCCATCTTTTGCTTCATTATTTCATTCTGCGCCAGTAACTGTTCTGTCGTTCGTCTCTCCGCTTCGAGCTCCGACGCATAGTGTTCCTGAATATTGATGACGACGCGAGCGAGGCTCAGAGGAGCCTGGTTTACAGCATCATCGATGTGTTTCTCCCGAATGACTTCTCCTTCCCCATCGGAATATAAAAGATCGGGGTCCAATTCGAGTGAGGGACGGTTTGGTATGGCATCGATCGACCGGGAGCAGGCGGCCGGAGCCGGTCGCCGGTGTGGATCCTCCGAAACGGGGCGGTCCACAGCGGAGGGTTCCGGAAAAGGATCCGGGGACAGAAGCATGGGGACGGCATTCGTAGGATGAACCTCGTTGCTCGGGGCGAGAAGGTAGAGGGCAGGGTCGATAAGGTCGGTCATCGGTGAACGTCGACTTGGGGCAAGCTGTATTCGGCATCTGCTTGGTTAGAGACTGTCCAAGACCAGACACTTTACACTCAATGTCAAGCACAAGGAGCGACAGGATTAGTAGTCAAGAAAAAGCAATTCTTTGTCAATTGAGGACCCCTCTCTTATCGAGACACCAACACCGCCTGTTGGCTTGGCTCAAGAACAAAGAACATCACAGACCTCATCAACCCACCAATGGTGAAGCTTCCCGGTGCTAGCGGTCAATCTCCCTGTTTTGGCAATGCTAAATGTAGTTCAAAAGATCAATTCGGTTTGCTATGTTTGTTGAAGTAGTAGCAAAATAATAAAAGAGATATAAGTAATAAAAGAACAACGTTCCTCACCATAATCATGCACCATCCATCATCTAGATTCATACTTTCTGTATACGCTCCATATGCTTCAATCATTATCCTGTATCATGCGGAAACTGTGTGCCTGTGTATATATGCCAATGACAACAAAATAAGCCAACGGGTATAAAACGCCAACGATGCTACTCCGTCTGCAATGCGAGAAGGTCGAGTAAAATCAAGAGGTAAAAAGCCCCAGCTGCAAGCGGCAACTTGGGAGGGGGAAGAGATATGCGCCAGACACTCAAATGTAGGCGGCAGGCTGGGCCTCGACCTTGCGGCGGCGCCAGAAACGCCATCCCTTGCGTCGACGCACAGGCTTGTCGCCAGCCACCTTTTCATCGCGATCGTCCTCGAGCTCAAGCCTGTACCGCCGCACGCTGCCCGAGTCGTCGTCGAAGGACACGTGCCTGTTCTCGCGAGACACGAAGCAGTCTGGCACAAGATGTCTCATGATCCAGCCCTTGACACCTCGGGTCGCAGCGTCGATGGCCGCGTACTCGAGACGGCGCGTGCGGTCGCTCGTCCAGTAATGCGTCGTCTGGGGAGGCGGCGAAGGGACGGGCGTCGGGGCCGTGTCGACCTCGGGGGCGGCGTCGGCGAGCTGGACGGGGTCCGGGGATGGGAAGTGGAAAAAGGCAGCGGGTTGTTGAGTTGCCGTGTTTGTGCGGACGAGGTGAAGAGATTGGTTACTCGTGCGAGCAGTCTGAACAGGATGCGTCGTCTTGGCTGCGCGACGGAGAGAAGGACGATTGCGGAAGCGTGACCTGACTCCTCCGACGCTGCTGTCCTTGGATGATCCATTAGACGAGCGACGAGCGACCGAGGGGCGGGAGGTAGAGCTGGATGTGTTGGAGGTTGATGCACGTCGAGGAGGCGTGTTGGACTCGTATCCCGAATCCTGCCTCTGCATCTTTGTAGCCGTACCCGGACGTCGTGCCTGCTGCTCTCTGTTGTTCAGAGCCTCGCGTTGCTGTCGTTGCAGCTCGAGTTGAAGGTGCTCGAGCTGCTGGAGACTCTTGCTGTCATATGTGACGGGAGGCCGCGGGGGCTCAACAAACAGTTCAGTGTCGTTGAAGCTGTGGTAGGTTGTTCCCGAAGCTCTCGAGCTACACCTCTCCTCCATGATGGGCACACATTCGACGACTACCTTGAACTTGTGTTAAAGAAAGGATAAAGAGAAGTGGGGTTAATTGCTTTGTTGGAGAGGTAGGTTGGTGGGATAAGTATAACAAAGGACCGACTAAAGGTGAAAGGCGACGATGATGTTGGTGGCGGTCAAGTTTTGGACAAGTTGGAATTGGAGGATGGATTCTCGCTGGGCCTATAACAGCTTTTGATGCGCTGCGCGTTTCTCTTGAAGCCCGAAAGCTACGGGACGCGGGCAAAGAGACGCAATCTCCGATCCCTAGTCCAGCCAAGTTCAGGAGATGGTCGCGGTGAAAAAACAAGCGAGAGGTTTGGTTTGACGGGAGAGACACTGGGTGCGTCGAGACGACCAGGTTCAAGAAGTTGCGGTCTGCAGGCCTTCTTATTACGAACAAGGCTTCGACACGTCCAGTAGCGGCCTAGCACAAGCACAGCCAGGGCCCTTTTTATTTTTCTTTGGGGCAAAGCAACCTACGCAACCCGGCTGGCTAGAGCAGAGGGGGGGCTGTGGATGCGGGAATAGTTGGAGGAGCTTGTAGGGGTCTGATGGGGGCGGGTCTGAGAGACAGGCCAGGGGGGGACTTGGTCTTGTGTGTGGACTTTGCCGCTGGGATGATTGGGCGGTGAGGGATAGGATGGATGCGCGCTTTGGTGGATAGAACAAGCCAAGAAAAATATGACAAAAAAAACAAGAGACAGAGCGAGACGCTCGGGGTCAAGGCACAGCGACTCGCCAATGTCTGTCTGATGGGGTTGGCTGTGGTGTCATGCACCACGAGAATAGCGTTGTGAGGGGAGCGTCTGGTCTGCGTCTCGTCTGTGAATATCTCCACTCTCTATGAATAAGGTCGTCGTGAAGCCGGTGGTGGAGATGAAGAAGAGCCGGCAGTGAAGCCGGGTTTGACTAGCGGATGGAGTAACAGGATGAGTCTGCGGTCCTTGAAGCTGTTCAGATACGGTTCTCGGAGTATCTAGAGGTTGGACCGAGATGTAGATGAGCGGTGGCGCCTGTATATCTCGGATCTGATGCTTGTGGCACGATATGGACAATGACCATCAACTGTATCTCGCGTATGCCGTCTCGAATACACTTCTTTTTAACCTCAAACCTGTTAGCCCGACGCTGTCTTGTTGATCTTTTTGCCGGTCCCAGGCTAAAATGTCACCTTACCCTTTCCCAACGCCTTTGCTAGCGAGAATATGCCATCCGATGTCGCTTTGTGGGTCTTCAGTGGCGATGGGACCAGCAGACGGAATGGCTTCTTTCGCGAGGATGCGAAAAATGAATGGCACAGTAGCCGGGGCGGAGACTCTGTCGATGATCGGCTAGGGCAACAGATGGGGACTTGCAGGTTGCATGCAGCAACCGCAGTGGGCAGGATCAAGAAATTAGTACGAGAAAGAAGCAGCTCGATAACACGCTCAGGTGGACTTGGAGGAAGAGGCCTCTAGGACTTAATATGGTACATCTCCTTGTGGTGCCTGAGCGCGTGGCAGGCCCGTCATATGACGTGCACGAGACAGTGAGGGGTTCTCCGTCCTACCGAACAAGGCACTCGTGAGATTGCTCTTCACATGCTCTTTGCTGTCCATAGCTGAGGGAGACTGGTTCACTCAGTCGGGGAGGGAACTGTTCAACCAACGCCTTGTGCCCATCGACTAGCTATGGATGGCCCTGGTCAGAGGCGGAGAGGGGGGGGATCGGGGCGTGGTGGATGTGTGGGGTGACTGTATTTTCACTTCGACAGCACCTAACTAAACAATGCCGTATCAACTGCCCAAGGGGAGACATTGTCAGAGCCTGGATTTTGAAAGGATGGTGTGCCACCAGCAAGGGTCAGGAACAAACTCGGCGAGAGACGGAGTAAGAGCAAGTATTCGTTGCATCGAGAACACACACACACACACACACAACATCAGCGATCTACCTGCAGGGTCTGGTATGCAGAATATGCAGCACACCACTCACTCACTCACTCAGCTCCCGCACAATCAGAGCAAGGAATAGATTCCCTCCCGGTGAATAACCGTCCAGTCGATAACACCCAAGACCCTTCTCTTTGGGTTTGGCGCAACAGACTTGGCTTTTCTGCGGCCCGCTCTGCACTGCTACTGCGTGCGCCCTTTGTCATATCGGCCCGCCCGACGGATGGCGACAGCCAGTCCTATAAACGTCAAAGATACACATAATGAGGAGTTGGAAGCAGCCTAGAGGCACAGCGATGATGTTCCAGACGGACTGGGCATCTCCGTCCAAGGCTGGACCTTGTTATGGAGAGCAGCGACAAGGACCCCTCGTCAACGTGGACTCGATTTCAGCCGTCTGCCTCCTGGTCGAAATGCCCTGGTCCCCACGTGTCCAGCATCAAGTGGGACACCACGACGAGACGCGACGACGGGGGGACGGGCATAACAAATTATGCAGCATGGTCCCTCTTATTTAGTTAGCAGCCCGAAATGATTAGCAGCCGGCATATTCATCCATCCCATCCTCCGTACTGCGACAGTAGCGATGGCGTGTGCTTCTCCCACACGCGACAAACTCGTCAGCTTTCACTCTGCCCGTGATGAGGCGTTTCATTGCTAAACATGAAATGTCACTCACTAGGTAATTCCATGCACATGAATGATTGAGAGCAACCGAAATTCACGCATCGTCGGACCCGCGTCACGTAGCAACAACGTCAGTAGCGTCTTCCTTGTCAATGATCCAACGTCTGAAACATGAGCCATTCCCTCTTACCTAGCGTAAAGAGGCTTTTCTCGATGACTACCGGGCCTTCCCGCCGGACCGAGGCAGGCCGGATGCCGTGGTCAAGAATTATGAAGGCGCTCTGAAGGCATCGCGATAGCCCCCCAGCCAGGGAGGTGATTGAAGATGAAGGGTCGTGTCACGGTAGATCTACATTCTTGGCGGCCAGGGTCAAACACGATGCAGTACAACTCAGCAGAATTAAGACGCGTCCCAGCCGCTCCGGTGCATAGGCCATTAATTAGGCCATTAATTACGAGGCCTTGGAAGTGACCCAGTCCAGTACAGATGATTTCTGGCTTGACATGTGAAGCTCCTAGCCGCCGAGGGTCCATCCCTCAATGATGCCTAATGATGGCTGCTCCTTGAGACATTCTGGCCTCTGTAAATAGATGATGGTGGCAGAGGTCGCGTGCTTGTGCCATTGACGAGGACGAGGCTGGGGGCCGTCGCCAGGCACAAACACACACGCACTCAGCTCGTCGCCGACCGACATTTTGCACGACGCGAAGAGCACGTCCTGGAGCTACTGCGGGATCTACCCGTTCAGAAATGGCGTTTTGACCAAGGGCGTCACGATGCAGAGCGACGGTCCGCCATCTACGTTCCCGCCATGAAGACATTTAGTTAGCTAGCGGGGGACAAAAAACACCGAACCTGGCCCAACCATAGGACTCTATCTGCGAGTTCGGTGTTTTCTGTCCCCCGCTGGGTTAGTAATTATCTCGACGGTGTAGAAGCGGTGTCGGACCTCCTAAAAATTGATCGTCGCACAGAAATCAAGGAGAATGTCGCATCCTTTTTGCGAAAATTGCCCTTCACATGTTCGTTCGAAATGCAACCCCCCCCTTCTCTCATGCACTATGGCGATCAGTGGCTTGGGTCATGTGCGCCAGGGTACAGCGAACCAGAGGCAGCTGTTTGGGCATGGACTCTAGGGTGAGGGTTAGAGGAGCTGTGATGAATGCACTTTTTGGGCGTCATTGGAGGCTGGGCAGTGATATCACAGATGCAGTAGTCCCAATGATTGATTATCATCAAGGGAACCGTTCGACGCCATCAAGAAAGCCAAGAAATCTAGCTCGTCACCAAGCAGCTTCCAAGGCCGAAGTGACGGTCTGTAGTCCGACTCTGGACAAGTCAAACAGAGTTCTCACGCAGGCGGGAACTAGGCTAACCTGCAGCGACCATTTTAGCTGACAAATGGTTCAAACCCCCTCTGAAGAATATCGTCAACTTGACCGCAAAACAAGGGACGGCAATCTTAGACACGGATTGCCATGGGAAGAGAGACATTTCCCCTTGCTGGCATGACGGGTGGGAAATTCTCCGTAGATGCGCCGATTGCTGTCGAAACTATCGAAGCCTAGTAGAATAACGTAGTTCTTCTAGTCTTTAACATTGTTCTTTGAACTCGCAGCTTATTGATGGCGTTCTTCCATCTCTAGACCATCTCAAATAGTATCCATCAACTGTCGTTGCCAGATGCATACAAGACTTAATTTCTGCCATTTAAATATATCCCCAACTCTCAAAACACACATCTCAACCTCTCAAGAGCTTCTAGGCAAGTGCTCTGCAGCGCGCCAGGCAAGTCCTCAGCATTGATCCGCAGCTCAACTGAGTCAACAGATGCTTTGCAAGTCCACTTCCAAGGTGGACACTCTATGTGTTTCGAGAAAATATGCCAATAATATCCTCAACTCTGGAGAATATACACGGCTTGGCGGCGTGACTCCGGCGAATACGCCTATCCGGATACCAGAAGCTCCGGCTCCCTTGCCTCCTAGATCGTCAGGAAGGTTGACGATCGATCCATCGTGCGGAGGAGACGGCTTCCGAGACGTGAATATTATGGGAACATGGATCATGGAGAAGGGGAGTTGAAGGAGTAGACGGTGGGTATAAAAGAGGTTGATGCTCTCGTCTTCAAGTCGAGTCTCATCATCATCAGCATTCATCGCATCTTCACATCCAACAATACCAACAAACACATAACCAACACTTTAACAAACCGCCAAAATGCAGTTCAAGCTTCTTACCGCCGTCACCACCTTCCTGGCCGCCTCTTCTGTCCAGGCCGCCATCGCGCCCTCTGACATCGTCAAGACCCTCGAGACGGTCACTGACCTGTCTAGCGACACCAATGATATCGCAAAGACCATCACCAACCCGGTTCAGATCTTCACGGCCGTCCCTGTACGCTCCAAGTAGAAAAAGAGATGCGAGGACTGCGCTGACATGCTCTTAGAAATTGATCGGTAGCTTCAAGGACATCATTGGCACTGTGACCAATGCCATCAGCATGCTCGGTGATCTTCCCGATGACCCTAAGTTCCCCGAGTCGGGCCAGAGTGAAATCTGCGAGGCCTTCACTGGCGTATGAATGACCTTCTCCCAGATACAGACACTTGCTAACGGGTTATCGCAGTTCGTCAAGGTTCACCAGAACCTGCTTGAGACCATCATCGGAAAGGAGGGCCTCCTCTCCAACACCCCCTTCACCGCGCCCATCGCCGCTGTCCTCCGTGTTCTCGAGAACATCGTCGACAAGGTGGCCTTTACCATTATCGGCACTGTTCCCACCTGCGCCGACGGTGCCAAGAAGGATCTCCAGGATCTCGACGAGACTCTGGGCAAGACCATTGACACCTACTCTTAAATGGGCCCTTGCAAAAGATGCGAGCTGGCTTTGCTGAGTTGATGTGATGCGACGGAGTGCATCGAGGTAGAGCTATACGGCTTGGGGCATCATGACTTATGAAATCGGTGAGAACTGGAGGGAAGGACTATGTTACGCTTTCTTGCTCTTGATCCAAGAGCTTCTAAATTGACTTGTTTCTGGAATTCTGCCTTTTAGAAGTGCATTCTGTTCCATCAAGGTTCAAATTGACTATGCATCAGTGACATATCGACAAAACACCCACCATAGCCGACATTGACAACATATATCGCCAAGCATCATCCACGTCGTCCATCGCGTATTCTGTGGCTGAGTCCATTTGAGCAAGATTCCCTCATCCAAATTCAGCCAATCGACAAGCCGGAGGATCCGAAGATTAGCATCACGTAATCGGCAAAGCGTTGGACCTTGTTGGTTAGTTCAGCCTCCATTCCTCAGCTGGAGGAGGCTGGACATTCTCACCTCTTTTCGAATTCCTTATATCCTTCTATTTCGTCTCATCTCGACGTTTCCTTCCCGTTACTTGAAACGTCGGGCGCGCGACGCTGTGTCTCTTTATCCCTGTCGCGCTGCGGATCCCATACCCTTGCATGGCCCGATGAGCAGCCTCTTTGAGAGACACGGCGACCATGGGCATGGGCATGAGGAGGAGGAACATGGTCACGGTCACGGACATCCCAGTGAAGATTCAGTGAGGCAGCATTTTTTAGCTTGTCTTTACTGGTATGTGCTGGCGACAGTGTTGGCCGTTGGCTTCGGCTCGAGGCTCATCTCGGCGTTTATCGCCCGGCAGAGGTGAGTACTGGCATGGGAAGAACATGAGACGGAAGCTAAAAAGTCTATAGAATCAAGAGACGGGATTTGGGAGCGAGTTCGGATGCGTCAGTCTCTGCGGTGGAAAAGTGGCTAGAGACTCCAAAGTATCTCGTCGCACAGTCAAATCGACGTACACTCTGGCTAGCCACTCTCCCTCTACGGAAAGCCACCATTATTATCGCATATGCTGCATTTGTCGCATTCTTGATAACATACAAGTCTATCAAGCATGACGGCAACTTTCTCGAGCGAGTCGGCTTCCGCGCAGCCTGGATCACGGCAACTCAAACCTCACTGCCCTTCCTACTGGCCGTCCGCGTCAACCCCATCGGTCTCCTGCTAGGCACGTCTTACGAGAGGATCAATTGGTTTCATCGATGGGCGTCCCGTATCTTCTTCGTCAGCGCAACCATCCATGGCGGCTTCTTCACCTACGAGTGGCTCGCCGCCAACTTCTTTTGGAAAGAGTTGCAGACGGTCAAGATGGTTATACCCGGCATCGGAGCCTGGTTCGTGCTGCTGTGGACCGTCATCTCGACGATTCCCTTCTTCAGACGTATCAAGTACGAGCTGTTTGTGCTACAGCACATCCTCTCCGTTGTCCTGTTGCTGGTGCTCCTGGTCCTCCATGTCCCAGACCACCATCTGTTCAGCATCTGGTGCGCCGTGGGCGTCTTTGTGTACGACGTCGTAACACGCTCGGCGAATCCGATCTGGCGCAACATCCGGCTACGATTCTCGGGAACCCCCTCCGTTCGATGTGCACATGATGCCAAAGTCGAGGCCGTTGACGATGAGTTGACTGCCGTCACAATTCGGAACGCCGGCTTCAAGTGGACCCCGGGACAACACGTCCTTCTCTGGACGCCGACGTTTCGGTGGGAATCACCACATCCTTTCACCATCTCCAACATTCCGAATGCCGAGTCGTCCACGCAGGATGTTCAGCTGACACTAAAGGCGAAGAATGGGCTGACGAGGAGGCTCAACAGTTGGGGTCGAAGGACGGAGATTAGTGGAGGCGATGGCACTCTGCGAGTCTTTCTAACGGGGCCTTTTGGGCATGTGCCCAATTGGAGACAATACGACAACTTGGTCCTCATTGCGGCTTCCACGGGAGGATCCTTCACCACGCCTATCCTCGAGGACCTACTCTCATCACAGGCGCCCGGCTGTGTTCGGAAGATTAATGCCCTGTTCATCGTCCGACGCAAAGCCCACGCCGACCCATACCTCAAACAGATATCTCGAGTGTTATCCAGGGCAAAGGAGATGGGTATATCTGTGAGGGTAGAGGTCGCCGTCACCAAGGGCCCCAAGAGCGCAACCCAGACGGCACTGCATGACGACGTCGACGAAAGCCGCGAGAGGTTGATTGAGCCAGAGTCCCAACAAGCAGGTAGAGGCGCGAGTGTCGAGTTAGAACGTTTCTCGATCGACTCTTCGCGGTCATCAGGCAGTGAACGGGATGACCAGCTACTGAAAGAAGAAGTGGAACTGGGCTTCGATGGAGGGTATGCTTACGACTCATCCTCGATAGAGCATAGTGAAGGACGGCCTGACATCGCAACATTTATCCGGACTGCTGTTGGTAATGTTCCTGGAAGCGTTGCCGTGGCGGTATGTGGTGGCGACGCGATCGAGAAGGCGACACAAAGGACTGTTGCGTCGCTTCGAGCGGAGCGTAGTTCGGACGGCCTTGGGACTCATGACATCTTTCTGCACGTGGAGCGTTCGGATATCTAATTTTTACTCTATTGTTAATGTCGAATACGATGAAATCTTACTTGTTAATGTTGTTGATGCCTGCTCCATGTTGAGGTCTGCATAGGCATGGTGTTGAGAATGATGGATGAGACTAGAATGGTTAGGTGAGTCCAAGACAAGATGACAACATGAACAAACTAATAGCACATATCAAGCCTATAACATTTGACTATATAAAGAATGTGGACTGAGGTGTAGGAGGCATCATCGGTCGAACGCAGTTCTCACGTCAAATGTTAGCCGGGTCTAGGGTGGCAGGTCAGAACTCGCAGACTACATGCATCAAGGCCATCGAGTTCCGGGCCCATATCGACGCCTAATCCCTGATTGTAAATGAATTCCGGGGAAGTGCAAGGGCGTGCGATCTGACTGCCGGCGCTAGGCATCATGTTGAATGTGCATCTTACCAGGCATGGAAAGGGATGTGGGTTTTACTAGTTCTATCTTGTTTGGCCTCGGACATCTCCCGAATGGGTCAATACTTATCAATCAAGAACACATCTTTGTTCTATGCTCGGTTCCGACGTGAATAGTGACATTTCGGCGAACAAGTAAAGCATCCAAATCGGCGAGTGACGAAATCGACCGCGGCGATTGAACTGTATGACAGGCATATTGTTCACCAAGCGAACATATGCGCATATCTCATACCAATGGGTTCAGTGCATTGTCCCACCACGTTAATCAGTCAAAAAGAGCCATGTTTTAATATTCGTACTCACTGGCAATTATATGGAGCTATGTTGAACAAGGTCTTGGAAGTATATAATGTGGTGATGGGTCTGTAGCGTTGGCATTTACGCTCGACAAGAGGATCACACTACGAGACAGCAAACTTAACGAAAAAGACATCAAGTAAACCAATCACGTAGCCGCTATTATGGCATCTGAGACTGGCAACGGTTCATCCGCAGGCGCAGCCGACACGGGCAGGGACGCTGACCTCTCGCCTTCGACTTTCAGCCGTCCCCTGAGACACTTTCGCGCCAACAGACAATGGAAAGAAAACGTAGCGCGGGTCCTGGGGGACGAATTCGAAGGTAAGTGGTCATCCATCCACGAAATGATGGAAGACCTACAGACAGCCGAACCGTTTGAAGACCAAGCCGGAGAAAAGTGGACGCAAGAGGAGACGGAGCGGGTTGCGCGTCTCATCTGCTGGGGCTTGACGAACGAGATGATTGGGAAGATTATCGGGAGGACGGCAACAGCCATCGGTGCTCATGTTCGTAAAAATGAGGACAGTGTAGAGGTCACCAAGGGGCATGAGGAGCATGTCTTGAACTGCCAAGCCCCTGGTCCCAGCGAGAAGAGGCAGCTCGACGTAATCTGGTGGTAAGATAATATCCCGGTGAGTATCGAGATGTTGTAAGATGGCAAGTCGAGTAAGTAGAGCATATCGCTGCATCTACAGAGACAGCGGCGTAGTAAATTGACAATTCCCCAGATACACACCACCAACAGTCCCTTCGGTGATTATTCTCCATGAGCACTTTACAAACCATCCACTAACAGTCAAGCCCAAGAACCTGACCATCTCCAGAGCGCATTACCCCAGATCTAGCAGTCAAAACCCTGGAGTCCGGGATCATTCCAGCACGGTGATTCGAGGATCATTGCCGACCTGATCCCGGGGTAGAGCGACCGAACAAGGCTCCGACCGTTCTCGAATTACATGAGGCGTCCGGAGCCGAGACGTGATGACCTACAAACGTGAGCTTTGCTTGGTCGGTTGATAACCGAGTGATGCCGATGATGGTCTGTGCCCGTCTCGGCCGGGCGGAAGGTGAGGGGCGCCCAGAGTTGGAGAAGGGGGATCCACTTCCGGCTCGGGCTCGGTTGACGGAGCCCCGAACGGAAGGGCCGGGGGTGGCTGAGGAGGGATGTGAGTTGATCAGGGAGATTTGAGAGAGAAAAGGAGAGAGAAAGATTAAGAATTAAGTTCATAAAAGGTATTGAATTGTTTGACTAGATTGCCTTCTGCAATCTTGACTCGTGCGTGATACAATTGCCCAGATCCTTGGCCCGTCAAGCAGGAATCAGGCCATTGCCAACGCTCATCCCTACGGCGTTAGATCCCATCGCCGATGCACCTTTTTTCTCGGCACCGTCGGTAGATCTGTCCTTAATCCAGCGGTGGAGGATACTGTAGAGTAACAACAACTGCAACCTGCTCATCTGGAAGGGATGCATCACCAAGAACCGGAGTTGTAAACCCGAAGCAGCCGCCGCCTGTCAAGCTGCATGTGGCGCAGCAGCAACACAGATGCGGGGTCTCAACCAGAAAACTTCCCTTACCCCCGCCGCTTGTGGCTGAAAATGTACCTCGTGGGCAGAAGCCAGGGTGGAGGGTACCTGACAGATCCACTAAATTTGGAGTAAAGTCCCCCCAAAATCTGCCACCGCGTGGTTTGAACCGTCCACTAAAGCCCGCCACAGAGCAGCAGCAAAGAAAAAAAAAAGACCGCCCACAGAGGGGTGGGAAGGAGCTCCACAGTCTCGTCACCCCGACGAACTAGTCCGGCCTTGGAGTTTGTGTTGCCGCATTCTGGTCTTCTTCTACCTCCTCCTCCTCCACCTCTTCCCTTCTTCCTCTCTTCCTCCTCGACTCTCTCCGTGTGCTTCTTGGACAATCTCCGCTCCTCTTTCTTTCTTCCTCAGTCCCGGCGTTTCCTCTCACAGCTCTCCATCATGGCGTCCCCTGTCGCATCCGCCGCCCTCAAGGCGCGCGTTCGCAATCCCGCCCTCCTCAAGAAGCTCGCCCGACCTGAGGATCTGATGCACCACTTCCCCAATGGCGCTTATATCGGCTGGTCTGGTTTCACCGCCGTCGGTTATCCCAAGTAAGTCTTGTTTGCTGCTGGAACCGCAGAGTTCTGCGTGTCCTTTTCTGAAGCTGTCTCGCCTCGTCTTATCCCGGCTGGAATACGGCTCCCCACCGGCTATTGTGGGAGTGAAAGCCTCACATTACCCGAGCATTGACCAGAAACTGTGGGATCATGAGCTGACCAGGTCGTCCCCATGATAATAGGAAGGTCCCTGTCGCCATGGCCGACTATGTCGAGCAGAACAACCTCCAGAGCAAGCTCAAGTACTCTCTCTTCGTTGGCGCCTCGGCCGGTTCCGAGACTGAGAACCGATGGGCCGCTCTCGACATGATCAACCGCCGAAGCCCTCACCAGGTCGGCAAGGACATTGCCAAGGGCATCAACTCTGGCCGCATCAACTTCTTCGACAAGCACCTGTCCATGTTCCCCAGTGACCTTGTCTACGTATGACCTGAGCCCGCTCCTTCGGCCCCACCGGCCAGCCCCTCGGCCTCGCCTTAATCTCACACCGAGGTTGCGAAGCTGTTTGGGAAGCAATTGAGCTGACTTTGCGAAATAGGGCTACTACACCAAGGACCGCGCCAACTCCAACCTCGACGTGACCGTCGTTGAGGCTACTGACATTCTCGAGGATGGCAGCTTCGTGCCTGGTGCCTCAGTTGGTGCCACCCCTGAGCTCATTCAGATGGCCGACAAGGTATGTTATCTCTAGCCAGTCCCCGCTATCGCCTGTCAGGCCACGGGACAGGAAAATGGAGACAGGAGCTCACAATTGCGCGCCCACGCCCGTATAGATCATCATCGAGGTCAACACCGCTATCCCCTCTTTCAAGGGTCTCCACGACATCACCTTCACCGACCTTCCCCCCCACCGCAAGCCCTACAACATCACCGCCGTCGAGGACCGCATTGGATCTCCCTCGGTCAAGGTTGACCCCTCCAAGGTTGTGGCCATCGTCGAGTCCGACTACTGGGATGCCACCGGTCCCAACGCCCCCGAGGATGAGACCTCTCGCCAGATCGCTACCCACCTGATCGAGTTCTTCGAGCACGAGGTCGCCCAGGGCCGCATGCCTGAGAACCTCCTTCCCCTCCAGTCCGGCATTGGCAACGTCGCCAACGCCATCGTCGGTGGCCTGAACGAGTCCAAGTTCAAGAACCTCAAGGTCTGGACCGAGGTTATCCAGGACACCTTCCTCGACCTGTTCGACTCTGGCAAGCTCGACTACGCTACCGCCACCTCGATCCGATTCTCCCCCGATGGCTTCAAGCGCTTCTACGACAACTGGGACGCCTACGCCGACAAGGTCCTCCTCCGAAGCCAGGCCGTCTCCAACGCCCCCGAGATCATCCGCCGCCTCGGTGTTATTGGCATGAACACCCCCGTCGAGGTGGACATTTACGCCCACGCCAACTCCACCTGTGTTAGCGGCTCTCGCATGCTCAACGGTCTGGGTGGTTCCGCCGACTTCCTCCGCAACTCCAAGTACTCCATCATGCACACTCCCTCCAGCCGACCTTCCAAGACCGACCCCAACGGTGTCTCGTGCATCGTCCCCATGTGCACCCACATCGACCAGACCGAGCACGACCTGGACGTGATTGTCACCGAGCAGGGTCTCGCCGATGTTCGCGGCCTCAGTCCCCGCGAGCGTGCCAAGGTCATCATCAACAAGTGCGCGCACCCCAAGTACCAGCCCATCCTGAACCACTACTACGACAAGGCCGAGTTCGAGTGCCTCAAGAAGGGTATGGGCCACGAGCCTCACCTGCTCTTCAACGCCTTTGACCTCCACAAGGCCCTTGCCGAAGAGGGCAGCATGCTCAAGGTCAAGCCTTGGTAAATGTGCCCCCGGTCGTGTATAATTAGCGAGAGAAAAAGAGAAGCCGGCGGAGGAAGGTAGTCAGTGTGGGACCCGGAAAGGAAGCTTCAATCGAGCTGCGAGGAGGTTCGGGTACTACATATTGGGCCATATAGAGTTTTGATGATATTCCCGGCACAATTGAGCATTGATTTTGACCATTTGCCTTGTCCCTTGATGTTTTACGTGTGTACCGATCATCGGCGCCATCGGTTCCGAGTACGGTCCCCGTCAGGTCCGACTCGGAGTATTACCTACAAAGTTTCATTAGCGCCATGTCTTTACTTGTTGAGTCGACGTCATTCGGAAATTCGGGCTTTTGACAAGAGCATCGCATCGCGGGGTCACAACGCCGGGTTTCCGCTCACCTGACGTAGCTTTTCGGAGCTTGATTTGAAGTCCACGAATTATGTTCAAACATGTCCGACTACAAGAGGCGTTTCTCTAGTTTTGTAGATGCATCTATGGCTTCAATGGTCAATGGCTTTGTTGCATTGATTGATTTGGGGGGTTGCGCTCGGATCTACTTTAAGCTGGTCTGAGGCCGAGACATGAGATTGAAAGCCACGAGACATTGTGAGATTCGGAACATGTCCGTAATGTAAAGGTATCTGCTACTTTTTAGTATCTCCGGAAGTATACTTGTCACTTTACTCTGTGGCTGAGTAAGACTGAATGATCAAGTCCAGATCGTCTTGGAGGGTGGGTGATGTGGTGGACTGCTTGATGAATTCAAGCAGAAAGAAGGTAGCACAAGGATCGACTACTGTTGTGTTATGGAATTAGTGAAAGACGGCATATGGACTCCTGTGAGGGGAAACGCAATATTCTTGACTGATCTATGTAACACTTTTCTCTTCATCGACGTCGACTCCAAAAGAGACCATCAGCTAGGTACCACAGTATGAGATACAGTTATCAATGCATGACCACAAGCAAACCTAATGACATAAAACACCGTAGATACATAAACCTTCCATAGTAGAGAAAAGAATTGCTTGCTTGATCCATATAGTTGAGTATCATATCAAACTCGTTATTTGATCTAAATATATGGGCCAGATAATGTGTTGCACCCTTCCAGAGTCACGATATTCGATCATATTTCCCACCTACGATATCTCTGCCTAATGGACTTGACCGCGGTACGACGAACACTCATGAGTCCAAGATACTCGCATTAGCACAACTCATCTGTAGTGTCGCTAGATAACACCTATTCTGATCGAACCAACGGCGCACGTGACAGCCCGCCAGGGTCGCGAATGAGGCTAAAACCAATCCTTCAGCTCAAGTGTGCCTTGCAAGGGTGTGCTCAAGATTACGTGTCGATTAATTGCACACATATGAAGCGTCGTGGCCTCATTCCAAACATTTCAAACATCTTTAGAACATCGCCAGAATGGACAAGTTCGAAGACAAGACCATTACGCTGCCCGACGGTAGGCTCATGGCTTATGCCATCTACGGCGTCGACGATGTCGCGGCACCTACAATCTTTTACTTTCACGGCTTCCCGGGTTCTCACCATGAGGGGTATCAATCAAACGCCGCTGCCCTCAAGCATGGCATCCGCGTCATCGCTCCGTCGCGGCCTGGCAGCAGCATGTCGACATTTCAGCCCAACCGCCAGCTCACCGACTACCCCAGCGATATTCTAGCGCTGGCCGATCATCTCTCTGTTGGCAAGTTCGCCATCATCGGCGTTTCTGGAGGCGGTCCGTACGCTATCGCATGTTTCAGAGGGATCCCGCGTGATCGCCTCGTGGGCGTTGGTCTTGTTGCTGGGTTGATGCCTTCGTCGTTGGGCACGGCGGGCATGTTGATGAAGACCCGCATCATGCTGGGTATTGCGCCCTGGGCTACTGGACTTTTGGGATGGTTGGTGGATGGACAGATGGGAGCAGCAGCTCGAGATGATGACCCAGAGAAGATGCAAAATCTACTGGACCAAGAATTCTCAGGACGTCCTGAAAAGGATAGAGACATGTGGGAGAATTATCCAGAGATGAAAGAGGTCATTGTTCGCTCGATGCGAGAAGCCACCAAGGCAGGCGGATACTCGATGGCATGGGAGGCTCGCCTCTACGGGAGCGATTGGGGATTCAAGCTGGAGGACATCAAGGTTGAGAAGGGACGGATGATATTCTGGCATGGAGATGAGGATGTGAATGTCCCCATTAGCATGGCTGAGAAGGCAGTAGCACTGATGCCGGGTTCTGAGTTGAGGGCTCAGAAGGGGGAGACGCATATGACTGTTGTGGTTAGGATGGATGAGTATTTGGGAGAGTTGAAGGCTATGTTGGCTTAGTGAGATGTAACTTTGAATTCTGACGTGTGAGATTGGGGTTTGGAGCTGACTGGCACATTTTATAGCGTATGATTCACTTGTTCTTCTGGATCGAATTACTAGCTAAAGAAATTCAAGTTGTGAAAAAATTCAAATTCTGTCCCATTTACTTCTAACATAAGCCTCATCGTCTAAATTCATGGCATTTACCATGGGAGGTTTAAACATTAGATCTAGGTACCTCTTAGGATGTAAGTCTTCGAGGCTTATGTGATCTACTTACTCTCTTCGGCATTTGCTCGAACGTCATGAAACTCTGGTACATAAAAGAGACTTAGCTGAATATCCCATAGCATTGAGCTTGCAATCTAACGTTAGGTACTGTAGATCAGTCGGGGATTCCTGATCTCCCTTAGCTTCTAACTTTCCCCGGCTCCTGGGGCTATGGAAGGTGTGCCGATTGGCCTCGATCAGTTGAACCGAATTTTAAGGTTTAACAGCTAAATGAAGCCATCCAGGGGGGCCAGATTCGTCTTGGATAAAGTGCTTGGCATACATGAACGTTGTAGACCATTGCATTATTCCGCTGTCGTTACGCTCACTTTGTTAGCGATCTAACACTGGCATGAGGGATGGAGAGGAGACTAATGTCATCTAGTGGGATATCGAAGGGCTGTGACAGGAGCCCTTCAAGTCTATATTAATCTATCTATTCCTTCTCTAGAAGTTCGACCGGGTTGTGTTCCTCCATAGCCGGTACCAACCGCGACACAATAGCCCATACTCGCTCCTTCTTCTGCATAGTATAAGGGCAGAGGACCCAAGAGTATCCTGCCATCAAAGACTTGCGATACTCTTCCATAACTTCAGGATCATCCCTCGAGAGCTTTGGTCCACCAAATTCGTGCAACTTGGCGAGGTAGTGGTCGAGTATATCCATCTCGTGCTCCTTGCGATCTTCAATTGTGAGCGCTGTCATGACAAAGTAGGCAACATCTGTGAAGCACGATCCGGAGTGGATGATTTGCCAGTCGAGAACCATGGGTGCATCCTTCTCTTCGGACCACGCCATGTTGCCCAGATGTGCGTCTCCGTGAAGAATGCACTGGAACTTTGGATTCCGGGTGGCGAACCACTTCTCTATGGCGGCTGTCATCTTTTTCTGGTCCTTCATGTACTCGGGCACAGGAGGCCGATCTTCAGCCAGCACAATCGCATCCCACATTGCGCAGAGTCCTAGCACTGAGGTTTCGTAGTGACTGTCCAACCAGGGGACGCTAGTGGCGTCGAATCCCCAGGTGCCAGCGTGCAGGGCGGCAAAGTCCTCGACGACCTTCTTGACACGGTGAACGGGCCATGTGTCGACGGGGTCGGCAAATGAATAGCCTGCAGCACCGATGTCCTCCATAATCAGGACGGCGTTCTCTGAGTTCTTCTCAGCCCACAGCTTCTTTGGCACATTGAGATGAGGTACTCGAGGTGCTAGGTTGTTGTAAAAGTCAACCTCGCGAGTGTAGAGCGACAAGATGAAGGGGAACTGCGACAGCATAGTAGGGTTGAAGCCACCCTTGACGCAGACGTTTAGCTTCTTCTCGTCATCATCCTCGGGTGTGGCGGTCACGAGCACCAAGGTTGCAGTGCCAGCGACGGTCTTGTTCACTTCAATCTTGGCATTTTTGAGACCAATCTTGGGGGAGAGCCATTCGGCAGTAATGTCCTCGGGAAGACGGGGGAGAGCTTCGGTAGTTGCCATTGTTATTTCTGTTGGTTTGTCTTGGGAGCAGGTGATCGTCATGTAATGTGTGCAAGAAGCAAGTAATGAGGAGAATTGTGTGGGCTAGTGAAGGAAAGGGGCTCTTGTTATAGGATAAGACGGGGGATTCCCAACCCCCGGTTTCCCTGACCCCTGAGCAGTTGGTTTACGTATTTGGCTGTTGGTTCTTACATGTCAACTTCGATAGTTGATTCAACTGATCAAGGCCAATAAGTGTACCTTGCTGTTCTCCGGAGACCGGGGTGGAGGTTAGAAACCACTAAGCGGAACCGAAGATAAAAAGGCCAGGGTTCCTGATCCATCGGCTCGTCTCTCTCCCGTTTAGGTATAACCTGTCCCGACTCCATGCGCTACGTGGTCAAGGCTTGAAGAAACCGGGGTGAACCAACAGACACAACGCAGCCGTAACACAACTAAAAGCTGGGACTACGAGTGGAAATCAGCCGAGAACGTTGTCCTAGCCTCTTGGTGAGGCTGGTCATCTCGGCTATTCTGATCCCCCCTGATGAGAGATGTAACGCCCGCCTTTAGGAATGGGTGATTCCCGTTGTGTAAGCGGGACAAGCCGGCGGTTTAGCTTAGCCAGCGCCTCGTCTCGCATTTGACCCATATCATTAACCGTATACGACCGGGGAGCAGTCAATTCGAGTCACGATTATAATCCATTGTATTTTGTAACCTCGAATACCAGGTCCGCAACTTGTGGTATTCGTGGCGGGAGCGATACCTCTTGGCAATATTCATCATGTCCAAGTATGGACTTGAGATAGCTTCTTCTCTGCTGAATTGAGCCAAGCACGCCTTATAACTAACAAGGCATTTGTCCCGAAAACCCAACATCGAGCCCAGTATGATCCCCGTCCTGATCGGCGCCTTACCCATGAGGCTTTCCCCAAGGTCACTCCATGCCCCTGTTTCACGTATTCTTCATCAGCTCATTGTCAGCCACCGTTCTTTTTTCTTGTCTTTGCTTTTTGTTTTGTCTAGTTTGCATTAGCCCAGAATGAAACAGCACAAGACCAGCTAGTTGAAATAGTCGCCAACGTCGCAGTACTAGGTAGCAGGGGAATCCTAGATCACCCCATAAAATCACGGAACCTCGAAGGGCTTCGGGACAGGATTACAATTGTAAAAGTGGCATAAATACTCGTACCTTATAATCTGACGAGAAGGGAATCAGGGATTAGCTGCTTGTCGCAATCTATCTTGCATAGCTTTCTGTCCGTTGAGAAACCTCTCTCTTGGCTGCACCCAACACAACGGTATGATCCTTGCAGCTCTGTACCAGACCATCGTTTTGCAACCCTCCCGACATGAACCCACAACCCGGCGGATCACTGCTACGCTACGGCTACCAGTATAAAATTTTCGGGGCAAGGGACCAGGGCCCTGGGCCCGGATGAACTAGTAGTGTTTCCGGAGGATAAAGGGGAGATGGCGAGTCTCTCGCCTGTTGTCGATCAACGGTGCGTTGAAGTTATTCTTGGCCATCGGCTGGTCTAAATAAGCCAGCGCCGTCCCGCGCCGGCTCATCAATTGCGGCTACCTATCTTTTGATCATTGTTATCTTTTTTTCCAAACGAAACGGCTTGCCGTTGTCCATTCTCTGTAAGCGAAGCACCTTTTCCTTTCCTGCAAGGCGACGAACTAAACCGTTTACTACGCAGACAATCATGGCCACACGCGACACTCTTTCTCCGGTGATGGCCGCCTTCATTGGCATCGACGTCTTCGTGGTCCTCGCGCGACTCGGCGTGCGCATCAAGTTGACCACACTCGGTTACGACGACTATGTCATTGCAGTAGCACTTGTAGGATTCATTCTCATGTGTTCCTTCTGCTTCATGTCTCTCTCATACGGCTTCGGCGAAACCGACCCCCTCGTCATCGCCAAACTCGACAACTACAATGTCATGGAGGCCTCGAGGTACTTCACCATCGCCCAGATCACCTACGTCGCCGGTTTCCCCATCGTTCGAATCAGCGTGGCATTGGTCTTGCACCGAATCGTCCAGGGATGGCCTCGCACCCAGCGTTTGCTTGTAGTATCCATGGTCTTTGTCGGTGTCTACGCCCTAGGCTGCCTTCTGGTCGATGTCCTGCAGTGCATCCCGCTGAAGGCAGTCTGGGGAGATGGCACTGGGAGGTGTCTTAGTTCGTCGCAACTAGCAGGGCTGGGCTTTGCTGTGTCGGCGCTGGACATAGCATCTGCGCTATTCTATGCCGTGCTTCCTGTCTTCTTGCTCAAGGGCTTGCAGATGGGAACAAGGACCAAGGTCGCCATTATTATCTTGCTGGGTCTCGGCGCCGGAACTGTTATTGTCAGCATTGTGCGGCTCAAGAGCTTGATCCAAATCGTCGGGTCCAAGGACATTGCCGCTGCATTGGACCTCCAGCTCGAATCGTTCATCTAGTGCGTCTTTCTCCAACCCTTTCTCTCCAAGACAACTTCAAGTTCAGCCTTACTGACTATAACCTCAGCTCTGTCCTCGAGTTCGGCCTATCCATCTTGACCGCCTCACTGGTGGCCTTCCGTCCCCTCATCAAATACTTGCCGTTTGGCAGCCATGGACGCAGTTCCGGCTTCCGAGGGCCCTCTGCCGGGACTGGGCCTTCGGGCACCGGTGGTACAAACAATTTTGAAATGGGCCGTCGCAATTATGTCAACGTCCCCGATCCAGCCCGGATGGACTCTGACGACGGGGATAGTCAGCGCAACATCTTGCGAGAAGAGACAAATAGTGCGAAGGATTGGAAGCACTCTCAGACTAACGTCACTGTAACAACCAGGATACACAAGCCATGACAAGATTCGCATCTATCTTGGTAAAATAAAACAAAAAGAGTTAAATACATGCGCCTCCCTCTCGTGACTTGGCCTCTTGGGATCTCCAGGGTCCTTGATCCACCGGCCATTGCCTGGAAGATCCCTAAGGCAAAGCCAAGGTGTGATAATCCCTACTAGAATAGGAGAGGACATGTCTCTAAATCAGAGGTGTGATCTGACTCTGGAAAAGGGGTTGCTATTGGGCGGCTATTTACCTGGATAAATCGCCAAACAGCATCTTTCGTCACCAAAAGCTAGGCAACGTCATCTCTGCGGCACGGTCAAGAACATGGTGTGCTCTTTTTGGAAAGATGTAAGGACCAAGCACTTGGGCTGATGTCACATCAATTCTCAACTCGAGTGCCAGTGGCTTATGGGCGTGTTCATGTGAGGCTTTGCGTGGCGTAACAGGGTAATGATAGACAACATGAGTACGACATGGAGGCGAATTTTCATGACCGAGGCAGTAACTTGGAAAATCGGAGAGTCTTGGGGTGGCACTGATCATCATGAGGTTCGTCTATATAAACCCCGTTGCCTTCCTCGCAAATCAAGAGGTTGACAATTCAAAAACACCACCTACAATCAAAATCACAAAAGGTCACAAAACTCGACAAGACCATCTGCCTCATCTTGAGTAAACATTTACAAACCTCTTACTTACCCAGACCTCAACATGGCTTCCAAGTAAGCCCAAACCAAGACAGATATCTCAATGCTCTACTAACATACCAATAGCTCTAAGCGCCGCTTCTCTCTCAGCGCCCTGTCCCCTGCCTCTACGAGATACAAGCAAGTCATGGGCAACCGGAACGAGCAACGTCGATCCATCGACTCAACAGCTAGCGGCTCTACCCTCGGTGACATGCCTGTCACTGAGGTCGAAAAGCATGTCGTGGATCCGGCCTATCGCTGGACCACTGCCAACAGAATGGGCTAGGGAACTTGAGCTTGAGCATGGGGATTGTACGAGTAGGACACTGCTGAAAAATGGAGGGGTGGAGTATGCAACTGTACATTAGTCTAGCAAAATAGGTTCCGCAATTTGACCGATCGTTTCTTACCTGCATTAGGTGCCTCTTTGTCGGGACGCCCGGGAGTCCAATAACCATACGCCTCTGGCCTTGGCTCTGCGTTTGATGAGACATGCCCTGGGCAGGGGTAAGCGTATACCACGAGGCGTCAACTAAAAACATGGCTTGAGTGTGTTTGTCAGTGCAAGTGTGTCAACGATGTCTATGATGAGACTTCGTAGCTATCATTGGAATGGGCATCCAAGAGTACATATGTCCTGATTCATAAATGAACAATCATGATAGAACAACATGTTGAATCTAGGCTATTCATCTAAGCTTTTACATCAAGCTTTATGGTATCTAACACAGCATTTACTTGGACACAGGCTCAGGCTTGGATCCATAAGGAATCATCCTCACCATGTGCCTCCTCTCACTATCCTGGAAATCCGGCACAGCAGAGTGTCCCGCCGACCTCTGATCCCAGATAACAACTGTCCCCTTTTCCCACTTTACGCGGCAGCTAAAGTCCAAGCTGCGAATGTGGTTGTGTAGGAACGATAGTAGGTGCTGTGACTCCTCGGGCAGGAAACCCTCGACCTGACGGGCGATGGTCGGGTTGACAAAGAGTGCGGGCTTTCCGGTTACGGGATGCTTGATCACGAGGGGATGAGTCGTGTTAATGGCTTCTGCGAGGGCGCGCTCGGTGCCGACTCTTCTGACTTCACCTTCAGAGGCGGAAGTGTGCTGGAGTTTTAGGGATAGGAGAGTCTCCCTGAAGGCGGGGGAGAGAGCCTCGTAGGCGTGTGTGAGAGATGTAAAAGCAGTGTCGCCACCACCAGACTGGGGGATTTCTAGGACCCAGAAGAAGGTGGTTGAGGGGACGTTGGGGGTAAAGGTCTGGTCGATGTGCCAGAGGTCGTAGGTTGTGCGAGGACCAAGTAGGCTTCTCAAGTTGCCGCTGGGCTTTGTTAGATGCCGAACGTAGATATGTGATGATGATAAACTCACGACTTCTCATCAGCATAGACCACGTGGAATTCAGGACCAGTTCCCTTGGGATAGCCCATGGTGGGATGTAAATGAAGAGGGCCATAATGCTTCACAATCTCACGCTGTCGGTCAAACCCAACATCGGCAAAATCCTGGTCTCTCTGATGACATTATTAGCTGGCGTGCAAGCGTAGGAGCAATTCATCTTCTCACAAAAACAACAACACCTCTCTCAGCTGCCAGAAGAGCAATCTCATCAAGACCCTCGCTGCTCAGCTTGCTAATCTGCACACCCCGGATCTCAGTGCCAATGCGGGGGGTAATGTCGGTGACAGTAGCGCCGGCCTTCAGAAGAGAGGGCTTAGCGGGATCTGCGCGGAGCCCCGGCTCGTCGCCGTCGAACAAGGGTACGGCTAGAGGGGCGACATAGCCGTCGGACCTGGTGGGGAGGTAGGCAGGGTAAAGAGGTTCAGACATGGTGAATAATGGCGGTTGAATATTGTTTGACTCAAGATCTGTCTGAGAATCGCATGCTGTTTAATGCAAATGAATCCTCTTGTTAAACCGGTCGCTTATCTCCGCCGTCGGATCCAGTAACCGTCGACCTATACCAGAACGGATAACGTTGGCTGTCGTCATCGGCCGCCAAGACGTCCTACGCAGCGCTAGACGGGGTAAAATCTATCATCATTTCAAGGGTTGAAGACGACATCGACTCTCCATCGGAAGCATGCAACCGCCCCTCGGAGCTGTCCAATGGAATTGCTTCTGATTCAACGCTTGGAGTCTCTTGTGGATCAGTTCTACGGGAGTTTGGACCCTGTAGGATACAGCGATTGTGCAGCAAATCCGCTGCTGGGTCGGTCGACTACAGTCATTTCTGCCCCCGTTGCGGAATCGTCAAGACTGATCTCGTCATAATAGCTTCGACATAGAAAGTGATTAGTTGGGGAAATTAGCGAGACCATGCCTACAAGCTTTTACTCCCCTTGTCCAGATGAATAAGACGCCATGTAAAAAAACATTTATATCGTCCGTGAACTTAAATACGGGCTTTTCACCTTGCGCCTGCTCTTGAAGTTGATCAGTTCAAGCCGCGATTGTTCTCTGGTGATATCTTGACTGTTTTGCCCAACATGTCGCCGACTACCAGTCTCAAGAATGACTCGACGTCTGATGAGCGACCAGCTGTCGCCTTTGTCGAGTCGACATCATGGCTTGCAAAGGTGCATCCTTACTTTAAGGATCCCTCGCATGTGTTGGTCTTGAAGCTCGATGTTCTCCTCCTTGTATGGGCATTCATTGCCGGATTATTCAAGGTAAGCTACCACAACAATGCCCATCTCAATCTCACCAACTGACAAATCCCAGGACATGGATCAATCTGCTACAACCGCAGCCTACGTCTCCGGCATGAAAGAAGATCTCTCCCTCTTCGGCAACGAGCTCGTCGAGTTCACCACCTACTTCTCCATCGGCTATGCCATCTTCATCGTGCCCTCCCAGCTGATCCAGACCCGTGTCCGCCCCTCGCTTTTCCTCCCCGTGTGCGAGATCATCTGGGGCTTGTTCACCCTGTTCACGTATAAGGCTGGTAACGCAAAGACCATCTTTGCGCTGCGCTTCTTTCTCGGCGTGTTTGAGTCGACGTCTTGGCCTGGCATTGTGAACTTGATTTTCAACTGGTACTTATAAGATCCAAAGAAAATTTGATTGGTAATTTCTAACATGATATAGGTATCGTCCTGAGGAGCTTGGCAAGCGCTTGGCAATCTTTGGTGTCAGCGGTGTCGCGGGAAACATGTTCCTCGGTATCGTCCAAGCAGCTCTGTACAAGAACCTGAACGGTCACCTCGGCCTCGCAGGCTGGCAGTGGCTCTTCATCGTCTCCGGCGCTATGACCATCCTCTGGGGTCTCGTTGGTCTCGTCATCATCCCCGACTCGCCAGCCATCACCCGAGCGCTGTACCTTACTGAAGAAGAGAGGGAGTTGTCTCGACAGCGGATGGCTGACAGTGGGACAAAGACGTCCAAGCTGATCCCGTTCAAGACACTGGTTGAGAAGCTGAAGCTACTTGTCAAGAGCCCTCTCTCATATCTCTTCCTTGCTGCGTATCTTCAGTTTGCCTGGAGTCAGCGCGCCAACGCATACTTCCTTCTCTTCCTCAAGGGTCTCACAAACGCGGACGGAACCCCACGATACTCGGTCTACACGGTCAACCTGATTCCCCTCGGTGGATACGCCATCAGCATCGTCTGCAATATCGGCCTGAATGCCCTGAGTGATTGGAAGGCTTGGCGATGGCAGGTCAGTATCGGCGCTGCAACGCTCCAACTCGTTGCAACTTCGGTCTTGTCAGGCTGGCCCGACTCCTGGCAGACCATCATGGCCTTTTACTTCTTGACATTTGCCACGGCGGCTTGGGGATATGCGCTCATTGCCTGGCTGGCCGAGATCCTCCGCAAGGAGCCCGAAGTCCGGTCCATCCTCGTCGCCATGGCCGTCACGCTAGTCTACGTTGGCCACGCCACAATTCCACTCCGTGCCTGGAGAGTCGCTGACTCCCCCAAATATCCCATTGGTTTCCCTCTGGCTGCAGCCTTCAGCGTTGGAAGCATTGTCGCCATTATGGGAATGTGGTTCTATGTGCGAAAGTACCCTGAGATTGAGGACTGGGGTCTGGATAGAGAGGCTGGTAAGGATAGGGCTGTTGAGGAGATTGTTTCCAGTGGTGAGGACCAGAAGGAGCCTACGGGGAGGACTGCTCGGGTTTGAGGCAAGCAAAATACTAGAGAGTTATCTTCACCTTGAGGGTACATTGCTATTGTCCAATAATTATTATTTGAACTATCTAGTTTCGTACATTGTCTATTATTTTCCCTGACCATATTCACTGCCTTCTAGTCCTGGCTGCTTAGCCTTTGTTTCTATTATCTAGCTTTGAATTGAAAAAGTAGGCACGCGGTATGTTACTGAAACTCTTGTTATCCTCTTGTTGTTATACCACAGAAAGCCGGTTTGTCTTGGTTACCTTTTGTCGTCAGGTCCTGTGGGCAGTTCCGGTGGTGGTTCTCGACCAGCCTCGACTGTGAATTATTTGTTGGCCCTAGGGTCAGCTAATGTAGCCACTACCGCAAAGTGAGCTACCTGTCAGAGACTGCAGTGGCTTGCAAGGGTATTGGCCTCACCGGCTTGTATCTGCTGCATCGAAACGGTAGGCTGGCACAAAAGGCCTGGTTCAGCGAATAGCTATTGAGTCGTTACCTCCTCTGGCTACCGGGGCATCATCACGACCCTTGCCCGTCGGCAATCGTCATAACCTTGGACATCCCCTCCAGGTCAGCCTCATCCAGGCGATCCCGGTAATCCTCACAGTCTCCCGGCCTGTCACTACACTGCGGGTCAAACACAATGGGGTCATCTTTCGGCACCGTCCCCGTAACCTTCCGCCATGCCTCCTTGAGATCATGCAGCCCAGACACAGACGTTCGGACCTTCACCTTGCCTAGGAACTGCCCGTTATCCCTCGGCTGTCTTTTAAGCAACACTGCCGTGCGAATGTAGCTTGGAACTCCAGACTCAGTCGCCTCATTTTCAACCAAGTCCCATCTCGCCCCGTTCGCCTGCGACCTCAGCCCCTCACCAAAGTGCTTATCCCCCACCACCTTGATTGCGTCGATCCTCTCTGCCCCGCTATCCGTCTTTGTCCAGGAGTAATTTGGCCCTCCGCTCACAAAAGGAGAAAACCCAGCCGTGACGCCAAGTTCAAAGCCATGGGTACTGCCAACGACGTGGGGGGTTTTGTGATACCATGACGTTCCCATGGGTGAGAGATTCACAACCGAAGGGTCCCAAAACGACCTGCGGCCGCCTTGCGCGCGGTGTTGGGCGGCTCGGTGCTCGGCGTCACCACGGTCTGCGTGGGCGGTGAACTCAACCTCGATGTGTACCTCTCGGAAGCGCTTGCCTGGGATCCGACAGGCTATGTGCCAGTCGAAGACGACGAGAGTGTGCGGGTCCGACGAGGACGCAGAAGTGGTGCCGTGGACGACGATGGGCATGGAGCCGTTGACGGCCATGAGAGCTGCGTTGCCTGGTCGGTCGTAGCCAGTGGTCAACTCGCGCTGAGGTATCACATTTCCGTTCTCATCGACATCGTTCTGCAGGCGTAGAGCCGCCTCCTCGGTATTCTCGAGGCTGAGTACGAAGCCGAATTCCGTATCCATTATGACAAGATAGTGTGTTGCTTTAGGAATTCAATGCCGCTGCTCTGATCTGGCTTTGGGTGGATGTGACGAAAGGTCCTTATAAGAAAGGTATGGTCAACGGCAGTTGTTTCTGGTAGGTCTCCTCTCACGTACGTGTATTTCCGTCCCTATAAATACCTCAAGTGCCAGTGATACTTACTATGCATCCTATTCGGCACATGTCAGTGCCGAGTTCTTCAAGACGGCTTACAGCAGATATCCATCGAGGGGGGGACTTGGTCGGGATGACTGCATTACTCGACAAGTATTGATTTCCTTTCATTCATTGTACCAATGCTCGCTTACGAGCAAGCCCAATCCAGTGTAAACACGTCCGGTTCAGGGATGGATCTTGGCACCGTATCACACATGTACTATTCCAGCATCACAAATCACACACCCCCTCCATCTCGCATGCTCAACTTGCCCGGACGGGCTGAGTGCTAAGCCAGCACGCCACGAGCATCTCTCGGGCTCACCTGCCCCCTAACTGGCCTTGGGACCCCACGTCGCTGCAGTGGCTTGTTAATGCCTAGATGGCTGCCGTGAGGTTGGATGGGTGTGTCGCCTGCCTGACTGGCTTTGAATTTGGAGTCCTGGGACTGGAGCCATGGACTTTGTCTCACGACTGCTGAATTCGACGCGTAAATAAGGTCAACTGCACATTCCTGCGAATTGCTTCGCGTTTGCATGCGTGTAAGGTCCCAACTAAATTATGCAATAGACAATGATCATACGTTTATGCCTGTAGGGACAATATCCCTTGAAGGCCGGTTCCCACAAGACCACACTGGAAAATAAAGCAATCGCATTGTTAGCACTAGAAAGGACTCGAGTAAAAAAAGGAACTGCTGGTCTTTATGCGCAGTCCATCCACTGCTCTTCTTACTTAGAGCTGACGCCCCTCTTAACCTCACGGTCCACGAAGTCAATCACCTGCTTAATGTCCCCTTCATCCAACACCAAGCTGGCATCTACCCACCCACTCTGCGGCGCATCTGGCTTGGTGGCCAAGTTCTGCATCCCTTGAAACAGGCTATCCATTCTCTCGGCCTTCTTTATCCACGCCCTCTTCTCCGGGTTCGACTTAAAGTGCACTTCATGGCACCAAATGACCAAGGCAGCGAACCCAGCTGCCAGCGCCGTGGCGGCCGAGCTGCCTTTTCTGTTGCCAATGCCCTTAATCTCCTCTCCCGGAAAGAGATAGTCGACCAGCCCCTGGTTCACAAAGCTGGAGCTGTGCCCGGTTTCCGTCGCCGAGCCCACGACTTTAATGTTCGCGCCGGCGTTTGCCGGATACAGCGACTTCCTCGAGCCGTACATGCCTTGGTCCGCTGCGGCGCAATACAGAATGATGTGCTCGTTGGCAGCTGACTGAAGTTCCTGGGTAAGGCGTTCGAGATGCGCCTGGTTTTGCGTGGTGGCGATGAAACTCCAGCTCATTGAGATGATATCGACCTTTTGCTCCCGGGCCCATTTGATTGCCTACTCGATGCCCATGTCAAAACGACTCGAAATTGTACATAAAAGAGGAAGCACCCACCGAGGCAGCCTCGTCGGCTGTAGAGATCCAATCCTTCCTATTGGCATTGTCAATTAGCTTCCCAGGCTCGTCCCGCAAGATTACTCTGTTGAGAGACTCGAGCTTGGCGACATATAAGTCGACGTGTGGACAAGCTGTCGCGATGAGGCGAGCCATTGTGGTGCCGTGGCCTTCAGCCGACTGGTAGAAAGGCACCCGGCTGCTTGTAGGCTTCTCAGTTGGCCAGCCGGCCTTGACTTTGTCCTTGAGATCTCCCAGGTGAACATCGACACCGTCGTCGATTAAGCCCACCTTGACTCTGGCTCCTCTGTCGCTACGCTGGACGTGATCCGAGACGAATCTCTCGAGGCTCTCTACCCATTGATGTGGCTTGCTGCAGTGTTGGAATGTAATGATCAGTTGAGCGATCTCTGACATGGATTTTGTTTTGGAATACTCACCACGACGAGTCATCGTATTTGTCAGACGACTTCTTCGTCAGCTTGTGTCCAGATCCTGTTACCGGCTGATCTATCTTGGACTCGGCCCGGAACCGCAGCGCAACGAAGTTGGTAGTGGATTCCAGGACACCCAATGACTGAATGCCCCATTGCTGCAATTCTGAAATATCTATTTCGTCAGTGGGTGCTTTCTTCTGATCTTGTGGCTGCTGCTGCAGCCCGAGTCGGTTTATGATGTCTTGAAGATTGGCCTCTTTCCTCTGCAAAAGCATCGTGACCCCGGCCGTTAACTTCGTCCCAATTGCTTCCCCTTTTGCCATTGCCGCTTCCGCCCATTCAAGCCTCGCTTGCCAAAGCTGCTTATCTTGTGAGGGCTCCAACGGAGATTGTACCTCCTGGAGATGTTGGCGGGCGTTGTCTGAGTAAGACTTGTACTGCCCCATGATAGTTTGATGTTGCATTTGCCCCATGGCCATAATCTTTAGTTTCCGAACGACCTCAATACTTGCTCGCAGGTCCCTCTTGAATGCCCCCACGGCCGCGAGGTGGTTGGAGTAGCTTTCCAATCCCTTTTGAAGCAAGATACATTAGTCTCACGTCGTACAGGCGACGATAATAGGACTCACCACTTTTGACTGGACATGGACCGATCTCAGCTGTAGTAAGTTGGAGAGGCCGTTGCTGCCCGCCCAACTACGGAGTACGGCATTATTTCCAGTAGCGTAAAGCCAAAGTCCCGTAACCCTTGGAGTACTCCTGATAACAACGTCTGCGCAGAGGTCGGGTTTGTTCCAGTCAAGATAGCGAATATCAAACGGGCGGAGACAGTTTTCGATGAAATCATCGCTACATGGCGTCTTTGTGTTGTCTCGCACTTTCAGCTTCAAGATGCGCTTGACATTCTTCTTCTTGAGCATCTCGAAGATCCTGGACAGAGCGATTCTAGCATCTTCAACTTGGATGGTATCGTTGCTGGCAGCACTCCCCTTGCTGTCCGTAGGGTCGATACTGAGATCTACTTGAGCCAGGGTAGTGCCGCAGTTGAAGAACGGGTACATATTGTCACTGTCGAGCCCGCTCAAGGGGCGTTCTGGACGAAATACTGAGTCCTTCCCCTTCAAATCTGAATGACGTTAGCTTTTCTTTTGCAGTCCTACAGCCACGGTCTGAAATTACCACTTACGGGTCTTGTCGCCGAAGAAGCAGTCGCACGCTTCCTCAAAGCCCCCAAGATCGAATGCGCTCTCAACCAAGTACCTCTCAATCTCCTCATCCAAGTCGTTCGAAGGGACTGTTTTGCATTTTTGCTTCCCTGTATCTCCCAAGCCCCGTATCGAGTCATCTTTGTCCATAAGAGTGAGACTTGATTTGTTTGTGGGCGCAGCCGGTCGCACTGGCTCACGGGATTGTTTGTGGAGGAGATATGGGGAGAGGTCTTCCTTGTTCTTGCTTCTCAAGGCTTTCGGGTTTTTGACAATCAAGGCAACGATATCCTTCATAACTCGCCCTTTGCTTCTATCCATCTGGGCCTGTATAGCTTGGCACTTTTCGCACGGCCGTGGATTCGCCCCGCAAACCTGTTTCCTGTAGGCGAAACGGTTGGGACCTACGGCGTCGTGGAGCGGCGTGTTGCCATCGATGCTGCAGACGGCAACAACCGCTTGCGCTGACGCCAACGTAATAAGGTCCTTAGTGATACTCAGTTCCTTTTTTATGGCCATGTGCAGACAGTTTTCATTGTCCTTGTTCTGCATCGAGATGGCTTCCGAGGCGTACTTCTTTCCTTCGGGCGAGTCCTTCTCGGCGGCACGACACATGGCGAGGATGATCTCCCCAATCCCTGTTTCGGAGGATTTGGCGCAACTGATGAGCATGTGAATAGGTGTTGACTTTTTCTCCGTGTCTCGCAAAGACAGCATCTTTGGGTCCATAGAAGTCGCTATCTCAGCCAAGAGTCCTGCGGCCTTGAACTTTGGGTCGGATTCTCGAATGCGTTCGAACTTGATCTTGTGTGCGATCCAGTGGAGGATGGTTCGTTCTTCATCTTCCACTCCATACTTGCACGCCGTAATCTGGTCAAAAAATGTCTTCAGCAGATCCTGCTTGAGACGTTCAATGGTGGTGCTAGTGCCGGCACTCGAGATCTTGTTCATGACATGGTCAAACAAATCTTCACGTCGTTGAGCCGTCGTGATCTCCGGCACTGCCTTTGGCGAGACATCATGGTTGAAGGATGGGGGCGCAAAATATTCATCAAAGAAGTGGCTGTTGACGAAATCAGAGGTCGGTAGAGGAGCGGAGGGTCCCTCATCCGTGGGTTGCGCTCCTGTTGCCATCTCTTGATGTCGTATCGTTCAGGTATGACAGTAGACAAGGCAGATAGACTATGAAAGACGCAATGGAGTCCTCAATTAAGATGCTTCGATCGGATGATCAGCCCGCTCTCACAGCCTGGGGCAGGCCAGCAGCACTGAGTGTGATAACCTCGAGCCTCAACGGCCTGCCTCGGCATCCAAACGGGCAGCTGTCCGGTTCCACCGGCGGGCTCTCAGCGAAATCCTGGGAGGGACGCAATGTGACCTGTGAAGCTCGCTTCTTCCATCAACCATGTGCGGCTGAAGCCCACCTGCAGGCTACAGCCAGCTGCCAGTCGTGGTTTCTCCGCAATCATGCTGACATGGGGTGCCCGGAGTAGCTGAAAGATTGTGACAAACGTGCATGTCAGGCCTCAATTTCTTGCTCACAACCACCACAGGGGTCGAGATTATCCTTTGATTGGTGATTCTGGTTCCGTATAGTCACAAGGTTGCGCAAATTGTTTTCTCAATCACATCTCAGCTCTTGGTCACCTACAGTCAGCACAGTTGTCCCAATACGCTTCTCCCGAGTTTTGCCTACATATTCATCCTCTTACTGGCTGCAGGGGTTCGCCCTATTTTCAACCCCCCTCCATCCCTCGGAACTGTCGGACCAAGGAAAAGCCGACGATGAAAACATGTTCCTACGCTTGCAATAACTCTCGATTGCAGGCCGAGCCGATTGCGCGGAGCTCGCATTGTCTATTTGAGGGGGCTTGACAGACCGGTCCCTTCAAGCAAGAGTTGGTCAACCTAATAACCCCCCATTGCCGGCTGTGTACGGCTTCCATAATACCTGACTGGCTTCGGAGTGACCGAGCTGTGAGAAGAAGAGATGAGTTCAAAACTTGGTCTCGTGGCGGATAATTGTAATTTGGTCTGAAAAACACGTCAGTGGCCGGTCTTGGCTGCAGCTTCGGGCATGCACGTTCGTATTATGTATCACTTCAAGTGTTATCAGTTTCCCAAGAACGGCTGATACCTTCCAGCTGGGGAAGTCGGCACCGACGAGGCTACGCCTGGGGTGTAATGAATGTGCTTGCATAACCGGGGAACGCGGAGCCCAGTGATAGTTGGAACCAATGCGTGATACCATGGGGTGGGTGTCTTGAGAAACGTAGTAACGGACAGTCTTATGCGCCACCCTCCAGTCTTCATCACAGTTCTATTCTCAAAGCCGAATACCAGCTGTAGCCCATCAACACAATCGCGCGTCAACTGGTCAGCAAGATTCTTGTTGATCAGAGCCTCGAAATACCGCACCTGAGAAGCTCAAAACACTAAACGCTGGAGTCTTGAGACAGCTAAGATGGACTCCGGCTCGTGGAGCATACCACCCTTCGATCTTATAGATGAAGATCTATTGTTACCCCCGCCCGACGATATACTTCACTTTCCGCTGGGAATTGACACCGAGGGATCTGGCAACACGGGCGCGCCCTCGGAACAATCAGACGAGTTTCCGGATCACAGTCTCTTAGCCGACGCGTCCAAGGTAAGCGAAGGGCCAAACACTACACCAGACGTCAAGTATGTTTGTTTCCCCACAGATGGTTATGTTTCTTCACTGACATCGTAGTGTAGGGCATTCAACATTCAAGGTGTGAGTGGCGAACATGCCTGGTTCGCTAGCTTTTCAATGCCCTGGACAGACACCGATTTCTCCTATTCGGCACCACAGCTATTTGACGATGGTGTGGACGAGACTCGGTTCGATGAAGTAGCAACCAGGCTGCTAGACGAGGCGGTGAAGGAGTTGGAGGATGAGGACGACGACGTAAGTCTCCGGTTCTAGACCATTCACCCACCCCTTCAAGTAGGGGAGAGCTAACCGCATAAGTGTATTCTCGTATTTCTGGCCTGCGATCTCGGTGGGACAATTTTGAAGCGAGTATGTCCAAGTCCTTGCATTTGTGATACGAGTAAACGAAGCTCACATGAAGCTTGACCAGGCTCTTCACCTAGCTGCCAACAGCGAGAGGTCAGAGTACCTTAAAATACTTGATAAGACGCCGCTCTTGGTAAGTCACCCATACACATCCCTAGATACTACCTTAAGATATGGGAGCATACGAATAACTAACACTTTCAAAGATCTTTTTCGCGACGCCACATAGGGCTTCTTTGACTTACCCCTGGCAGTCAACATTATTCCGGCTCCTGCACAGATACTATCTTGGGCGAATCGACGCATGGACTCCCCAACAGATCGACAAGCTGGCGGCTCTTCACGAATCAGTTGCGGCTGACTTTGAGAAGCTTGATGGCAGATTTCGTATCTTTAGCTATTACCAGGACTACCCAATAGACAACGAGTACGAGTTGGTATGTGGCCGTCAACTTGAAACGTACCTTGCTGTGGTAAACGTATTGGTTAACCGCTTCATCAGATAATACCACATCACGCGGCCACATTTGGCTGGAAAGGAGAAACCCAAGTTGCTGCACATCGACATCACAACCTGGTTGGGGATTTCTACGTTCCCCATGACCAGTCAATCCTTCAACGCCTCATCGAGGATACAAGAATAGGTAACACACATCGCCTTCCCGGCAGCTTCCACACTGCAGACCTCCCAACTGACACGGCACTTTGATAGCGCGTCGGCAAGATTACAACGCGTGGCTTCGAGTTTTGACTAAGGAAAGCGGAAACATTGTACCACTGGAGAATTCGGAGCCAGCTTTCAAAAACCTTTGCGAGTGGATGTTATCATCTAACCCGTCACTCAAGAAGTGGGCATATGACACACAAGAGCCTGCCACTGCGGAGGCGGATGCAAAGACCGACTCTCTTACCCCTGAGCGTCAAGAGAGTTCCATTTCGAGAAACCTGCAGTTCCTTTACATCGATTCTGGCAGCGGAAGCTGGGATTACTGCAATCTCCACTCATCCTTCGTCTCGGCTATAGAGTCAAAACAGCAGCCTTCAGGAGGCCGGCGGGATCTATTCCTCAGTCTTTCCGGCTTCTCTGCATCACAAGAACCCATAACCAAAGCTCAGTTGACTGCCAGCCTCTGTGAGCAACTTTTGAGTGGTCGGGCTAGTCTTGTTAATAGCCTCACGCCCTTGTTTAAGGATCTAGACGCCGTTAACGAGACATTCAACACAAGTCTGCAAGAATCCTTCCTGTGGAAATGTCTCAAGACGCTTCTTTGGGCGCATTCCCTCCCAGGGATATGGATCCTTGTCTACGTACCAAGCGACTCCAGGCTGGCCGTGCCGTTCATTGAATTGTACAGCGATCTTCTGACTTGGATGAAAACTTCTGAGCTGCTGGCAAGATTTGCGTTCATCCGCTGTGTGAACGCGTCCAGCGCTATTCTAGGGCCCCAGAATGTCGTCAGCCTCGACGACACAAACGCTGTCCGATGCCTCCGGATGGATTGTCTAGCGCAACTGGAATTGATTGCATTACCGCAATCTCTGAAGAAATTTGTCCGCTCCTGGCCAGCGATCGGGTTTCCTCAGCTTTCTTCACATCCTCTCGACTCACCTCTCTTGCTGAAATTGGCGGAAAGACGTATACTCCAAGTCAATTCATCCACAGACCCAGTAATCTTGGTTCTGAACTCAACACCAACACCGCAGAGAGAATTGGTGAAAGAGGGCCTAAGGTGGCTCATCTACGGGGCTCGACCCCTTACAACTCGTGAATTTGGCATAGCCCTCGCTGGAGTGACGGCAGGCCAAAAGCCCTTCACTGACGCCGAGACTGCCGCTGATCAGTTCGTCCATCATTTGTCCGGCTTGGTAGAGACTCGTGCAGGCAAGGTCTGCATTGCCCACCCCCGCCTCGTCATGTACGTGACAGAGAGGAACAGCGAAACTTCCCAATGGTATCAGATTCCAAGTTCAGAGGCCAATCGTCGACTCGCCAACATTTGCATGAGAAGAATGAAGCATCTGAAGACAAGAGTGTCCACGAGCCGAAACCTCAGTGCATCCTCCTCACCAGAGGCAGCGCGGCCCGAGACACCGATGCGCGAGCGTGACCCCCTTCTTTCGTACGCCATCGACAACTGGTACACACACGTTAGCAGGTCTGGTGCACATTCGCTCAGTAACCACTCTTTTGAATCAAACCCCGAGGAAAAGCGAGAGTTCGATTATTGGCTACATGTCCGGCTGTCTATTGCACGACCCGCCGAGCGGAGGAGCGACGGAACCCAGGACACTAGGAGCGGACCACATGAGTCTGTATGGGATCCTCGCGTGCTCTCGGGTCGGCTGAAACAGCCCCTCGACGACTGTTTGCAAACAGTACTAGCAGGCAAGGCGCTACAATCATCGGCCGACCAGACTGCTCGCTCTGCAATCGCTTTAGCCGCAGTTCAGATTGGGAAGGACAAGATCTCAAGTCAAATGTTATCCCTCCCTGACGTTGCAGACGCCGAGACACTGAAAGCCATGTTTCGGACAGGCAGGGAGTCTGTTCTCCGAGAGATCTTGCCGAAACAAGAACAGTTCGCCGCCGAGAATCTAGAGTTGTTGCTCTCAGGTGCCGTGCGACAGGATCATGGAAAGCTTCTTGAAGACCTCCTCACAATGTTTCATGGCAACGCACTACTCGGATCCGAGGACACAAAGAACCTGCTGTTGGATACCTGCGCCACTAGTGGATGTCTTCAGCTTACAGCAACCGACCGACTCTGGACGATGCTTCAGCCCCTAGAGAAGGATCAGCCCAAAAACAACTCAGGGAACACTCCACTCCATTCAGCGGCAATTTCGGGGCATGTCTCCCTCGTGAGGATGCTCATCCTCGGTGGCATCGATGTGAACCAACTAAACGACTCAGGAGAGACAGCTCTTTGGCTCGCGTGCAAGAACGGGCAGTATGTCGTCGTGCGCTCCCTCCTTGATGCGGGCGCGGACTGCAGGCCCCCAAACGCTCGAAAGTCAACATCCTTGCATGCGGCCTGCTTGGGTGGCTATATCGACATCGTCCGAGTGCTTCTCAAGCATTCTATGTCCA